AACAAGTCGGAGGACCCGTGTTTCCCGTTGTGTCCCCGTCCTGCATTTACCAGCTCGTACATGCTTGATACGTTCTGCAGGGTTTTAAAGTATGCTTCATCACTGCCATATCCATTAAACTCACAGAAAAACCCATCGAAATTCCCTGCTGATAAAGCTTCATATGCATAGTGTCGGCATCTTTATGACAAAGCGCACTGTTGAAAGATTAGGAGCGTGACATCATAACTGAGATTATAATAGCTTTGATCAGTTTGAAACCTTTGCAATTACCTTCTTCACAAATCAATAATAAAAATTTAAAATACAAAAAACGTGCTTCGGCCCGTCTCCGACATATCGAAGAGGGAACAGATAAATTGAAATGATGACATTTGTTCTACCAATTTGGATTGTTCATTTCGGTAACTGGCCTGTCAAAGTGGCTGGTGACCATGTACACCCTTGGCCATCCCAATAGCACTCATTGTCTTCAAAGACTTTCATATATTTTTGAGACCTTCGCTAACTGAAACAGGTACACTGCTATGTTTACAACTTCCGAAACGTCATCAATGATGATGCGCGGGGCAAATCTCAAAATGGCGCTAAAGTATGCAAAATTCGCTATCCAATCTGCCCATCGATAAACGCTTTTCCGCTGTAATCGATTAATTATCTAGAGTCAAAAAAACGTAACAAGATAAGCACTGCCGTTTAGAGCCCTTAAGAATGACATTAGCCTCTCTGGATAAGCGTTACGTCTTATTTCTGGTATATAAAGTTATTCTAACCGGGCATAGGCTACATTAGATATCACTTCACATTGTGATGTACAGGTAAGCATCATTTTACTAGCAGACATCAATCTTTCAATGATATTGGAGAGTGTATTCTATTCGTATCAGTGAATATGTGCCAAGAATTGTATGAGGAGGATAGAAAAAATGGTTGAATACAAGATGATAACACACTAAAGAGGAAAATGGAAAATGAAACTTCTTTTACGCTTTTTTAATTTGTTCGTTATTGTGGACTCGATGAAAATTATCTTTATAAAAAAAATAAAAAAGCAAAACTACTCTTCGCCTTGGTCCTTAACCTTTCTTCTCTCATCAACCTTCTTCAAGGCCTCATCGGAGTCAATGGGCTTGGCACCTCCGAAAGGGTTGGATCGGTTAGACTTTGGTGCCTCAGATTGAGCACCGCCTGTGGAAGAACGAGGTTGGAGGTTAAGGCGTGGGCGTTCGCTGGGGGCATCACGACCGCCTATACATAAGCACATTGTTAGTCAACGTTCTCGTTCCAATAATTCATCACCAACAGGACATACCAAAGTTGCCTCGCTTTTGGAAGGCACCTCCAGACCAGTTATTGTCACGGGGACGGTCTTGGTATCCACCGCGTTCTCTGTCACCACCGCGTCCTTGTTCACGGTCGCGGAACCCGCCGCGAGGTCCTTCTCTGTCTCTGTCTCCGAATCCATATCCACGTCGGGGTTCACGACCCTCAGGACTGGTGGGTTCAAGAGGGGTAGTACGACGCCAGCTAGAGGTTTCAGTGCGATCGGGAACGCGGTCAGTGCGTTCCTTGGCTATTATATGATGCAGAATTGATTAGTAAATGGTCCAAGATGTCGCATCGTAATACTCGACACACTTACGAGGATCAGCAATGTTGACTCTGACAGGACGTTGGTGCAAAGGCTATAAAACAGCATAGTCAGCACCGAATGGTCAAGATTGTAGTCAATCAATGTTTGACGTATATACCTCTCCAGTAAGAGTCAAAGCTTGCTTCAAGGATTCAAGATCTTCGAATTCAATATAACCAAAACCCTTAGGTCTGTCGGTTTCCCGGTCACGCAAAACTCGAATATTGGCAATCTTTGATGTGGTGATTAGTCCAACATGTATTGTTACAAGATCGACCGATCATGCTATTCACCTTCATATCCTTGAAGAAATCGGCAAGATCCTCTTCGACAGCATCAAAAGACAAGTTTGCAATGTGAGCAGTGAACGGAGGCTCGGTAGGGAGCTCGGCAGGAGGACGGCTGGCGTAGCGAGGACGGTCATCATCTCTGCGAGGGCCGCCACGCGAGAAACTGTCCTCTCTAGACTCATTGTCTGAATCGCACAATGGAAGACCAGCAAAGTTTAAATCGCATGTTCAATTTGTCAAACATAGTGTCAACTTCCAAAATGGTAATACATACCACCATAGCGATCACCGCCGTATCCGCGAGAAAAACCTCCAGAACGCTCTTCTCTCGGAGCTATAGAGCATCATATTGATTTAAAATTAGTATAGATCCGTAATCGCGATTTTTACATCAATTCGTTGCATACCAGAACTAGCAGCGGCTGAGATAAACAAAAAAAAACTTAGTAAAAGAGTTGAACGAAAGGAAAATGATAATAACAGCAGCACTTACGAGCAGTAGGCAAATCTGCCATTTCGTCAGCCCAGGAGCCACTGTCTATGAAGATGATTATACGTGTGAGTGAGCATTGACTGAGTATGATTCCGGTGTCCCACAATAACTAAGCATCATCTTACTGTCATCCACCAAGAACTCTCCCAAGGACATTTTTTGTGCTTTCTTCTGCTTAGCTGTTAGACAAGGAGGAATGAGTCAGTGCTTCCATTTACAATATCGTCGAATGATAGCGATAAGATGGTCGTTTGTCTACGTACGCATTATGGATTTTGTTGATCAAAGATCCTGTTATAGCGAAATTTTCACAAAAAAAAAAAAAAAAAAGTCGTGCTCAAAAATGGCTGCTCAAAAAACTTGGGTGACGTCGCGCTCAAAAATTCAAAGCCTTTAGCGGGACTGTCGACTTCGCGCGTCTTTTGCAAGCTTTAACGGCAAGAAAGGCGTCTGGCAAACTGACAGTGATCACGATAACTGAGCTGCTCGCATAATTGCCCCCCTTAGGCCAACCATGTCTTCTTCAAGCAGCAATCTTATTGATGATCGATTTACCAGGTAGGCATTGGTTTGCGAATCCTTCAATTCGCCTTGCTCTTAATTTTATTTGACTCTGTCAATAACTTTCTCTAACCCACAAATTTGGCCCGCCCCTAATCAGGACTTACCAAGATCTCCAGCAATTACTACAACGCGGTGGCGACAATACCTCGCTTGATCGATTGCAAACTGTTTTAGAATATAGACTAAAAGAATATAAGCAGGGCTTGGACGCATTTGGCCCACCTTCGCCGCAGGCACGAAGCAAAATCAAGGGCGATTCACCCATTACCGTTGATGATAGAACCATTCAGCTCGACAAAAGTGAAAGGGAATTGATATGCAAGCTTAGTGATCATTGGAACCTCAACGAAATACAGTGTGCGTCCATATGGGATTCGTTCAAAGACCTTCACAAACAACTCGGAACAAGCAAAATTAACCTCAGCGCTGAAACATTCCTCGAGAGTAAAGAGGCCATATTCATCATCTCTGAGTACTATTACAGCGAAAGAATTGCTTTTATTTCCTCTATCAGCTGTTTGATGCGCCTGGCAAACGAAGATGGACACCCGCTCAAAAACCTGGCACACGATACCGTCACCACTTTGAGAAAAGAGACAACCGACAACAAGCTCTTTGCTAATTGTTTATTTGATCAATTCCGTGAATTGCGCAAGAAACAACCTCCTGCGTGGTGTCGAGAAATTCGGAAAAGTACATCATGGTGGGCAAAACAGACACTCAAAGAACAGCGAGCAATGCTGGAAGTCATCTTCTTGTGTTATCATTACAGCGTTTGTCCACCAGATCAACTTACATATATGATACATGACTTCAAAGAGAGCGACTTTAGTAGAAAACAAGCCACGTCCTATCTCTTCGATGCAGAGGCAGACCATCTCCTCACATCCGTCATCCATCTGTGTTTGCTGATTTCCATTGAGGTGTTGGATCCTGCCGTTATGTCTACACTACAAACCTTACCCTCAACGCCATCCGAGAAAAATCTTGTGAACAGTCCGGATGCAATTGTCGCTATCAATACTATGACCGCCTTTATGGGTACCAACCAACAACATTCTGTGTTCCTTTTGGCCTGGTCTACCTTTTTAACTCAACTCAGTTATCTCTTGGACGACAATTGCCCTCCTGCGTATGCTCCTGTTAAACAAATGCTAGACGGTCAATTACCTCTGAGTCAAAACAAGTATTCTTACATCAAGGTTGACTCTGGTTCACCGAATATACCACAAAAAGCTCAGCTCAATCGCATTTATGTCGGCCGAGCCTTCAAGTTAGACGTATTTCAATACATCACCATCATGGTCAAAAGCTCAGGATTCCAACAAGCTGATCCAAACTCATTTGGTTACCGCTATGTAACGCACCGATTGTTGGACAATTTTTTGACCACAACACGTGCCAGCTTCATCCCTCAAGAAAGTTACGATGACCTTGTTCAGTGCACGTCTCTACTGTACTTGGACCAAGCCGATCTCTGTCTCACATTCTGGAAAGATGACTTTGATGAGTCAGACCAGACCTCACTACTAGCCACCGCCGCCAACCGATTTCCACTGCAGTTCACAAATTTCACCGACTTATTAGCTTCGCTGACCGGGGATGCCGAAGGTTGCCATGACAGCAGTGCTTATCAGCAACCAGCTCGAAATGTATTTGCGTACCTCAGTAACCGCCGTACAGTGACTGCAATGCTCCCGGATACAGTCACTTTGCAAAGTGAAGAAGCAGATGGTGGTTTGATTGTTTGGTCAGATCAGCAATTGTTGATTACTGGAGTTCTTCCTGGAAGGAAACTGATGATTACCCCAAAACATAAGGCAAGACTGTTATCTGCTCCTGGTGAACCACGTATTGTTCGATGGAATGTGAAATATTCAGGATGGCTTCTGCTTGCCCTTGTGTTAGAAGGCTTCACCAGAGAAAGAGCGACACCCTCTTCCGAGCAATCTATCTATGACTTTGACAATCAGCTGTCTGGACAAAATCAGGTGGTAGTTGTATCTATCTTAGAATTGTTGCAACGTACCTTAGAAGTGTGTCCTTCACTTGGTCCAAAGTTAGTCGATCATATTGAACAAGCAAGTCTACAACAATTAGCTTCGGACACTGACACAATTCCAACACCTCTCAACCTGCTCTCGTTATTGCAACGTGTTATCAACACATGTGCTTCGCACCCAACGTACTTAGTTCAAGTCATGACTCCAGCAATCCGGTGCCTTACAGCGTTGCTACCTTTCCATCGTGATGAAGTGTGGTCATATCTAGTTTCAGCACCCATTCTGCCGCGAATGGATCAACTACGCGCACAACATGCCTTCTCTTCATCTCTTGCCATGACTGACGCATCTCTTCAAATACAACACATCCTCTCGACGGTGGAATGCGTCAATGGAAAATTCTCGCTTCTCATCGCCTTCTTGGATTTAGTGAAGGCATTAGTGGTTGATATTCAACGACAATGGTGGCTTGACGCAAAGGCAACTGTGGAAAAGGACGGCTTTTCATCTTCTCGGCGAATGCAATCTGAGGTGCTGGCTCACTGTCTTCACTTCCTGATGTTGGATGTATTTCCCGCTTACTCTGGCTGGCGGTATAAGCTGGTCTCGGAGCGCTTTGATATTGGAACCAAGATTCTGGAAATATTCATCGAAGTGGTGCAAAATTTCAAGGCCGTGGATGCTTCAAGCAACAGCATGTACATACTGAACATCAAGGAAAGACTGATTAACAACTTTCTGCATCAAGGCAATGCATATCAAATCTCTCCTTTACTGGACATATTAGCCACAGGCACCATGATGGCCGATGCACGCAATCGTATTCAACCATTAGAGGCTATCCAGATAGAACGTCTGACGGTCTTGGCATACACCTTTGTCAAAAAGCTACTTACGTTACGTCTGAAGATGGTTGCGTCGCAGGATAAAGTCGAACCCTCTTCACTCGAACGTTTCATGTTGGAGCAAACCGTTGGCGATAACAAGTCAGATCTTATCCTGATCATTGCCAAGCTCGTTCAATATCCATATAACCACGAGCTTCCGTCTTTGGCAACGGATGTGCTGACTCGCTTGTTCAAATTGGCGTATAAATGGAAATCTGTCCCCAGCTTCGTAGGATTTTTTGGCGATTCGGAGCAGGCACAAAAGATCATCCGATCTTACCTCGAGATTGCTAGAGACACCCGACGATCAGAAACGTTGCTTACGTCCATTTGGCAATTTATCATTGCTGTTGTGGAGACCCAACCTGGCCTCGCCATGCTATTCCTTGAATGTGGAGAATATGTTATGCCTAGTCCAAAATCAGCCGTTCGTTTACTAGAGGAGGAAAAGAAAAAGCCCAATACGCAACTTGGTGCTAAACCCGCAAGTGACGGAAAGACCCCCGATTCTGCCGTAAGAATTGCCATTGACTTATTGAGTGACTGGCAACGTCTATTGATGGATAAGCCTACTGTTCTTTCAAATACCCTTCGCTTTTTGGCAGCCTTCTGGACCACTGCTTTCGATCATTACGACCTTGTTCAACGTACTCGCAGTGATAATGCCTTATGGGATTCCATTGGACAAATTGTTCTCAATGTCGAACAAGGACTTGATAAGGGTATCAACATCTCTTCTCCAAGTTCGAACGGATCTCTACGACGATCTTGCTGCAACCTTTTAAGCAAGGCATATGTGCTGCGTATTATCGGTCTGGAAGTCCATCTCTCCAGCAGTATGTCAAGCAATCAATCTGTTAGTGAAGTACTACCTGCTGGTGTCAAGGCTTTGCTTGGCAAGCTAGGCGATCCGGCCAAATTGGAGTTGTTACGAAGAAATTTCTTACGCACTGATTTCGATTTCGAGCTCAGCCAACTTCTCAATTCAAGTGCTACTAGTCTCTTATCGACCATCAGCAGTTCGGATACATCGATGCTTATCATCCATTCAGACCGTATTGGAACAGGCGACAGCGATTGCGGCGACATGGAAGGTCAATATGGAGAGGCATACATTTATGATTTGGCATTGACGAAATCGCGGTTGAACTCTTTGACAGCTGACCTGCGGTCAAGATACCTTGGTTCTGATCCAAGCCTTTGGAATACTCCAGAAGCCATTGCCATCAAAGCCGTCGAATCTGAATCCGATACCTTTATGGAAAATCTGATTCGACAGAACTTCAATTGGTCAGTAGCTGACGCACAATTACAAGTACTGCGATCATGCCGACAATTTCTGGAGATTTCGTCTCTTCAGTCTAGCGACCAACTGTGGTCAACGAGAACCACTGGAGAATACGAACTCATCAGAGATGTACTCAAAGAAATCACAAGTAACCCTAATCGTGGCCAAGTGAATCGCTCAGTGCAAGTTGAACTCATCGAGCTTGCTCGTGGATTGACGGAGCATTGGATTGAGACTACGGCGGAGACAGCAAGTCAGACCGGCGCAGGATCACAAAAACAGTTTGCTGATAAGGCTTATAACCTTCTAAGTGACTTTTGCTCCATTCTTCGACGAGAACAATTCCCAGTCATTAGTAGTGTGAGCGGTGAAATGGCCCCGGCTTTCCATCGCACTATTTTCGAAGCCATTCTCTTATGTGTCCGAGCCGTTCGCAGAGGAACCGACGAATTATCAACCATCGATAGTGGATCAGCTGCAAGTCAAAATGTAACCACGTCTCTCATCTCTGTCTTGGAAGTAGTTGGCGAAAGCTTTGTCATTCTGGTTCAGCGAGCTGCCGTCAATGGGCAAATCTATGGTAGCGATATCAAGTTACAATTGGAATCTCAGGAACTTTCGCGTGATATTATCGTCACCTTATCATTAATAGAAGAGGTGACTCGACCGGTGTATGGAGTTCCTCCCAACCTTTGGCTCTCTGTGTTGGATCATTATGGTGTGATACCAACCTTGATCAACTTGTTTGTCGCTGGTACAGACTCTGCCATGCAAGAAGTAAAGCGGTAAGGACAGAAAGAATGATTTTATGCGGTGCATGTTGAGAAGTTGGTTTTCATCATAGAGACTAATCATGACCTTGTATATTTTAATATAAATAGACAAGGCAATTCCCATACTATCGATACCTGGAGTATTCCATCCTACGCAGAAAGTGCCCTGTGTCTACTTCTGGCTCTTGCGCAAACCCCCCTCGGAGCAGAGCGACTAGCATCCCATGGACTGTTGTACGCTTTTGCTGACAATGCATTGATTCCATTATTGCAACAAGGAAAGGTCAACGCTGTTGTACGGGTCAGCGAATCAGATCCAAACGATCCAAACACTATCACCATGGAACGCAACCCACTTCACAGTATATGGTGTCAAAAACTAGCTGTTTTGATCAGTATGCTGCAATGTCTTTCCAGCTCCCAAGACTTTGCTCTCAAGGTTTCTGAGTTTTTACAAATCACTGGTCCTCAGATTAACAGAGCCATGTCTACACATTCAGACTTATCTCATCAAAAATCACTGACTACCGCTCATCTGGATGAAGTTGATAAAATTAGCATGATCCTTTTCTATCTTGCTAATGCCAATGTGATATAATAAATAAAAACAAGTGAATTAGTGCATCCACCAATTGGGTCTTTACCACACCAATGTCTTTTATTAGAGCACCTTATGAATAGGTTAGACTTTTATGACAAAAATCTGCCTATGATTGATAAATGTTATGATGAGGATGTCTGTATTGAATGAGCTGGTTGTCTTTCCCACTGTCCTCCGCACATTGATTCAAAGGAGCAGAAACTGCCTTGAATGGGTATCTCATCTGCCAGTCATGTGACCGTCGGACATGACAGCCATAGATCACGTGCTCCTTTTACTTAACTGATATTCTCAAAAGGTTGCTTGACCTGGTTGGTCGACGAGAATTGCAATGGTTGTTCTCATGGCCGTAGAAGACCCTACGCCTCAAGAAATATGGGGTATAATCTCACAAATTATCGGCTGGGTAAGTGTGTTTGAAGACCTTAAGTAAATGTCAATCGGCTCTAACCCTCTTCCAGATTTACTTCGTAGCTTGGTCCGTGAGTTTCTACCCACAAGCTATCCTGAATTGGCGTAGGAAAAGGTATGTACGGAGACCGCACTGATTATCTAACGGAATATGCATTGACGTTGCTCCCTCTTACAAGTGTCCAAGGCCTCTCGATAGATTTCCTTTACTACAACGCCTGGGGATTTTTATGCTACTCCGTAAGTAAGCCAATTACAAATCCAGCTAATAGAACATTGAACTGACTCGCCCACACCTTAGATATTCAACCTTGCGTTTTTCTTCAGCAAGGAAATTCAAGAAGAATGTAAGTGATATCCACCATGGCCTACTGTTAATGGGCCACAAGCCAAAAAAAAAAACTCATGCTCTTGCGTAGATAGGAGACGAAATGGCGACAACGACAACTTAGTCCGCGCCAATGATGTGTTTTTCTCAGTTCATGCTCTGGCCATCACACTTTTCACCATTTACCAATCTTTCATATACAAGGTTGGTACTCTGACCATTGAAGATTTCGGGAGTTCAGTCTTGATGTCATTTATGAACCCCTCTATTTGCTTTTTTCAATGACAGCGGGATGACACTCAGCGGATATCCGCAGCGGCCGGAGCTTTTATTCTTACAACCGTGGTAGGAGTTGCAGCTGTCATTGTGGCTGTCGAAGCTGGTCAAGCCATGTGGATAGACTTGCTATACTTTATGGCTTGGATTAAGCTTGCTGTCAGTTTGATCAAGTATTTGCCACAAGTACGTCATATTCAAAAGGATTTAGTTCACATGCTGTACCCTGTCTTATATTTTGTTCCTCTTGGCAACAGGTGTGGATAAACTTTAAGCGTCAGTCTACGGTTGGATGGAGTATACACAACATCTTGTTGGTAAGAATTAACTCTGTGGTCATTTATCCGTTGTGGAGCAGACAATCGCTGATTGTGCCATTACGCAATTTTAGGACTTCACTGGAGGTATCTTATCCATTACCCAGCTGCTCTTGGATGCATGGATCTCTGGCGATTGGAGTGGAGTATCCGGGGTACGTTACTTTTTTCTTTGACATTGTGGTGCCTTTTCATTCAATTTTAACCCATGTCATTTGCCTTCTATTGATTAGGACCCTGTCAAGTTGTAAGATATCTGACACATCAATTTACTCTCGCGAAATTGTCCCGTCGTATACTAATAATGCTCTCTTCTTTCCATTTAGCGGTCTCGGTTTCATTGCCATTGGCTTTGATATCATCTTCATGTGTCAACACTATATTCTCTACCGTGATCGTACTGATTTTTATGTCAACTCAGTGGAAGAGGAACGGCAGAGATTGATCGCAGAGGGCCGGTTACCTCGAGATACGGACGATATCTTCCGACGGAACAGAACGGACAGTGCTGCATCTGCCACATCTGGAGGAAGATATGTATAAATTTCCTAGGCATGGCAAATTACACCCAACACAATTCTCTATATACACTGTTACAACGTATCATTGGTCACTCGCTCACATTGGAACAGACACTATCTAAACACCATTGTTAAGCATTATTACATTTAATCAGCGCAAATGAAAGGAAGTATCCAAGAAAACTCAAAATAAAATGTATCAAACACACACAATTATATAACGGAAAATAGGGGAAACAAACGGCTTCTCTTTCATTCAGAAAGAGAAAAAGTGATTGGTATACAATGAAGGAGAAAAAAAAAACCAATAGTAATCTAGCTGGGTGACCATTGTGGTATCTTGAACTGATCGCCTGTAGGGGGTATTAACGGGCTGGCTTGATAGACGATGTGGTGGACGGGGAAGTTCTATTGACAAGGGTAGATAAATTGGGAGTAGTAGGGATATTCAGCATGGAGCAAGATCTTGGAATGCCAGAGGATCGAGGGACTAGATCTGACACGGTTTTAGGTTGTTTATATGCCATGTCCACCTTCCGGGCTATGGCATATGCTTGCAACACCTGGTGGTAGAGCTCCATCAAGCCCGACATGAAGTCTGGATTTTGGATTACGGCGGCCTGTGCCAGTTGAACAGACTGAGAAACCTTTTGGTACATGGCGCATACACCTGAAGTCAGATCACGGTTAACGGATTCGAGGAGTGCATGGTAAGGCTCCTGGATGGTCTTGTAACCTTTGAGGTCGATCATTTCATCCAGTAGCGTTTCGAAGACAACGGTAGCTTCATCGGGTTCCAAGCTCTTCACAAGTGAGGCGGATACTTCGCGTGCAATATTGTAATCAAGTTTACCAGCCACTTGAGTAGCATCGCCGTCTACTTGTGTTTTCATGCCTTCTGTGGCAATCTGTAAGGTACCTATTCTACATTGCCAATGATAAATTTCAACCATAACTTCTTCGATACGCTCATCCATGTACATGGGTTGAAGCTCATCAAAGCTGATGCCAGACTGCTTTGCTTGTTCCAGCTCATCTGCCAGCACAACTGCCCGTTCTGACAAGAGGGTTTCTAACTCTTTTTCTAAGTTTGCTTTCTGAAAATGTAAATACTGTGTCAGCCTGCTTCTGGCTCAGCTCAACCATTGTGCGCTCCATCTACACATGTACAAATCAATGTCAATTTGCTTACCTTCTGCTTGAACAAATTAATGCTAGATAATACGTGCTTATTTTGCATGCAATAATTTAAGGCACTAGGGAGAGTATTAGCTATTTGAACAATGGCATACACTCAAGTATGTGATAAAGGAGTGCTGTACAAAATGTCTTACCAATCTAAAATGTGTTGCTTCTTGGCAACTCGCTGCTGCATTGTCATGGTCTTTGTTCCGACCTTTTTAGTAGGTTGGGTACGTTTGCTGGAAGATTTTGGTGGCACATTGATACAAGCTCTGACATTAGCTATGCCTAGCGCCTTGATGACCAGTTTTCTATCGACGTTGGCATTGGAGGCGATGGCTTTGGACAAGAAAGACGAGATGGTATAAAGGTCGCCAGCACATTTATGGGCATCATCTTGTGATCGAGTTTTGGCTGCTCTCTCTCTTGCCACCGCTGTTTCGGCCTTCTTTTTGCCATCTTCTACCTTTTGTAACTGCTTAATTTGTTGCTCCAAGCTTGTAAGGCGTTCCTTAGATCGGTCTGACTCTTGCTTGATACGACGGAGCAATTTTCGCTTCTCGTGTTTTAATTCGTCCATCTGCGATTGTAACTTTTGCTGTGCATCATCTGTCTTTGTCTTGGCTTGAGTCTGCTGCTTGGTTAATTCAGCTAGTTTCTTTTTGAGAGCTTGGTTTTCCTTTGCCAGTGCTTTATTTTTGGCGTCGGTCGATCTACTATATCCTTTGGGTGCCATGGACGACTCAAGTTTCCCAACCGTGTGTCCGCAAGTGTCACCTTTACTGAGCATCTGTAACATCGCCTTAGCGTTATGTTCAATTTGGCGTTGCGCTCTGGCAACTAGGGCGGTTGTTTCTGTCCGAGACGAGCTGCGCGCTTCGGCGCTCTTGGCATATTTCTATAGCATAGAACCATTACTACGATCGTTCTCAGCATCATATGTCGTACACGAAGCCAAGCCTTACCTTCAGCGCATCTAAAACTTTAAGACTGTCATTGATAGCCTTGGAGACCATTCCCGGCGAGGGGTCGGTTCCCGTTTCAATGGCGATTCGATGTCTTAGCAGTCCGTCAAAATCGATAGCAGATAGACCATATGCTTCATCTGAATTAGTATTTTCTCGCGACAAAGAGGCCCGTATTTGAGAGTTCCGATTTGGGTGCTGCTTCACAACTTTCCTCTTTCGAACTCGTCGTGGAGACAGTTGGCCATCTGGTACACCTGCATTTTCCGTAGATGATTTTTTGGTGGATACTGTGAGATGAGCGGATTGCGATCGAAGTTTTCTATTTTCCTGCTCCAGTTGTTCGATTTTCGTCGTGAAGGTTTGGAGAACTTTGGTGGTATCATTGTCGCTGGACTGGGCATTGACAATCGTGCTGAAATGCTCTTTTTCCCGCACAGCCGAATTCAAACTCTCCTTTAGGTTATCGATTTCGTTGATGGCTGCGGTCATGAAGCTTTCTTGTTCTGCGATCTCTGCTTTTAGTCGCACTATCGTCTTACGGTATCGTTCCGGGTCGTTCTCAGATTGTTCAAAGTTTTGGACAACGTTATTCTTGATATTGCGAGCTCGATTGGCATACTTCAATGTACTCAAGGTTTCGACAAAGTCTTCTTCAGCAGGGGATATACATGCCAGCATGAGAGTTTGTGAATTGCCTCCCAAAGAATCTTGTAACAATCGAGTCAGCTTAGAGTCTCTGTACGGCACATGAGACGTCTTGCGACTATCGTCACCTAAGGCTGAGATGACATTTCCCAAAGCCAATAACCCAGAATTGATGGAAATGCCTTCTTTAACCCTGTCACCCACAGCATTTGTCCTCTTGAGCTGAAAGTAGAAAAATAATTACACCAAAACAAAAATCGAATGATTATTAGCAAACATCCATATGGAAAATAATTTGTCCGTGATCGAAACTTACTCTTTCTGAGCCAGCAAGATCGACGAAATGAAATTTTGATTCCACTTGCTTTAGGTGGTGAGCAATCTTGCCACCGTTGTCCGTTGCACTGTCGCCACTGCTTTCTTCTTCGGAAATATAGCGCTTCATAATGACGGTAAATATAGCATGGCTTCTGGAGCTGCTCTTGTTCATATCCGTTGCACCTGTACTTCGGGCAATGGTACCTTTATGCAAGACAGACAAAAGCTGCTCAGGACTGGCTGTTGTCTGCTCCTGAGCTCCGAGCCAATAAATATTTCCCCGAGAGTCTTCTCTTATGGAAATATTTTTCGATGCAGGGTTTAAAAGGTCGATCAAATCCTCATTATGTAGTTCAAGAAAGGTTGCAGAGATCTGAGCATCTGGGACAGCTGCAAATAGATGATGAATAAAGCGTGGTATAATTCCTGGATCAACACCATCGCTTGCTGTTCCCATGGAATAAGACTTTCCACTTCCAGTTTGCCTACGTAAAATACATCGTCAGGTTAATCCTAAGTCCCCTTATCAATATTATACATCAAAATCACAAATTTACCCATATGCCACAATAGTTGCATTGAAACTAAGTTTGAGTGAAGTGTTAATGATTCCAAAACTAACTTAGACAACACGGAACACCAAGGGTTCACTTACCCTTCAATGAATTTATCAAACAGTGATCCGATGCAAGTGTCATACACGTGCTTCTGATTCAATGTGTCGTCAAGAACGTGATCAAATGTAAACGAACGGTAGTTTGAGTTGATTCCAATAGTGAGCTTGTTCTCTGCTGAGTCGCAAACCACACACTGAGTTTGGTCCTGGGACTGTTCGGCGGTAGACAAAGGTCTCACTCTTAGTGCGACCCTTTTGGTTGAGGTAGGTGTTAGTCATGGTGGCCATTAACCTATTTTCGAAAGCACTCAAGTTGCCTTGGAACTTTACCTGACAGCCGTAGGGCTCATTGCAGGCAGAGCAGTAGCAATGTTAGCACGGATGAAAGGAGGGAGAGAAAAAAAATTGAAATTCAAGCTCGAAATCAAGGTGAGGTGAGCGTTCCTGATTCCCCTTTTCGGAAGTTTGACAGTCACACCCCTACCGTCTTTCACAGCTTGCAAAAGCAAGGCCAACCTTTCGATATCATCCAAAAGACGGTCCCCTCTCTCTTGCTTTGACCACTCTAAACAAATTCACACAATTGAATCAGCAAATAAGGTCGATCCGATCCAAACAAGCCCTATTCCCCCCACGGCCTTTCCAATTAAAGACCATCCGTAGGATTTGCTAAAGAGCGGACGACGATGAGACTAAGTGAATAAATAATGAGGCATGCTCGTTCATTTGATTGAAGGCTGTCCGCTTATAAATAGTGGTTATTTAGTGCAATCCGATGCCATAACTTCCGCTTCTGGTTGTTTCATCCTGGAAACCATGGTGACATGCGATTACCATAAAAGCCCCAAACTCTACTCTTTCATTTTCGCCTTTCGTCACACCAACCATCTTGGCTGTACAGGGTGTGGTGACTGTAAGCGCTGCCAAGCTTTCAATTTCTTGGCTATATGATGTAGTGGGTTTGTGTCTGTTAGAGGGTCCGTAGGGGCATATCTGTATCATAAAAGAAATATTGAAGTCGTGGGGAGTAAAAAATTTGAAGTAACCATGGAGACAGGGATGTGAATCCCAAGGAAATTTTTGTGGGCCATTGGGCTGGTGCAAAAGGACTGCTTTAAACACTCATCAGCACGGGAGTGTGGCCGCAGTCAGCTTTTTTAATTCTGGCTCACCAGACAAGCGCACCCGCATCTCTCTCTCTCTTTCTTTTTCCTTTCCCCTCTGGACAACCTTACCATCATCAGCATCGCCAGAGAATATTCACTTTCGCCAACAACTCCCTTTTTACGTTCTGAAAGGACCAATTGGCGCATCCCGCCACTTGTTATTTGCTTAGCCTATCTTGCCTCGTCGTCATCGAATACCTTGAGTTTGATTCATCAAGTCTTCTGACCCCTGGCCGACACCATTTATACACCAACGTTTCTATTTTAAATATATACTCCATCGCCATTAGATCGAAACACCTATCCACCACCCAAAACATCAGTTCCTCGAATATGGAGGAAGATTCAATGCCTCCGGCTTTATCGCCAGCTATTTCGAGTCTGTCCTCGCCAAGCGTATCCTCCTGTTTCGATGAATTTGAGATGTCTGGACAGGAGTCTACCGGAACAGACGACACCATCATGATGGAACCTCTGCACACGTTTGTGGTGACTGAAGACACCAGGCGTTTATCTTCTCCCATACCAGTTCGTGTCGTAGAATGGGATCCAGACGCTTTAGATTTTGTACTGTTTGAAAATGAACAAGACGACTTTTGTCTTGCAGAGGAGGACATGGTCTTGGATAGGCGGTTGATGTCAATCGGTTGCCCTGGCAACAGCAGTACCTCTTAATTTTTTCTATTATTTTTTTTTGTTTATTGGCTCTGTATGTCTCCTTTTCTCCCCCACGTTATACCACCCCACCGCAATCCACCACGTATTTCGTCCAGCCGTTATTTAACTCATCCTTACAAATCGCTGCCTGGACAAGACCACGTAATATCCTAACCGGAAAAACTAGTTTCCTCACTTATACCTATCATTCTGGAAGACGTCGACTCTTCCCTTACGTGGCTTACGTCAATCACCCTGTTACGCAACGCAAGACAGAAAATCTGGTGCATTGGCTTGCACGACATTTTGCATTTTATTCACTCGGAGTTTTTTTTTTTGGGAAAACAGCAAAAAGAGAAAAAAAAAAAACCATAAAAGAGAAACTTCTCTGCTAAAAAGCTTATGTATAAACGCGCGAGGAAGTACATGGCTCTTTTTCTTCGAGATGATTTCTCATTTGTACATAATCGATTCCTTGCAACCCTTCAATAAAACATTTTTTTTTCTTTGGGGTTCATTACGCTTGGCATGCTCGACGTTTGAGCCATTGCCCGTTGACGAGCCATTAGTTAGACTGCGGCTCATCATCGTATAAAAAGTTAAAATAGATATATCAGAAACTTTATTGGCGCATGATCCAGCCGGCCGATCTACAATGCAATCGGCTACGCGTGTAGTCAAAACACGTTATAGTATGGAGGTACTGCGTTATACTTTGGCCGGATATTTGGTCAATATACGAGAGATAACATGACTAAAATGCGCAGTTGTCTCTGCTGATGGTACAAGCATAACATTTTCAGAATCTTCCAGCCCAAAAAAAATTGGCTGTGTATGATTGCGTGAGAAAGTCTACGTCAGAATATCTCGGTCGTACGATACGTATGAATGAAAAATTCAAAATGAAAATTAGCAACTAATTGTGAGAGACATAGGAGTCTTTCGAACTATTACAAAGAAAATGGGTGTATTTATGATGATGATGGCACGGGCTGTTTTGATCTACTGGTCCCGACAGTTTCGTCCGCCTGCAACTCCGCTTTAACATTGGTGGGATGGCTGTTGCTAAGCCCAGGTAATGTAGTTGTACTAGCATCATAAACACCTGGCTTGCGCACTTTTTGTTCCAGTTCTTGAATGGTGTGTTCTCTTAATGGTGCATCTCGATTGATGTCTCGTACCAAAGTCGACAAGCGTGCTTCGAGGACAGCTTTGGATGCCTTCCAGGATGCTCCGTTCCAGCGGGTTCTATTGACAATGCCGAATAATATTCCTCCTACCATGGCTGCACCACTGAGAATTAAGGCCTGATCCGTCCACCCAAGAGCAATACCTCCTAGTACAGAAAGACTTCCTGCCGTGCTGATACCCCATCCAGCTGTTTCTAGGCGCTTTTCCGTCCGTGAATCCAATCTTTCAATCAGAGAGATCAACTCTCGTAGCCGATTGACATCTCGTACAATGATATCGGGAATTTCGTCATTCATGTCCTGTCGATCCTTGATCCAGGCTGAAGTAGACTCTAGTGCCGCATTGACGTGGGTGGTAAGAAGTTCCAATTGGCCATGAAACGTAATATCGCCCCATGAAATCGATGCACGGTGTGCAGAATAGAGCGAGATGGTCAAGGCAGCGAGGGAAGCTACGGATTTGGTCATTAGAGACATATTCTCTTTTTTGATGATAGCCACTTCCTGCTTCTTTTTCTCTTCTTCCTCTTCGATTTTTTCTTCCCTCTTTCGATTGTCTCGTCCTCGGGGTTCTGTGTCTTGCCTTCGTCGCCATCTTCTCATGCTCATTGCTTCGTCTTCCTCATCAGAGAATATGTCCTGTCTATATAGTTCGCTATATCGTCTTCGCCTAGCGCTCCTGTCATTGGTAGTTTCAAGATAGGCAGTTGCTGCCTTTGCAAAATGGTAAAGTCTCAGTGGCTCATTCTACCAATCCGCTTTCATCGTTCTTAGTGTAGGATGCTCACCTCGACACAAAATCGAAACGTTCTTTCCGCCATAGAGATTGAGAATGTGCTTGCTAGATTATTTTTGCTGGTCTCAAAGAATTTTTCAAACGTTCCCTTCTCCTGCTTGATAGGCTCTTGTTCTCGAGGCTCCTTCTTTAGCTGAGTGACGATATGCGGACAAAAGGTCAACAGGGTGTCTACGGGGGTCGTGAAGGTTTGGGTACTGGAGTCCCACAGTTCTCGAGGGAAGTCATAATCGTCGAAAAGAAGCTATAGTAGATTCGAGACATGGTCAGTGTTGTGTTTACCATTGCGAAATGGTTGAGCAGGCTATAGCTTACCGAGGCCATTGGTATGTGGTGAAGATGGGCAATTGGAGGTCCGACCAGAGTATTTTTTTTTTATTCAATACGTGTTCGATATCTGACCACTCAACCCGAACATTTTACGAAGCCATGAGTCATAAGCACGGTGCTTCTTCCTTACAACTATATTGAAGACTAAAACCACCACCATTTTCTTCTGACAGGCATTCAAGAGTACAAGTGTATTTATAAGTTTTATTTCTAGTGCATCCATCATCGCTATCATCGTCAGCCGTGGGGTTCATAAACAATGGTATAAATGGTTCCTTGTTGCATAGCGAAGTCAAGAAGCATATTACGTCGAGTAGTTCTTCTTTACGCCTCCGTTTGCCTTGTTCTTTCGCAACAGTACCGTAGTGGCCAACAGCGTTCGTGATATTCTCACCATTTTCTCTTCAATGACATCGTCCAGCTGCGTCAGTTTGAGTCCTTTATTCGTCGTCGTCTCAATTTGCTTGAGCCCTGCTGAGGAATGTCGTTGTAATGCTAGTGCTTTGCGTGGTGGTATTTCTGATTGAGCCATGGCTAATTCTTCTGCGTTCAATGGCTGAACCTGAGCGTGTAAATGTGCTGGATGGGTAAAGTAATAGTTGTATTGCTTCAGCAATGGGATGGCTAAGTCTTCGAAGCCGGTTGATTTGACATTGTTGCTACGCGAAGAGGGTTCCATGGTGTGTGCGTTGTGAAATGGGATTGATCAGAGCGAATTACCGTGATCAAAAAGGTGAATTGACGATTTGGACTGCCTTTCACTGTGCTCAAATTTCTGAGTCCACACCAGCCAAAAGTTACAAGTTGTAAAGTACAAGCAGCCATGAAAATAATCAACATGCTCCCTTCCCTTCATCTCACCCATATAGTCAGTTTGTAAGATAGCCATAAAGGCTCCGTTCGTTTGTTTATTACAAGGAAAAGACAATAAAAAAAAGGGAATGCTTGCACAGTAGGTTTTTAATAATTCCATCGTCCGCCAGGATATGCCGGGTACTGATGTCTCATGGGTGGTGGTGGTCCCATGTGGGGAGGATAGCCCATAGGAGGTGCTGCATGCATAGGCGGTGGCGGTCCACCTCTGGATGAGCGACCCTGAGGTGGTCTTTGCTGTTGCTGCTGTTGTTGTTGTTTTTGATTATTTTTGGATAATTGAATACGCTTGAACCCGTTGATCAAATCTGTGACGTTGGGATAGGATGTGTTTTGCAATCTGTAGCCATTAGGTAAAACTTTGACAAGCTAGATAAAACATAAAGTGTGAATACGATGCAGCAGATTGTACTTTTTCACCAAGCAACCGTACGTACCCATCGAGTTGGCGAAGCCTTGGCATTCAGTTTGAAAGCCAGGTCAAAGTAGCCAGCCTTTTCGTCCATGCAGAAGCCGTAAGCCGACATTTTTGCATTGGCCATTGTAGCAGAAGTGAGGAAATCATCTAACGATATTTCAAGGTTAAATAAATGCTGTCTTGAAACCCCATCCAACGAAATCTTGTTACTTACATAGCTTAGACAGGCCACCAGCCTTGTACTTATGGTGCGCCATCAACTCGTCCACCTTCTTTGCAATGGCTTCGACATACGTGACAATCAATTCATCCAGGTCCTCAAAGGTCTGATCACCGATCTGTAACTTATTGCCAAGGGCATAGTCGTTTTCCTTTTCTAATTCAAGAACGTCGACATGTTGGTAAACGCCATCTGCCACTTTCCAGGTGATAGCGATGTGATCGTTTCCTTTGGAAGAAGGTCGAATAACGAGGTCACCACGCTGTCTAAATTCTAAGTATTCTTCAGCTTCACGATGGTTGAGTTGGTGGAACAGTGGATGCTTAATCATACGACTAGTTTTGGCGACCTTCTTTCTTGTGCTACTCTGTTGTTTCCTCAACTTTTCTTCTTCCTCACGGCTATAGAATTCATCATCAGGCTGCTTTCGCAACGATACATCTCCATGCACCAAATCCGATTCTTTGCATGAGAGGTCCACATGGTATCGCTCACGATCGATACGTAACACCTTGGCATCCAACGTTTGACCGACATTCAACACTTCATCGATGCTCATCAAACGACGATCGCTGGCATTTTCGATGCTGATAGCTCCATCAATACCAGAGTCCAATCGGCAGTTGGCCCACTTGCCCCGAATCTTGGTCACAATGACGGGGACAATGTATCCTTCTTTGAGGGTATCATCAGTCTCGCCAGAAATCATTGAGAAGATCTGGTTGGTGGTGTACTTCTTGTACTCTTGTCTACGGTCACGGTAAGGTCCCTGAAGTTCCAACTTGATGTGCTCCAAAATTTGTCGCTTAGGAGCATCGTATTGCTCACGCAATACAACAGCATAATCTTCCAAAATGAGATCGTTCAGCTTGTCCGAATGGCTCCTGATGACCTTGGCAACAACCGCCTTCTTGGCATCAAAATCATCCATGTCATCTTCATCGATTTCCAATGCATCGGCAGCCATTTTCCTTGCCAGTTCGTAGTCTTGAGGGTGAATACGAGTGTCATCCAAAATATCTGCTCCGTCTAGATCAACGATGCGCAGGAAACTGGCACAATTCATGAAAATCGCCATGGGTGTCAGTCGTCTTAGCACCAATGCGCTTCGGCTTTCCAATTCACCGCCAGTGGCCTCGATGCGTTGTAAAGTGTGCTGTGCCTTACGTGGACCAAAGCCACAGATGTAGGGTAACGCGCTTGCAATGTATGTGTCCTTGAGAGCAGCATTGATGTCAATACCAATGGAATTAACAACATTGAGTAAAGCTCTTTCAAGGTATGGAAGAATCATGTCTTCAGGAACGAGAGCCTGCAGAGGATGATGACGGATTTGAAGCAAATCTCTGCCCAGAGCAACGTATTCCATGACAGGGTTTTGCAGTCTTCGGGCCAAGGAGATGCAGTATCGCATCAAAGGAGGGAGTTCCTTGAATTCCTCCGTTGCTCTCTTGGAACCTTGGTAAAGTCGTGCAACTTCATCATTGACAATAGTGACTTGAGCATGAATACGGTCATGTCTGGAACTGCGGCTGTTGGCTGTTTGCTCCTTCAGCTCATTGACAAGGGTTTGAACAGTGTCCAAGAGACGTCTGGTTTGGATGTTGAAGCCTGCCACGCCAATGACATCAGGTTTACGGTGGCTGATGAGGTCCATAAGTTGCTGCCGGCTGGTATCATCTTTTAGATTGGGGAGTCGTAGCTGGTCTGCGAGACGACCATATTGGTTTACAAATACAACCATCACTGAGTCTTTTTGATCGCCATTGCCCCATGAAATAGTCATGACGCGTGGAAGAGAGTCTTCATCGACATACTGAGTTCTATATGGCTTGACGTCAACCTTCTCTTCAAGATTCTTCCAGGCCGTAAGGCAGATATGATCTTGTGCCTCAACCCGAAGCTTTTCTCGGATGCTCTTGGACATCAGAGGATTAAGGTATTCGTCCAATGCTTGCTTCAGAATGGACGATCTCTGATTGTTCCAAGCCTGCGCAGAGTCGCTATATCCATCAGACATGTAGAGTTCACTGAATTTGGCAAACCAGCGATCGAATCCACGCAGGGTAATGTCAATGGTCAACAGTCCGTCAGTTTCAGCTTTCAAAATATGCAGGAATTGGCCATCTGTAAATTTGTTGACTGGCTTTTCCAAGAGATACTTGAACGGATGCATGGGATGGAACTCATCAATGATGCGGTTACCCTTATCGGTTGGCTTGACAGACACGCAGCTTCGTGTTTCCCAATCGCGACGCACCGCTTTTCGCACTTGGGGATCAAAAGCGATTTCTTGTGCCAGCACAGCTTTGGCAGCTATAATAAAAATTTTGAACCACGCATTTTAGTAAAACCGTTGACAGCTTCAACACAGTGTCATGCATATAAATTTCGTTACCTTTAAGCACTTTTTCCGAATCTACAAAGGTTCCGTCGACAAAGTTGGAGGCATCGTCTTCGGGACCGGTCAAAGTATCTTCTGGATAGTGGCGTCTGGTACCATCGAGATAGTTTGCTCCAAACTCCTTGGGAGCGATGCCAAAGTGCTTTGGGGAAAAAGTCAGTATCTTCGCATACACGTCTCAAAAAAAAAGTTCTAGAAAATAGACCTACCGAAACAAAGTCCTTCACCTTGCTGTTCATGCTCATATTATACAGGGATCTATTGACAGGGCGCTTGGGACCCTTACTGTACTTTTGGCTTCGTGAAATGTCTTGTGCGTATTTTAAATTTACATAGTCAATAAGATCAGCAATTTCTTCAATCTTGTCCGACTTCTTTTCCATCTCGGTGATATATTCATCTTCAATACCCAATTTGTTGACGTATACGTGGAACGTTCGCTTGCGGTCGGCAAAACTAAAGTATTTGAAATCGTAATCATAGATTTTCCAAAGATCATCGGTCGTCAAGATCTCGCGAGTACGTCCAGTCTGCTTGTCAATATCGGTGAAGTAATCACGTCTGTGGTATACAATATATGGAACTTCCAAGAACTCTTGCGTAAAGAATTTGACGATATACTTGATAGCATTGGACTTTTCTTCTGAAGCTTGTTCTTTGCCTTCTGCAGCTGCCATTGTTTTTGAAATCCATTGACTTTCGGCTTCAACTTGCTCTTCCGTGGCTGGAGTGAAGTTACGATTCAAACCCTGGTATCGCATTTGCATACGCTCAGGGATATCACGAAGGCGAATGTCCTCATCTTCTTCTGTTAACATGCGCTCCTGCAATTCACTGGGTTCAAACACATCCTTCAATTGAGGTTCGCGTTGTTGTTCATTGTAGTTATCTTGGTCAAGTTCCTAATAAATAGATAAACATTTAGTTTGGTTTCAATATAACCATGCTTCGCGTTTTCAATTGACAAACCTGATGAGAGAACATAGCATATTCATAGTCTCCACCATCGCCAAAGATATCGTACATATCATCCAGAGCGTCTTGATCCATATCAGCAGGAAGCATTTCCAAAAGTTCACGCCGACTTTCTTTTGATTCTCGGGCGTGTTTCTCTTCGTATCTAGCTTCGTCACTTTTTCTGCCACTTCGAACAACATCCTCGAGATCATCCTCAACATCGTCGGCGATGAAATCGTTCATGTCGTCGTATTCTCGTCTGTATCGGTTTCTGGAGGTGAATTCTTCTTCCCGAGCACGATCGCGTTTATCTCGTCTGGTGTAGGTGTCTCGATCTGCTGCTTCTTCAGCTTCTTCGTCCGAGAAGAAGTTCTTCATATCAGTATCAGAGCGTTGGGATCGAGCTTCTTGCCTTCCTCGTTTCAAGCGCTTCAATTGAGGCTGCACATGCAATAAGAATATTGTTTAGTTTACTGCCTCAATTCGATTTGCTGTCCTAAGTCTGAGAAAAATAATAAAACGACTGCTTACGCCTTCATTCCTAGCAAGCTTAATGCCCATATTTTCTTCTAGAAGTGCAAGATCTTCTTCGTCAAGTGAATCGCTATCGTCTTCAGTGACTAATCGAGAAATCAGTAACGGCGAAAAGATCTTTTACAATCAGCAATGGTAGTAGGCGTCATTTTTACCTTGATGGACCTTCTTTCGCTTCTTGCGCTTAGAAGTTACTGCTTGGTCGGAACCACTGTCTTCTTCTTCTTCGTCATCGACAATAAAACCTTCAGCAATCTATATGATCGAGGTTCAGAATGATATTAGCAAGGAATGTTGCGAGGATTCACGAGCATTCTCGCTGGGGTTCGATGTTCACCTTGCGGGCTTCCTCTTCGTCTTCGTCTTCTTCTTCCTCTTCGTCATCAGAATCAGAAGGGCGATTGACGTCTTCTCCCATTTCTTCTTCTTCCTCGTCTTGATCGTCGTCAAAGAATCTCTTTTCTTCGTTCTCAAGATCCGACATGTCGATGCTGAAGTTTTGAAACCTGAATCTTTTGGGTACAACAAGGTCCAACTTGGTGTTAGCAGATGAATAATGAAGTCACAAAACGAAGAAATTGACTTTGCTCATCCATTTTCATTTCCGACTCCATTTTGCTCTCTCACATACCGCCAAACAGTAGCTTCTACGATGTATATCAATGTATTTGTAACCCAAATCCTCACCGTTCCATGGAGAGTTATCAATTTCAGATTACTGCTTTGAATATAACTACATATACCCAGGTATAACTACATGTTACTACTTTAATTTACCTCTGGATTTAGCTATACGTGTTATTTTGCTCTATACCCACATGCATTTAAATCAAACATCTGTCTCACTATCACCGAGTGGATCTAAGTAAATCTATTGGTATAATTTGGCGATCAGCTGCAGAGTGGACACCGCATCCAGTGGGCTCATCTAAAAGGGAACTGCTTTATAGGCTCAACTCGATTATACTTCACACAAATAATCATGCACATCTCAACATTGCAGATATCGACTTAAGAAACCTAAGGCAAGGTGAACAAACTTAGCGTTCACAATGGCTGTGGTAGGCTAAAGATAGCCTTGCCTGGCAGACGGAGATGGCGCTATCAACTGACAGCGAGGTACAAAAGTCTTGTTACATGGCACAGGAAACCCTACAGATAGCTATAAATCTCATTTACACTACAGACTTTTAGGTATGCTATCATACAAAGTTGCTCAATGAGATTTCCAGAACTCCAGATGGTCCGCTACGATATCATCTTCAAGCTCCGGATAAGGGCCAAAGACTTGAACTTCTCTCTGTCCTGCGGAAAATACCTAGATAATAAAAATGTGAGAATCCACAAAACGCCATTTGTAAATAGGAACTAAATAAAAAATGGAGAAAAAGTCACGTACTTGGCGACAATCCATGCTCATAGTGGGATTCGCGTCGTGGTTTCCGGTAATGGAAAGCAATCTTTTTTCAGTGGCGCCGAAAACAACACCTCCGATGCCAGCCCTATTGGGGACATTGATTAGCACAAGCTTCTCCCGCACGCATCCGTATAGAGATAAATTTACCAATAGCATGTACCAGCACACATGGCGCATGGTTCGAAAGAAGTGTACAAAGTACAACGGTTCAGATAAGATTGAGAATAATTGGAGACTAAGGGGTGCATGGAAACTGTTAATAGCTGCTATTAATTCAAAATTGTAAATATGAAAGTATAACTTACAAACTGTACGTGCAACCGTACTCTCTGCATGATTGACAGTATCAATGTTGCCTTGCTCAGCAATCACATTGCCTTCTGGACCCACTACAATACTGCCAAAAGGATGGCGACCAAGGGCCTTAGCACGGGCAGCGACTTCGATGGTTCGCTTGAGGTTCTTGATGATTTCATCATGGCTAGGGGCAGTGTACATTTTTGAAGGTATAATCTGAAAAGAAGAGCTATAAAGACCCGATGGTTTAGGGTGGCGATGATATATATAGTTTTGGATTGTGCGTGGGAGCGGAAATTACGGCAAGACACAGAATTCACGTTGAAAAGTCTTTGAGTATGTTAATCTCTAGAACGTGTCGTTGTTATCTAGAGAATACACTTATATATGATGACGAGGTATAAAACTCAGGTTTATATCAGAGTTTGGTGTATCTGGCTCATGGTGCCGGTATTCCGCTATCTTTTGTGGTACTAAGCGGGGAAAATAAATACTCTCCAGCCATTAAATTATGTCTTATCAAAAACGCTACTGAGCGGGGTATTTCCGATCAAGCGGGTTGCCAAACGTACGGTTATTGCTAGCTACTTATCTATCTGTCTGACGGGTATAACATTAATGACTGAAGATATGCCATTGGTGATTCCCAATATGGGCATATAATCTTTCGAAAAGATAACGTGAATCTGTTTGATGCTAGTGGTATAAATAGGCGGCTCTACTGATCTATCGCTCTTCACTAAATACTACATAATCCAAACCCGATGGATCCTGAAAAGCATTACGAATACAAGGATGAAGAGGTCGCCACCACAGGCGATGTCAGTTTCGAAACTGCTTCAGCCGAAGAAAATGCCCTTCACATAGAGATTCAGGGTACGTATCTCCTCACAACTTTCCCCTTGTTGACCATACAGTATAATAACCTTCATTGCTTTAAGGTATCAAGCCAGTACCCGAATCACAACGTACACACACTCGTATTACCGATAACTTCACCCTCTGGTTCTCCGTCAACACAACACTTGCCAATCTTGCCATTGGTGCTCTTGCCATACCCGTCTTTGGTCTCGGTTTTTGGGACAGTTTCTCCGTTATTTTGGTCTGCAATATCATTGCTGTCGCTCCAGGTGAGTCAATGGTGATGGTGAAAACAAAAAAAAAGGTGTGTAATAATCTAATAAATTTATCATTAGGTGCTTTCTTCGTAACATTTGGACCAAGATACGGAATGAGGCAAATGATCATTTCACGGTTCAGTTTCGGTATTTATGGAGGCATGTTTGCAGCACTTGTCAACGTCGTTGTTTGTATCGGCTGGTCCGTGATCAACGCCATTTTGGCTGCACAGTTATTGACATCTGTCAGCAATGGCAAACTTCCTGTGTGGGCTGCTATTATCCTTCTTTCCTTCATCACTGTTATTATCGCCGTATTCGGATATCGCATTGTCCATCACTATGAACGCTTCTCTTGGATCCCTATGTGGATTATCTTCTTTATTATCCTCGGTGAAGCTGCCCACCATATGACAATCACACCCATTACTGCAGTAGGTGCAACCGAAGCTGGTAACTGGTTGTCGTTTGCCGCAACTGTAGTTGGTTATAACCCTGGCTGGGTCACTTGCGCTGCTGATTATTCTGTCAACCAGGTATGCATTCTATTTGAAATTTTATCAATATTGGAACAAAGGAGTTTTTTTTCTGATTTTCTAACAAATGATTTCTTTCTTTTTTTTATAGCCAGCTTCATTTGATCGACGTGTTGTCTTCATTTTGGCTTTCCTCGGTTCTTTCATTCCCTCTGTACTCCTTCAAACACTTGGTGTGGGTCTTACAACCGGATTTGCCAGCAATCCTTCATGGGCAGCTGCATGGGACGCCAATTCCACTGGTGGTTTAGTTGGAGAGGTTCTTAGTCCTCTTGGTGCATTCGGAAAGTTTCTTTTGGTTCTTTTGGCCCTTGGTATCATCGCATGCAATGTCCCCAACGGATACAGTGTTGCCTTGTCTTTCCAAGTCATCTCCTCGTCTTTGGTCAAGGTCCCACAATGGACTTGGACGATTCTCGGCTGCATTGTTTACACCATCATTGCATGCTTTGGTGCCGACCACTTTTCTGATATCCTGGAAAATTTCTTGTTGATTCTTGCTTACTACGTTGCTCCTTACGCTGTCGTCATCCTCTTGGAACACATTGTCTTCCGCAAGAAGGGCACTACTTATAACCTTGAGGACTGGAATGATCAGAGCAAGCTCCCAATCGGTGTTGCTGCTGTTGGTGCCGTTATAATTGGTTTTGGATTCGCTTTGCTCGGTATGAGCCAAGTTTGGCTCGTTGGCCCAATTGCCAAAAAGATTGGTGATTACGGTGGTGACGTTGGCTTTGAATTGGCTATTGCCATGTCAGCCTTGTCGTACCTTGCACTACGATCCATTGAGCGTCACTTTGTTGGCCGCTAAACACTGTAATTTACTACCCTTCTGTAATATTTTCACCCCACCTTATAGTAGTTTAATTTTCAAAATCATTATGCCCTCAGCCCGTATATAAAATCTCAAAGCTGAACACATAACTTGCAATTAGCCTGACGTCTTAAAATGATAATGCAACTATTTAGGAAAGCCTTTCATTACATTTTTTCATTTTACGAATGTCGTACTAAGTATGCTTGCAGACAACATACTAAAAAGAGGTCAAAACAAATTCTCTTATAGTTATCAAACATTTGGGAGGACCAGAAATGACTGCAGATCTTGGATGATAGGTTATCGAATCAATCAGTGGACAGAATAGGCTTTTTGATTAATCCCATTATGAAAAGCAAGGACTGTTCACACGCTTTTTGCGAGTAGTTTGTTGGATATAATTTTCCGTGGTCTTCATTACGTTATATTATTGGGGAAATTTTTTCCTCTCAGCGATCATTCTAATGCTGAGAGAAAGCAACAGTTTGTCCCTAAGAAATTTTTTGATTGATTACCGCATTTAATTTGATAGTTGTGAAGTGAATATGTGCACATATCAATAATTAGTGAGCCTAGAAATAAGATTGGTATACTCTTTCTCTCTTGCTACAACATGATCAAGACCTCGAAGGATATTGACGAAGGGGTGCATAGAATGGAACGTAAAAAGATGGCTACATCTTTAATAACATTGAGCAAACCTCCCAGCTGTGACAGTGATGGAATACTTTGCGACTTACCAAAATCTAAAGGCGAGCTCGATCTTGAACACCTCCTATTTCGACACGACTCACATTCATCAGTCAACTTACTGGATAAAGCACCAGCTACACCATCTTCGAAAGATGTGAGATTGTACGCCAGTAACACCGTCAAAAAGTTTAAAGCAGACGTAACACCAAAGGATTTCTCCAAACTTGGCATGCTAGGACGAGGAGATGTGGGAAAAGTGTACCTCGTCCGTAAGAAAGAGAACTCACGTCTGTTGGCAATGAAAGTTTTATCCAAGCAAGACATGATCAAGCGAAAAAAAGTAGATCGAGTGCTGATGGAGCAGAGGATACTATTGAAGATGAACCACCCTTTCCTAGTTACACTTCACTATACATTTCAAACCAGCACGCATCTTTATTTCTGCATGGAATACTGCCCAGGTGGCGAATTCTTCAAAGGTAAGTCTATTGAACAAAAGGAAGCTCAAAACACCAGTCCATGGTTTTTTAATCTTGTCACGAATCCGGTATCGTTTTCCTACCAGCACTTCAATCACAGCCTGGAAAGTGTCTTTCTGAAGCAGATGCACGCTTCTACACGGCAGAAGTCATTTTAGCGCTCGAATATTTGCATTTAATGGGCTTTATTTACAGAGACTTGAAACCAGAAAGTATGGCGCAGTATTGATCTATATGAGGGTGCAAAAAGGAAATAATTATTCACACTTTCATTTTACAATATATAGATGTTCTTTTACGGGAATCTGGACACATCGTTTTGAGCGACTTTGATCTAGCGAAGAATGATGTTTTTGGATATCCAACGTTACAAAAAGGCACGCAGCGAGGAAAGGTAAGCAAGCACGTTGGACCCAATAACGTTATCATGCATATATGCTGAGAATAAATTTGTGACAGCATCCCCGCCTGAACACGCGCTCTTGTGTTCAAACATTGCGCACGAACTCTTTTGTCGGGACGGAGGAATACATTGCGCCTGAAATAGTCGTAGGTCAATACCATGATAGTTCCGTGGATTGGTGGACACTGGGTATATTTGTGTACGAGATGCTGGTAAGCACGTATTCTGAATGCCTATTCACACGAATTGTTGTTAACACAACTATCCTAGTATGCAACTACTCCTTTCAAAGGCAGTTCTAGAAACAAAACATTTCATAATATACTCATGTTGCCGCTGTCGCTTCCACCAACCACCGTCAGTACATCAAAAGGCTATTTCCAATCCCAACCTCGAATGATTTCCGGCCAATGTAAATCGTTCCTGGGCGGATTGCTAACCAAGGATCCAAGACGTAGACTAGGGCATCGGACGGGAGCGGGAGATGTTCGAGCACACAAATGGTTCCGTGACATCAATTTTGCCCTACTTAGAAATACAAAGCCGCCACTCCAGCCTAAATGCTGTGATTATGCAATTCACACGCCGACTAGTAGCTTTGAATGCAGTCTTCCACTTTACGACAAAGAAGCTCGGATCCCTCCTGACGAGGCGGACCCGTTTGACAAATTTTGCTCCGGTAATGAGGCGGTAGTCGTATGCACGAAAAATAATTTTCTTTGGTCACTAACTCTTCTTGCAATTGCAGTAACCATTCACTGGAACTAAAAGTTCAAGACGTTCGCTATGAACATGGGTCTCAATAAAATTGTATACTTCTAGCACATCGCTTCCAAGTGACTCACACTGTGGCTTGCTGTCCAGTTTTTTCGGCAGCTGCGGTGACCGGGATCGAGTGATGAAATTTTTTTATTTATTTATTTTTTTTCAATTTGGCTTGCTGCGCACCTGGTATCCGGTCAATGCTTAGGGAATTTTAAACAAAGTGTGTTTTATATAAGAGTCTGCAGTGATTTTTAAACACCATAATTAAAACAACATGTCTTCATTTTTAACGAAACTTCGTGTATCAATCACTCTTTGGATCTTTTGGGTTTTGCTCTCTATCAGGAACCTTCACATTGCAAGAGCTGTTTTCCGCGCCGCTACCAAGCCTACATCCTCGCAAAAGCTATGGATGGTAGCAGATCCACAGGAAAAAACTTGCATGTGGGTCTTGGAAGGAGCTGCCTCGCTCAAGCAGGAAGAGCTCTATGATCGTATCAAAATGGCCGATGTAGTGCTGGTTTGGGTTCATGGTTAGTTGATCACTTGTGTAGACCAAAGTTGATGAGTAAAACCTAACACTCTCTTGAACATCTTAGGTGGCGCCATGGTTTTTGGTTCCGCCGATCAGAACATGACACCTTTTATTAACTGGATCAAGCTATTCAAAGAGAAGAAGAGTCTTAATATTGTCATCTGTGGCGTGGAATACCGTAAGTGTGATATGGGAACTTGAAAAAGGCTTCTATATTGTTCGATTTTCTCATCTCAGCTTTTTCAATACTACAGGCTTGGCACCCGAAAATCCTGTACCTGCACAATATGAGGATGTAGCGACCGCCTATACTCATATTGTTAAAGACTTGGGTATTTCAACGACAAAGATTATTTTAGGTATGTTTTTCTCTTCTAGCTTGTATGGGTATTATAGATACAGGTTCTCATTATTTGTTGATTTCAGGTGGTGACAGTGCGGGTAGCTTGTTGGGCCCTGAAGCTATTATATACTCTAGAGCATTCAACCATCTATTACCAAATAATGGATACCAACTACCAATACCTGCTGGATACGTCCTTTCATCACCAGTTGCCGGAGTCATGGATCCCTGCCCCTCCGTGGAAGAAAACAAACACAAAGATTACAACCCAACATCTCTGAACTACCTTGCTTCATATGTTGCTAATGCACCAAGCGACTTTCAACCAAAACCATGGGTATTGCTCAATGATGATTACAATCTCAGTGTCAATGCTGCAAAGCGTGCTCTGGTCTTCGTTGGTGGTCATGAAACTTCCCGTGATGAGAATATTCTTATTGCCAAGAGATTCAGTGACGGTGGTGTCGATACCACTGTAATTACGGAACAATACCCACATAACTGGTTCTTACTCGGTCCTTCTGTTGTTGACGAACCCAGTGTGAACGAAAAGGCTGACGAAACGTTTGCAAATTGGGTGATCGAAAGTATTACCAGAGACTAAGCTACCATATTCCTGATTTCCTTGCTGTATTTTACATTATTTGTTACTCCATGCACTACATTATTTCCACTCGAACACACTCGCAATGAGGTGATGTTCACATTTTTATTTTCAATAAATCCAATGTTAATACCCTCATCAGTCTCAATGAAATTCAAAAGACAACTGAAATACGGATCAGATAGCCTACATTTTTACCGACTCCTAATTGAAAACTCCAACAGAAAACATCGATGAAACATGTAGTGCAACGTAAACGACACATTTTGATGATGAGTGTACAATCTATGGGTGATCCAAGCTCATTACAATTTCACAATCACGTATAAAGCATCCTAACGCCGTGCTCAGTCTGCACAAGGTGACTCCTAAATCACTTCTATGTTTCGTATGGACTTTGCGTGTCGACGCCGCCTGAAACGTATATCTCTACGACGCCTTCGTTACAGAAAAATATGTGCCACTTTCGAAGTGTCAGATTATTGCAAGCTAGATGTTGCGAAGAATACCCGTAAAGGTGACTGTGGGAACTGATGAATAATTCACAAGTCAAATGGCCCTTATTTGCGACGCCAAATACCGTGACGGTGTGCCTAAAACATGCAAAGTTTCATGCTACCGCTGGATAGTCAGGTTGGAGAGTGAAAGATGAATTATCTGAAATTTTGTAAGATTACCGTCTTGTATGCTGGCTATAGTTTATTATGGTTTCTGTTCGAAGATGGAGGAGTAGCGACTAGGAAATGCATCAGTGTGCGTCAGTGTGTGGACTGGTCATGCAGCATGGACAGAAACGTATTTGGCAATATCCATGGAAACCGACTTGTCTGTTGGAAAAAGTCACCGTTGTTTACTCAAGACATGCTTTTTTCAAGCATGGTGATTTTGCTCCCAACAAAATACTAGCCGATTCGATACCACATTACGTTCTCAGGGTAGTAGGATTGCGCAACTTTGTGTAGAGTTGTGGCCTGAAAACCAGCTTTTTCGTACCAACGTGTCCTGTAGATCAGTATTATGCCATCAGTATGCTACTTTTCTGCGTGACATGAGCAAGGCCAATATAACATAGTATATTGATGCATATACCGGTAAATAGAAAAAATGTTGTGGTATAGTCAATACCAAGGGCGACACGGAAAGACTGCGGTTCAGGTCTCAAATCTTTTGTCTGTATGGGGTCAGGTTGCACACAGGAGCAGCATGCGTAGATTTTTCAGCAGGAAGATCTAAAAGGGAAGTATTATAATGATGGCGCAGCCATCGGTGTTCTTCAAAGAAAATGGCGTATCAGTAGCCTTGGTACCATCACTCATTGTTGTTCTAGTCGCCGGTGAAGAGAAAAGTATATATTTGGCAGTGAAATCTTTATTGAAGTGCCATCAACAATCAAGATATCATTTCAATGGCTATCACATCCTACGACTTTCTCTACTTTGAACTTCACGGACTCTCGAGAGTATGCAGAATCATGCTCGATCTAAGCGGTGTCGAGTGGACCGACACATATGCTAAGGTAAGCTATTACATAGTGAAAATTTTGTGGGAACATCTGGAAATACCAATTAACATAACTATCTCTGGGTAGAATTGGGATGAACAAAGAGACTCAACTCCATTTCTTCGTCTACCTGTCCTGAAAGAATTTCACGATGACGGAACAACGGTATAAACCTTGTAGGTTGATCCAATTGTGCGCAAATTGCTAATGCTTTAAGTCACCTTAGTTTTCAATGGCTGAAAGTCATGCCATCTGTCGATACCTGGCCAAACAGTATGGTTACCTTGGTAATCATCCTCATGAGTCTGCTCTCATTGATATGTACTATGAGAGTTGGAATGAGGTTTCTCTAAAGTACCACTACGTTAAGTACAGATTGATGAAGCTGGTTCCTACTGAGCTGGTCGACAAGGATAAGGAATATTGGCGTGACAACTTTCTTCTACCTATCCTCTCAAAGCATGAGGAGGCCCTGGCTAAAAACGGCACAGGTTTTTATGTTGGGGACAAGGTTAGACTACCAATAATAATTAGGCAATTGATAGAAAGCTTATTTTTCATACTAACTTTGCTATACGTAGATGACATTGGCTGACATTGCTGCAGCTGTTCACCTTCCAGTGTTGAACTACCAAGGTGTCATTACTAAGGAAACACACCCAAATCTAGTTGCACTTTCGGAAAAGCTGAATTCAGCTGATCCGTTCCTGTCTCGTAAGAACAACTTCATGAAAAACTAGGTGCCTTGTTCACGTATGGCAAGGGTTTGACGCCGATCCTTTGTTTGAGCGCTATTTTACTTGTAGTTTCGGCCACCTAGTGCAATTGAATGCTTATCAATAAATGTCTATGTGCTATTAAGTATCAGTTTGAGTAAAATGCATAATGCTTTTTAAAAGTTACTTCTCAGTACAAAGTATAGAAAAATAGACTTAGGGGAGGGGGGATTAAAGATTTCTGTGAGCCAGCCTGAACAAGAATTTTGAATGTGCAGTCACATTATCGAAAAACATCAACAAAAAATTAAATGTGTTGACTTTCAAGTCAACTTTGGGTTTTGATTACCTTGACACACACCACACACATCTTTTTCCATAATGCGAACAAAGCCAGCGTTTTCACTCTCTCGTAAGCTCCTCCGCATGAGCTGGAACAAATACAATTTGTACAACGTCGCCACACGAGAGAAGGCGCCCAATCTTGCAACGAAAACTCTTTTCCAGCAAAAGTGGATTGCAAAGCGAGAAACGAGAGCATACCACGGTGACGAAATGACCGAAAAACAGTTCAAGAGAGTCTTCAACCCAAAGCTCCCCACTGTCAGTAACATGTTCTCCACGGGGAAAGACAGCGAGCATCCCCCAGTCGCTGTCCTTACTTTTGCCGAATTGGAGAGACGTTTGGATTTCATTGTGTTTAGAAGCAACTTTGCTCCTAGCATTGCCGCTGCCCGCCAACTTGTCATTCATGGAAAGGTCAACTTGAACGGAAAAAAGGTAAGAAAGCATTTGAGTGAAAATAATTAGGTGTCACGAAGTTTTTGCTCATTGTATACCTTCCCCTGTCGTAGATGCCATATCCCTCTCACCGGGCCAAGGATGGCGACGTTATTTCAGTCGACCCCAATGCCATTAGCACTCTCAAGGGTGAAGTAGGAACTGAATTAGATTTCACTCCTAAGCCTTTTTCACAACCTTTCTTGTTCGTCCCTGAATATCTTGAGGTCAACTACAAAACTTGTTCCTCGGTCTTTTTGAGAGCTCCCATTTCCCGACCAGGACGCACTGAGATCCCATCACCATTTCCCGCCGAGTTGCACGCTCTTGCATACGAATACTATGCACGATCCAAGTAATCTCTCATATCCTCATCACGCTACTCACCAGTTCGCTTGTTCAGTGACAGGCTATTTGTAATTGTAAAGAGGTGTTAATTTTGTCTGTCAGCATGTACAAATCTAGAGAGACACCGAACAAAATCAATAATAAAAAGAGAATATAATGAAGTTTATATGCAAATGATGTAGAGTAGTGTTACATGAAGGATTACAAGTGGAGATTTGAAAGCTGATGGATGGATGGCATGAATGCTATAAAAAGAGCCATAGCAAGGAAAAAGGTTGTAAATTACATGGATATGTCTAAATGGATGAATGTTATAGATAAAATGTCATTTTGCACACACACTATCGATCCCGACTATCCTCACGTCCTCGACTACGTGGCAAAGCTTGTTGGGCAAGAGACAAGGATTTCTCCCACTCTAATCTGTCCTCTCTAGACGGCGTCCTCTTTTCAAAGGTATTGTTCAACAAAAATTCGTAGCCAGCGGCAACCCATTGAGCCAAAAGTGCATGCTTTTCGCTTGACACCTTCTTGGCTGCTGTGCGCCAACGTTGTGACTCCACACTTCTGAGCGCCGTTTCATACATCTCTCTCTTGTCATCCAACGATGGAGCAGCCGAAACGGAGGCTCGAGTGATTCGCATAATCTCCACGCAAGATCTGCTAGACAGTTGCAAATCCTTGTCTGGGATGCCTTGTTTATAACGCCGTCTCACTTCACTCGCATGTTGGTTGAGTACCATGGAAAGCTTTTGCCAAACCATGGGATCCTTTGCATCACGACCGCTATATAGTTTTCCGCACGAACGAATGAACATGTCGAATGAGGAAGCGTTGGGTCGCAATCCCAATTCTTGCATTTTCTTAAGGTAGTCTATGGCGTCTGAATACTTTTGTTCCGAGTATCGAATGGCGATAATGGCGTTGAGAGCAGGAGTGTCTGGCTTGATTTTTCCGTACAGCTCATCAATGTATTCGTTGGCTAATCCAAATTTACGAGCCTTGTTCAGTAAAAGTAGGACAGACCGAAAAGAGACGGCGGTGGGCGACAAAATGGTACGATCTTCGTCTAGAAGCTTTGGGTTTCTTCCACGTCTGGATATCCTGAGTCCATAACACTCATCAAAAGCAGCCAATCCCATATGGTAATGCTTTGCGAGTGTGCCAGTATTCGTGACGGCATTCAGGAAGGAGGCCATAAGTTTGTCATCCACCCTCAGTGATGTAGGCCGTTTATCCTTATTCAGCACGGCCATTTGTTCTTGTGCTTTCTCCCAAATCGTAACGATCTCTTCGAACGTACCAATTTGCTGTCTTGCAAAGGCGTTGAACAAAGTGCTGTACGTGACTTTATCCGGTGAAACGTCGCTTTCCAACATCGCATCGAACAGCCTCATCATTTCCCGATGCGCTCCACAGCGCGCATACACATTGAGAAGTGCATTGAAATGAATCTTTGTAATAGAACCACTTTCTTGCATTGTGACATACAGATCGTTAGCTCGTGCGACCGAGCTTTCACTTGGATTCTTTGCCAAAGCTGTCATTAGATTCGTAAAAGTATGTTCGTTGGGATTGAAACCTCTTCGCTTCATCTGCCAAAAATAACGTCTATTAATATTTTTACTCGAGTCAATTGACAATATTCCCCCATACACATACCTCATTCAAAGTTTTGAAGGCTCCATTGCACTTGCCCTGACTCGCTTGTCCGGAAATAAGTTGATTCCAAACCACCTCGCTCTGCAACCGAATGGGAGCATTCTTGACAAGATCCATAGCCTCGTCATGCTTTCCAGTAGTGATCAGTCGAGAGACTTTATTGGATAGCAAGTAAGGATCGTCAGGTAGTTTATGAGATTTGTGCTTGCCGCCTTGCTTTGTCGCATGGGAGATGGGTTGTGTGGCTGCTGCAAATTTAGATTTAGGAGCTGCAGCACTTGAGTACTGTTGAAAAGTATTCAAAGTCGTTCGACACCATCCTGGGAATCGGCGAGCGAGCATCTCGGTAGCAATAGAAGAAAAGAAAGCTTGTTAGCTGTTAAGTTTTTGACAGTCTTAGCGGAAGATGAAGAAAAAAAAATTGCCAGCACTGGCAAAAAGTGACTCGCTCTACCGAAATTGCCAGCGCAACTTGTTGAAGCAAACACAGGCAATTCTCAGCAACTTTGCACCCGTTGATGCCCAAGTTTTTGTCAACAGCCCTGAAAGAATAGCCCTCATCTTCAGCCAGTGACGGATGTACACTTGGAAATGCTAGAGATTCTCCTAAATACAATGAGATAAATTCACAGAGCTTGTTGATTGAATCTTGCTGGCCATAAGAGTTTTCTAGAAGTCAAGCGATGGGTTTTCATATGGCTTTGTGGTGGAGAGGAGAGCTTGGGTATTGACCGTGATTACTGAAGTGGGAGGATGCCTAAAAAGGATAATACTGCTGACACTCAATCCGAGCTACTTTGTGCTTTCTTTTAAGTCTGCGTCCAAAAAATAATCTGGAATTGAACACGGTTTCTTTCACTCTTAACAATGGGTTTAACTGTCTTTGCTCGTATCCGTCTTTTCGTAGTCGTTCGCTTTCTGCGATTGGTCTTTGGGGCCATGAGCAGTAAGCGAGCTCTTCGTATCATGAATGTTGCTACCAAACCAAAGGGGTGGCAGCACAGCTGGATGCAACTGGAACCAAAGACTCGCTCATACTTTGTTGGTAGAAATATTGCCAGCCAGTCCAAAGAAGAAATCAAGATGCGTATGAAGAACGCCAACGTTGTGATCTTCTATATCCATGGTATGTGCAGGAGTGGCGTGTTATATGAAACAGTGAAAAGACAAGCCAGGTTTTAATACCCATCATAGGTGGCGGTTTCAGAGTAGGCAGCGCAACAATGTACATGACTGCGTTCGTTCGATGGATCAAAGCACTTGAGGAACAGGGATTGAGCTGTGTTATTTACTCTGCTGAGTACCGTAAGTTTTTAAGGACGGTTAAGGGCAACTCAAGGAAGATCTTGGCTAAGATGCTATTTTAACTATGCAAACAGGACTTGCCCCAGACCACCGCTTCCCTGCCGCACCATTAGATTGTATTGAATGCTACCGAAGCGTCATTGAAGACTATGGAGTCGACCCCAAAAAGATCGTCATGGGTAATTTATCTTCATACTTGGTTTCCCCACAAAGCCATTTGAGAAATTTTACACTAATACGCATATTTCAGGTGGAGACTCAGCCGGTGGTACACTCTCTTTGGAAACTTTGTATCACACACATCCTGACATTCAAAGCACCTTCAACAAGGTCAAGCTTCCTCGTCCAGGCGGTCTGCTCATGGTATCTCCCTATACAGGAGATGACCAATACGAAGAAACAGCGTCGTCTCAAGCTAATCTTTCCCACGACTACATTTCTCTGGCTACGAAGGAGAAGATGGCTGAATACCTCCCCTTAACCAAAGACCATAGGCCCTATACCTACCTTGATTTGAGCGTAAACTACGCACAAATTCTTCCCCATATTGTTTGCGTTGCTGTCGGTGGCAAAGAAGTTCTGCTTGATGCAGGATTACAATTTGCTAAGCGATGCCGCGAAGCTAATCTCAAGGTTACTCTGGTTCGCGAAGATTCTGTTCACGACTACTTTATGCTGGGATACCTTTTCACAAGCGATAAGAATGTTGTAAAGCGAGCAGTGTCAAGCGTTGTCGATCTGGCACAGGCGGTGATCGATAGACATAAAATCGAGAATTAAGAAATGCTGAATAAATATGACATATTTATTATATTACAAGCAATCTGGACAATATATAATCGTCCTTGAAAGAGAGTCATAAGCCAATGAGTACCGTGTTCAATTCTAACAAATCATGACTATGAGAAATGCAGGGGTTTATTGTTGGTTCAATGATTAACGTACGAAAATTTAGTAGGATGAAGAGGGGGTTCAATCTCATATGGTATAAGTCTATGAATCCATTGATGCAAAATGATGGATGGCGTGAATCGCCATAAGACATCTAATGGTTTTAGTTTTCGTGCAATTTCTTGGACTTTGCTTCTAACGCCTGATGCGCCTCGGCTAACATTTGATCAAAAGTAGGTTTGAATCGTCGGCACACTTCGTTGACAGCGCCGGGATAAGCAGCGGACTCGTCACCGAGGATAGCCAAAGCAACCTTATTGTTGTAGCTGACCAAACCCATACCGATACTACCCTTTGAATTCTGTGGTGGCATGACTCGGTAATCCTTGATTTCTTGACCAGCAAACTTGATTGCCTTTCGTGGACCGGGAACATTAGTAAATACACCATGAATCTTCGTCACTTGGAAACTGATAATCCAGCTCGGTACTAAGGCGGGAAGGACCAAAAAGATGCTACCCAGGATATAAAGTAAATAAGGTATGAAGTCGATTTTGAAGATTTGCATTTGTTGACGAATAGATCGAACAAGAGATTTAGTTGACATATCTTCCATGGGGAAGTAGACAAAGGAGCCAGAAACAACATTTTGGAATCTAAAGGTAGCAAACGTAAAATTAGTCATCGTTCAAATGTGCGAGCGGTTGGAAAAAAAAAAATTAATGCCCTACCTTCTATCATCTGGTGCTCTTAATGACTTGGGTATAAGCATCCATAGTTCTTTATCTTGACGACCTTTCGGGCATTCGTCCAAGTAAGATTTGACGCAACGAGTGATAACGGCGCACATGACATCATTCAGAGTTCCCGAAAACGCTTTTCTAACCACTGCGATATCCGCCATCGATACATCTTCAGACCATGCGATTGTTTTGGTAAATACATGAGGACCTTCATAAAGGAAATCTCTTCGCCAGTGGGTTGGGGCGAGCATACACGCTGCTAGTTTAGCATTTCGAAGCAAAACAAGAATATATCCCACCATCATGGTCAAGATCAGCGTCAGGGTAGCGAAGAGTTGAATGACCCAAGGCTGAGTTTTCTTCTGGTAGTGTGGTGGCAAATGTCGAAGGATCGGGACGTCTTTGCAGTCAGGTACTCGTCGGAAATCTTCAATGTACTTCTTCTTTGCCTCCTCTATCATTTCATCGAGTTCGTTGCTACCCGATGTACAAGCGAGCAAAGCACGTACATAGCCTTGTCCGTCAGCCATGCAGTGATGAGCTTTCCAGAAGCAGGCTGATCCACCATTAGGCAGGCCATTGATGATATACAACAGCCATAAGGGCTTTTCAGGGTCGAACGGAATTGAAATTTTTCGAGAAACGAATTCTTGTAAACATTGATGCGTTGGCTCTTCGAGGGTGGCCATCTCGATGTGATTGGAGACACTCCAGTTTTCTACGAACTGCCACCGGGCGGTATGAAAAATGGAGTTTCGCTCAACTGGGATTTGTCGGAATCTCGGAAATAACTCGGCCATCCTCTCTAATTGTTGGAGGGCGAGTACAATGCTGAGCGGCTTATCAAACGTCCAAAGGGTGGAGACGGTCATCAAGCGAGGGGGAAGCTCAATGTGAAGAAATAGGTTGTCCATTCCTCGCAAGTGGACTTCTGGGGATGGCGATACTGGTGTGGCCATTGTAGAGATAAAAGCAAAGCAAAGTGAAAACTCAACCGATAAATTTTCGGGGCGGTAATAAATAGATTTCGGGATGATAAAATTGAGACCATAAACGTAATATTTCACATGACAATTGTCAAGCTCGCCGCTCTGACAAACAATCTTACCGCGAGAGCAGGGTTCATGCCCAGTCATTATAACTACTCCAAATTCGTACGAAAACACCTATCTAATACAACTCTACTTTGGATCATTATCGATGAAAATCTCCTCCGCTTCCTATCCGATGCACGTGTCATCAACGAAACGCTACCATCGTCTCTTGCCATCTCGGCCTACAGAAACAAGCGGGGTAAAACGAATGCAACAGCTACCTGAGTTCAGATTCATGCCCTGAACAAAATAAAGTGATCGTCGTTTGTTTCAAGTTTTCTCGCTGTACAAGATAGGAGGCTACACTTTGATTACATGAGTTTGCCCCGAGTGACAACCTTATCAGTGCAGCACAATGTTTGATACGGACCTGCCTCATTTGATCTATTTTGTTGTTGAGATGGTTTTTGGGATATGTTTTCTACATCCTGCTGTAAAGGGTCGTGCGAGGGCACTGTGGCGTGCCCTTGAGCATAGTCCGTGCCCTCACGGGTGTTCAAAAGAGGAAGTTCTCACTGACAAAATCGAGACGCACGTTATTGCCTTCTTTGCACGTCGCTTTTCCCTTCCTGGAAAGTGTAGCTTAAATTTGGCTTTGTCATGGAGAATGTTCTATAGGCCAAACTATTCAAAGAGGGAATTACACGCTTCCATATTGTTAGTTAACGTTTCCCACTTATCTTATATATTCATTGTCGTAAGCATCTCATCCGATCTTCCCAACCTCACATATGATTCTTCTTTTGCTGAGAATTTACCCCCACATTTTGGACTTTTTTCTTGCAAATAGTGCGTATCTGGTAAATTGACGAAATAATAGTCTATAAGTTGAGATTATTTCAATATCACTCTGAAAGACTGAATAGTAAAGTATGTTGTGTAGCTCAATGTCTGTCATTTAACCATCATAGGCGATTCTGTTTCCAGTAGCATTTGGTGATCATCGTTACTTAACTGGCCATGATTCCCAGCATATGCTTCGGCCAAATACTTTCCCAAAGTAGTATAATTCGCTGACAGTATGATATCAGAGTCCTCTCAGTTGTCGTGATCTTCCCTCTGGAATCCAGATAGTCTGTTCCAGTTCTGACACTGTCGATCCGGTACGTTTTGGCATACTGAATATACGCCGTTATAGACAGTAGCTTAAATTAATGTAAAGCTCGATCGACAAGCTACCTGCAGTGACAATTATGCAGCACATACAAGCGATTTTGGACAAATTAGTGGAAAGGGAGTGCTTAAACAATTAGAAGAAGATTTATCGTCTGTTGTGGAAGAATTTAACTGCAACATACTTCATTCTACGATATAGCTAAAATTAAGTGTGAAACGACAATGAATGGTCCCATGAGCATTGAGTGAATGCACAATTTGTCAGAGGCTTAGATATTCACTCATGAAATTGTAGCATCGAACAAAACGAGCCGTCTTGTCCTACTCTATTGCATATCGTATAAAACCAGCATTTACATAGCAGCGAGTTGATTAATTATCAGACATCTGTAGGTACATATTTCAGTTTTATTTTCAAAGAATAGTAGGAGGCGCCATCAACAGCTATAGGAAGAACGATAAAACAAATCAAGTATTAGTGCTATAGATTGCTATGATGTATTGCTATGCATTGTTTTGACTACTCATCTTGATTTTTCTACGGAAGTGGCAAATTTATGGAGTCAAGGTAAAATGAAAAATAAATGAGTTATATATGCCAAAGTAATGAAGAGCAAGTTGATTACAATACTTACTGCGGTCCAAAGGCAAAATGTTTCAGGTTGGAAAAACGACAAGTATGTCTGGCGACATTGGGGGATGGCAAGCAAAGGCATCAGATAAGTTTATGTGATTTGTTCCAATGATGATGGAAGCTATATCAGCACTTATCATCATATGACAAGAGTAAGTGCTTTGAAAATTCCTTTGGAAAGGTAGGTCAACATATTATCAATATCTTTTTAATCTAGCATCATGTAGCTTACCGACGTCCTTAGATTAATGGTATATTAATGGTAGATTAATGAGCGGAAGCACTACTCAGATTCAGATTAGGATAAAGCCCTCATTCCATATAATGGAATCCAGCACCTATCATCATTTTCTGAGTTTGAAATCCAGTGCTGGAAGATCCTGTCAATGAAGAGGTGTCAGTTTATCAAGGATGTATGCTATCATAAAGAACTATTGAGTGCTTACCGACGTATCCCATTTGTCTTCCGCCCATTTGGAGCCACAACTCATTACAATCAACACAAGAACGGGCGACACTTGCTCAAATGTTGCACAAGTGCCGCAAACAATCTGCTATCAGCCCCAGTCTACTGCTGCCCCCTTAATGGCTACTACTGCAAGCAGAAGCAAACCAGAGGACGAGCCACTGAAAGGATTCTCTTCAAATGGTAGTTGTCTGCGATCGCACGCCTTAAGTAGCCAAGAACTGACATACTAGAGACTACCTCCCCGAGCTCATGATGTTCATGGACACCTCCTCCCTCATCAACTATGTCCAAGAACGAGTGGGTCAGCCGTACGGCAGGCTGGCTAACCAGCGAAACAACCAATATCCAATTGAATACTTTCCTCGCCACAACAGATCATCACCTGAGTGCTCTACACGTTGATGCACTCTGGAAACACCCAAATGACCGTAAAGTCATATGACAGAGTGCCCATGCCCTTGCCGTAAGAGCATGAGTTCTGCTGGATGGATGGTTGTGGCGCAGCATAGAACTGAGACCTACACACCGCCGGGAAGATTACGCATAATCACTGAGAGACCTCATAGCTTGTCCTTACAAGTACTGTAAGGGTCACTCAACCATGATCGCTACTGATCGAACGGATAACCAGTAAGAAGATCAGCAAACGACAACGACAAAGGTCCCCCAGGGCAAGCAAGCTCACCAAGGGATTCCAGAGCCACCCACTGGTTGAGAAGACACTGGCTAAGCCGACTGCAAGCAGACGGATAGATCACCAGGAGACCATACGTAACCCCGCTCCATACTCCAAACACGGATTGTCAGAACCTGTACTTCATCCGAAAACACTTTGAGCGCTCAAAAGAGAGCACACAAAAGGGAGCAGAAGCGCCGACACACCGAGCATCAACTTCTTGCGAAGCTGATCCGAGCCCGATTATGAAGGTAAGAGGGAAAGTGGCAAGGAGAAAAGGGGGTCTTGGCATTTTTTTCTTTTCTTTATGCAAACCATGGGAAAATTGTCGGCATTACAACTTTTCCTCAGCAGAGCAAACCTGTTTGCCATGGAGACTGTTGATGATGTCACGTCAATGCAAAAGATACCTTGGTACTGCTTCGAGTTGGCCGAGTGTGTGGGCTATAGTTGAAGAAGGAAGGGTAAAGGAAGCGTGATATAGATACAAGAACAATGAAACCAAGCCCTCAGGGACCAACGCGTTGCGGGGTAACACACGTGGCTGTGAACTACCGCAAACATAGTTAAATTCCTCTATTCCTCTCCTCTGCTTCTAACCTGCCTGACCTCATTTACAAGTTTACTCTCACATTTTACACTGATGATGGGAATATAGCGAATAAAATACAATTAAACAGCATTCACCTTTTCAATCAAGCCCTGAATCTTTGCAGTCGGCCAATATGGCGGCATGTCTTTCAGGGGATAAACCTTAGACGGTTGATGATCAGTGATATTCTTCTGTTACCCGGAGGTACACAGATACTGGATATAGCTAATTATATTGATAAATGGAGCCGAACAGATTTTTGCACAGAGTCGTCTGACAGATGGATGTTTCATAAACATCGTGAGATGATCACTTCACAAGGAAATGAAGTACAATGATGATTTTTCATCAACATACTACATATTTAAATTCTATATGTAGTATGTACATATGGCCCATACCAAAATATATTCATAACTGTAGGTGCTTGTTAACTGCTTTAGCAACAGGTTAAATGGTTGGGATACAACTTGGTGTAACTTGCCATCAATGAGGTGTTACTTCATGACAAATGTCACCTTCGCTGCCTAATTAAAATTGTATTCCTATTGTCCACAATACACTTGCAAGTCCATCCATCGTCGATATCTTTTCAATTAACCAACTTCGCGTTTGTTTCATTTACCAATGGATGCGAATCAGTTTCACATTGGCTGTGTCAAAAATCTCAGTGCCTTTACCAATTAGCCATCTGATCTGTGTCCGATTTGGGTTCAATTCCGATCCGACGTCCCCAAATAAACTTAGACATAAAAAAAAAAACTTTGATAAGGAGACAGTCCACTTCAACTTTGCCTTTGTACCTCAAATGGTGGAATGGAAGAGCGTCATTCGCTCACGTTTAGTGTGGAATCCACCAGTCAATGGAGATCCTCGACAATTCTCTAGATCTAGAAAATGGACTCTGGTGGCCCTGGTTGCCGTCGCCTCCATCTTGCCTGGGTTTTGCTCAACGATTATCCTCCCCGCAATAGAAGGTAAGCAATGCAGCATAAGACACATTCTGTTCACTATGTATGCTAATCAACAGCAGATATCCAAATTACCATGGGTGCCAGCTCAATTGGCGTCACTCTGGCCAACTCGTTTTATATGTTGTTCATGGGTATCGCCCCTATATTCTACAGCAGTATTTCCGACCATTACGGCATACGGCGTGTCATCTATATCGGATCGATGTTGATTTTCACAGCGGCATCGATTGGCGCAGTTTGGGTGCGCAATATTTGGGTATTGTTGGTCATGAGAATACTACAAAGTATTGGAATTTCCGCCCCTTGGTCCATCGGAGCTGGTACCATTGCCGATTTGTACGAAGTACATGAAAGAGGAACAGCACTCGGAATTATTTTTGCAGGTATGTGTTCATATCCATCTTCATGTCATGCATGTACAGTAACATGAATACTGACTGAAATGCTTTATCTAGGTCAATTCGCTGGTCCCATGGTAAACACAATGTTTTATATGCCACTATTTTTGCAAGAAGCGGACGTTAACGGATATTACATTTATATTGTAGATTGGTCCATTATTGGGAGGATTTTTGACAGAAGCAGGTGGCTGGGAAGCGATTTTCTGGCTCTTGTTTGCACTTGGTGCCGCAATGGCTGTCGTTATGTTTTTCTTTATGGAAGAGTCGTTCAGAGATGAAGAGCTGTACGCAAAACCAGTTGATATCAAATTGGGCGATGAAGCTGAAACCCCCGACATGGATGATCTAACCATCACCTATAAGAGGTCCAAAAAGATGAATCTTCTCGCTCCGTTGGTGAGTTACCAAGTGCTTTGTGTGTGCATCACTTGTGGCTTCACTGACTCTATGTTTACTTTTAGGCTCTATTGAAGCACCCATTTGTGCTTATACCTGCTATGGAAACTGGTTGGACTTTCGGATGCATGTTTGCCATTGAAAATATCCTACCGCCACTTTACACAAATGTTTATGGTTGGTCGCCTGGTGCAATCGGTCTTAGCTTTTTAAGCCCAGGTTTGGGAGAAGTAAGTTTGTGTTCTTCAGTTCAAGTGCTTGGAACGACCGTTTCGCTAATTTCTTCTTAGGTCATTGGTGCGTTCATAGGAGGAAGAATATCGGATTTCTTCTTGAATAGATCTAAAGACAAACGAGGTGGTAAAGCCGTCCCAGAAGATCGGCTTGTACCTAGTCTTTGGCCATCCGGATTCATTCTTATGCCCTTATCTATCCTTATGTTCGGATGGCCCATTGCCTTGGGGTGGAGCATCTGGTGGTCCATCATCTTCTTTGGAGTAATGTGCTTTGCCATGGTTCAGTGCTTCTCGTGCTGTGCTGCTTACCTTGTGGACACTGTTGTTGGCCGTGGTGCTTCCGTCATGTCCGCTAGCAACCTTGTACGCATGATTCTCTCCTGTGTTCTCAGTGCCATCGCCAATCCAATGATGGCCGCGGTTGGTCCAGGTTGGGTATGTGTGCTGTTCGCTGCCCTCAATTTCTTTTGGATGTTTTTGCTTGTACTTCTAAAGACGCATGGTCGTCAAATTCGTCAGTGGTCTGGTTATTAGAGATCCTTTTGGCGGCCAATGTCCTTAAACATATTCTAGATACATAGATGATAGAGCATTTAATATTGGCTTGCTCCTAATTTCTTAAATCACTTTCTAAACATAATATACCATACAGACAGAGTTCCAGCTAGCGGTGAAACGAGACAGTTCCTGATACACTAAGCCCCCCCCCAAACACTGCGTTAAGATGACGATGAAGAGAGCTTTTATTGTTGTTATGTCGATGGTCGTAAGGAAAAGATATACAATTTAGGTAAATGTGTATCATGAACTGTGTAGATCTATAAACGTACACAGTGTTCTAATGCGCATATGCTTTGGCGATTCGCTTCAAAATCTGTAGCTGGCGATGATGTCTACCCGCTGTGTTCCGAGTATCATCAGCCTTGTCACCCACATCGTCATCCGCACTAGATTTACCGACTTTCATGAGATACTCAAAATCAGAAAGCATAGACGGGGTGGCGACAGGTCCACTCGAATCGACATCCATTAGAAGGGTGGTATCTTTTAAGCGATGAGTTTGCTCAAACTGCGTTGCTGCCGAGTCAGCTTGCTCCACGATGGATTTCGGAATGCCCGCCATGTTTGCAACGTTCATACCAAATGACTTTTGACATGCACCTTCTGTAAGCTTGTACAAGAATGTGATGTCATGCTCATTTTCATCAATGTGATACGCCCTAAAAGAGTGAATATAAAGGTTAGCATATCATTCATATCAGGCACGTGTATTTTAAGTTGCCTTACATATGCATATTTACGACTTCAGGAACCCGTTCGAATTCTTGGCAAAGTGTTTGGTAATGTGTCGAAAACAATCCAAGGCAACCGACATGCGTGGCTAAGTAATGAAGAACCGCATAGGCTATTGCGTAGCCATCAAATGTGGATGTACCTCGACCTAGTTCATCGAGAATAACCATAGAGTGCGGGGTTGCCTCGTGTAGAATCTTGGAAGTCTCTGATAGTTCGACCATGAAAGTTGATTGACCGGCAAGAATATTGTCGTTTGCACCAATACGCGTGTAGATACGATCGAATGGAGTCATACGACATCTGCTGGCAGGAACATAGCATCCAAGCTGGGCCATAATAATTGCTACACAAGTCTGGCGCAGTAGTGTCGATTTACCACCCATATTGGGACCAGTTAGCACTATGATGTTTGGCCGTTCTCCACCCAAGTATGTGTCATTGGGAATGAAATCCGTTGCAACTCTGAAGTGGAAGAAATTCAGATTAATGAAGACTTCCTATAGCATTGTGCGAATTTGTCAACCTACCCAGCCGCAATACATGGATGGCGTAAATCATGCAACTCCAGCACACTCTTCTCGCTATCAACAAATTCTGGACGGCAGACAGGTTCTGAAGTGTATCGGGTTAGCAAAAATCAGCTATCTTCTGGTAAGATTTCCATTATCCTTACCTCCAAGTGACATCGAGCTAATTGCCAAACTTAACAAACAGTCCAATTCAGCAGCATGTTTAACAGCAGATAGCCAAGTGAAATAGTGCTCGTCAAATTTGGCATATACGCGACTTGTGAAGCTCTTGACAATGCTATTCTTCGTCTCCAGTGCTTCTTTGTATTCGCCGACAAGTTTACGAATGGTAGGTGTCCAGTAGCGAGACAATTTCTGTCGATAGTAGGATGGGTTGGTAACTGGATAACAGGGTAAAGTAATCAATATTTAATATGCTTACCCCAGTGGCAGACAACCTTGCCCATTCCTTTGGTGCACGAAATTCTTTAGGAGCTTCTATTTGGTATATCTCCTTTCCAAGATCTTTGTATACCAGTTTGGAGCACCTATTTTCATTCACAGTTGTCATATCTGTTAGCCAAGCTTGTTTGCCTACATGTAAACAATGTTTCATCATACTCACTTGTGTTGCTTTCTCATATCTTGGATATGCTCCTGGAACTGTCTTTCATAATCTGACAAAGTCGCCTGAACTTCATCCCAGTCTTCTTCAATTCCTGGCTGTGGTATAATGGTTGTGATTCTTTGATCTGCGCATTCAGGTAAAACAGGATTAGTTACTGCTGTTATCATGATACTCAAATTGTGGTATGTACAATACTTACAGTCCACCATGACTTCTCCCGTCTGAAAGGCTTCTCCGAAATAGGTGATCTGATCATTCAATTTGGGGAATTGAGAAATGAGATTCTTCAAACGATTGGAATTAAAATCTGAAGCGTATGATTCCAAAGAATCTATGCTTTTCTGCAAATGATGAGTGTGGTCAGTATATAGTCCAATTGATAGAGTTGAGGATAATATATATGTATACCTGCAAGGACTTGAACGCCTCAAGAACAACGAGGAACTCCTTGACTTTGCAATTTCCAGCATGAATGCGAGATATAAGTCTCTCTAAATCAGGGAGGGCTCTGAAATTTGTTGCAATCATTTCCTGTACGTCAACGTACGCCATGAGTTCTTCGACGGCATCTTGTCGCTCAACAATATCACCTGTACTTCGCAGAGGGTGGCATAGCCATCGTTTGAAGAGACGCTTTCCAAATGGTGTAACACACTGATTCAATAATTTAATGACGGTTCCTTCATCAGATCCGTCATACGAGTTCTGAAGGATTTCCAAGTTGGCCAATGTTTGTCCGTCAAGAACGAGAGAGGTTGTGTTTTTAATGGGATCGTAATGAGTGATGTTTTTCAAGGACAATAGCTCCTTGTCAAGTTTGAGCTAATGAAAGGTTGAAAATTAAAATGGTCAATTGCATATAGTCCAAAGGCATTACAAATTTCCCATACTCACCGAACGCAGATACCAGATCAGTCCACCCAAAGCTGACATGAGGATAGGATGCTCCTTGGCTTCAACTAATACTTGCGGCCATTCGTCTAATATCATGATGTTAATACACGCTAACAAGTTGCTATAGCTTTTATGACAATTTTGTCAGTACCTTTACCGTCCCTTTCATAGTATTTTGCAATACGTATTTCATCCTCTGTAACTCGCTCATCCCAAAATTCCCTCTCTGGCATCAATTGATTCCAAATTGGATTCGAAAGTGTGTTCTTCAGTAAGCGTGTCGTCTTTTGACTTAGTTGACCCTTAGGAAATAATATAGAGGTTAGATTGTTCTGTATACCAACCATAACGATTATAAACTTATACATACCCTCTCAGTAATCACTTCACGAGGCTGTACTTGCATTAAAAGTGTCTCCAGTTTGGTTCGGTTAACGTCATCCTCAAATACAGCCAAATTAAAATGAGCTGTGGAGGTATCAACGAAGCAGATGCCAAAAGAAGGCGCAGCGTTCTCAGTTGAGCAGAGTTCTTTGATTGACATGCAGTAAATGCTCATATCACTTGTCAGTAGACCAGAGTCCACCAGAGTTCCAGCAGTGAGCACATAACTGAGACCACGTTTAATGATTTTGTCAGCCTTGCTCTTGGTCTCCCTCTCTCGCATTGTCTTGCCTATCGCGGTCTCCATCTGATCTACCTTAGCTACCTTATGCCTGTCACAAACAAACATGAGTACTTATTTTACTGATCACGCAGCCTTGAGAACATTACATGTACATACCCTCTTGCAACAAATTGAGCGGCCCACATGTCAAAGGACATCTCCGGGACACCAACCATGCGCATATTGACACGGTCGGTAAGCTTTAGATCGAATTCTTGATGACCAATGTCAGCATCTTTTTCGTACAGTTCGTAGAATTTTCCTTTTTTGAAAAAGACAATCTGGTTGGACCGATGAAGCAGTTAGTATTGAACTCGATCTTTGACAATTCAGACAAAAGTTACTCACAGTGTCCCAATGTTTACTTTTAATCTCCCAATACTGCTTTTCAAAAGGCGTAAATCTGTCCCAAGCATTTTTTGGTACAAGCAGAGTTCTGGAATCATAGTTTTCAGATCCTAGTGGTTTATCGTTGTGAGTCTTATGATCCAAAATTTGAATGCTTCCTTCCGCATACGTACCCTCTGGATTTCCGTCGGCATCTTTTGGATGCAATAGCCAAGCGTACCGTTGATCTTTGTCTTCCTTTTTGGCCTAAAAGGAGATGTTAATGAGGTGAAAGTGTAAAATAATGTGAGGAAAGATGATGTTTACCTTGGAAGGCGATGATGGAGAGAATGCTGATGGCTTCTTTAACGGTGAAGTCATGCTGATGTTGCTGAATCTTTGTTGTACGGGAGTTAGGCTGGCAGCCGGTTTGGCTTTGACAGGCGATGGTTTTGCTTGGACTGGGGCATCATCTTCACTCATGTCTACACTATCTAATCAGTAACGACTCGGTACGATATTGCAAATATATTATCAAGCTGAACATACCAGCCACAATGTCATCGTCCTCCTCTTCAATGTCATCCGCCCCTTCGTCCTCGTAATCATCGCTATCACTAACAACCTTTCGTCGAACGAGTTTTCTCTTCTTTGGTTGGCCCTTATCCACATTACCTTTACAAAATACCGTTCTATCAGTAATGGTACAGTACTTTTCCGACGCACAACTGCGCTACTTACTTGTGGACACTTTGGCTACTTTTTCTTCGTCTTCGGAATCAGATTCAAAGTACTGGAGTCTTCGCTTTGAGCGTGCCTGATGTAATCTATTGTTAGATGTTACCTTACCAATCAAAGTACTGATTTGAAAAACCTACCGAGCGCTTGGCCGAGTCGAAAAGCTCCTCGTCGCTGTTCCCGCCTGTAGTGTCGATATCCATACTCTCAAGCGCACCAGGTGTAGGAGAAGCTCGAGAAGGTTTCGGTCTATGTTCCATATGTGTTGGGCGCTTCTTTGAAGGAGATTCCGGGATCTTTTGAGCGATATCGGATTCCTCTGCCGCAACGCGTTTTGGTTGTTCCGGCTTCGAAGATGCTTCTTGTGCTTTTGGCACATTAGTAGCAGTAGGCGGTTTGAAAAAGGATAACAGTGAACGTTGAGCCATTACAGTTTGCGGCGGTTTTTGATTAGCCTTTGCTCTGGGTTCATTCTCTTTTGAAGCGATTCCCATGTAGACGCGCGATCAGTCAGGACAAAACGCCGAAAAAAAGTCGCGTGGAATAACTGCCGCGAGAGTTGGTTAAAAATTAACGCCAGAGCCTGTAGAAAGTCCGCTGCCACTGAGAGAACTGCATACTCCTGACAGTTAACACAAGCAGCATAATCACAAGCGCTGCAATAATTTTTTATTACATCAGATCAAAGTAACTGTACAAAATCATGGTCAGATCAAGCCAGATAGTTTTCAATGCATGAATAAGCCAGGAGTTCGCATTATTGCCACTCTCAGTGTTGACATTCTTTTTCTATAGCAAACGGACGATAAGTATCCAAAAATTCCGGATGAACTACTGTAGATAACCCTTTTGATAAGCAATTGTGTGCTAGGATGTCTCGATAATGAGCCTGGCAAGTTGGCTAAAGGACGTCGTGTTGCAAGACATGTGACTGTCATTGGGCCGTACCGCCTAAGCTGGCGAAACGAATGTTGTCAGGACGCACAATTTGACCAACACAACAAACCATAAAAGGTACTACAAAATCAACCAAAAACTGGGAACTTTTCCATTATTTCCTTCTCACTTTTCATGCCTCCCCAGACCATATTCGTGATTCCATGCTTGGTAATGAGTAGTGCTGTCTCATCTCCGGATTCAAACTCACCGACCTCCCATGCTTCCATTGACCACGAAAGCTTTGCCAACTTACAATTAGAAACGCCGAAAAAACGTGTTAGGGAAAAAACTGCAGACATCACAAAGCCAGCGGTTTCTTTTTCAACACCTACGCCAAACCGTATGTACATTTGCTTATAGATGAAGCCGCTTCCCTTTATATTTCTTTATGCAGCCTTCGCTAAACCATGGGATAAATTTTTGCTCCATAGGGCAATCAAATGACGCAAATTACCTCCGCCGAAAACTGCGAAACTCAATGACAGGCACAAGCCCAAATCGACCGACCCAACAAGATCACTCTGAATACATATCAAGTCTCAACAATACTCCGCGTATCCTTCGATTTCAGGCACGGCTAGCAGATGCAGCTACAAACCTCCGATACCTCTCCCAGCCAGAGGACGATATGTACCTAGAGCCATCATCTCCTCATAGTGCCAGTAGTGAGTCTACATTGGACAGGATGGATCATCTTATAGATGATTCCACATCAGATAACCCTTTCTTTACGTCTCCTTCGGCTAAGCAAGCGGCTATCAAACGGCGGCGGTCCATTAAGTCAGCCAAGGCGATTGAAATTGAAATGGATCCAGAAGATTCGCCTATGAGAAATCGTTCAGTGTCTCGATCTAGAAGAAGCTCTACAGTGTCATCTGTAACCTCATACGACGACACGCCTTCCGTTTACCCCATTGGCTCTTTTGGTGAGAAGCTTGCCAGTGCCGCTAACGACAACTCAGCGCAAAAGCGAACCCAGCGGACGGTCAGTGGCTTTGGATCAGTTTCAAGAGCAAAGCGTAGAAAACTGAAAGTGAGAAATGTGGTTGATCCAAAATTATGGACGCATTCTCAAGACTCAACAGAAGCTTCAGTTCGAGCTGAGATTGATGAAGACGACAGCCCCACTTTTGTTATGAAAAAGCAGACAGACGGTGATAACCCTCGACGACGAATAAGAGGCAACAAACGCGACTCTATGCGAGTCATTATGGGAACCCCTGTTCCTCATCATTCTCATATCAAGCATAGACACTCTAGGCCACAAGATTCATTGGATGTCAAATTGAATCGACTTCGACAAACAACTTCCGCGACCGAGCTGGATCTCAGCTCCCATAATATCGTCCCGGATAGCTTGGAGGAAGTATTGCAGTCCGAGAGCTTCATAATACGTGCAAGCTCACAGAAATCAATCGATAGTATAGACGGCGGCGATCTTTCATCCCTTAGCCAATCTTTGCCTTTATCCTATCCTGACACCTCACTAACTACACCGGAATCTACTCTTGAGGATGAAACCAAGTTGGAAATTGACACTGGTGTAGGGAAAGATTCACCGTCTCAAAATAGCGATTTGGATGTTGCAGAAAGCACTCCGTTAAAAGGATCTGAATTGCATATTGATACCAGTGTGTCGCCATCCGTGCAACTTATACAAGCTTCTCCAATAGTTGACGAACACAGTAGTGAACTTCAGGAAAATCCCTCACCATCGACATCTTATATACACCAATCTCCTTTGACACCAGATACATCCAATGCAGTGGAATCCGATGATACGCTGCCCTATGAGGAGGCGTCTACCTCCGTAGATGACAAGCCCGCAGTTGCGTCAACCTCAGTTGGTTCAACTGGTGGCAATCTAGACAAAGGAACAGAAATATACCCAGAATCAGATGATGAATCAGCTTCCAGTGAATTGCATGGTGCTAGTGCAAAAAAGCCATCATCGTCCTATCTAAGTCAACTTGCTAGTTCAATGTCTCGATTTATTTTAGGTTAATGTTTTTGCGATACTGCGGACCTTAGCAATACTTTTCTAGTAGTACTCCTTTAATTTTTGATTTTAGTAAATGTACAATACAAATCTCATTACCAAACGATGTCTTCACTTTTGCACCATGTCTGACACCAAGTATTCTCTATACCTTCACAAGCTATGCTGTTTGATTAATGTCGTACAGTTTAATGATGTGTTCAATTAGTGAGTATAATAACTCAATTATGGCAGTTTCATTGCTTAGTAAAGATAAATTAGTTATTATGACTGGTAGAGACATGCCATTATTGGCTCTGCTCGATGAGGATTTGGTGAACCTTTTTAGCAAAATTATCAACCTTATCAGCATCTGTTGCTCCGTCTTGCCAAGTAATTGCAATCCGGAGCTTGTTGCCGACGGTAACAGAGTTCATGGTGAGCGGAGTGTCATACACATTGATACTCTGGCAGAAGGTGGCCTTTTCTAGATTCCATTGGCCCTTGCCAGTCTGATTTTTCCACAAGGCCAAATCGCTCAACTCAATGCCACCACCGCGACCGATTTCATGCTTCTCGAAAGGACTCTTGAGATACTTCTTGTATTCATCAGGATACGATCCTAGATATGCCAAGTACGCGCTCGCTTTGCCAGCGTTATATTTTCCGTCCTTGAGTTTCGCGCGATACACTCTTGTTTCCTCCCAAAATGATCTCGTGAGAGGAACAGTAGCGGTTGTTTCGAAGCTACCAACGAAGTTGCCCATTTCACAATGAGGAATGGCAGGGTTACATAATCCTCTTGCGTTGATAGGGGTCTTGAGTGTAAGCTTGGTAGCGCTATCCATCAACTCCGATGATGCGGCCATGATGGCAGCAACATGAACCGCGCAGTGAGGGGTAGACTTTTCAGCTTTACAGCGAGTTATAAGATTATCGGTATCCATTTCAATAATTCGGACCATCGTCTTATGAGTTTCTTCTTTGGCTTTGTGCTGACCACGCCATAACCCAACTTGTGAACGTCGAGTGATAAATGATGGTAGTAACAACTGTGTGAATGCCTTCGGCACAACCTCAGTAAGAAGCTTCGGTGTTGGAGGAGACCTTTGGTCATACGGAAGAGGCATCTTGCTGATTGATTGAACAGCAAACGTAGTTTCAGATCTTTCTACTTCGTTCGTGGAATTGAGAAGCTCAAGAAATCTGTCAAAAAAGATAGTGGAGCTTATACCGTCGTAGAGTACATGGTCCCATGTGAGTACGAGGATGCAGCGATTGAGATCTTCCGGGTCGCTTGCAATGCAAAGCTTCCAAAGCGGTTTGGTGATATCATTCAAATCGAAGACGTGGTTGCACTGTTGCGCAATGAGGGACTCAACCGCCGTAGGGTCTTGCAACGAAATTGTCTTGAAAACTACGATATCCAAAGCATCCATATTTTCGAGCTGAATCCAATGAGCCTTTGAAGTATCATAATTGGCAACTACCGACACCAGATAGGGCTGTTCGTCGCAAATTTGATGTATAGCTGGTGTCAACTTTGCCAAATACCAACTTTTCTCATCTTGGGCAGGGCGACTTGTGGCATGATGCAAATGCACAGCCAAATTGACAGTACCATAGCAGTCTGCAAGACGTTTGCCTAGTTGATACTTCTCAAGGAGTCCAAGTGATCTGGAATTGGCGGGAGAATCAGACATGAGGAAAATGAGTTCAGGGTAAACTCTGTACAGGTACTGTGTTCTTATAAGGAAACCCACTTGAATTTTCTGGCACAACCTCCGCCCGGCTCCAGCGACTGTTTTTCATTCCGTCCACGATGGCAGCACATCCACCCACCTTCACACGGCAACGAGAGCAGACAGTACCCGCCAACGACGGCTCCCGGACTGTGACACTTGATCCTACAGAAGAAGAATTGTCTGCGGCTGAGTCGGAAGATGATTCCATTGGCATTTTACGCCTTCGGGGTGATCCGTCAGCACGATCACCAAGGCAAATTCAATGGGCTGACAACGTCGTTGACAATGAAAATCTAGGACGTAAAAAATCAAAAAGTACGTATTTGCTTTCAATTGATAACTAGTAGTTGGACTTATGGCAGCTTGCTAACATGTTGTTTACAGTTTGCTGTATTTATCACCGTCCTAGAATGCCAGGTGACGATTCCAGTAGTTCGGACAGTAGCAGCGACAGCGACAGTGGTAGTGACAGCGATAGCGCCAATAGTGGAGCTCATAACCATGACCCTGCGTGTAAGCATCACCATGGTCGTGGCCGTTCAAGCAAAAATCAACAGAAGCGTAACCCAAGAGATGTTAGCCCCAATGCATATGAACGACAGCCGGTTTACAAAAGTACGTAAATAGCATTTACAACTAGACTATTGTAATATCACGATATTCACCTTTGCTCATTCCTACTAGATCTTCCACAACCTCCTCCTCATGCACGCTAGAGACTCGCTATGTGATGTGGCCATTAAACAGAATAAGCTGGCGCGGGTTTGCTGTTAGACCTTTATATCGAACAGCAAAATTTTGTACATTTGATCTATATAAACACATACAAGTTGAGCAACTTGCTCTAGGCTTCTCATTGCTTCCAAAGTGTGATATAATTTATACTTCATTGTGCAATGCAGGTCCTCTTCCCTCCCGTTAAAAGTGCAGCCTCTCAAATGGTTCTCTTTATCCAATTCCTATATCCGGCACTATCTTTCTTCTATTGGTCAAAATTACAATGAATTAGAATATAATGTCTGATATATTAACCGCCTTTCTGAACCTTGTATGGATGCGTGCCGTGTAGCCTTCACTAGGCACTTTCGCATAGAATCAATATTTGGATTTTAAAAGACACACCTGCTGTTCCACTTTTGCCATTGTGATTGGATAAATTAGAATATGTTGGCTATTGACCATGCTAAAACTCCTAACGTTACAAAGGCCATAAGAATAATAGATATATCCGCGTAGCACTGTCTGCCATGCTTTTTTAGTTGAAGTAGCTTACTGCTTATAAGGGAAAGACGCCCAGTAAGTAGACTGAGGAAACGCGTCACAGTTGTATCTTCTTGTTCTACACTATTTGTTCCTTTAACATCCACCCACATTCTTGGTAATGATCATAGCCGGAAAAATGATATCGTTATCCTTTTGACGCTCCATTTCGGTGTTCGATTACGGACTTGTTCGGAGAAGCGGAACTTTGGCCAAAAAAAAAATTGTGTATAAGTTCGCGTCCGCAGGTGAAAAATTTTTTTCTTCATCTTTTCCCTTTCGTTCAAGCACCTTCGTACTAGCTTCACAACGGTGGTGGCGGCAGTGTTATTGCTGGCCGGTTTCCAAGGTTCGATCTACTTGGCACTGCACATATCAAAGTATGGTATGATGTTTGACGAAAGCTCAAATGATGAGACTATGCAAAATTGATTCGAAGGTTTCCTTTGAAGCATGATATTGCAAAACTATATTCAAGTCTCTGATATGCTACAGTTACCATTACATCATACTGCTTTGTTAAGTAAGTGAACGGAGGCGTTTGGACGGATTCAGTGTTCGTTATGGTCTGGTAAGAGATCGGTTATGCATGTCGTAGTGGTACTCGCTTAGACATCTATTGTTTCCAAATAAACCATACAATGTATACCCAAAATGTTCGATCCATCAAAGATGTTTGTGTGTGTGGTATTGGAAAATGTTGTTGGGATGTCCTATACCAATATTGGGACCATGGCTGTCGACGGACGAGCATATGAGACCTGTCGAACGCCCTCCAGAACCTTATTAAAAGCCTCGAACCGTACAGCATACAAGAAGGTGTGTGTTCTCAAACATCCAAGAATAAAATGTTTCAAATATATTTATACATCACTCGATGGTGTACACTCAAGAGGTATTTCACAGAGGCTATGCTATATTCTGGTATAGGAAATGCTTCAGTGATACCGACCATTTGCACAAATGTTTTATCGGAAGCTAAATTGGAGTGATAACCTGCCCTACTTTAACAATGACTTGGTGTAGCAACTATGATATTTCGGCTTTACTTATAAATGGTGTGATCCGTAACCCAATTTCATTTAAGGTGTGATCTGATCTCATAACCCAGCTCCAGTAATGCGATATTCACGTACTGATTTTTCATATCTCGCTCGCCAAAGCGGTCCATCATGCCCGCGCATGGGTATGCCTTCTCTTTCAGCGTCCATAATACTTGGATGCCGCTTATCGCTTTCATAATAACGATCAGAAGGTCACAATTGAATCATTCGAGTTTCAACTTCGATATGAGATGTCTCATAGCCGTTGAAATTCATGGAGGTTGGGAGATGCAGAAAACAATTGCTCATCATTACGACTTTGTTAACAGTTCGATTATACCATTCAAAAAGCATAATTGAATTAATAGAAATAATTATATATTCAGGTTTGATATTGCTGTACCGATTCCCTCTCATTGAGGTTTGAAGATATGCTATGAAAGCATTTATTGCATCTCATTGATATTAAATTTCTGCAAGGTAATTTCAGAGTTACAATAACAAAGGTGCAATTTTTCCGTCGTGAAACAATTTCAAGGATTAATTTCAGTAAGTTGTGTCATAGATACTTTGGAGTAAGCAATATATACTATATGCGAATGGTAGTAAAGTGGGAGGGTGTATATCGGTGGAACCAATTATTCCGCATTGGACTTGCTCTCGGTTGAAACTACAACGACGTTCACACAAATTTGTATGATGGCAGTAACTCCGCCGTTATAGACATATATAATGTGGCATTTCATATTTCAAGATCGTTTAGAAAATCTCTTCGCGTCCAAATTCTGTCGTTCTTTGAAACAGTATTGTTATTATTGTATAGCAAGCTGCCTTTGTTTTGTGATTTGCATAAGCTCTCCTATTATCGAATTCGTCCGTCCCCGGCACACCATCCCTTCCAACTAGTTGATTGAAGAACACCATTTTATTAACCATGACCATTTACGAGCAACAAGAAGAGAGCCTATCACAGGCAATTACATCAGCAATGCCATCGGGAATGGACTTTGGTGACCGACACCAACACATCAACCACCTGCGCCCAAGTATGTCTCAGGGATCACAACACGGTCGCTTCGAAGACAACTATATGAACGGAAACATGAACGTAAATTTCCCTTTCAACTATCAAAATCAGGGCGCCATGAATCGACAGTATTCATACGGTTCCTCTATGGGAGATCAGTTCAACCTGCTCAATCAGATTTCTGTAAGTGGCCCTGATTTGATACTCCGAACTCTGCGCATATTGCAACAGAGTGACTGTCTATTCATGCTTGATTCTGAGATATTTTTTGCTCCTGTCTTTTATATTCTTTGCCAATATAGCAATACCCGCATCATCCAACACAGCCTTTTCCCAGCTACCAAGCAGGTTCAGAATATCTCTCATCACCTAATTCAAATTTTTTCATGGCTGGTCAACTTTCTGAAGTATCTACACCTAGTAATTCATCCTCAACTGATCTATCCAACGTTTACTATGATGCCCTGTTCCCTGATCATCACAGGGCGTCCTGGGATGCCAATGCTATGAACATGGCCGTCAAGAGACATCGTCCATATAGTCCAAGGAAACAATCCTCTGCCTCTGAAGATGCCGATTCCTCACGGCCAAAGGTATACGTCCTCAAGGCATGTGTATCTTGCAAGGCATCCCATGTTGCGTGTGACATCGCACGTCCTTGTCAGCGATGTGTCCGCTTGAATAAAGGAGACACCTGCGTAGACGCTGAGCGCAAGAAGAGAGGCCGCCCATGTAATAGCGGCAAAAGACAAAAGGAAGCTGCAGAAAAGAAGAGACGTGAGCGAGAACGAGAATTGGAACGATTAGATGAATGCAACCACACTGGTGTGCCTAGCGTATTGATGGGAAGAAGAGACGAAGTGTATAACAACCAGACACCATCCAACAGCTACCCGAATTTGCAGGAACAGCAAGATCAGGATGACATACTACAAATGTTAAGTTATGTGGGTATGTAATAATTACGGCTCCTTACTCTATTTCTTTTCCCTCCACCCTCCGCCGCCTATTCTCGATCCTGCACTCCCACTCTTTGCCTTCTTATTGTATAAATGATCCACACAAGTGTATAATTTGCGAAACCCCCTCACCCCACCTCCAAATACATAATTTTTTTTTCATACAATTCCCCGGTCTGCCAGAGTTGATTGTTTTTCCGCCCATTTTGCAATCCCTAATGTGACTGTTAGCCCGTTGTACCATCTTACTGCCTGTCTTCTCTGTACCATGTCAATACCAAGTGTCGCCCCTGTGATTCGATCCTTTGTCAATGGGTTAATTAACAGTAACAAAGTCATGGTGAGTGTTTGTTTAAACATGTCCTGATAGAACCGTTTGTCTTCCATCTAAGACTTTTTATTTTGCTTTGTAAACAAGATGTTCAGCAAAGAAACCTGCCCATTTTGCATGAGAGCAAAGGATCTTCTCGATGACCTTGACGTACCCTATAAAGCATATGAATTTCGCTTTGATAGTAAGTGGAGAAAATATATTAAGGATCTATCAGTCTGACACATCGATCTGATATACAATGTTCAGGGGAAGACAGAATTGTGGAAAATCATGAAATCCGTAGATACTTGACTGAGATTACTAATCAGACGACTGTACCCAATATATTCATTAATGGAAGTCATCTTGGTGGATCCTCGGATTTACTAGATGCCAATAGCAGTGGTAAATTACAAAAAATGCTAGATACCAAAAATCCAAAATGGGTAGATCCAGCAACTGTGAAGCCCATACCGGTAGGATGGTCAGATATTGACGGCAAAGATAAATAAAAGAGTTAGAACCAATCGCTGGGTGATTTGTGTTTCAAAAAGCAACCTTCATTCAAATTTGGCGTCAGCCCACCCTGTGGCGAGTCTCTGATGTCAGAATTCTTTCACATCGCCCGTGCTGTGAAAAATTCATGCAACAATTAAAATCGTTTAAAATAACCCCATGTAATAAGTTTCTGTCTGCACAAACATTTATAAGTTTATCCCTGACCACACAAAAAGATCATAGTGATTGAAAAGCGCAATGGAACATAATTCAGAACGCAGCGATTCCTTTGAGGAACAGCATCCCGAGCAATCCATTGTAGAAGATGACAGCTCTGTGTCACATCCTTTGCGAGCACAACCGCAGAATCCATCGAATCGTTTAGGAGACGTCGATGTCGAATCGTATGGTGGAGTATCTCCTGTTATGTCTCATCAAAAGGAACCGCCACATTTCAATCGAGCTATCGACCCACAATACAAATTTCGAGAGATCTATGCAAAGGCAGAGGTAAAACCAAAGCCCAAAGATCCTGAACCTGTCCCGAAGAAGCAGTATTCTTGGATTGAGAGAATGAACAAAACCGCAGTGAAAGAAGACGATGAAGACAGTGAGTTCTATTTAATGGAATGCATAACCATATCAACTTATGTGAATTAACGCTCTTAGTAGACGAGCCTGAAAAGGAAAAAGAAAGCTTGGTTGACAAATTCATCGACTTTCTCAATGCGTTTGGAGAATCACCAGAAGGTATTGTAAATCTCACCCGCCCAAATGTCACTCTTTTGTATTTTAGTACATTAGCTGATATTGCCTCTATATAGGTACTCCAGAGCAAGAAGTTGATCATAGTATTCAAGAAGTCGATCTTGGCGCTCAAGAAATCGATCTTAGTCCTCAACAAGTTGACCCCAGTGCTCAAGACGTTGATCGTAGTTCGCAAGAACTTGGTCACAGTACGCAACAACACAGCGTAGAATTCGAACCATCCGAGGACGCTTATGATACAACTCAGGCTGATATTACTTCTCGAAGGGATGATACAACACAGAACGAGCCTATTTTACTCCCGTCAAAATCGTCGAGGTCTATATCCTCGTATGGAACTGGAGAGATCTCAGAATTCAATATGTCGGATAATCAATATGATAACTATCAACAAGTAGAAAGACTTGATGATAATGCTCGGCGAAACTCATGGTCAAAGCCTTCTGGTAAGTGCTATACAATAAAAAATAGTTTGATTCTTCGCTCGTTCTTCTCGAGGATTCTAACGCTATGTATAGGGCTACATCAGTCCGGATTGCAGGAGCCACAACCTATAGTATTTTCTACACCAAGAAAGGTTTGTAGCAGCTTTTGCCTGGCCCATCTTCAATTTGCTTCCATGGCTAACGTTGTTATGTACAGCAACCTGATTCTAAAATAAGCAAAAGTGCTCCATCGAAGTCTCATAGATCATCTTTTGGTACAAGAAGATTTGACCCATTTCATATGCGTATGTTGTCATCACTGTTTATTTTTTTGCAAGTGAAGAAATTTTTATTCACAAATCATTCAGAAGAACATCCGTCCTATCCTGGAGCTTCTTCGCCAAATTGGGGAGCTGGCACCTTCGCTTCTCCGGAAGATAGCCCTGCAAAGAGCAGAAAGCTGTCAGGACGACATGCTTTTGATGACTCCTCTTTCGCCCAGAATGGTAGGAGAAAGTCAAGACAAGGAAGCGTAGAAGCAGTCAAACCGTCTAGCTACTTGAGTATTCCCCCAATGCTACCATCCGAATTATGTTTAGAACCACTCCATCATCCATCGTCTCAAGTGGATTGGTTGACTTTTGATGATCTTGGAATCGATAAACTCTTTGACGCGCCTCTTGTTGGCGCAGATAAGGCTATGGTTAAGGACATTTCGCAACATCTATCCGACGAAGCCGTTGGAAACAAGAGTGTCAGCAAGATCATGCCACCTACCGTTCCAAGTTCATTGGCATTAAATTGCCTACTGAATCCATCACCGTCCTGCCTCGACTGGGCATCATGGGACATTGATGATATTGGCCTAGAAAGGTTGATGCCTGCTGAGGACGGCCTACCCGAATCCAGTTCTTTGAACGAGTGGATTAACAGGACTCACAGCAGTGAACAAAGACCCATGAAGACCAGCGCACTTCATGAACAAACGAACCAAGATAGCTCTTGCTTACCTGTCATAGAACCCAGGCCACACAAACTTGGGGTAAATCTTTCTACCATGTTCGATTCTCAAGATACCAGTGGAGACTTTGACAAGTCAGCAAGTACTACTGGACGCATACATGATACCATTCAGAGACCAAAAAATGTTCAAACTGACTGGCATTTGGGTTCTGAAGGGTCCATCAAAGATGTTCCACCGGAGATCAACGTAAATGACAGCTGGTCCTCATACATGGCACTCAAAGCTGCTCAGGAACGACCACCACCCGTCGAAGACCGGTATCAGTCTCCAGGATCTTTAGCTCAAGACAATTTTGATTCAAAATATAATGGCCCTTCGCATTTGTCAAACCTGGCGCAAGCTAGTTCGGTGAATGTCGAAGAGGCTGTCGAGCAGCGAAAGCTAAGAAAACGAGAGATGAGAGAAGAGAATCGATCAAAGGACTGGGCGGACAATATGGATGACAATCAGTTGGAGACATTGTTTCCGCAGCAATTCGAGGACTCTACCGACCGATCCTCACAACAAGAAATTGGAGCAGAATCCAAGGTACCTACTTGGACAAGTACGTCTTCATATGGAATAAACGCTCCGTATTCTCTAGCATCTTTCTCTTTTGAAACTGACTCGAAGGAAACTGCTTTTCCCACAGCCGAATATGAATCCAAAAACTGGCTGTCCGAAAGTGGTTACTTGGCAACACCGCTTCATGGAGTCAAAGCAGATACAGACGAAGATGCCCAAAATCCTCAACTGCAACTCCATCACAAGCTGCATGGCATTGTGGACACTGTAGCCAGCAGTGTTGGAGCTGTTGCTGGCACTGCTGTAGGAGCGATCTCATACTTATTTGGTGAAAGTTCGCACTCGGCTGAAGAAAAGCCAAGAGAGACCTCATATGCATCCAACGCGGCCCTTAATGCAGGTGACCAAAAATATGCAAAGGAACATGAGGAAGATGAAGGCGTACAAGCTATTGCCACCGTTCCAGACAGTCATCTTGTTGATGCAGAAGAACAACTCTATGTAGCAAAGCAAGAGAAGCCTGATCTGTCATTAGGACATGTTGATGACGACTCTCACATTATAAATCTTCATCCGAGTTTGCTTCGGCCCACTGAGAAGCGAGAGCTGTCAAGCGAGCAACCATTAGGCTCATCAGATCACCTAAGCTATCCCAGTGCTGCACCACAACTTGAATTGCCTGAAAACTTGCAGCATGGAGCTGACAAGACAACTGAAAGCGACTTGACAGATAATGCTGTCTCTCAAAACATGGCAGTTGTCCTTGATGACCAAGATGGAAATGAACAAGTTGTTGATTCCGCACCTGAAACTAAGACGGAAAGTGCAAACGATAATGAAATCCGCAATTTATTCAATGGCGATCCTGATAGTGTCCGTCAGTCATTCAAATCAGACGATCCACATAAAACTACCATGGACGACCGTCGTCAAATTTGGGAGGCTAGTGTGTCTAGCGCGCTTGGTCAAGCCGCTAGCACTCTTGGACTAAAACCACAGAGCAAGGAGAAGAAGTTGGACTTGGAAAATTATCACGTTGTCGATAGTGGATATAAGCCGTCTACTTATGAACCTGGTCGCAACCAATTCGACAGTGACTTTGAAAACTGGAGGCATGATTCTCCATCAAGCACTCCCTTTAATGAAGCCGAAACAAAGCCTAGCGAAGCCACTGATGAACAAGCACCAATCGTAGCTGAGAATAGTGAAAGTGATCAACGGGCGGCGCTTCCTGACCAAAACAGTATGACTATAAGCTCCTTGCCGCTGGGTAAACCTATTACTTATGAACTTGGTCGTTTCAATGAATGTACAGACTGGAAGCACGAATCTCCATCAAGGACACCCTTCAACGAAGCTGAAGCCCAGAGAAGTGAAGCCACAGATTCACCAAAGAAGATTACGGATATTGTAAGTGGCCAGCAAATACTCCATGATCAAGACAGTATGGCTATGAGCTCCATGCCGTCTGGTAAATCGTCTACCTATGAACCTGGTCGTAATCAACTCGACAATGGTTCTGAATTTGGGAAGCACGATATATCAAAGATCACTTTTGACGAAGCTCAGACCAAGCGCGGCGAAGCCAGTGGTAAACAAGCTCCAACAGAAGCCAAGAATATTGAAAGTGGTCAAGATACACTTCCTGACCAAAACAGTATGACCATAAGCTCGCTACCGCTTGGTAAACCAATTACTTATGAACCTGGTCGTAGCGTGCTGGTCAATGACTCTGGAAACTGGAATCAAGGTTTCTTACCAGTAACTCCTGTAACTGTGGCTGAAACCAAGCAAAGCGAAGAAACTGATCAACGGGTCAACCGGAATGAAGGTTTCTTACCAGTGACTCCTGTGACTGTAGCTGAAACCAAGCGAAGCGAAGAAACTGATCAACAAGTACCAGTGCAAACTGAGAACATTGGAAATGACCAACAGGTAGTTCCTGACCAAAACAGCACTACCACAAGCTCTCTATCGTCTGGAAAACCGACGTGGGATAGAGCTGAATTCCATGACCCCAGCGATTACATGAAGGGTACGGAAAGCCATATGCAACAGCAGCAACCACAGCAGCCAGACACCACCACGTCCAGTTCGCATACTGGAAGAGGGCCAACTGGATGGATTCGTCGTAAATTGAACAAAAGACGCGCACGTGCTGCTCGTTGAGCAGCAGCCTTATTTACAGCGTTTTCGTTTGCAACCTTTACCTTATTTTTTCTTCAATTTCTTCCTTTTTTCCTAGACAGACTTGCCTGTCAAATTTTGTTTCGTAAATGTAAATAGCGCATGAGCGACTTTGAAAATAAAAACCATGGTTTGTGCTTATCTCATCAACCGGCGAGCGACTGTGTTTCTGAAGCACAATGGTACGTAGGAGGCATTTAGTAGAAAGTTATCGAGGTACGGTTGCTTATTATTTGTGCTGTCCATTGTCAATAAATATGGCGCCTCCAAAAGTTTGGTCTCGCCCTCCTAACTCTTTATTCCAGCTTACCTCGAAACGCCGACAGTCATTCCTTTGACATGCAATTCGTTCCAAATGCGCTACCTACATACTGATGGGAGTCATTTCTTCAGGTACGGCATTTATTTCCTCGAATGGCCATCCAAAAGTTAACATTCGTTGCAAATAAGACCCTTACCATAGGAATACCGGAGATACCAATGTAGGACCAATTTTTTATACCAGGCCAATGTTTTTCATGTCCACAAGCTTCCCGAAGCTATTTGATAACTACTCTACTAGCGACAAACAAACGCTATGTCTTGGCCTCAACGCTTCAATATAAAAGCACCCACCCAGGTGATTGGATTGCCGACCCGCGATGTACAGCTTTCAGAGCGGCCAATATCGCTAAAATACGACATAATGCTTACCTCTCCATAGCCACTGTATGGCATTATTCAAGATGAGCGCCCGCATTAGCCATCACCGAATAGATCTCCACATAATAATCATATGTGCCTTCTTTATGGTCTAACTCACAACTATGATTTGACAAAATCCCAGCTTCACCGGTCAATCACCATAGCACGATGATATCACACTAATGTCTGTCACTTTGCTATGTCTTTGCATCCCATAACTATAGATCACACACTCTGTATGGCATGGTACATTTTCATTTTTAATGCTTTTTCCAGAAACGCAAAAATGTAAAATGATTGGCATATAGGCAAGATAAAAAGGCATACATCTGAGGTGATTCCGTTTGTAAACTTGAAGCTTTCATGAAACCGTACGTATTTAAGCTCCCTTTGCCATGCTAGTCAATCCAGCGGCATTACCGTTCCAGACGTCTTGATCACCAGGGAAGGTACCACTGTCGGCATTTTGCCAGAAGGAGTAGTATGACCAACCATTGGGCAAGGTTCCTGCTGAAGAAGAATATCTAGCAATCCAAAGAGGGTTGGTAGCGCCAAAGGCGGCGCTGTTACCAGTGCAGGTAGTCCACCAGTCAGTGGTAGTGTAAATGACAGGGTAACGACCAGTGGAAGAATGGTAAGTATTGCTGAAATCCTTGATCCAGCTTACCATAGCGGACTGGGACAAGCCATAGCAAGTAGCACCGCTAGGGTTGTACTCGATGTCCAAGGCACCGGGAAGAGTCTTGCCATCAGCAGACCAGCCACCTCCATGAGCAATGAAGTATTTGGCTTGAGCAGCACCGGAAGAGGAGGCAGGCTGAGCAAAATGGTACGAGCCGCGGATCAAACCAGCGTTATATGCACCATTGTACTGTTGAGTAAAGTATGAATTGGTGTAAGTGGTTCCCTCAGTTGCTTTGATGTAAGCGAAAGATGCACCATTGGACTTGACGGTTGACCAAGCTACATTTCCTTGGTAACTGCTAACGTCCAATCCTTTCAATGTAGCTGACACGCCAACAAGAGCGGTGGATAGCAGAGATAGAGCGGCAAGAGTGAGTTTCATGACTTTGACTTGATGGTAAATCAAACTTTGGGGATGGCCTTTATATAGATTTCATTGAGGTATTGTCATTTTTGTAATAAATGACCGATTATAGTGCTATGGTACATCTGTTTGGGAAACGCGGGTTGTACTGCATATTTAATGACTTGGACAAAAAGGTATGATCAGGGATGTCTGGCCACAGAAGGAGGTCGATTATACTAAATATCCCGATGAAAATCGAAGATCTTCATGATCCTTTCGGAAACCCCGTTTTCCTCTCAAGGAGAAGAAATCCTCTCCGGCTGAAGCATCTATGTAGTGGAAGGGAAAAAAAAAAATCAAATAATTTGAGTTGGAGAAGCGCAGCTCAAGGCAAACCCATCTTTGTATGACAAAAGCTATATTACACCAATTCTCGGTCCTACGCACACTATCCTTTATGAATACGAAAACCAAATTTCAATGATGAAGAACTAAGAACGCATCAGAAAACAGTCAAATCATTGACATTTTTGAAGGCAAGATGGCCTATAGACTTCATCTGAATACTATGCAGCAGTACGGCTGTTCTTGCCGGCGTGCCGATAAAATGTAGTTTCCCATTGTGTCAAATGCTGCCTGCATTCCACATATATAATCGATCCTCATGACTTACCTTCCCCAGGCTCGTCAGGGAATATTTGTTTGACCCATCCTTACAAAAATAAAACCAGCTATGTTAACGCTGCGCACACGTGTACCGTATACAGCCCATCTCGATTATATCATCTCAGTGCTCATAAAATGAAAGATCGTAGCACTGACCTTACACGTGCAAGCATTAAGATGTACGTATTTTTTGAGGAACGCGAGAACCAAGGCCTCTAAAATGAGGACAAGTTCTGCTCATATGATTCGCTTAGGCCAGTACCGAGATACTCAAGTGAGCCAAATTAAGTTCGTCGGAACCCTAGAAGGCAAGTAAATCTCTTTAGCCTTACTTTATTAAGATGAAATTTCATTTGCTGGTTCAGACCAGTCATATGGTTAACCAAGACGCTTCGCGGATCTCCGCAACTCTTGGAATATAGCTTTGTTGCTCGACGTTGTTGCATGGTATACACAGCTTACGCTTTTGTGTCATTTGTTTGAAGGCCAAGGCGCTATTATATCACAATCACGATGCAATACATAATTTCATGCTGCTACTCACTGTTTCGAAAATATTCGAAAGTGCCTGGGCCTACATGTCGGTGGCGGAATAGTTGGTGCGCTAGCTGGCCAAACTGGAACGCCATGCTGGTACGTTCGCTTTCCTAATACTGTCAAGTAAAATGTTGTACCACTCGACGATTGTGACGTACAACCCAGCATCGTCAAGTCGGGCCTGCACATGTACCATTGTATAGGACGCCTTTCGCTAATACCGAGAGGACCCGTGTAGATCGAAAATGTTATATTACTAGTACTTTAAAATTTATCCTCATATTTTGATACAGTATAGCTCATATGGGAGGCATTTGGAGAGCGTTGGAGGGGTGATCAGCCACCATGTTGTAGGGATCCATTACAAGCTTCCCTCTCATCAGTACAGCGAAGGTGCCCATACGAATGCATTTTGAAGAGACTAGTTCTCTCATATTGGTCATTTTTATATGGCGCTTCAATATGATATTTTAGATTTATCCAGTGAATTTATGCAGTGGAATAAATCAAAGCTTGTGCCGTCGTTCTCCAGTCAAATGCAGTAGGGACGCTATGGATATTACCTTCCGTCAGCGTGATTTGAACTCCGTGGGACGACACCAATTGTCGCACTACAGTCTAACGATGGCGTAAAGGCAAAGACTGTAAGTGATTCGAAAAGAATTGACGATGTAGCATACATAGGTTAAAGCATCATTCCTATGATGAATTATTGTCATCTAGTTGTATATGAGACTAGAACAATAGTGTATCTTCACATCACAATCTAATCTACTGATACTCGCTTGTGAAAGCCCAGTGACAATGATATGGGACGGCAAGCCAGTTCTGGAAATCGCTATGTCCGTACACTTTGATCAATTGATGCAATAGACAAGAGGAAAAACTTGACTTTCTCACTGATTACTGCATTTTCAGAGAACTTGTGGGTTGCGTCGTCGAAGCTTTTCACATGCGTCATTAAAAAGCTAGTTGGTTTGCGTGGCGCTACTGAAAACATTGCTGGTAAACGCGAGGACCATGGAACCGAAGCAGAATACTGCAAGTGAAGTTCAGATGTGAAATGCAATAGTTATACCCACTTTTTTGGAAGACTAACCTGTGGGATAGCCAGATTTCAGCTATCCCGAACGCACATTCCATCATGAGGCAACACGATTGGCGTCAGAGTGATTTAGATATAGACAAAGGGATCAACAAGGAAGATTTTTCTAATTTTACATTTGCTCCAGTCAGGTAGTAAACCAACGTGCAGTTCCTTGCATAAAACAAAATGAAAAAGGCGTTTTTTATTGATATACAGATGGACTCATGTTACAGTTATGCAGCTTGAGTGTCACGTCCACACGCCATACCTCTAGGCTTTTGCTTGTTCAGGAGCCTCCTCTAATACCTCTCCTTCAAGGTCCAAGAAACCATAATCCGAAGCTACCTTTAGCACGACTTCAGCGTCTTCAACTTTCATTTCAGCTAGGACCTTGTTGATTTCGTCTAGTTCACCAGTTTGGAGAGCAGTTTTAAAGTTCGGTGGTAAGCATTCATACACCTCAAGAGCTTGCTTTTCCTCCTCATTATTCGCATCGGGAATTCTGACTGTCAACTTGCTACCTTCTTGCATTTGCTGCAATTGGATTGTTTCAACTTGCTGTTCCTTCTTTTCTGCATTGATTTCCGCGCATCGGTTCTTGATACGTGTGTATGTCTTATTGACATCGTCTTCAAACAGGCGACGAGGCTGTTGATTAGGTGCGGAGGGACTCATTCTGTACGCGTCAACGTTAGTTCACACACAGATTCCAAAAATAAAGGATTACAGCTATACGCACCTGGCAAAGAACAAGCTGATTCCATCTTTACCAAGCTGGCCACAGTATTGCAAAATCAGCGATTGGAATACGCAATTTCTAGCGTATTTTTCGTTGCCTTCCAATTGTTCCGTAAATGCCTCAGCAAGTAATTGATCAGAGTATGTTTCCGACACGATCTCTGGATGTTTTCCAACAAATCTGAAAGCAGGTTCGAATCCAGACAGCTTTGCGAATTCCTTTGCTAGTGGTGAGACCGTAATATCGTCCTCCTCTTCATCTTCTTCTGCTTCAGCCTTGGTAGCAACTGCAGAGTTGTCTTGAGATGGCGCCTTTCCAACCGATATTAGACTATTTGGAAATGAAAAAAAAAAATATCAAAGTCTATAAATTCTTACCGCGTTAACAGAATCGGCATTCAGGGTTTCGATCACTTTGTTTGTTTGTTTCTTCGGTTCAGAGGGTTTTGAAGTTGGTAAAATTGGCTTACTGATCATCTAAAAACGTTCCATATTTAAAACAATGTATTATATATCTTTACTCGGTCATAGATCTGAACTTACTGTTTTGTTGAATGATTCGTGATACATGTTATCGCTCGTCATCTTCTTGGCCGCTTCCTTCTCCTCCTTGGCAAGCTCAGCCAGCATTTCATCTTGACGAGCCTGTGCCTTATTTCTTGAATCAGTTATTCTTGTAATCAGTTGTCTTTTAACGTCTTCTTCTGATTGAGTCCTGAGGGCAGTTTCGATCTGACCCACAAGGGATTCCATGATAGCATCGAAGCTTGCCGTTGCTCCAGCTGAGTTCGGGATAGGAGTATCGCTAGAGCCCTCCTTGCGAGCTTTATCGCGAATGCTGGTTATATCTTCAATCACTTTTCGGGTTCCATCCTTCTGGCACACAGTAATGAGTTCATTGAGCTGCTTTAATAACCGATCGTTCCTGCCTGTTTCATTTTGCAGAAATTCGATCTTTTGACGGCGTTGTTCGCGCTCCATATGGATGGACTCTTGCTTCCATTTAATAAATGAGCGCTTGTCAACATTTGGATGGACCTCAATGTCAGAATCGTCAGAGAGTTCAAGGTTGTCCCACTTGCTGTAATCCAATGGCATGTTCGAGAAACAAAAGGAGTTAAGAAAGTCAAGTAGCGGACACTAAATTATTTATTGTTTTTCCAAACATCCACGTCAATCAATCGTCTTTCCAATTATCGTTACCAACTTTTCTAACTATGCTAGTCATTATCCACCCTATCACAGGTCGTAAAAATCGTAGTAGAAATCCGCCAGGTAAAAGACTGGCATTCAGTATCTCTGCGACACTCCAGATTTCCTCAGCTTCTCGAATTCTCCATTCTCCGCTGACTTTGCTCACTTTAAAGCGGGAGATGACACTGAGTAGCCGATATGTTAATAAACCCACTTATCTCATCTCAGCGTCATATCAACAAGAATTCAAAGACTCACCGGTATGAAGTCTTTGGCGCTCCTCCTAACAGCCACCATATAACGCCCCAGACTGAAAAGAATATAGCTATCCACCACTTCAACTGTATTTGATGTTCTGAATCGATCATGACGGTGTCGTCCTTGGCAGTAATATGGTTTATCCGGGCATCTTTGAATCTGAAGAAGAACAACAAGAAGTCAAAGTGGGCCGCGATATTCTGTGGCCCTACGCATGTTGAAAACGGGTCAGTATAGACCGCTTTGTTGTCGAAATAACTGCGTATGACTCTTCGCCGTTTGATTTTGGCTTGCGATATTGATCCGCTAGGATACAAAAGCGGATATACTTGATTGACAATAAATGCTTCAGGCGTTCCGTCAAAGGAATCAGGATCACTTGTCATGTCTTTTTTAACCACGTCACTGTATGAAGTAGGCATGTTTGAGGTAAAACGAAAGGAAAGAGCTATAAAGAAATTTTTCATGCGAAAAAATAACGAGATTATATTTATATAAAAGGGTCGATGACTTCATTTTGACAAGATGTACAAATCTGCCTCACTGCAGCTTTCACTACTTTTGTCTACTACGATTCCTTGTAATATCCATGACAATGCTACTTTCAGCATCTGCGGCTGCACTACCGCTATCTCTCGCTCACCGTAGTGCGATTGGTGGCAGCCCTCACAGTACTCTACTTGTCGGCGATAAGAGACAGAGTAAGTGAACGAAAGCTCGTTGCTATTCGCACTCTGATTGAATGGTGATACTTCGATTTTCAAAGCTCTTCTGGGAAGATTGATAACGGGAGACGGCCATTCCTTACAATGCAGTTGTAGCTCGTGGGCAATTGGCTTGTGAGTGTAACCGATATCATTTGGCGTGTCCGAGCGGAAGTGAAGGCAACCATCTTTAAGCTCATATCCTACGCAAATTAATCGTCCAACTTGTGGCGATATATAATCTGGGTTGAAGTACTGAGCATAGGCGGAGGATGGTGTCCGGAGTTCGATAGCCCAGCCTTCATGACAAATTTTGTACATCAGCGCTTTGATGCATAGTTGATTGAAGGATTGCGAGACCGTCCGGTATTGACAAAGGTTCCAAGCATCCAAATTATATAGTATCTGTAATATTATTTCTACTGAAAGCATGTATTATGAAGTTTGTCTAATGGATATTCAAAAAGCATGGGTAAGAAGCAATCTTTGAGTCAGATGTCCTCGACTCGGCGATTGAAAAGAGACCAGTCCCTGAGACACCAATTTTAGCAGTCAAAGATTTTTTTTTTCTCAAATGCTTATAAAATAAACAACCAAAGGAGTGCCATTATATCCAAAGGTTCTTCCTCACCAACAATACAATCGGTAAGTTATCCATACATCCCTCCTCTCCCACCCCTTCCCCTCCCTTCAACAATATGCAATGATGACCCAGGCATTTGACTTTAGTCTTTCTGACGCTGACGAAAAAACCCCAGCTACCTAATTTTTTTGCTGATGCGTATTGTTGAATTACTTCCCACTTTTCACCTCTCCCCACCCTTCCATCTTTTGATGACCCGTATCTAATCGATATACCTCCTACAGTACCCAATGTTGCGTCAAGGTGTCCGTTCTCTCTCCAAGCGGTTATATTCCACCGAGGCATCCAGCCCACCTTACATTATCACACGCACTGATGCATCAGGCGCGTTACCTGTCTACCTAGACATCAAGAACGGAGGAACAAGAAGCCTCACCATCATTCGTCGGGTTCAAGGAGATGCGGAAGCATTGAGACAGGAAGTGGCTGCTTTGTTCCCGGATACCCCCAAGAACTTTGTTACCGTTAATCCTATTAACAATCAAGTCGTCATTAAGGGTTCATATGTGAATGATATTAAGCAATGGCTCGCTCAAAAAGGCTTTTAAGCCATTATACAAAAATTTGTAAAATTATACCTGTACATATGTAAATTAATCAAAAGACAAATAATACTACTCTGAAAGCTTTTTGGCATATTGCCACTTGCAACCTATATTGAAAAAATGAACTGCATCTTTGAACAATGAGGAAAGTTATTTGTTTACTGTTATCATCTTTGGCGCAGGCGTATTTGGCTTGCACAAAGGGAAAAAAAAAAAAACCAGTTCTCGGCCCTTTTCTTGAGGACTGGGCAATTACTTTTTTGGCACTCGTCATAACCCTTTTTTATATCATTTCTCTTCACAAACAAAAGTCCCACATGGACAAGATCGTATCACAATATGGAGATGTAGTGCTTCGCAAAAGTGTTAGTATTAGCACAGCTAGCGTTACAAGGGTGGCCAAACTCCAATAACCCGATTTTTTGTACAACAGGACTATGACACCTTAGCGGATGGACAGTGGTTGAACGACACGGTCATAGAGTTCCACACTGAATACCTGGAGAGAGAAATCATACCACGAGACGCCAAAATACTTATATTACGACCTGCCACAGTACATCTTATATCGCATATTCAAGGTTTGTATAAGATACGGACGTATGCGTTGAAGCTGCTCAATGATCTAACCTGAACTCGACTAAGATACCTCGCAGCTGCATTCAGCATTACCACCCAACTTAAATCAAAGTTTGGCAATCTTTATTCCAATCAACGACGGTAAGCCGCATATTGCAAACAGTGGCTCACACTGGTCACTATTAGTTTACTTGAGGGCAACGTCGACGTTCTACTACTATGACAGTCTGCACAACGCAAATATCAATTCTGCAAGGCTGACAGCCAGGAGACTTACACCACTTCTTGGCTTACGCATCGTACCCCACTTCGTGTCCATGTGGACACCACCTCAACCCAATGGCGCTGACTGTGGGATATGTGTGATAGCCATCACGGATTTCTTGGTTGAGAAGATTCTTTCATTTCGACGCGTCGCAGTGAACCCTTGGCAGCTGATGCAAATTTCTCCTCAAGATTTGCCGTCAACTAGAACGATAAGGAAAGGACTACGGACGATGATTAAAGACCTCGCGCGGAAATAACCCCTCATCTGTTATATAGAGCACCAAAAACATTCATGTTTTGGTAAAGCACTCGTGTTACTATCCTCGTGGGAATAGAGAGGACCTGTAATGTAATCTATGTTGAAGGAATAGGTGTATGAGAAAGTCGACAGGCTGGTGCATCATTAGATCAACGATAGCTACCAACAGCTTTTCTGTACATAGCAGGCTGGAGGTGATAACTAACTGTTGGGATATAGACATCACTCACTAAAATATGAAGCTGTTTACAGATCTGCCTGTCTACAATACTTATATTTGTCTTGAATAATCTTGTAGTGATCCTGAACTGCTTACTGCCCATCTTCAGTGATATGTTTCGCCCTTCCTTGTTGATTTTTGTCCATACGAGTTAGGTCTGATTTTTTTGGTAGTTAAACTATTTCATTCATGGCTGTCGATGATCAACTTCACCACATCAATTGTCTATCGACCTGCTCGCCTTCCAATGACGGATATAGTACATTCACCAGCTCTTCCAAATTAATCAGTTTTTTAATAAAGGTTGTTTTAAAGTTATACCGTATATTGCTATGAACCAATCTATCACAAATTTGCTGTTTGGCTATTGGCTAAATAAGTTACTGGTAAGGAGATTTGGACAGCGGAGAATCTTTTCTCAGAGGATGTTTTCGCTGAAACCTCACAGCTTATTCTGCTGCTTTTGGGATGCGGCATGGTCAACGGTGTGGCGCTTTCTCAAAAGAAAGACAGTACTGAGCACATTTAACATTTCCTTCAAGTTTGAGTGCTTGTGGGCAAGTTACATTTACCTATGGCACCTTCACTGACCTCAAAGATAAACATGAGAAGTATAAACTTTGAAGGGGGCTGTTTCGGCCTATTATTTCAGTCTTCACAACGCCATACAGCCTGCCGCTAACAAACAACCAAAGGGTTTGCGTTTCCAGTTGGTTCGCGGATGAGGCTTCATGATTCTGTTCTTTCCGATTTATAAAGTATTGCTTATCAAGGCTTCAAATCGACCGAAGAATAATAAGAAAGGAAAAGCTGCAGTGTACATGGTCAATCATATAATAAGGTGTATATAAATATTCTTAGTGGCAAAGAGTACGCTGTCTCTCGCTCATCAAGCTGAGAGCTTAGCCAGCCTAGCCACTAAACCTCAGATGTTTGATCGCTTGACGTGGAATGCTAATTTTATTAATAATTTAAAAACACGCAAAATGTGACGCAGTAATAAATTTTTCTGTGGCAGAAATTTTCTGTTTTTCTTTAAGTGAGTTTACAAGCAAAAAGTAGCTTTCTTTCTTTCTCAATAGCCTACCAAAGGTACTGCATCTCAATATTTCAGCTTCATATCCAAAAGACGTCTCTTCTGTATAACGGTGGAATGTGGGCCCGAATTGTGGCAGCGAAACGAAGATCCTGATTCAAACTATCGATTTTGACGATCGGCGATCTAGCTATTTACAATGAACCATCAGACCGTTGTATTTTGTCAGTTGGTCAGGATTGGACATCACGACGTCGCTGTTCACGCCCATGCGACTGTATATTGGGGCCCAAGAAACTGTTTTGATATTTTCTGCAAAGCAGTTACTGATTCGTTTTATTGTGTTTTATTAGCATTGCAAACATGAATCCCGAAAAGCTCGCTAAACTCCAAGCTCAGGTCCGCATCGGTGGCAAGGGTAAGCATATACTCATTCTTTCAATCATGGATAAGTAAACCCCATTAACTGATTTAATGTGTCGACTTCAGGTACTCCCCGCCGTAAGGTCAAGAAGGTCACCAAGTCTGCTGGTACTGACGACAGAAAGCTCCAAGCTACCCTTCAGAAGCTCTCTGTCCAGCCCATCGCTGGCATTGAGGAGGTCAACATGTTCAAGGAAGACGGTAACGTCATCCACTTTGCTAACCCCAAGGGTAAGTTGTACATCATCTTTCAATAAGTGAACGGTCTGCCTATTTACCCGTCAAATTTTTTTTTTTAGTTCACGCTGCCATGAACTCCAACACTTATGCCGTCTATGGTCGCGCTCAAGAGAAGGAGCTTACCGAGCTTGGTACGTTTAATCAACATTCTTTTCTTACACAATATTATGTGTTAAACTAACCTCATCTCACTTCACAGTTCCCGGTATTTTGAGCCAGCTTGGCCCTGACTCTCTTGCCAGCCTCCGCAAGTTGGCCGAAGCCTACCAAGCCGCCCAAGGTAGCGCCAACGCTGATGACGATGATGAGATTCCTGAGTTGGTTGAGAACTTCGACAAGGCTGAAGTCTCCGAGATCACTGAGGAGAAGGCTGAATAAGTTAAACGCTAAATAACTAGCTGTTTTCACATAGTCTTTGTAAGCATTGCTTTTTACAAAATTATAAAAAAAAGTTGTCTTGATAGTCCTGCCCTAAACGGCTTGCTTCCGATGTTACGTCCGATGAAAGAAAGCGTCAAGGTGCTGGATTTCCGTTTCAATCAACTAATTTGGCTACACAATAATAATGTGAGGCGTTGACAGACATTTGCGAATCTATATAAAAGCTGGCTTGTCCTTTGGCAATCAACGTACCTTCCCTTCTTTTTTTCTTAGTCTCTCGTTACCCCCTTACTCTCTCTCTTTACTATGCCCAAAATTCGTCCCATCTCTCATGTTCGTTCCAAGAAAGACTGGCATACGTGCCGTCACTGCCATACAGTCTTCTCCTCTTTCCGTCGAGGTGATTGGCATCTTACTATCTGTAAAGTGTACTTGAAATCCGAGGCCAATACCTCAGATAGCTGCAAGTCACAGCAATTTATGGTGGGGCGCGAAAATTATCTTTTCTGGAAGCTGGAAGACGATGACTATGACCGGGAAGCGCAACCTGGCGCCACTGTGGCCGATATGGAAAACCCGTCGTTCAAGTGGCTATCCTGGAATCGTCTTCGCAAATGCCCAATCCTCGTAAAACTCAGTCTCATGTAACATTCATATCCTCTGGCATCCTCCAAAACGTAGCTCTTCTCCTCTTGGAAAATGAAGACCTCACTTTATTAATCAACGCACTCATTCACAAGTTAAAACTAATTATATGATCATGTAAAAGAAATTAAGCGAAAAGCACCCTAATCCTTCAGATTTTAAAGAATAATATAACAAAAAAATAATAAAAAAAAATTTATATTAAACATTGTCTGAAAAGCTACATTCTCGGCACAGCCTTATGTGGAGTAAGGTTTGCATAACAATAAAGGTTCACGAGTCGTTGTACCTTTTTTGCGTTGCATCTCCCAAAGTTGTACTTGTGTTATTTATGGATAACTCTGGGGTGCTACTATGAAACGGAACACATCCGTGCTGGCCGTTGAGTTCGTAGCGCAGACTTTGGTGACACCAATTAAACATACTGCCCAGTTTTTTTTTAGAACTTTCCCTCTGGTGGAAATTAGTGCAATCATTTTGGCCGGGGGACCTTCACCATCCGAGGCTCTGCGAGTTGCAAATAGGTAATGGAACTTGCAATGTCTGTAAATGTATGTCTACTCGCAGACACTTGCCGGTTGAGTGAGCACTATCTACCTACCAAGCGGAGAAAGGCTACCATCAGCTACTTTATATCATCTGAGATGAGCTGTCATATTTCTATAAACTGCATCGGCTGGCATGCCGTCTTGTGATGACTTCTGAGCTGCCCTTGTCCAAAAGTAGCAGCAACTGAAAAGCTGAATACAGCAATCTGTTGGGAACTTATTTATTCAATACAGTCGATGTTTATTTCAGTGTGAAGTGGAGGGGAAGATTTTTAAAAAAAAATGTTTTTGAATTGTCAACGCCTTCCACCACACAGTAGGCAGTCAATTGAGTCAGCCGGATCGAATGTGTTTCCAGGTTCAGACAGATCAGAAACTTCAATACGAAATCTGATTTCATTTCTACATATCTCATCTGCATAATCGTAGTATTTACAGTGCTTTGTGCGTTGCATTATTTGTCTTTCATACGGTTCCATATCTCTCTGGCCTTGAGTTCTTGACCTATCGTCATCAATGATTCTCCGTGATGCGAAGTACCTACTCTCAAAACAGCACATTTTGAAAGAAATGTATATTTGTTGTTTCTGTTGTTGTTGTATAAAATGAAATGTAAGCCCTTGTAGTGGGGAAAAGAAGGCGGTCGAGGGAAAGAATTTTTTTTTTTATAGTGGAGGTGAAAAAAGCCATTCTCTAGCCTACATATAAACAAAAAATGTGGAAACCAGAATAAAAGTGCTTTGCCACACGAGCTTCACTTATACCTTCGATTGGGATGATGGCGAGATGATAACAGAACATCTTTGGAATACTGTTGGCTTCGACCTCACTGTTCATTTTCCTACTATAAAAATCGTGCTAAAAATTTATCTTCAATGATTGATATGGAGACAGATGTAACTTTGAATTTGTATACGGAGCCTCGGCTTTGATCTTTCGATAAATATGCGATTTCGCAAATTGTCATCTGGGATGAGCCATGCTTTGTCGGACTTAATTAATACCATACTTCCAACTACATACGGACCACTAACAAGTTACAATGGATAGTATGTGATAACAAAGTGTCTAAGATATCGAGTAAGTGGCATGCAAATAGTGCCTTAAGCTATATGATAGATACCTGAGGAACCGTTTTGCTACGACTATAGTCCAACCATCTCAATGGCAAAGGATCGCACGTACATACCAACAAGAGAGAAGGCGTTGGCCAAAACGATAAATATTAGGTTAGCGGAGATCAATGTTCCAGGGAAGAGGATGATCCCTGGCAATAATACCGCAGCGCGATTTTAGCTATGGCAGAGACTTTTGAGAGCTTTTTTTTTCCACCTCCTGCCATATATAGAGCTTGAGAAGATTACAAGCCCACTCTGTGCATCTTTTATCAATGTGCCGTTCTTATTCTATTTAACATTTGCTGATCCATGGCAACCGAAGAACCATCAACGCAGACCATAGCAGTCGTTTTAATCATTGTCTGCCTTGTCGTCCTCTTGCCATGTCTGTATATGAGAGTAAGGATGAACAGAAGGAACGCGCAAACTCCTGTTTTTGGTCATTTTAGGTCAATATCAAGGCGTCAACAAACGTTCTTGAGACGCCAGTCAGCACCACCTCGTCTGGAGCAAGTCATTGTCCAAGTGCCAGCAGGAGTCGATGCTGAGAGTATCAGTAATTGCTCAATATTACCACGTTACGAAGTCGACAAAGCACCCCCTGCTTATACGGATAGTCCCTCTGCTTTCAATGTCAACGATGACATGATTAGGCCTAGTTCAGTTGACCTTTCAGATGTGCCAGTGGCAGATCACATAGGAAGCCGTCAAGATGCGACTCTAGAGTAAAACTTATTAAATCACCAATTTCGTATCATTTCTATGATGCACACTTTACTTGCAAACGCTGTGCAACCAACAACAATACCTTGCTCTTTTAATTAGTTATTACATTATACTGTATATTGGTTGCTAGAATGGAAATAATAGTTTACAAATGCTTCCGTCCTTTCTGTGCTATGGGTTTACGTTTCCATTGACATAAATGCGCTTTCTGAAGCATTCTGTAAACCAGAGGCCACAGGATGTGCTGCTACATGCGCTGCTACTGCAGCATCGTCGTATCTCTCTGTGATAACGCGAACATCTCGTACACGGGGAAACGCCAGATTCTTGCTCAAGACGGCAATTTGCTTTTGGTGATGCAGATATCCTTTCAAGTACGACTATATTTTCGAAGTGAGCTGTTAATGAATAGATTATTTCACAGTACCTTGTTGACAGGAAAACGAGACATACCTGGTCCATGAGAGAAACTAATAAACATTCTATGTCCAGCATATCATAAGTTTGGTCACCGGATGAAAATTGTAACGCAACCAGACATTGTGTAAAAGGCAATATAGGTGTTTTGCCAGGCTCCCGTAACAATATATAACTATTCGAAAGAATGTGCGCAAAAATGGTCAGTGTGACTATAAGCCTACATCACCTTGGAGACCGCTTACGATCAGGGATACTCACACTCTTCGAAATAGGCACCGCCAGATAACGACTTTGACGCGTTCCTTTAACATTATGTAATTTCCTTCTCGTAGTAACGTTGGCATATGTCTTTCTAGATGATATTGATAGCCAGATAAATTTCCTTGCTTGATCGCCGTGCACAGGGTTTGATATTTATCCATCAAGTTGTATTTCGCCAAGAGCTCCGTTCGTGGAAATGTTCCCAAAACCATTCTCGCCGAGATGAGGTAGATCAAAATCAGCCTACACCGTTCGTAAGACAATCCATGAGATTTTTGTTGCATTGACAGCATGATTTGAAAGTACTGTTACCTCTTATTTCTTGTGGCATGGCGCGTGCACTTTCTGAATGCGATATCCAACTCCCTTTCCGCCTACCATGAAATAAAGTGAGAAGAAATTCATCAAACATATCCATCATTCCGTTTTACAATTACCTTTCGAACCTGGCTTTCAAATAAGTAGTATCGCCCTAGGTAGTATCGATATGTGACTTGTTGAGATTTCGGGAAGGCTTCGATTTGAACGTTTTCTTTCGCAAGATGACTAATAAAAGTTCTGCACATTCTGATTTGCCTGAGCTGAAAGTCATGTGGAAATTAGGATAAAGTATTGCTTTGAATGTTTACATTCAGCTATCTCTGTCGTACCTTGAAGTAGAGCTTGAAAGCCAAGTTTGTGACATGAAGAACAGCTTGCTTTTTTGACACTTCAGATGGACCTCCATCATTCCTTTACGCTATATCATCAGAAACCAAACTATTGCATGCACGTATTTGTCGTTAAAGCATTACCTGTCTGATATCGTAGTGTTGAAGCATTTTGATAATAAGCGCGTCGCATCATCCAATTTTTTGTCCTTGTCTGAGCCGGTAAAACCTGTCATCTTATCCACCTGTTCCTTTGCTCAGCAATGTTTGCTTAAATTACCACTTGCAAATCGATAAATACTTACTCGGAACGCGAGCTGAACAAGCATGGATGACAATTGCTTGAACAGTGGGACTTGCCAGTTGGAGTCTGGACCAGAAAATTGAACAAGGTACATACTATAGAAGAGAGTCAGCCTGACTTGCTTGGACTCGTATTGGTGAGCCAGTCCTTACCTGAACATTGTTGAATAAAGGTCATAAACCTTGAGAGCATCTGGATCGTTCAAATGCTGAACCAAAATCAGGTATGCCGATAGAAAGTTTTTCTGAGCGTTTGTATAGTCTGAAAAAGTTGATTCTATTACGCCTTTATATTGAATGCCCTGTTAATTTGTCAGTACAGGATCGTGAATTGAAACACTTTGTCAGTAATACAAAAGTTACCTGGGCCATTTCGTAGCGAAGTGCTTGAACATTGGGATCGCTGTCGTAGAACTGAAATAACTGGCAAAGGACGAGACCATTCTTGTAGTCAAACGCAGATCGCACTTGCTGCAAAAAAGCCGTTATAGTCGACATATTTTTTGTAGAAGCAAAGACGCTACTATTGCAAGCCGCGCTGAACACCAAGTTGCCCAAACCACCATTTTGAGCTCAGGTACGACTGCTAAATAATGCGGTTGTTGTTTTTGGTCAATGAAAAGCCATTATTGATTGAAGCTCGTAAATCAGTTTATACAAGTGGAGATGCCCGAAAGGCAGAATAAGAGCTCGTTTAATCACTTGGCAAGGCATACCAGTACACTAGTCAAGTGATAGGAAAAAGGACGAACATAGGGCTATTCGCAGTAATTTCATATGTAACACTACATAATGACTACCCTTGTCAGCAATTGTTCAACCCCTTGGGTCAGTACGCTTCATTCAGTTCTAAAAAGCAAGCATACCAATTGAAATCTATGGGCGGTTTTTATGTATAAATGACCAGAGAATATGTTCTAATTGTACAGAAAGGGTAATGTCTAGAGCAACAACCATGTTGCATTTACATTGCGATATATCAAACAGCAGCAGAGGTCATACATATTAAAATCAATGGACAACTTGGATACCAATGCTCTTGGCAACGCCAATGATACTACCGCAGATGCTTTGAAGGCTAAGATGTTTTAAGTTGCTGTCTTGTTGCTTGATTTTTGCAATTTCATAAACATGTTTAAGTGAGACCTTGCCAGCGGTTTCGGTACCAGGGTTGGAAGCGCCCTTTTCTATTCCAGCAGCACGCTTCAACAAGAATGGTGTAGGTGGTGACTTCGTTATGAATGTGAATGTTCGATCTGGCTTGATGGTTATGACAGTAGGAATGGGGGTTTCGGCGATAATGTTCTTTGTCTTGTCGTTGAATTGTTTACAAAAATCCATGGACTTCACACCACGAGCACCGAGGGCAGGACCAACTGGGGGTGATGGTGATGCTTTCCCGGCAGCAACCAGGAGACGAACGAATTGCTCTGCAGCAGCAGGTTTCTTTGACATTTGTGTGCAATGGAATTCTGTGGTCAATTTTCTGTTCAACTTTTTGAGGTCTTTTTCCCAAATTGTGGCTTTGACGTCACGTGCGCTCACTTTTGGTCCCTTTTGTGCCAGCATTTTCTTGAAAGCACTGCAATATCGCATACAAGTATAACCTATGCTCATTGAAATACCGTCAAATATAGGTGGGTTGTAAACATAAAGGTTATTGAAATTAAGAGATATAAATGAAATATGACCTGTCATTAATATCTTTCAATTGTCATAGTACCCCTGCGTAATAGAGCACAGTTAAACCTGAGTGAGTTGATCCATAGTAAATCTCGATAGAGGGTTTTTCGGCCATCATTAAGTGCGATATTACATGCAAAGTAGATACCTTTGAATCAGTGGGTTCAAATTAAAGTTAATGCCTGACAGGAGCCACATTTGGAAACGGTTAATTATCAGACGAAATAAAATTGACGTCGCGCTTGGACCGAGACATTCACTTTAATACCAAATTGCAAACATGCAATTGTTGGAGACGATTTTGTTTGAGCCAGGAAAAGGTAGAAGCCAAGTAGCTTCGGAAACGTTGTAACGATGCTAATTCCGCAAGGCAATTAGGGTTTTATCTTTTGGACTATCACTTGGATAGACTCCTCACGTCGGCACAGTATTTCAAAGGCGTTGACGGAAGATTTGACAGTATGCCGTCTGCAGAAGAAATTACAGCCAAGCTACAGCATGATATTCCACAAAAAGATGGACCACAGAGGGTACGTTGATACAGAAGACTTCGTGGTCATCGCAGGAAGTTTTGTTAATTGCTGTATGCTCTAGGTACGTCTCCTTGTCAATTCAGATGGTGAGGTCGAGTTGCAGCATACACCATTAAGTGAGTTGCCGCTGTTATGCAACATTAACGATAAGGCAGATACGAGAAAGCCATTGCTCGTTGCCCTTGATGTCCAACCTACTGAAAGTCAGTCGCCATATGTGCTGAACAAAACAACTCAGCGCGATCTATACAATGCGGCAAGAGATCGTTTAAAATGTGACTTTCATGCAGGAGAGTTAGGCAGAGAAGAAAACACATTTGACGTTCTGTTGTTCAACCAAAATGGCGAGATCACAGAAACGAGCATTGCTAACATAGCGATAGAAAAGGAACCAGGCATATGGATCACTCCCAGAGTCAAGTGTGGATTGCTGCCAGGTGTGTTCCGTCGGCATTTACTGGAAAGTGGACAAGTCCAAGAAGGCATTATCCATATAGATGACTTGAAAAGCCAGGTAAGGAGAGAGAATACGCATGTACTAGGCATATTTTTTAGAAACTCTTCTGACATTCTCGACTATGTAACAGCGAGGCGTCTCGCCACGTATCCGGTGTTTTAACTCGGTCCGTAAAGTATACGACGTCCGACTCCTTATACCATGAAGTCATAGCTCTTTAAAAAAGGAAAGAGAGTGGTATTCGTAACGATCTCAACTCCAAACAATAACACCATAAACCAGACATAGAATGTGAAATTTTACATAGTTTCTAATTATTTGGGCCAGAGCAACATCTGCTCGTGTTATTGTTGTTTGAAGTGAGTAATTCTGTTCAATTTTTTGGTTTCAAAACTGTATAGAGTCGATGATGGTGATGGAGCTATATATTTTTTTATCGGCCAAAGGTTGATTTAAAGGTTAAGAAGCAATCGTCTTGGGTCCTCAACCATCTCCTTCAGCTTCACAAGGAAAGTGACAGCCTCGCGACCATCAATGACTCTGTGATCGTAGGTGAGAGCGACATACATCATAGGGCGGATCTCAACCTAACAGTACGAATGATAGAGAGAAAGTCAGTATGCGTTACACTTTCCGATATATTTCATATTCACTGTACACTAACCTTGCCGTTGACAGCAATAGGTCTATCCTTGATACCGTGCATACCGAGAATAGCAGTCTGGGGCAAGTTGATGATAGGGGTTCCCATGAGAGAGCCGAAGACACCTCCGTTGGAAATAGTGAAGGTACCGCCAGCCATGTCTTCGATGGTAATCTTGTTATCACGTGCCTTGTTACCAAGGGCAGCAATGTTCTTCTCAATGTCAATGTAGCCCATATCTTCTACATTTCTAAGGACGGGAGTGACAAGACCCTTGGGAGTGGCAACTGCAACACTGATATCAACGTAATCGTGGTAAACGATGTCGGTACCATCGATGGAAGCATTGACGGCGGGAAGTTCTTGCAAAGCGATGGCGGAAGCCTTAACAAAAGCGGACATGAATCCAAACTTGACGTTGTGCTTCTTAAGAACAGCATCTTTGTAGGTAGTTCGAAGGTCCATAAGGTTGGTCATATCTATTTCGTTGAAGGTGGTGAGGGAGGCAGCGGTGTCTTGTGCGCTCTTGAGACGCTCAGCGATTCTCAGACGCATACGGTTCATCTTGACACGGTTTTCTGAGCGGTTACCGAAGGCAGCCTTGGGCTGTTCCGAGGGTTGCGAAGGCTGTGAGGCAGCGGGTTTTGGGGCTTCCTGCTTCTTAGGCTCTTCCTTGGGTGGGGCAGGCTTTGATTCTTCAACCTTCTCTTCCTTCTTGGGTTGTTCTTCCTTGGTTTCCTCTTTCTTGGGTTCTTCCTTGGCTTCGGAGGAAGCGGCACCTAGAACACTATATAAGTCACCATTCCACATTTTTCGGTGTAACCTGTTTATATGTCAACCAACCTTCTTTAGGTGCGTCTCCAAGCTCGAGTTTAAAGAGATCAGCACCGACAGCCACGTTGTCTTCTTCAGCAGCAAAAACTTCGATGATGGTTCCAGAGGCGGGAGAGTTGACAGAGACATCGACCTTATCGGTTTCGATGGTGGCAACCTCTTCGTCCTGCTTTACATAGTCACCAACATCTGTTGCAGAGGTTGGCGTTTAGTACCACTCTACTTGTGTTAAGTTCACAAAAAACGAGGACGCGTTACTTACTTTTGACCCATTGCTTCAAAGTACCTTCTGAAATCGATTCAGCCATTTGAGGGACCTTGACGACCTTGTCGGCTAATGATGAAACGACGTGTTTAGTCATGACGTAATTGCAATAAAAACAAGTATAACGTTGATGCATACCATAGGTTCTGACTTGTTGTGTGATGATGTTGGTGTTGAGAATGCCAGCTTGCCTGTAAAGAGAAAAATAGAAAACTCGAGCGTAAGCAATATTGATTTCCGCTAGCCCTGCCTTGGCAATGTCAATCCATATTTCCCCACGGTCAAAACACACCCCGGTTTTTATGTCGCATCGAAGTGATACAGCTAACCCCTAGCTTGTATTTCAACCCATTGGACGCAAGCATGTTCTGACCGCAACTTCTCTGTTACTTCTCCAGATATTATGAACGAGAACTTACTTGAAACGTTCTGAACCGACGATAAAGGTAGATGCACGAGCTTGAACGTGGAAGGTTCGTGATGCAGCGAGGTAGCGAGCACCAGTGCGAATGGCCTGTTGAGAGCGCATAGTACGCGACATAGTCACTAGCGAAGGGGCGATTCTTGAAGAATTCATTGTTTAAGAATTGAAAGAGAAAAGACGATCTATTCCTGGTTGTCTGAAGTTTGCAGGGCCTGACTTTACATACTTGTTTTTTTCTTCGTACAAACGGGGAAAGCCGTCACGATTTCCCGTTATGTTCCGGGTCCGCCGGCTGATCGATCAGCCTCATGGTACAGAGCAGATTTCAACGTGGCAAGGCTCTCGCTGAACTGATTCGTCGATTCCCAGACGCCGGTAAGTCGCAACAGTGACATGTTATCCCATTGAATGAGTCTCACCCACAAACTTATATTATTCTATTTAGATCCAAATTATCTATTGGACTGTTTGGCATGTTACAATGAAGACCCTGTTCAACGTATCTCCGACAAGATGGTGTCTTTTAAAGGCTATTACCCTAGGCGACCGTTGCAATCAGAACCAGGATCAGTTGTCGTCAAGAATCAATATTTACATTTCCTTGCAACCGAATTGTTTCCCGACTGCCATGTAAATCTACTGCGTGAATGTTTACTACCACAAAAGCATTCGCATATTGAAGCAGTTTGCGAAAAGATTCTACAAGAACAACAGTTACCAGTCCGACTACAATCTGGAATTATTGAGAGACATGAATTCATCACTTCAGAACAATATCGTTCTCAAGCATTAAATCAGTTAACGCACGATTACCCCAATGTAAGGCTTACTGACCATGCTATAGTCATAGTATCGTGTAACTCAGATGCATCCCCAAATTGCTGAATAACCTTTTTTCCTAAAATAGGTTTGGAAGTCATCCATACGAGCCGTCATGGCAGAGAATAACAGTAACTATCTGAAGAGCTACGATCAACTGGCTGAAATGGGATCAGGAGGGTTTTGGATTTCTATTCGCAATCTCTTAAAACACTGGTCCTCTTCAGCCACATCTAGTACTGTACGTACTGCTGGCGACAAGTCGGAACTGGCGGAAGAATTAAATATTATAAGAAAGCGACGACTGGATGAGCAAGAACGAACCGACAAAGTATTTGCTACGACCTTAAACGACAAAGAATATGCAACGACTGGCGCATATATTTCTTGTGAATGCTGTTTCGACGACTGTACATTTGAACAACTGCAGAGCTGTTCAGCTGGAGAACACCTATTCTGCAAGGATTGTATTGAACGTTACATTTCAGAGGGCATCTTCGGACAAGGAAATCTTCGAGGAGTATCACCTATAGCCTGCATGAACTCTTCTAGCGACTGCGAAGGTATATTCGCGAGGCGTGTGTTGGAAGCAGCGCTGTCCTCACACGTTTGGAAAGCGTATGAACTGTCATTGACCAAGGAAGAAGTGTCAAGGTCTTCATCTTCTGTTGTCCAATGTCCATTCTGTGATTATTGTGAGATAGATGACCACATTAGGCCGCTTTCAGTCATCCAAGAATACACCCCAATACTTGTATTTTGCACAGCATGCATTCTTGAGCTGCCTGTTGCCTTCATCCTTGCGTCATGGTTTCATGGAGTTGCTGCATATATTACCCTCCTCGCTGTTCATATTAGCGTTCAGTGGATGCTCCATTTTGCGGACTGGCGGGACCAGATTCGTATCGTGTACAAACGTATCCAAGATAGACATCGTGGAAAATGCTTCCAATGCCGGAATCCCAAATGCGGTAAAACCAGTTGTCTCCTTTGCAGTAAAGCTGTCAACGGACTCCATTCTTGTACAGACGATGCTCAAGATGCATATCGACTCTACGTTGAAAAGGCTATGGCTGATGCTGTTAAGCGAACCGTAAGTATTGGTATACCGTTGTAATCTTTTGACGACAATAGGAGTGCTAATAATCCCTTATAGTGTCCTAATTGTAATTTGTCATTTCAAAAGTCGGATGGCTGTAACAAGATGACTTGTCTCTGCGGTAAGTCTTTGTCAGAATGTCTATTTCACAAATCGCATCATACTGACTGATATGTGAAGGTTATACCATGTGTTATGTATGCCGAAAAGATATTGGAAAAGAATCCTACTCTCACTTTTGTCAGCATTTTCGTGAAGTGCCGGGGCGGTCTTGCGCAGAATGCTCCAAATGTGATCTGTATAAAACTGAGTCTGACGATTCTTCCGTTCGAGCCGCTGCTAGGAAAGCTCGCCAGGAGTATCTTGCTGCACATCCTGAAGTACTTCAACACATGGATAAAGCGGAAACTCCAACTATAGGACCACCGACCACAATTGAAGCCCTATGTAGGTTCCAAATTAGTGTCTGTACAATTATGGATGTACGTCGCAAACTAATTCATTTTATATACAGATCAAAGCCTACAGACAAATGTACAATTCATTCTTGAATGCATAATAGAAATCATAGTGTGATTAACACATCTAAAGACGTACATATTTCAATCGGTTACCGAACGCTTTTCATCCATGGCAACTACTGTACAAATTTTTGAATTTTCTCTGTTAAAAAATTTCAAGTCCTCAATGTATCGTGGCAACCTTTGCATTCCACTTTGTTTCATTAATCAATACCAAAATGCCAACATTTCCTTCAAAGCCATATAGGCCACAGACAACTGTGATGAATAGCTGGAATGCCCGTGCTAAACGAAGTCCAGTCCTCTTCTTCGGTTTACCTTTCATTCTTACAATGGTCGGGGCATCGTTTGGCCTGTCACAGCTAACGCAGACTCGTTATGATCATCGAGACATGCACCATCGCAAGGTAAATAATTATTATTTTCGTTACTTTCCGTTCAATAATATCATCATGTTAAGCCGAATTCAATGATACAGGTCGCCAAAGAGGAAGCGCTAGGTATGGAGAAGAACCGAAGGCAGTTCAGTCTTCAGGAGGAATACTGGGTAAGTAACTATTTCACAAACTTAATGGATTTTATGTCCAATGCTGACGCAGTCAATTCCATCGTAGCGTTTACAAGCTAAGAGCGATGAAGACGATGATTGGGAGCAGGTTCGAGTAGAGCGACCTCCTGGCGTTGAACAATGAACATGCTAAACTTTTTAACATATACACAGCGCCATAATGTAAAATAATAAAATGCCTAAATATTGTATTGTTTCTTTTATTACTTAATCTCTTCTCTAACTTTTTCTGTGATATGGGGTAATTTGGAATTCTTATTATATGTATGATGGTGGCAAGTCGACATCCAAAAGCAAATGTTATAATGATTAGGCACTAATGACCTGGTCAAACTCTCCGCTGGCAATCTAAACGTAAACGTCAACAATTGTAAGTAGTTGTTAAATTCTTGTCTTGTCTATCGTTACTGAAAATTGCTTACCATTTCCTTTATAATATCCAATCCACCCAACAACTCGCCCTTGTAGAAAAGCATTGGGAATGTGGGCCAGTCGACATGAGTCTTGAGTCCTTGTCTGACTTCATCGTCTGAAAGAATATCGAAGTATCCATATTTGACATGCCGGTCATTGAGGAGGCCAACCAATTGACGTGAAAATCCACATCTAGGTTCCTGAGGTGTACCCTTTATGAAAGCCATGACGGATTGTTTTTCAATGAGTTCTTGGAGTCGGGTGCTAAGGTCTTTCTCTTTGGGAATCATCTCTGCAAACTCTCCTGATGCGATCAGCTCTTTGATAATATCAAGCCCGCCAGCGAGCTCGCCGTTGATGTAAACCTGGGGAAAGGTTGGCCAGTTTGAGAACTCCTTCAACCCTATTTAGGTAAATTAGTAAGTCTCTGAATGGCAATTTCCATGGATCAGTATTTCATTTTCCTTACCTTGTCGAACATCTTCGTCAGCCAAGATGTTGAAAGATGAGTAACGAACATTTTGCTCGGCAAGAAGTTCAACAAGTTGCCTTGAGAAACCGCATCTTGGCTGTTGTGGTGTTCCTTTGATAAAGATCATGACGGGAGCGCTGGTAGTAAGAGCCTTCAATCTGGACTGCAGGTCACGGACTGGCTCGGCGGTTTGAGAAACGGCATTGGCGGTAGTATTGCTTGTAAGAACGCCCTTGGCATATTTAGCTACTGCGTTGGCCAATTCAGCAGCCTTGGCACCTTCTACTCTACTAACGGCCTTGTTGTTCTGTTGATTTTTAATTAGAATCCAAAGTGGGTCAATAACTAAGGCCTTATCTGATTATCAATCAAATTTTTTGTACTGACCTTAACGACGATGAATGATGGAACAGATTCAATTTCAAATTGCTCAGAGATGTCTGGGAAGTTTTCGGCTTCAATCTATAGCACGGCGATGAGCCAAGGTGTAATGCATTGTTCAGAATAGTTTCACATTACTTACCTGAACAAATTTTACTGCTGGAAACTTGTCGGCGAGTTCCTTGAAAACATCGTTCATTTGCTTACAAGGTTCAGCCCAGGAAGCCCAGAAGTTTAGAACGACTGGGACATTACTTGTCTCGACATTCTTTTGGAATTCAGCGTCGCTAGAGAGTTCAATCAAGTTTGACATGCTGTTGGTTACAAATCGTACCTATTCAGGTTTCGCCACACTGAAAGATTACTTTGCAATTTCGGCTCTGGTCACATGATGCGGAGCGGAATTTTTTGGCTACGCTTGAGCAATTTGGCTCTGGCAAACCATGCAACGTCATCATTTAAGAAGCGGCAATTGAGGGACGCGCGTTCCAAGTGTGGAAGGAGGCCAAAGGACACTTCTTTCAACATGTCAAGCATTCAGCAAATTTCAGCTCAACGCGACAGCTTAAAAGCCGAGATAAATTCAGCACAACCTAATCTTGCAAAATGTGCCCAGATGCTCACACAGTTGAAGGTAGTTTTTGGTAATACTTGACGGTGGACCTCCCGATCCAATGCTGATCTTTGTACCATAGATTGGACTTACCGAAATAGGCGCCTACGTACCTCAAGGAAGCCAAGTAGACCCACAAGCGCTAGTTCTTGCACGTAAATATCCCCAGAATTATATCAGAAGTCTGTAAATGGAGTGATTTCTTAAACTCATCGACCGGTTTGCAGGTGACATCCTTGAGATGGGAGCTTACTATAGCGTTCGAGTGAAGGATATTGATGCTTTCGTCCGATACATCTCGCAACTCAGCACATTCTATTATGACTATGCGTAAGTAGAATGTTCAGTGGTGGCATGGCTTACCCGTCGTAGGAAGGCTGCTAAACAACTCCCTTTCAGGTCTGTTTTACCGCCATCAGAGCAAATGTACCCGTTAACCGGCCTAAACCTTTTGCGATTGCTATCTCAAAATCGATTATCAGAATTCCACACAGCACTTGAGGTTATAGATCCTGAGCAACTTCACAATAACTCTTATATCAAGCACGCAGTTGATTTAGGTAAATTTGGCAGGAGGGGCATGAATTTTATATGGTCATCATTAGACTAACAGCAACTTTAAAAAGAACAATTCCTCATGGAGGGTAGCTACAACAAGGTGTGGGGCAGCAGAAGCAAGGTTAAGGGAGAAGAGTTTCTCTTCTTTTACAACATTCTCATAGATACCATTAGGTAAAGTAGTGGCTGCGATGTTTATGAGGAAAGGAAGATCTCTATGACTAATGTCTCTATATTTCTAGACATGAGATAGCTAATTGTAGTGAGAAGGCATATGAAGCTCTGCCAGTTCAGGACGCAGCGACTCTTCTTTTCATGAAGAACATGGAAGATGTTCTCAACTTCGCTCAAGAACGAAACTGGAAAGTGAACCCAGCTGAGCAGAAGATTTATTTTACCAACACGGATGATGAAGTGACTGTAATACCACAAGAGCAGATCATAAAGCAGACACTCACGTATGCTAGAGAACTTGAACGTATTGTATAAATGAAAGCCCTCACATGATAATAAAAAAGTCAAAAAGCAAGCAACCACGTCAATGATTCTATATTGGGTGGCAGGAAGCCCTAACCCACTAGACGTTCAAACCCAATTTTTTTTATCGTTTGCGCCAAACGGAACGCTTTTACGATCGCCGTCTTTCCGCTTTTCTCTTTACATCTCAAGACTTACTTACAAGATGCCTGGCGATGCAATGCTCTTTCTCTTTGGTGTCATCATGGCAGCCTTCTTGCTGTTCATGATGGTCTTTTTCGTATCCTTTTGAAATATCGCTCATGTTGCCTTGTGTTGTTATTGTGATCGAGATGGCCCGTGTTCCAACCCATTGCAGCTCCTTAGCAGGCTAAGCAGATGCTTAATGAAGTTGGAGCACAGTGCTTAGGACAACAATAGTTGCCTCCTTACTGAACTCATCGCGTATAATCCTTGACTTTGCATCTATTGGACAGGTCATTATGTTCTCCGACTTGGAATGTGATTACATCAACCCTATCGACCTTTGCAACAAGCTCAACCAGGTATGTACTATGTTCTTCCCTTCTCTATATATTTTTGGTGACAGTGGAGGACGGCTTATCCGAGAAGATCACTTCTGTACGAAGTGCATATCTTTCGCATGAAGAAAGGACATGGGGTCATCCTTATAAATCAGGCCGAAACCGGGTATCAACTTCATGGAGGCTTCTTTGTATAGCACAAAACTACACACCTACTGATTAGGAAACGAAGGGAGATGTCAATTCAAATGGACTAACTGGCTCTGCTTTACTTCTTCTCCTTGTAGTTTGTACTTCCGGAAATGGGTGCTCAGGCTTTCTTATTCGCAATGTTCTTGATCAACGGTAGCTGGCTGGCAGCACTTCTCAATCTCCCTCTTGTCGTCTTCAATGTTCAAAAGTAAGCGAACTTTCTGTTTCATAATGTTATGAAGACAATGATGTCATAGGCTCGACCTACCTTGGCAAAGACAAGTATAACATGCCAAAATATCTAAACATTTGTTTGTCTAGGGTTACTAACAACCGCCACATGTACGATGCTACTGAAATCTTCCGTACATTGTCTATACACAAGAAGGAGTGCTTTTTCAAGCTTGCATTTTACCTACTCGTAAGTTTTTTATTGAAACAAGGTCTGTCTACCATAAATGTGATACTGAAAAGTTCCAATTTCTAGTGCTTCTTCTTCTATCTTTACCGCATGATCGTTGCTCTCATTGCCGATTCTTAAACGACTCGCACTACTCGTTTCATTTCAATCGGGCTTCTTGTCGACTTTAACGATCTTTTAGTAGCTGGCGTTGGAATGAAGAGTGTGCTATTCGTCAAACCTCAATAGATATTGATAAAGAGCGCTATGTTGTGATTTTATTTACTTTATATCCTTGTTACCTTGCTCTGGATAAAATTTTTGGTGTTTCATTTATAAACATGATACAAAACAAAGGGACAACAATGGGGTGATCATTACTACGCCAGTGGAGGTAGACTTTTATGAAGCAAAACACGGTATGATAGGTGAAGGGCAAAAATTGGCCACCACAAGCCTATAGTCTTTCGACATTGTTTACACGGTAGTACTTAGCTGCATTCAACAAAGCAGAATAGTTCCTTTAGAGAAAGTTATGTTCAATTTGAGCCTCGTGAAGTTTGAGTGAAAGCGGCCTGCCAAACGCACCTGCAAGAAGCATTCAGTACGTTCGTTATAGGGGAGCTATGGGAGGAATTTTATACCCAAAAGTGCTGCTAAGACATACACCGCGTCTTTCATGAGCTCTGTTGAGAAGTTAGATACACTATCATTCCATCAGTATGAAAGGTAGGAGGTGATGTATTTATTTGATATAGCTGCCATGGATGATTTTATGACATGTAAGTACGCGCTGAAAAGAGCTTCATCAAGCCTTTAAGGAAGAAAATTTGTTGGCAGCAACTCCCAACGCTCAATTATGTGGCTTTAACGTATCCAGGCAATCTCATTCTACCTGATTTCGCGATTCTCTGAACGCAGCGCGTGCAAGACCGCGTTCCTCTTCTAATGTGACTGCCAAATTTTGCACCTGACCACGTCGAATCCATAAATGCGCTGCGGCAATGGCACACCTCTATTCCTTCTCGTTTTCACTCTACAACACTTACATTAACAATCTACAAGTAAGTCATCTATTCAAGTGACAGTTTGTCTACTTTCAAGCGTCACAAGTGATATCCTATATCAAATAAGAGCTTTCTTTAACATATCTGTCCTGATTTTTGTAGTGACTGGTCGCGGTAAAGGAGGAAAAGGTCTTGGAAAGGGAGGTGCTAAGCGTCATCGCAAGATTCTTCGTGACAACATTCGTAAGTTATCATCATTCTATTCTACTCAGAGTTGCGCGTTGCTTGACGCGCTTATAACACGCAAAGGCACGCGCTTCTTTTGACGTGTTCTTCGAATCTTCATGCTAACATTTGTTCTTTTCCCATGTAGAGGGCATTACCAAGCCTGCTATTCGTCGTCTTGCCCGCCGTGGCGGTGTTAAGCGTATCTCTGGTCTCATGTATGTAGTTGTGGTAGTTTTCTCACACGCTGATATCATTTCATATCAGTTCATCACGTTTTACCGGATCACTGACTCAATTTAAACATTTGTAGCTATGAGGAAACCCGTGGTGTTCTGAAAGTCTTCTTGGAGAACGTCATCCGTGATGCCGTTACTTACACTGAGCACGCCAAGCGCAAGACTGTCACATCTTTGGATGTTGTCTATGCCCTCAAGCGTCAAGGACGTACCTTGTACGGTTTCGGAGGTTAAACGTATACTTCAATATTAATTCGAAACGATTGCAGAAGATAGAGAGTTTCCATCTTTCATCTTTAATGCATTTGCAGTGCAGGTTTTACTTTAGCCAGCCCAATCCTTTTTGTAAATTCTTCATATCAATTACTCCGTCTTTTTTCTCTATATTCACCTTTTCTGTCGATATCTTCGTACTAAATTTGAAGTAATACCTGTCAAATACATTTGCGATTTCGGGGTATATCTTCAATCTGATCTGCGTCTCCTCATGTGATACATGAAGATATTGTTTTATCTCGCAAAATTTATCTCTGCATCGACTTTCTCCAAAATAACAATGGTTATGCAGCATAAGAAAAATTTACACCTCTCTTCATAAGACGCATGCACCTAAAGAAATGGGAATTTTTTTTGGGAATTTTACTCCCATTTCCTTGCACCTTGTCTTTTTAACTAATCTACCCCGAAAAAATTCATTGGCTGAAATTGATCTTCCACTTCACACAAAATTATACAAAATTATGTATTTTATTTTAATTTCTTCAATTTTGAGCATACAGGCGCGTCCAGTCACGAGCTATACCGATAAGTAATGAAAAAGGTCAATAACCCATCAAAAATAATCACTGGTTATAAAAGAACAAACATAATTTACCAGTGTTGATTGCGTCTTTCTCATCCTCTTTCCAGTGTTGAGCAACATCATTGGCGAGCGGGTCGTCAGGGTTTGGTGCAGAGAGCAGTGCTTGTATAGAAAGGAGAACAGTGCGAATTTGCAAAGCTGGTGACCATTTATCTGAAAAAATGTAATAGTCAGCCGCTGTCGAGGTAAATAACGCAATAAAACGATTCCTTACCCTTCAAAATATCTAAACAAATACGTCCAAGCTTATCGATATTAGGGTGATAGATTTTGGTCAAGAAACGGACCTTGGGTGGTGCCATTGGGTAATCTTCTGGAAGGAAAAGTTCCAATTTGAAGACACCACCTGCATTAAAGGATTGATAGCGTCAATAAAAAAAAAAGCGCAGTTGCGGATAGTCTTTTTGCAGTGGCAGCTGTCGCCAAATTACATGTCGCTTTGCGCATTTCCACTGAAAGGGTGTGCCAGGTCCTCCGCAAATGTGTGTAAAGTCAACCTACCTTCAAAGGGTGATTGTCCCGGTCCAGCTATGATAACATCAAAATATCGAAGATTGTCTTCGTGTGGAGTTGCGCTGATTCCAGGAGCAGGTTCTGCGATCAAACGCTCGGTTTCCTAAAATTGCACAGTAACGTTAGTTGATCATTTCAATTTGCGATCATCGGAGTGGCATACGTAAGTCTTTCCCCAATGATCACCATCAGCTAATAGCCGATTTCATAGTAAAATTGCTTACTTTGATAATGCGTTTGGGGAGGGACATGGATTGAAATATAGAAAGGAATAGGTGTGGAGGGACAACTGACCTGGCGGTGTTCACAAGCAGAGGCTAGGGCGACGTCAGCCGCTCCTGTAAATTTTGTGAGTATTGTGCAACGACCTGACAGTTTTTTCTCGAACGGCAATTCATTTAGTCCATACAGAATACCGACATCCGACGAATAGTTGTTGTAGACCCTGTGGAGGAATTCAGTTTTAGCTTCACGTTGGCTCATCCGTTGCCATTAGAACTGATAAATGGCCGTATTGCCCCCGCTTCCTCTGGCCACCTTTATACTCTTAGCTCCGATACTTTACCACTTCAGCAGCCCTCCTGCTCTATCCGTCGTCATACTATACGCTCACTCTGCTAGTATTATAATATGGCTTACTTCTATACCGGAAATACGGCTATTGTTACAAACCGTTCTAGGCTTTTCGTCAGGACGTGCGTTATCACACTCTCCGAGTGAAATGTATGGCTTGCAGCATACTTTATACAACATTGATGTCTCTCCACAAGGGTACTGGTTCAATATGGGACTATGGGACGAGAAAAATATGGTTTTTGCGGACGGTTGTCGTGCCTTGGTGCACAAAGTTATAGATGCATTGGGTGGTCAAGATAAGGTACGCAATACCCGAGTCTTAGGTAAGCCGACTTTACCTAAATAACCGTTAGTTTAAGTTTCAACTAACAGCTCTGCAGATGTTGGATTTGGTTGTGGCGACTCTTGCTTCATGATGGCGGAGGAGTATGGATGCAATGTCGTTGTGAGTTACAGGCCTAAATAATCATGGGGCAGCGTAATTGAAAGCTTACACCGATGTGCGTCTAGGGCATTACTATTGAAGACTCACAGTATGAAATAGCACAGGGCCGCCTCCTGAAATTAACGGACACTTTGAATTCAAAAATCAATTTATTAAAAGGATCAGCAACAGACCTATCCAAGTTGTTGAACCCAAAAGATAAATTCGACATAATCGTCGCTGTGGATTGCGCCTATCACTTTGATACTCGATGGTCTTTCTTGCGTTCAAGCTTAGGTCATCTTTCCCATTCTGGTCAGATAGGCCTGTTTGATGTCGCCATCCAGCCAAACGCATTCAACCACCCATTGAAACGCTGGCTGTTTGATAAGATTTGTTCAGGTGGAAATATACCAGTACAGAACATGGTCAATGCCGACGAGTATGAGGCTAAGTTACAAGAAATTGGATACGTGGATATACATATTGAACGTATAGATGTTGAACGCGTTTATGGTGGACTCGCTCGTTTCTTGAAGCAACATGCCGCCAATTTGACTGAAGCAGGACTGGAACTAAGCTTTGGAAATTACAATAGATTGATCACGGTTGCCAAAGTACTCGACTTATTATGCTGGGGAAAATGGATCGAACCTGTGGTAGTCACTGCCAAAAAGCCGATGTGAAATAAAGCTATACCATTCTTGAATGATCTATGGCTGTCAATCACTTGGTTTGAAAAGCAACTTGTACAATGTCTGTGGGAGCCAACTTTGTCAATCACCGACCGGAGTTGAATTTTTTTTACCAATCTTTAGTTTGTCCAAGTTACCAGCTCGTTCCAACTGTCCTTCTTCACATTCTCAACATTTATACAGAAATGGTAAGAGAGAGTCTTCGCATTCCGAGCCATAGTATACATGATATACTGACAACATGTTCATAGGCTTCTGAACAAATCAAAGTTGGTGACATCGTGAGTATCAACATCTTCGATATGTGTCTGTAGCTGTCATGTATAACTCATATTCACATATCGCTCTCAACCCAAAGATCCCTGATGTTCCCCTCTCCTACGTTCCTTACGATCCTAAGGAAGAATTGAAGGCATGCACTCGGTAAGCACCTTAGAAATGCTTGGTGTAGCAGATATTCCGAGTGACTAATTTAAGCCTAACATGACGTGATTTCAGCCCTATCGCTTTCAAGATCCACGAGCAGCTCAAGGGTAAGAAGGCTGTTATCTTTGCCATTCCTGGACCATTCACTCGTAAGTAGATTTTTCTTGTAATGCTCACCAGCTCAGCATGATATATAATATTGCCCCTTTAGCTACTTGCAGTGAGCAACATGTTCCTGGATTCATCGAAAACGCCGATAACCTCAAAAGCAAGGGTATCAACTACATTATTTGCGTTTCCTGTGTTGATGGATTCATCATGAATGCTTTTGGAAAAGTTATCGGTTCCACTGACAAGGTTATCATGGCTGGCGACGGCAGTGCCGCGTTCTGCAATGCTCTTGGCCTTACCCAAGATCTCACCAAGGGCGGTATGGGTATTCGCTCTAAGCGATTTGCCATTCTTGTCAATGACCTTGTTGTTGAGTACGTTGGTGTTGAAGCTGCTCCCGGTACTACTGTCTCTGGTGCTGATGCCGTTTTGGCCAAGTTGTAAGCCTAAAATCCATAAACTCGAAAATTACTCAATAAAAGTTAGACTGAAGGAGTAATTCCGAATGATACCGAGCATTGGTTGTATGCATATCACTTTCGCCTACTACTCCGATAGCTGCTATTATAATGCAAATAACCTAGGGAACAGGTTGTAAAAATTCCAACGATTTTTTGTCTCCCTTACGTGTTCGCGTGATTCTTACGAAGTGGGTAAAGGCGTGACAATAGATAAATATACGGCGGTCGATGTGCCAAACAGGGATATAACAGCAGAAAACAGAAGACATCGTTCAATCCACTCTGATATTATCAATTTACGATGCCAACAACCATTCCACAAAAATTTACCCAATGACAGTTATTTTTAAAATCAACATCATCCAATCATATAACGGCAATTGGAAGTCCATCCAATAAAAAATTTGGAAACAGCGAGGTTCGAACTCGCGACCTACTCGTTGCGAACGAGACGTGATACCACTACACCATGTCCCCAAAGTCGGGGTTGATTTTTTGTATAGTTAACTCGTTCCCTAGCATAACGTCATCAAATTTAAAACTAATCGCTGGTTTGTTCACTTCTTGGTATAATTTGCAGACTCTGAAAGCTTGAATACCGTCAAATTTGGTTTAAGAGGTATTAAATTTGCTTTAAACTGAAAATTTTGGTAAAATTGTGCAGGTCTTTAACAATTATGGTCAAATTCTGGGTATAATGAACGTATAGAGTGTCTCACATCTTTAATTTTCTTGGATTTCCCATTAGTTATATTCGAACAGGAATGTACGCTAATAATTTTGGAATATAATATTTTAGGGCGAAGTTGGAATGTGTTGCCGATATTGTGCTACATCGAAACTGCGCTGTTCAAGCTATCACTGAAATTGCTATGGAGATCCTTATGCATACATGGAAAAAAATTTTAACAAATTTTTTTTTTTAAAACTGTTGCGAAGTTCACTAATTTAATGCTGTGGTTGATAGTGCTTGTGCGATGATATTCCCTCACTCTGCAATCATTTCAAAATTAGAAAATATGTATAGCATGGTATGTTCTCTTAACTTAACATACATGCCCCCATTTCACGTCACTTTCCAATTCTCATTCACCATATTCACTTGCACTGCTCTAAATTAATTGTCGACATCATCACACCCCAGTACAGCCACAAAACAACAAACATTATCTAAAGTTTTCAATTGCATTCATATATAAATGTTCTCAATTATACAGCTTGATCACCACATCTATGATCCCTCTTTCTCTCTCTCTACTCTTTCTTTCTTCTATACAATAAGGTGAGCTACTTTGCACACTTGCGACACCTCTTCGCACAAGTGATTTACTCCTTCAACAAGCTGTTGCCAGTCATCTCCTCGGGAACATCAAGACCCATGACGCGCAAAACGGTGGGAGCAACATCAGCCAAGCATCCTTCAGGCTTCTCGATGAACTTGTACTTGTTAGAGGCCATGATGAAAGGAACGGGAGAGCAAGTGTGAGCAGTGTGGGGGGTTGAGAAGTCGTCAGAAAGCATCTTCTCAGCGTTACCGTGATCAGCAGTGACAAAAAGAATGTAGTTGTTCTTCTTGCAGGCTTCATAGACGGTACCAATGGCGGCATCAGTAGCCTCAATAGCATGGATAGCGGGTTCGTATTTACCAGTGTGGCCAACCATATCGGGAGGAGCAAAGTTAAGGATGACACAGTCATACTCCTGCTTAGCCAATTGTTGAGCAACATCATCAGCGACACCTTGAGCAGACATCTCAGGCTTAAGATCGTAAGTTGCGACTTTAGGGGAAGGAACCATAGAACGCTCTTCTCCAGGGAATTGGGCCTCAGTACCACCGTTGAAGAAGAAAGTAACGTGAGCATACTTCTCGGTTTCGGCAACGTGCATTTGCTTGAGGTCGTTCTTGGCGAGCCACTCAGCTAATACATTGTCCATAGTCTGGGCGGGGAAAGCGATATGGAAGGGGAAGTCGCTCTTATATTGGGTCATGGTGGTGAGGTCCAAGTTCTTGGGGACTGGAGAGTCGAAAGGAGGAGGAGAGATTCCAAAGGCTTGAGACAATTCACGAGCACGATCGGAACGGAAGTTGAAGAAGAAGATGGTATCGTCATCCTTGATGCGACCTTCCTCAGACAAAATGATGGGCTTCAAGAATTCATCAGTCTCTCCTTGCTCATAACGAGCTTCGACAGCCTTGAGAGCATCATCAGCCTTCTCGCCCTTACCCTGGGTGAGACCGTCGAAGGCGATCTGGACACGTTCCCAACGCTTGTCACGGTCCATGGCGTAGTATCTACCGACAATGGTAGCAAGAGTACCATAGTTGAGCTTCTTGATTTCATCGAGAAGTTCCTTGATGTACTTGGTGGCAGACTTTGGTGAAGTGTCACGACCATCACCAAAGAAGTGAATGTAGGTTTCGGGAACACCAGCTTCCTTGGCGCATTCCAACAAGTGGATAAGGTGGTTGATGTGTGCATGAACACCACCGTCAGAGACCAAGCCCATCAAGTGCAAACGACCGTTGTTTGCCTTAGCACGTTCAAAGCACTTCTTGATATTCTCAGTCTTACCGAAAGCCTTGTTCTTGACAGCCAAATCAATACGAACAATATCCTATGTTCATAAAAAAAGCGGGGGTAAGTACCACCATTCACTCATAGCATAACGCGTCCAAAAAACTTACCTGGTAGACAACACGACCAGCACCGATGTTCAAATGACCGACTTCAGAGTTACCCATCAAACCATCAGGAAGACCGACGCTGAGACCGTGAGCGGCGATGTCAGTGTAAGGATATGTCTTCTCAAAGTTGTCCATGACGGGAGTTTTGGCGTTGCGGATAGCATCACCCTTTGGGTTTTCATCAACAGAAACACCCCATCCGTCAATACAGATGAGACAGACCTTTTCCTTGGGCTGTTGCTTAGTTTTTGGGTTTTGTCCACCTCCAGGCATTTTGTGTTAGTTAAAGAGAAATAAAGAAGAACAAAGGATCGAAATAGCTTTGTCGGATGCTTTAAAAAAAAAATTACGGTTCCAAAAAATTGGGGCCAGCAGGAAAACGAATGATGTCACGGATCCGACATGATAAAGCTCTGTTGTGACCAAAACCCACAAAACTGCATGTTCCAGCGTGACAATACTTTCAATAGAGCTCATAAAAGGAATTGTTCAAATTTATGGAGCAATATAATGTTTGTAGAGTCAGTTGGAAGCAGTTTAGAATGATCTCCAGCCTTACTGACCGACCAGTCCACGTTGCTCTCATTATCCGATAGCATCTTGCGGAGATGGATTTGACCTGTTGGGTTCTGTGACTGTCATCGGACCACCTCCATTCTGAAATTTGGCTGGATCTGACAAATCTCAGATCTGCATTGTAGTAATGGCATTCTCCTCGGCACTAGTTCTAACAGACTTGAATGACTATATTTCCCCTTCTCAAGCATGTATAAAGCCGGTAGAGGTACAAAAGAAGGAAAACGCTGAAGAGGTAAATACAATGGAAGTGAAAATTGCGACTACGCTACCCATGACACTGACATTCCTTTCAATCAGACTTCGATCAAAGTTAATGAAGCTGGTACTTATTATGAAGTCTCAATGGATGGTACCGAAGAGAAGTTAGAATCCGCTAGCATTTCTTTGAACGACTGTTTGGCTTGCAGGTATGGCTTTAGAGCAATGTTTGGTTCATTATCATTGTAAACCTGTGCCTGATGATTAATCTCGGCTTTAACAGTGGTTGTATTACATCAGCTGAGAGTGTACTTATTTCGATGCAATCGCAAGAGGAATTGTACAAAATACTGAAATCCAATGCAGAAGCTCAAGCGTCTGGCAGGTTGGACGATATCATCACTGTTGTTATTTCCATGAGCCCACAATCTCGAGCATCCATTGCTGCGAAATATGGAATATCACCAATGCAAGCCCACCGAAAATTGACGCAATTTTTCAAGCACACATTGGGAGCACATTACTTTTTTGACACATCATTTTCACGGGACTTTTCACTTGTGGAATCTGCAAGAGAGTTTGTAGATCGCTACCGCAATTATATGGCAAATGGTGGTCAGCAGATTGAAGCAGCACGACAAGAACAAGAAGAGAAGGAACAAGAAGAAGCAAGTGCTGGAAAAGTTAAACCAAGACGAAGGAGAGGTAGAGGCACTGATGGAGATGCATCCTCCACTCCTACCTCGCAAGATATGCCGATGCTTGCATCAGCCTGTCCTGGATGGATTTGCTATGCTGAGAAGACGCATGGTTTCATTTTACCACATATAAGTGCTTCGAAGTCGCCACAGCAGATTATGGGTTCAGTGGTAAAGGACTTTTTTGCCAAGCAACTCGGCCTTAGGTGAGTAAATGAAGCATAAAGTGCATGTAGGGAGTTTTCATCTTGTGGCTAACTTTATTTTATTAGACCAAATCAACTTTATCATATATCCGTAATGCCATGCTATGACAAGAAACTGGAGGCTAGTCGACCAGATTTCTTCGATGAACAATATCAGACGCGGGACGTTGATTGTGTATTGACCACTATTGAGGTTGATAAGATGTTTTCCGAACAGAATGTCGACTTTCCTAGTTTACCAGAAGCGCCTTTGGATGAGCTGTAAGTACAAGTTTATGAGCATGTGATAATTATTACTGGTTTATTGACGGCCCAAACTACTAGATTCAACAAGGTTAGTCAGTCACCGACTACACAGCAACCAACGCTTTATGGATCATCAGGCTCGTCATCAGGAGGGTATCTGGAATACATCCTGGCGTATGCAGCACGAGAACTGTTTGGTGTGAATGACATATCATCCAATGTTCAAGTGCAAACTGCAAAGAATGTCGATTTCACTGAGTATACCCTCAAGTCCGACGATGGCAAAGCAGTGCTGCGATTTGCATCAGCTTATGGATTCCGTAATATTCAAAACGTTGTACGAAAGATCAAGAACAACAAATGTACATATCAATTTGTAGAGGTTATGGCATGTCCTGGCGGATGTATCAACGGTGGTGGTCAGTTACCCATGTCAGACAGTGGAGAAACAACCGTGAGCGCCAAGGACTGGATCTCGCACGTAGAAAATATCTATCGTAGCGTAGAAGGCATTCGCCCTGAAGACAACGAAGCTGTTCGAGCTTTATACAGGTATGTCATGTCCTGTGATTTCATACTTGGCAATAACGTCACTAAACCAACCCATCTTTTTGTGTTACCTTAGTGAATGGATAGGGGATGTGACAACTGAAAGAGCAAAGAAGTTGTTACGTACACAGTATCATGCTGTCACTCAAAACCTTGCCAACCCATTAGCAACTGTATGGTAGAATGGTATAAATAAAAGACTTTTCTCCTTTACTTTACTTAATACCCAAAAATATGAGAAAGAAAAAATGTTTAAGTGGTGGACGAGGCGGTCACGGGTATGTGGCAGGCATCAGCATTATTGGCAGCATTATTATTTTTGTTACAGACCGCCCCTTCTTAACGTACCACTTCGATTGCTGTCGATTTAGCGGCTGTATAAATCGTAATAGAGCCACATTTCAACCTACAGCCTACAACTGCACACTTGCTGATTGTCTTTAAAGAACTGAAGCCTACATACCCTTCTAGAAACCTTAGTGGACATGGCTGTGGATATGACCTCTAGATACATGTAAGTACATTCCGTTTTGAATGGACACACTCAATTGCTGCAACGCCGTTCCCTTGACTTGCTTTCAGCATCTGATTTGTCATCTGTTGGGTCATCTGCTTACAATAAACCTCTTTTTCAGGTCCTTCAATAATATGCAGGATGAATTAGATTACTGGCGGAATCATGCTGAAAATCTGGAAAACACATTGTCCGAAACGAGAGCAGCTCTGGATGAATTCCAAGTCTCATCGCGTGAACTCGAAGAAGAGCTTGAAAAAGAGCTCCAAACTACTGAAAAAGTATGTGGTGACCTGAAGGCAAGATGCGAACAGCTCAAACGTGAGTCGGAGGAATGGAAGGTAAATAATTCGTTCACTGCGCCGACTTTTGATAGAAGCTTAGCGTACTCAAGCTTCTCCCCAATATCAGTCAAAGTTTACAGAATCAAAGCATGAACACAACAACGTTATGACACATATGCAAAGAGAGATCGATGTTCTTCGAGCGACAGAGCAGACGTTCAGGAAGAAAACCTTGGAGTTAGAGTTGGATAATGATGACTTGGAGCGAACAGAGAGGTACGCAGACGATGAGTGATCAAGTTTTGGATAATATTTATGCTAACTGTATGATGTTACAGAGCTGCGCAGTCGTCACTAGCCGATATCGAGATGAAATACAATAAAGCCATTGAACGCAATGCTATTCTTGGTAAGTTGATAGTCATCTACTTATAATCTTTTTACGGTCTTCGGCACTTGACGCTTCGAGTGTCTTGATTATGCATTATTAACAAATACTACCATTTCACTCCGTTTTAGAACAAGAGATCACAACCAAAGACCAGCTAGCTGAACAAGTACAGCGACTAAAGGATGATTTGAACGGTATGCTTGATTACTTTGTAAAGTGCTTCTGTTTACTTTGACACTCTGGTACTAAACGATTTTTTCCTCCAGACGTCAATCATGAATTGGCAGTATTGCAAGATAAACACACTAAACTGGATGAAACCAACCAAGATCTAGAAAACAAACTGTCTTCTAGCGAACGACAAAACTCAGAACTACAAAACAAATTACAACAGCAGCTGAATAGATCGCCATCATCTCGAGCTTCAACTCCAGATAGAACCAGCGGATACTATGAACCGTCTCTTAATCGCCTACCTACACATCGATCCCGAATCCCTCGAACTTCTGGTATTCCTGGTACAGCATCCCCGACGTACACTGGTAACTCCAATCCGGTCAAGATGGTGCAGGATATGGTTGGAAGAGTTAGGGTATGTTCAAGTTTTTATTCAATTTGGCAGGATGAAGTAGTGAATTCTGGAGGACTCATGTACATACATTTACGCAGAGCTTGGAAACTCGCCTTCAATCGTGCCGGTCCTTGGTCACTCCACTGTTGAATCCACCACCGTCGTACAGCTCGACGATACCGATTTCACCGGTGAACCGTAAAGAGTCGTTATCAGCTGGAAATCGATCTATTTCACCAACGTACAACAACACGAATGGAAGAGCTGGTAGCCCGCTTCAGCTTGCAAATAACAAATATAGGCGCTCTTCCATCAATGCACGAATGTCCCCAATGGATACCACCGAAGACCGGATTTAGATGCCTTTTTTTACGTAGACTCTTTTCCCTCCGCCCTGGGTGTGCCTGCGTGCGTGTAGTATTCAAGTATGTATAGATTGCCACTTCTTTGCCCACCCGAGCTTTTCATACCCTACCCTTTTCTCCCATTTTATCTGAAGTTTTTAGAAAAATTACAACAGATTTAATTTGCTGTTACCTCGTTATTTCTTTAAGGATACCTCGGGTTTTAGGGACCCTCCTTCTTTTGTATAAAAATATATATTCATTTAATAATTATCGAAGCCACTTTCTATTATATCTGGAAATATGCCTGGAAATATGCGAATATAACCAGCATTTACCTCTAGGTTGTCAAAAGGAAAAAACAGTTTGAAGTACAGGTGGTGTTTCGTCCACACTATTGTAACACGTGATGTGAGTACGTGGAAGAGTAAGGTGGTTTGCAGGGATTTATTTTTAAGGAAGGGTCTTATTTCACTTTTGTTCGGCATGCCTCCTTACAACGCACCGAATCAACGACCGCCACCACCAAGAAACGAAATCGTGGAATGGTTCAACGACATCCCTCCTGTCACTCGCGCAATCCTGGCTGCTAGCATTGTAATCCCGATTGCAGGTACATTTGGCGCTGTTAGCATGTCCAACTTGCTATTGATCTGGAAACCAGTGCTTGAAAAGTTTCAAGTGAGTATACTGCATAGCATGCTGAATACAAGACATTTATACTAAGCTTTCTTACTTGCATTTTCTTCGTCGTTTTTAGCTCTGGCGACTGGTTACGTGCTTCTTTCTTTATCCAATCAAGCTCGAGTGGGCATTCAGCTTAGCCTACTTATACCAGTTTTCCGCAAAACTTGAGCGCGACTATTTCTTGGGCAGAACCGCCGATTATCTCTACTTCATTCTGGTTACGTGTGCAGTACAAGTAATCGCAGCTTATTTCGCCAGCAACTATGTTCTCAGCTCCGGTCTGTCAATGGCCATCACATATCTTTGGTCACAAAAGAACAGAGGGTCCCAAATATCATTCATGTTTGGTGTTCGCTTCCAGGTATGTACTTGAGCACTAGTATCTGCCGGTGTCAAACAACCATTTTAATTTTCCTACTCCTGGCAGGCACAATACCTTCCACTGGTACGAGTACTATATGAGTTCCTTGTGGACATGGGAAGAATCCCAATGGCTAGCATTATTGGCTGGGGCGCAGGATATCTTTATAACTTCTTTGTTGAAGAGTATCCTCGTGCGGCGGGTGTTCGATTGCTTGATACTCCGAACTGGTTGAGATCCCTCTTTCCACATACGACTAGAAATCAGGGAGGCTTCGCCAATAACGCTGGTGGTGCAAGCAACGTTCGCGTGAATCCTGGTCCTGCTGATCAGCCAAGTAATAGTGTTTTTGGTGGACATCAATGGGGTCGCGGTCAACGCCTCGGTTGAGAACAATGATGACAATATATAATAAATGGTGTCGGCCGCATAGAAAGCGATCCAAAATTAATGTCGATTGACCAACAAATTTATTGATTCAATTTATGGAATAACAAAATTTCTGATATCATTTCCTTTAGGGTTAGTTCTGACAATGTTACAGATTGATATTAGACGAAATGAAAGAGAAAGTGTCATCAGCAATCACAAGTTCGTTACAGAAAATCACTGATGGGCCAAAGGTGAATCACTAAGTAAACGATTTATGAGCACAAATGGAGCATTCTAACATGAGAGTATGTTATATGAAGCCCAATAAATGATATTTTTGGTTCAGCATTCTAGTTTTTAACGTTGCTCTTTTTCTTTCTGTATCGATGTGGTAATTGAAATCGGCAGTATCCGCTCAAATGCAAATATAAACATGCTAATAGACTATGATGTAAATATATGAAGACACCTAATGATTAGGCAAAGTCTCTGTAAATCCCACAGTGGTCGACAATATCGCCTGCAATGACAGCAGAATCCGGAAGTTATCAATACCAAATTTTTCAAGGCTCTGGCTCTAGCAGCACGTGACTTCAGCAGCGTACCCCGGCATACTGTCGTGTGATTGGTCGATCTCGACTGGAAACAACCAAAACAATCAATAGTAGCAAGACACCTTCGGATTCCTTTCTTGCTCATCCCCACTCTAACGACACTACCTCCCGTTATGTTCTCGAGAGTCGCTCATCAGACAGCGAGGCGCTCAATGCAGCGATCCTTTGGACAGGTAACTATCCCTGGCATTATGAAGATTTTCCTTGCAAACCAAAAAAAAAACTAGTGTGCCATATTTCACCTGACGTGAAGCGACAATTATATTCTATACAACATTTGGCAGCTGAATTCTCGTGTAGCTTCACCATCAAAGCATTACACTTTTCATCATACAGTCTGTACCGCTCGTCAAAATTCGACACTCGATCATTGTCCACCCTGGCACTATGTACATTAACATGTGCACCTCAATATATATTTATTCTTCATTCTGACATTCATGATAAATTCTTACATGCTTCATCTTCTTCGTGAATTTTAAACTGACAGGTTCGCTATGCCTCCACCAAGCCTCTTGCAGCTGAAGTAAGTATCAAAAGCTCAATTTTATTAGTATTATACCATGCGATCCTCTCTTCTCAACCACTGTATCACTAGAACTCCAAGCAAATCGCCCTTGTTTCAGCTGGAATCGTTGGAGCAGCTGGTTTTGGTTACATGCTCACCAACAACACCTTGTCCGCCAACATGGCTGACGAAGGTTTGCACCCTCCTTCTCACCCCTGGTACCATAAGGACCCTCTCCACACCTTTGACCACGCTGCGTATGTGCTTCACACAGAATGAAATGAGAGTCAAAACTTGGAGCGGTTATTAACAGTGATTTTTTATTCACAGTATTCGTCGTGGTTATCAAGTGTACAGAGAAGTCTGCTCTGCATGCCATTCCCTTGATCGTATTGCATGGAGAAACTTGATCGACGTTTCCCATAGCGAAGACGAAGTCAAGGCTTTGGCTGAAGAAGTTGAGTATGAGGATGGTCCCGATGACGAAGGTGAAATGTTCCAACGACCAGGAAAGGTAAGAAAGAATTCATTGTGCATGGTTTGATTGTCTATTGGATCTGACTCTTCATATCTTTTTTCCATTAGCCTTCTGATTACATGCCCAAGCCCTATCCTAATGAAGAAGCTGCTCGTGCTGGTAATGCTGGTGCTCTTCCTCCGGATCTTTCACTCATCGTTAAGGCTCGCCACGGTGGTGCTGTAAGTTTAGCATTTATGTTGGTTTTGTGGCAGAAATTGGTTCGATCCGTTCATATTGACCATTGTCATAGGATTATGTCTTCGCCCTCTTGACTGGTTATGTTGATGCCCCTGCCGGTGTTGAAGTTCGCGAAGGTCTTAACTACAACCCTTACTTCCCCGGTGGTGCTATTGCTATGGCTCGTGTTTTGTTCGACGGATTGGTTGAATACGAAGATGGTACTCCCGCCACTACTTCCCAGATGGCTAGAGATGTTACCACTTTCCTTGCATGGGCTGCCGAACCTGAGCATGACGACCGTAAGAAGATGGGTATGAAGGCTACCATCATTTTGAGTACCTTGACTCTTCTTACTGTCTACATTAAGCGTTTCAAGTGGGCTCCTCTCAAGACTCGCAAAATTGTCTACAAGTAAGTACCTGTGGCGTAATATGACTCCATTACAACTATGGACATTGTGGCTAACTTTCGCTTGCATCCGTGTTTTGCCATTGTTATAGCCCTCCCAAGTAAAAATGCCCAATGAAAAAAAAACCGAAATCAATCAAAAGATCATAGAAGGATAACATAAAAGATGAAAAAAAAAAGATCAAACATTAGTACATCAATTTGCCATTGTCCTCGTGTAGATTTTAATTGTTTTTTTTTTAGCTCTTTCTACTTTTTTATTATTGTGCAGTGCTATCACTGCCCTTTGCCGTTTGTTGTTTACACAAATTGGCTGTAGAAAACTCTCAATGTCAACTTGCTTTTTTTTTTTTTTAACCAACAGCATAAATTAGAAAAATTAGGGTATGGTCATTATTGCGTGCCTTTGTGTGTGTTCATCAACCCCACCCCCCATGTGAGCCATTTTCCATCATCCCGGCTTCCCAAACAAGGTTCACATTGCCAACAGTTCCCATATGAAGAAATCCAAACAGCATTGCTGCGGACAGCCATTTGCGCACTGACAGAATGCTAATGAGAAGAAAAGTAGGCAAAGTCTAGGCTGCTTAGCAGCATTGACATGACAGTAGAAAACGTTTCATTTGTACCAAGCCTTTCTTGATACTTTATCATACATCATTATATAAATCACTCTGCTGTTTGATTCATGTAGACATCTTTACTGCACGCAACTAGGGGGTAGCCATCCACTCGTCTTGATGCAATTTAGCCTCCTTTCTTCTCAAAACTAACGCCATTGAGCGACGTAAACCTGTCCTACTTCACGCACGACATCATCTGTAACACTAGGATGGGTTCAATTTACTTTATTAAACAATTTCAATGCAAAAGTAAAGGTCTCTTCGCTTGAAGGCTTCGGTGTCTTTTTCATCTGGCCCGCCGTTCTGCCGCAATCTGCATCTGGTTTGGGTTTGAGGCGTGTCACGTGAATTTGTGGCTGAAGCAGGCAGAGGGTGGAGAGTATGATACGTCGGAAACTTCTATTTAGAAAGTTTCTGGCGGTTCTTTAAGCCAAAATGACGATGCCGCCCGCGCCATGGTGGGGGGTTCAGGTCGGCTGGACCACTTCCAGCCCACGTTTCCTAGCAATCACCCAATCATGCTTATTCATATCTTCCAGATAAGCTAGTTGAAAAAAATGAGACATCTGCTACGAAAGCCATCATAGACATGGTATAGATGGGGTCTTTGTCAAGTGGTGAAACTTGACTGGTGATGTCGCCATGGTTTCACCAAGCCGACAAAATATTTTGTGCGATTAAACCCCACTGTAACACATAGAATGGCTGACATTTGAAGATAGCTACTAACAAACGATCAGATTACAGTGAGGGAAAGCAAGAAAGCCCAGCCCATCAATAAGTATCTCTCATTGAAAAAAAAGCAAGGACCTCCAGGAATGTTCCAAATTGTTGTCCTACGCCAATCCCGGCGAACAAACTCATGGAAATTGATCTCATGAAAGCTTTAAAGTTGCGTTGCGTTACAAGCTTTACATGATTTCAGTTCAGAGTCATAATCTGTATTTTTCTACTGTTCTGTGGAGAGTTAATCTGCGGGAACTGACGATAAACCCGCAAAACCCATAGATTTTTTTAGTGTTCCGATCAGTTACCTGCAAATCCGAATTTGGTAGTCCTGCGCTGCACTTTAGCTTGGGTTGCTTCCTTTTCTGTTTTCCTTTCTCCTTTTCCTTACCTTCATTTTACAGTTTCATGATGGAGCATAGACGATCGTCTTCAACGTCTTCAATATTATCTTCACAGTCCTATGGGATGCCTATAACTCCTTCGAGCTGTGACCTTTCACCAGCTGTCTCACTACAGCCTCCCATTCCAGCTCCAGTGAAAATGAGCAGCAACAACACATTTGTTCATAAATTATATAAGTACGCATCTACACCATTTCACGCATCTATGTCTTGGCATTATATGCTTTCTTTATATTAACCCCACCATTTTTCCAGCATGGTTGTCGATGTTCAATACCAGCATTTGATTGCCTGGAACTATACCGGCTCTTCATTTATCGTCTGTAACATCATGGAATTTTCTCGTGATGTACTTCCCAAGCACTTTAAGCACAACAACTTCTCTTCGTTTGTTCGTCAGCTGAATATGTAAGGCCGATTAGTCAAGTCTGTTTCAAACTACTCAGTGCAGCAAGCAGAAAATTTATTTTATTATTTTTTATTTTTTTCTATCGCAACCACAGGTATGGTTTTCACAAGGTCAACAAAAGTCCGCGCGGTCATCGAACTCTCGCAGAAAATCAGATCTGGGAGTTCAGTCACCCGAAATTCTTACGAGGACGACCTGATATGCTTGACGACATTAAACGAAAAGCCATGGAGAATGATTCAATGCGTAGAGATAATGGCGATTTGTCAACTCATATGGCCATGATGCAAGTTGCTCAATCGGATATGCTGCAGCAACTGGCCCAATTGCAAGAAAATTTCTCTGAAGTAGTGCGGGAACTGGCTGAGACCAAGCGAAAACAGGGTCTGCAGCAACAACAAATGAAAAGTATGATGAATGTTATTCAACAACATAGCGGTAGTCAAAGTAAGCAAACCACTACGATGGGGCATCGGCTATTTTGGGCAAGCAGTTATTTATAATTACACCTACTGACATTGCACCACTTTTTTTCAAATCTGTTACCAGTTGAAATACCACCTGAGCTCAATTTTGAGAACTTTGAACTTAAGGCCGATCCCGAACGACCACCTCCTATTTTTATAACATCGCCCGACTCTCAACCGACAGGAAACATGCTTCAGAACTTGTACTTCAACTCGATACCTTCCGATAGCCACTCCTCATCCTCACTTTCACATCATACACCACAGCGGCCAAGTACACCATTGACTGTACAAACCCACAATCTTGTTCGGTCACCGCATCATCACAATGCTAATCTTAATATCACCATACCGTCCAACTTTATGATGAATGATATGCAATCCAACAACATCTCACCCAATTCGCTGAGTGCTTACCACAATACCAATACCCTACCACCGAGTCCTAGCCCGAGCTCACTTATGTCAGACGATGATGCTAGCTCATTGTATAGTCCACATAGCCCGCATACTCCGAGCAACCCGACCGCAGAGTCATCGTCGTCTTCATCGGATTATCGTCAATCCAATGATCCGTCTTCGCTTCATCCTATGCATCATTCTGGCCAATTCTCATTTTCTCTTTCTCATAACATGAGCTAAATGAAGGAAAATGAGTCAAAAATCGTTCATCTTTACACAAAGTGAACTTGAGGGTAAAAAAAAAAAAAGGTTGTTCTTTGCTTCAGCCGCCGTCCCCTCCCCCCTCATTACATACCTACTTTTAAAAGGTATTCATGTTGTCCCTCTCGATTGTAGCAACCCCGTTTTGTGTATACCATTTTTTCATTTACATTGCTCGTTGTACCTTCCTACCATTCAACATCACTCTACTCTTTTTTTTTTTTTTTGCAAACTTCATACTATACGCATTCGTGTTTTTTTTCTCTCTGTGTGTGTCTTTTCTGCCATATAGTAAGTAGTATGCTTGACTCTTCATCTCATTTCACCTCCCTTCTCTTTCTTTTTTTGTTTTATCATGTATTATATATTTTGCTTATTACAATTTTACACTTTTGACCTATTCTCCATTGTTTGGTTTGATGTGGTTAAAAACCGAGTGTTTGGATAAGGCAAGGTCTGCGCTTTTCACGAGTAACGTTTGACAGGATTGGCTCGTCAGTCGTCCGTTTGACGCACAGGGCATGGTATATTTTCGGTGCCTGGGATTTCCATTGTGTTCTACTTTGCTCTATCCTGACATATAAACATTGCCACCCTCGATTATTACAGAATTATGGTCTGTTTCATAAACAATAAGGGTTACTTTAAGCAATACTGCTTCTTAGTCTTACAGGATGTGGCCGCCTCAATATACCCAGCCACGGTGACGTGCTCCGCCTAGTAAAACCAGACCCAAAAAAAAAAAAACCTGGTACGCCTCAGCACCCTTACGTACTCCTCACTGTTCCGACAGCATTGTGTATGGATCGATTTGATTCCAGCTTATGCTTTATCCTGTCACCTTCCCAGTGCAAGCAATTTCTTTCGACAGCCTAAGTCACCATTGGCCATGCTATCCGGGATTTTTGGAGGCCAGATATAGGGATATGGATAGAAAGCCACACAAACGCCCACGATCCCAAGACCTTGAGAATGCCGAACAACTGGAATTGGAGGAATGGACAATATTGCAAAAAGCAAAGCGATTGCGGATCGGAGTGTGAGTGATTATGACTGATGCTTCGTAATGGTTTTTCACTTGAACTTTATGTCGCTGAAACTTCATAGCTTTTACGATTGTCGCGCACGTTGCATACTCACTATTACATCCATTTTTTTTTTTTGGCCTGTAGAAATAGTCCTACAGAACAATATCATTCCCCTGAAGAACTGAAGGCTGAGTCCGCCGAGCCTCTATCATCACATTTGTTTCCCTTGAGACCAATGATCATCTCTACCCGCTCGCAACAAATGCATAATTCTCCTGCAACGCCAAGCGAACAGCAATTAAGCGAAAGCAGCATTGAACAATACAATAATATCAATTCATACCTTCGCTCACTTCGTGTTATGCGCCATGGAGATCCAGAACAAGACGAACGGTGGTGGGAAAAGGATCGTAACGATGAATTGGCAATGGATATGGACGATGACGATAATCAAGATACCAGCGAGTACGCAAGCATTAATAATGTATTGCGACAAGCATTTTTAGCTAGACATGCACATGAAAGATAAAGTAGAGCGAAAGATTGAAAGTGAAATGTAAGCACAATTGCAAGATTTCCACACACTGGAGATTTCCCAAAGTGAGGCAATTTGTGCTGACGGAGAAACCCCATCTGTGCAAATGCTTTGGCGTGTGTGTCTGCGGGGTCCATATAATCAACCGCACGAACTCTTCCCCACATTACCTTTACCCTTTTTTCCCTCATTATGGCTGCTGTTCTCCAATATACTCCTGTTGATAGTATCGAAGATACTGTTGAGCACCTTCGACGTTCATTCCATTCTGGTGGGTAGCCATCACACACTTCGTAGTTATCATTTGCACGTCACTAAATCACTTGGCCCCGTAACAGGAATCTCATTACCTCTTGCGTACCGTAAGAAGCAATTGAAGCAACTTTATAACCTTGTCACCGAGAACGAGGCTCTTCTTTTTGCCGCTCTTCGTAAGGATTTGCGCAAGCATGAGGTCGAAAGCATTGGTGGCGAAATTGCTCCTGTTGCAGAGGAATGCCTGTGGTTCCTTGAGGTGCGCTATTAACTCTGTCTGGGAATAATGCCGTGAAACCCCCATACTGATATGGTCTGTGCTTGTTCTTTTTCAATTCCGTGTATATTCCAGAACCTTGATGAGCTTGCCAAGGATGAGAAAGTGAACCCACGAGTTATTCTTAACAGGTTGGGCGGCTCTGCTTTAATTCGCAAAGAGCCACTTGGTGTGGTCCTTATCATTGGTGAGTAGCGTTCGTCATGCTATCATGGGAAGCCATTGTCCACTTTTTTTGTTACTGACAGTTCATATTCATTGCAAAATAGGTGCATGGAATTATCCTATCCAGGTAGGCATGGCTTTTATAAAGTCTTTGTTAGACGATTATGGTATCTGATAACTGATACGATCACTTTTTGTCTGTTATGGTGGGAAACATGGTTTAGTTGCTCCTTGTTCCTTTAGGTAATCATTTATTTCTGATTTAATTGTTTGTGGTTGCTCACTTGATTCCCCTTTTTCTAAACGCAATTCCCCACTATATATTTAAAGTTGGAGCCATTGCCGCTGGTAACACCGCCATCATCAAGGTAGGTCACTTTTTCTATCATGTCGACTGTATACGTGTTTGTACAACAGCTGAATGTCCACATAACTGATATATTTACTTTGTTCAGCCTTCTGAAGTATCAGCCCATACCGCAGCTGCCATCACGGCATTGCTTCCAAACTACCTCGATCCCAGATGCTACCGTACTGTAAATGGAGCCGTGACTGAAACCACTAGACTTTTAGAGCTTCACTTCAATCACATCTTCTACACCGGTAGTCCTGAAATTGGCAAGGTTGTTATGTCAGCTGCTGCCAAACATCTTACCTCTGTGACTCTTGAACTCGGAGGAAAATCGTAAGTTTTCATCACCACCCCACTCCATTTTATTGCCTTTCGCAGTTGATCTGATAATCTGACCTGCATGCCACAGACCTGCCATCGTTAGTTCGGATGTGGACATGCAAGTAGTTACTAACCGTATAGCTTTTGGCAAATTTTATAATGCTGGTCAGGTGAGTCAGGCGGTCATAATCTCATGGAAGTATTCAACGTCATTCTAAATGAGATATTCTTTCATCGATTAGGTATGCATTGCTCCTGACTACGTATTGATTGAACGAAAACAATTGCCTGAATTTGTCAAAGCATTCAAAACCACCATTCAAAACTTTTACCGTGGCCATCCCGAAAAAGATGAAGGTTACGCACGCATCGTCTCTGAGCGTCACTGGGATCGTTTGCATAATATTCTAGCCAACAAAACGAGCGGACACGTAGTCATCGGAGGCGAAAGCAACAAGTCCGATCTATACATGGCACCAACCGTCGTCACGGATGTGGACAACGACGACCCCAGCTTGATGGGAGACGAACTCTTTGGCCCCATTCTTCCTGTTGTTTGTGTTGATAACCTTGATGAAGCTATCGATATTGTCAACTCAAGGTAAGCAAAGAAAACAACAACTCATGACTTTTTGCTCCATACAACCCTCACGCGGGACCTGACATGATCGATTATTGCACCACTTTAGAGCCCCTCCGCTGGTGTTGTACTTGTTTTCCAAGAGCCGCAAGACCGCCGAAAAAGGTAACAACTTGACAGTTTCATTCACACGCCGTAACCCGCATAACTTATTCCATCTCCTATAGTCCTTACTAAAACCCAATCAGGTGGTGTCCTGGTAAATGATACCCTCATGCATCAAGCAGGTAAAGTAGCCAGAGGCGTTTGTAACTAGTCTACGCATAACATTTAGTCTAATGCTTAGTACTTTAAAAGAGTATGCGCTTCCTTTCGGTGGTACAGGCAGAAGTGGCCAGGGTAGTTATCACGGCAAGAAATCTTTTGAGGCTTTTACCCATGAGCGGTCGGTGATGATCAAGAACCTAAGCATGGATGGTCTTGTAGCTTCTCGCTATCCTCCTTACAATGCTAAGAAAGCTAGTCTCATCCGCAGCGTTACTATGAGCTCTCCTATGGGCATTTGGATCCGTAACCATAGTAAGACTCTCAAGGTGGTTGCCTTGATGATAGTTCTATTTATTCTCAACCGTCGCCGCTAGTTTAAAACTGCACATCACGTGGAACGGTGTTTTTTCGCACGGGAATGAAAAAAGTCATATCGCCCGCCTGCCTATTATAGCAAATTGACAGGTCCCCAGCTCTTTTGAAAAAAATAAATTACGCGCAATCTTTTCTTTTAAATTTCCCTCTTGACCTTTTTCTCTTTCCTATTCTCTCATCTTCTTCTTTTCAAATGGCCTCATCTAAAGTCATTGGTACTGTTCCTGGTTACAAGTTCATTAAGAACCGTCGTGCAGCTGTTTTGGCCTTCCCTTTCAATGGTGGTCAGGTAATCTATCTTATCGGGTCTCTTATCAGGGCTTCCATCGATAACATGCTAAAATCCCTCTCTCTCTCCATCTTTCCATTTCCCCCTTGCTTTCCTTTAGGGTCGAGAAGGTGTTGAACTAGGTGGTATGCATTTGGTTGAGCATGGTATTCTTGAGCAACTCAAGGTAAGGCACTTTTCCCCTTCATCATGCTAAGATGTTGACCGCCGTCTGACCTTCTAATAATAGGAAATGGAATGGGAAACCTCGTTTGAGCCAAATGAGGACATCGATACCTTCCGTCCAAGCTCTGATCCTGATATCGAAGGTCTCAAGAAGCCTCGTTTTGTGTCGTCGGTGACTAAGAGAGTTGCTGAACAGGTCAGCACTGCTGCAAAGGCTGGAGACTTTGTCGTCACCTTGGGAGGAGACCACTCTTTGGCCATGGGCACTGTTTCCGGTGTCTTCGAAGCTTATCCTGATGCCTGTCTTATCTGGATTGATGCTCACGCTGTAAGTTTGACCTTCGGGCCACCACAATGCGGATTTTCCCGGCATTTTTTTTTTTTCGCTTGTCATTAACGCATGTTGGTGTAACAGGATATCAACACCCCTTCCACTACGGACTCGGGTAATATGCATGGATGCCCTATCAGCTTTGTTATGGGTATTGCCGGAGACATCCCTGAATTTGCTTGGATCAAAAAATGCTTGCTTCCTGAGCGTTTGGTCTACATTGGCCTTCGTGATGTCGATCCCGCGGAAAAGAAGATCCTCAAGGACAATGGCATCAAGGCATTCAGCATGCACCATGTTGACAAGTATGGTATTGGAAAGGTTGTCGAAATGGCCCTGGACCATGTCAACCCCAACCGTGATAGACCCATTCATTTGAGCTTTGACGTCGATGCCCTGGATCCCAGTGTCGCTCCCAGTACTGGCACTCCCGTCCGCGGAGGTTTGACCTTCCGCGAGGGCCACTATATTTGTGAAGCTCTCGCTGAAACTGGCTTGTTGGTGGCTGCTGATATCATGGAAGTTAACCCTGCTCTTGAAGACGAGCAAGCTGTTTTCCAAACCGTCCAGGTTGGATGCTCTTTGACTCGCTGCTGCCTTGGAGAAACTCTTTTGTAATTTCCCCACGCCGCCCTTATAATCTTTTAACACACGCCCTCCCCCCCTCTCTTCTGTAAATCACTCGTAGAACTTTGCGTAGCGCTTCCGAGATGATGGCTCTCGCATTTGTAATTTAACAAGACAAATGAATATAATGCTTTTCAGTTTCTTCTCAAAAACAAATGGGCTTGAGTTTTTTATTTTATGGTTTATATTTGATCGGCTGTTTTGTTAGACGAAAACTCTATTGACAGAACTCCGGCTGGCTTGTTTATATGTTCTATTGCGCGGCGTTCGCACCGTAGGCAGCCATGATGCCTGGTTCCGGTACGTTGACTTCGTTGGGGCGAGGCTCTAGTTGCGTGTACATGGCTCGTTTGCTGGTAAGGCCACCGGAAGCTAGAAGCCCAGCTGCTACACACACGCCGGCCATAACGGCATCAATCACAGGCACACCTAACTGAGACGAGATGGTTTCCTTGAGACCGGCCATGCCTGCACAGCCAAGTAAAATGACTTCTGCCTTATCTTCCTGTACAGCCACACGGCTGGCCTCCACCAGTCTACGAACCACTTCCTCCCGGGCAAGACTGACGGTATCCAACGCCGTCATACCTGCATCCCGTACGCTAGCCAGTTTGTCATGAGCGCCAAGGTCACGAACTCCTTCCTCTAATAACGGTCGCCAATGATCGGAATCAGTCACAATTGAGAACGTCGCTCCTAAAGGACATGCTTGGAGGATAGCTGCCTCCATCACATGCAGCACAGGCTTATTCGTAGCCTCTCGTAACGCTTTGACCGACGCATGGTTGGAAAAGCAAGCAATCAGTATTGCGTCGTATTGATCTAGCAACGGCAGCACTTTCTCTAGAGTCCAGTATGTGCTGATCGCTTCGTCGAACGCTCCTTCCACTGACTCTACGCCCTTGTCCGCACATACGGTGGTGGACTGTATGAAGTCGCCAAAGACACTAGAAGCCGCCTCTACGCTTTGCGCTATGGTGTTGGTCATCTTTTGACTGGTATTGGGGTTGACGACGAGGAGCTTTCGAGTCATGGAGGAAAGGTGTCAAGGAAAGAACGAGAGTAGAAGCGAAAAGAGTGAGATAGTGACAGACTAATGTAGATTTGGGATAAGAGTAACAAGGTTAAGGTAGGCTCCGACGTTGGATCTGTTTGCCTGATCTAGTCACGCAAAAACCGTCCATAAAATCCTGGTATTTCCAAAATTTGGTAACATGAAACCTCTGACAAAGCACTTTGCGTTTTACTAGGTACTACATACCTTTTGGATGTATATTTATAAGTAACGAGTGGCATTATCATGCGGTCACAATGAGCTATCTTCTTGGGACGGATCTCCGAACGCATTATCAGCACTAGGATCCGATGTTTCCCGTGAAACTATCAAAAAAAATCCACCTCTATGATTTACCACATCAGCTCTATCTTTTCACTTTTTACACACACATTAAAATTGCTGCAATGTCAAAACAAAGAAGTTTATTGGTTGCGTGCTTTCTTTTCAATACTGAGATTCAAGTTTTATGATTTTAACGAGAGGTGGCGGCGGCCTTGGGAGCGAAACCCTTGGCTTGTTGCTTGCTGACCTTGGGCTGGTTAGCGTTCTACAAATAAGACGATGTCAGTGGGGGATTGGAACAATGGAAAAAAAAAAGAGTATGGAAAACTCAGCTGGTACTTACGGTGGTCTTGGTAGCAGCCTTGGCCTTCTTAGCCTCCTTGGACTTGGCAACAGCAGCCTGGCGAGCAGCAGCACGGACTTCGGGCTTCTGGGCACGCTTGGCACGGATGGCATCCCAGGAAGCACCGACGACAGCACGGTCGTGCTTGACAGTGCGGCGGGTGCGCTTCTTGGCAACTTCCTCAGTGATACCCTTCTTGTGCATGCGACGGTAGACAACGGTCCAGTCGATCTTGCGAGGGTTCAAACGCTGCTTGAAGTAGGACTCGCACTTACCGTTGACGAAACGGAAAGACTTTGTGGGGAGAAGAAAGAGGTCAGTTAGTTTATCATACGCGTACACTGGAAGGAAATGGAAGCAGCAGTCGGCAGGGCATATTCGATGGAGAAGGTAGTGAAGATACGATCGGCTATGGCGTTCATTGCGTATAAGGTAAAAATGAGATGGTTCGTTAAAAAGGCGGATGGAATTTTGTTATGGTGTCAAAAGTATAATGTCACAATGGTGCTTTTTTAGGTATTGTGGGCCGAGTCTTCATCGATATTGCTGGAATCCGGGGCAATTTCGAAGTTGCTGAAACTATGACTTTCCCTCTCTCTGTACGCGCTACCAAAAAAACATCGAGAAAAATAGGTGTAAAGTACATACTCTGTAATAACAAAGAAAAACCAGGGCTCATCAGTTTCCATCACAGTGAGTGTTTCGACACATAGAAATGCAAGACTCACCTGTTGTCAGTGCGAACATAAATCTTACCCTTTGCGGGGTAGATCTTGTAACCAGAGAAAGCGCAGATTTCAGTCCTGTTTGAATGAATGGCAATGAACAGGCAATGTCAAACATGGGCAAAGAAAAAAAAAAAAAAGTGGCAATCGGTAAGCAAATGTCAAGTTGTAAAAGTCAAGATAGGTTGTAATGGTGATGAGAGATGTAGGGTCAGTACAGATGAACGATGGATGCACGATGGATAGATGGATGGATTTACGCACTTCATGGTATGTGGTGGAAAAGGAGGTTCGATGGCTGCTTGCTGCTCTCCATCTTTTGGAGACCAGTCTGACTATACGGCGGAGTTTTACGTTCATTCAATTCCCCTCTCTCTGAATCGTACATGTTTGAATATGAAAACTGACTTTTCCTTTAATAATGTACAAAACGTCTATAACTCGAAAATTCCTACTAACGTGCTAGAAAGCTATAAAATTTCACCATGTTGGCTTTTGATTTGAATTAACTCGAAATATTAGCCGCCATAACCACGTCTCGACCGAATTGTTGATATTGTACGCTGCTAAACATGGGCGTTGAAGGCTGCGAGGCACTGAGTGAGCTTTCAAACAGTATCTCCAGGTTTCCAAATTCAAGAACACTTACCTCTTTAGAAAGAGGGTTCTGTATCGTTATACCATTACCAATCCATGTGGGTGCAATGGTGACAACCACAGCATCCAGTAAGGCAAAGCTTGAAAGGCAGGTCTTGATCACAGATGCACCACCTTCAATCATCACACGCTCCATACCTCTACTCTTCAAGTTTTGGCACACCTCTTCTAAGTTCAAGTGTCCTGGAATGTATATGCTCCTGGGTTAAATTTTGATCTTGCAAGTGTGGGCTGGATTCAACCGAATCAATTTTTACCAGATGCGTCCACGCCAACAGTGTAGATGTGAGCCCCTGCATCTTCTAATTGATGCTATAAAATACATTGAATCCGATACTTCGTTAATACCTTCTTATCACGAGTTTAAAATTTTCTATTGGAGGCGACTTACCCATCGTGCTGAGTATTTGTCATCGCTCTGATCTACGCCCGTAAAGATGATAGGCGGTTTGCCTTGTTTGGTCGCAGCGATTTTTAGTAACGAGGCATCAAGAGGAAATCGCAGCTTTGAATCCAAAACAACTGGCGTCGGTTGTTTGTGTGTGGCCAAATAGTCTTCGCCGACGTAGTCCGCTCGACCTAGTGAATGATCATCATTCAATACGACAGGGACAAAGAATCCCATGTATTGTTCCTAACATACCTGTAAGTCGGGGTGAATCGTTGATCAAAGTATTTATCCCGATGATGATTCCGTCCATATTGAGCCGAAGCCTTAGATTCTTTTGTTAAAAAAGTCAGTTGCGGAGTGCAGCCATTGCTTCAAATGTACTTACGTGTGGGTCATGACCATGGAATCTTTGCCGCTGATCAGAATTTGTTGACCTTGGGGTCCTGCGATTATCCCATCCATACTCTGCGCATATGTCAAAGTGACATGAAGACTATCAGTCGAACTTTTAACATACAAGGGTTGTAAGAATTCCCAGGCTTGTTCTGCCGTCCTGGTCATTGAATTTATCAGGAGTCAAGGTGGTCGTCAGGCTGCGACGCATCTTTGACTTTTTTGACGGACAAAACTCCGCCATTTTGAATAGGCATCTAATTCACAGGCTATCCGGTGCAATAATTGAATCAGGATAGAGGCTTCTTTCGCCATATCTAATCCAGGCGGAAGATGTTGGTAAATAAGCATGGTGAACAGTGTCAGCTGCGTTGCACGGCCATCGTTTATGGATATTTTAAGGCTTTCTCGGCTCGGTGGTCGTAGGTTATAATTATTTACAACCTTGGTGGAAGCACTAAATTTAGAAATTCGTGTGGCCTTTGTGGGATCAATTGTGGACGAAACAATATCATAGAATAGGAATGAAAGAGCAAGAGGAAGGAGACGTGAAAGTATGTCAAGGATGCTACGGTGATCAAGGAGTAATTATTGCTTTTTTCAATGGCGTCCCCTCAAATCATCGTTGATTGGAGTCACGATGAGAAATTTACACGATAGCCACAGAGAGTTGCGTTTGTTTACCTTCCCCGTTCCCCTTTCTGTCTCCTGTCTGACATGAATAAAACCTTTCGTCTTTTCAAAGGAGCAAAAACCCTTAGTTTATGTTGCCAAAAATTTTCATATATATTTTGCCTACCCTGCTATATCTCTTTTGTTTTAGCTGCTATCTCCTATTACATTTGTTCATAATGCTAGTGTCGTCATTTAGCAAGAGACACACCGTTTCATTTCCATGCATTCTAACCGTGGTTCGTGCCTCAAGTCTGCTGGTATCTGCTATGGTTATGACATCGGATTTACTCCATTATACAACCACAACCCATACGACAACAGGGAAAGGAGCTCAAGAACTTGTTTTGTCGTTATTCGCAAATGCAATTGAAGACAGACGCTTGATTTCAACACTTGTCACTGCTCATGCCACTAGTATTTGTTCTCTCCTTGTGCTGATTGGCCAGTACCGAGGCGGTATAGAGATCGAGCCCACGCGTTACAAGTCCATCTTTATTCAACTATGCCAAATGGTTGTGCCCTTAGAACTCATGGTCAGTTGGATATTCTGCATCCTATTCGATGTACACACCAAGCGAGTTTTCGAAAAGAAGAGCAGCTCTTTCAGCTTGTCTGAATATCAATTTTTCGACAACGTATGCATAGGCAGTGCAGAGGAAACCGCATCCATGCAATGTTCATTGGTTACATTTACCTATACATGTAAATATATCATCGGCGCACTTTTATTCACTGAACTTTTACTGGTGTCAACAAGAGCTTATAAAAAACTAATAGTCGAGCGTGAAGGAGCCATCCAACTATACGACGAGGAGATTCTGATTTTCAAAACAGAGAAGCAGCACCTTGCTCAGCGCTAGAATCTAATCATAGTTTAATGGGCTATATCCTAATATACTGTACAGTCAAATTTTATTTTTTCGGAATAATACAACTCTCATCTATGTAATTATTTTGTTTGCTTTCACCCCATTTCATTCTGAACCTATATTATACGATGTACACACATGTATATATAACCTTCAATATAATGTTCCAATGACAAGAAATCACCAGTAGCTACTTAAATATTCCGAATCGTACTCAATGAGTATTCTGTCCAGCAATTCATGCACATCGTCCTACAGCGACAGTTCAAAGGCTTCGATAGGGCCTGGCGAGTCTCGAAGGATTTGGCGGACTGGCGTCCTGACAAGTTTGCGTTTGTCTTCAAGTCCGAACCAAACGGCGAGTCCCAGAGTATCCCCTTTACCTCAAGGCTGGAAGAATAGCCCTATAGAACATCCTGACCCGCCGATACAATCAACAATGCCATCGACAAGAGGTATTTTTATCACTACTCCATGCGCTATGGCTGGCAAGACCATCGCCGGGAGAATCCAAGTACCACCAAAAACAAAATTAGACCACCATTCAGCCCAATCTCTGATACTCGAAATCATTGGAGTTGAGGGTATGGCTGTCATGGGTATATAATTTAAGTGCAATTGGTATAGTGACTGATCATACGTCTATATACAACAGAGGTGATTGACATTACTAGGCGCGGAAGGCAAACGCATCGACATGGCTTTTATAAGCAAGGCATCGATGACTGGACCTTTTGCCAAAATTCTTTGCGAGGAAAATCAAAACCATGGATATCTTTTCAATTGAGTTTACCAGACTGGTTGCAAGGATCTTATAGTGACAACATTAGCAAAGTTTATTATGTCATCCGAGGGTATGTCAGGGGCGGTCTTTATATCAATATGTGCATCGTATTGTGCTAATATTGTCATTTTATCTTTATGTGACGACAGTGTCAAACAAACTGGTAGGAATGGCCATGGCGACTTGACTGTTATTGAAGAGGAAGTCATCGTGCGTGCAAATATTGGAAACTTGGCATCCAGAGAAAAGTCGTTATATTCACACTTAACTGAGAATAACTCCATTGACTTCAGTAAATACGGTGAAGGCAATGTCAAATTACAATTATCAATACAGAGGCGAGTATGGGCATCCGGATCTCCCATCTTTTGCTCTCTTCAAATCAACAACGAAACGGAAGTGACTGTAAGTACTAATTCACAATGAGCTGTATCAGCTTTTTACTGAGTTCGCCCCCATTAGCTCAAGGACATCAAATTAATCCTCCTTAGGCGACAAAATACGTATTCAAATTTAAGCCAAAGCTTTCAACTAATGCCTGTCAGCTCGCTGTGTGATGTTGTCAGTACCACCTCTATCTCTTCTCTTGGCTGGTTTAACGGGCTTGCGAGTGGTGTAAAAGAGAATGTTGTATTGGAGTTGCAAACTATGGTAGGTCAAATACTGCGTCTTTCAATCCGTGCAAAGGAAAGTAGAATTAAAATATGTCCACAGCTTCAGCATATCACTGTCAAAGATCATGACTTAATAGATGTATCGTACGCAATCCAAGCGTCCATCGAAACATCTAAAGGGTATGTTTTAATATATATGATTTGTTTATGTAATGGACAACATTAACAGTATGGGTGAATTCAGCATAGAGACGTTGGTAGAGGTCCCCATCATACTAGTGCACCCACAAACTGTAGAACCGCCGATACCTGTCATGACATCCAATCCAGCAACGTCAAATATTACTTTTGCAGACCTCTTGAGACAAACAGAAGATAGCAGTGAAAGTGATACTGACGAAGAAGCGGAGGCTTTCAGTCCGAGGTTCAGCATATTTCGCCAACGTGCCTCATTTTCCATGTTGCATCCCACTGAGCTTGTTCCAGCCGAAACTGTCACAAGAAGCGTTTCATTAACAGCTCCTAAACGAAGGTCAAGTGCAACACACAAAGTAAACATAATGGAACCAGCCATAGCCAACTTTGCTTTGCATGAGAGCATTCCAGAGAACCATTCAATGCTGAAGAGGAGATCTCCCGTCAAAAGGTACATAGTACGACGCGCTTCCAGCCCACAACAATCTACATATAAGCGGAACTATGCTCGGCGTATAAGTGTGTTTGAAGACTGCGCTGAGGATACCAAGCTGCCTATTGTCGATCGATACGATCTCGGTAAGTGCTGCGGGTGTCTTTTTTGGTAAACGTTTCGCCGCTTACACATTTTGGCACACTCTAGCAGCTGATCCTGATACTGTTCCTGAAATTGAATCAAATTTGCCACAATCCTTAAATGCTGTCTCTTCTTCGAAGGACCAAACTCGACTTGGCACAAGACATAAGCTTCGTTCGTTTCGAGATTCTCTACGAATTTGAAAATTTCATGGACAAAAATCTGTGTATATATCCTTTCTTTCTATACCCTGACGATCAATTTTACATATTACCTGCGGAACATAATCGAGAAATGAATTATATCGCTTTTTCAAAACGTCTTTTGCACTTCGTTTCGTCTTTATTCGGTAGTTTAATATAATAAAAGTAGCATACAGATTGTTTAGATATAAAATAACAGATGTATGGAAATACACGGTATAACAAGTATGTTACTCATGTATAGCCCAAATGGATCAAGCTGTATTCATAATGATCATTAACAGCGCTTAGATGACGGCAATCTCCGCAACAGTAGCTCCAGCCATTGTACCATCATCCGTCTGAGTACCTTCAACTTCCAACTGTACATAACGTGCTTTGATAGACTTTGAGAGTGATACATCGCTGACATTACCAAGTCGCACTTGTACTTGATCGGCATTTTCAGGGTCATAGGGAGCAGTAATTGTGACCTTGTCGACCTTGGCAACCTGCTTCAACCCCTGCGTCGTGTTAGCTATACCAGCATACACAGTATAACTGGTTGGGGGGTTATTGTTGAAGTTGAAATGGAAGCCGGAGATGGTCTGGCTTTTACCCAGATCAATGACAATCGACGCTGCAGACTTGCTATCCGGACGCCAGTACGTAGCATTGGAGCCGTCAACAGCTGCAAGAGCATATTGGCCAGGCTCAATTGCTGCATTTGTGGACACGCCAGATGGACATTGTGCTTTGTTTCCGGCAACAACAGTACCATTAAGATCGCTTCTATACGTCGGTACAGTAAGGGAATCGCCTACACCAAGTGAACTTGTATAACAGAAGCATCATATTAGTATTTATGAGCAATGCATCTATAAAAAAAAAGGTCTCTTATAAGTTTCACTTACTAATTACCGCTCTTCTTGTTCCTATCACCGATGCACACATTAGCGTCAGAGCCACCAGATCGATGATGAATAGTAGTGTCTTCTCCAGCGATGGTGACATCAAAAACGCTGCCTTGCCATTTCATGCCTTTAGCAGTATACCCATCTGGGGCCAATTGAGGAGGAAGTGAAGGATCCAAGTAGAAGCAGTCATAACGAGGTCGATATCCAGTGAAGCCGTGAGTCCAGACTTGCAAGTATCCGCCGTGGCCAGTCAAGAACGTGTAGGCAGGATTGGTGCCACCGTTGTCAGCATAGATATCCGTTGTCTGCTCAGAGAACTGAGCGAATGGGCCACGAACATAGGGCTCGCTGCTCTGCAATAAGTATGTGTACGACTCACAGCCTTGGGTTGACAACTGAGCGGAGTCGATGCTGAAGATGGAGTAAGTCATTCCTGGGCCTTTGGGGCTGTTGGCACCAGCGTAGAAGGCAAGATCCTCGGTAGCATCACGTACACTGTATTCCAGTGGGTAGATCAACAATACAACGTCCGCTTGCTTGACAGGGGTTGAGGCATTGAACCCTTCGTATTCAAGAACAACGTCACTTGCAGGTTCGTATAAAATATCGATGTTACTCGCTATTTCGCTCCAGTTGCCGGGAACATCCTTTGATTTACCAAGAATCGAAGCTGCTTTAATACTATTACGAAGCGTAATCGCCACACCCGCATCCGTGAAGGCAGCATTGTCTTGGAAATTCGCGTACTCGTCGGGATCAGTCTATTTGAAAAGTTTAAACTGAGTTAGTATTCGCTTTTGAAGTTAACTGAATGTTCATAGTGAGGACTTACTTCATTGCGAGTCTGATAAGTACTGTGAGAACGTTATTGTTTTTGTCAGCACATGTGAATGCCGTGATTCAAAGAAATTGAAAGAAAAAAAAATAGCTAGTGTCAACTTACCCTGTGGTGGAGTTTTTAATGACTTGGCTGGCCCAAAATTCAGACACCCCTTTCATGATGGGATAAGCCTTCTCTTCCAACCAGGTCTTGTTATCAGTCACAAGGAAATACTGCCATTGCGAAAGCGCAATATCGTTATTTAAATGGTATTCATAATCATAGCAAGGTCCAATTCCTATGAGTAAAATGTCAGATCAGAAGAACCATGGACAGGAATAATCATGTTAGGAACATAATTTGCGCTTACCAGTACAGTTTCCATATCTAAATGAAACCCAAGGATACAATAAGCCAGATCGGTTAAATTGTTTGACATTCTCCATAGCTGCACCCAAATTTTTGCTTCTGTAGTTGTTGATGCTCATAGCGTAGTCAGGGAAGAGCGACAGTAACGAAGGGTACATCCATGTTTCAGCATCCCAAAAGATACCTCCAGCATAAGAATCCGATGTAAGTCCAGCAGGGGCGATACTATTGTCGCCTAATCCTGTTCCTTCGTTACCATTTCGAATATTAGAGAGAAGATGGAAGAGACTAGATCTCGCAGTGGTTTGTAGTTCTCCCAATAGGTTATTTTCATTTGATTTCTTTGCACCAAGAATGTCAATCTCGCCTCCCTCGCTCCAAAGGGTTTCCCAGGCATCTTTGTGTTCAGAAACCAGTTTTTCCCAGCCGCTTTGCTTAGCTTCCTTGGCGGTAGTAAGAGCAGTGGATTTCTCTTCGTCGGCGAAAGCATCCGATGAAGCGATGCCTACGGCCTTGAACACGGAGATACATCCGCTGCCATCCGCAGTCAATGAGTATGCTTGAGCAGCGGTTGACTTATTGGTTCCCAAGTCGATGCTTTGAGGGACTTCCGTTTCTTGAATATTGCTTCCGTCAGTAAACTCTAGCGTGGAGATCTCCCACGCGGTGACGTTATCTATTCCCAACGGATTGACAGCCGAGTATATACCATACTCCAGCTCATCGTCATTAAGTTTACCCGCCTGTTCCTTTTCGACTCTTTGCGCTCCGGCGCCATCCAATACATCGGTAATAATTACTTGCTGACCATCCTTTAGACCGCTGACATCCAGGCGAACTAAGCCTAAAGTAGGGCGTTCGCGATGGGCCAAAACGGTGTAAACCAATTCAATAGAGGAAGTATCTTTGTCTGAATTGGAGTCGAACGGTGCCCAGGTAACGGTCGTCTCGACTATTCCATTACGTAGGGATAGGGATTGCTTGTACGACTTTATCTGGCTAGCGTCTACCCCGACACGGTATGTAGCCAAATCCTTGGAAGATGACGTATTATCCGCAGCTCCAGAAGGAGCGACAGTCAGATACAAAGAAGTCCAAGTTGGTAGAAGGGATATGACTTGTTCGCCACCGGTTTGGTCCTTCAGCATCCACAATAATTAGTAATGTTACTTAAAATTTAATTTGCACGAATAGCATTCTTGCCGGTACTCACAAAATTGGTACCTCTGGTCGGCCCTTGTTGGTCATAGAAACCTGCAACAATGGAGGCGGTTTGTCTCAATGTGAACAGTGGCCATCCTTGGGTTCCGTTCATTGCGGTATAGTTAATGGCAGGGTACACCTTCAATCCAACGCCTTCTACAGGAAGTCGGGCGCCAATATAGCCATTTGCGACGTAGGCTTCACTTTGGAAAGCAGTGGTGTTAAGAGTAGTTGTACTTAGAGTCCATCCGTCTGAATCTGAGCTTTCTTCTGCATCTCGTTTAATATATCTAGATGCTGCTGAACTGGCGAGTAGAACAAGTCCTGCGACTAATTGCAGAGGACGAAGAATCATAGGTACGAGAAGCTACTAATAGCAAGCCCAAAAATGAAAGAAGAGAAGCAATGGGAGCGGGGAAATTCTCCCCACCTCCTCTTTGTAATCCCCCCCACCACAACAGTAAAAGATGAGACCTTTCCTACTTTGATCTGTACCTATTATTTGCCATATTCATCATGCATAGCTATTACCGAAACCGTGTGAAACCATTCTCCCCGCGTTTTACCAATCTGCTGACGTTCATTTGACAGTTGGTGAATGCTACAAAAACATAGCTTTGGTATTTCGCATGTTTGTATACACTTGCCCATGCTATATTTTTGCATCGTCGATCTTCTAACTTTCGTTCCCTCAAGTAATTTTTAATACTGGCATATTGCAGAACGTAATTAGCTTTCGACTCCAGCAGTTGAAACTACAGCAAAAGTGGAGAAGTACGTATGCAAGTCACTGAGACAAATGCATACCGGCTGACTCTCACAGTCCGACTCAGCGAAGTAAAGTTTTCATCCCTCCAAAGAAGGTTAAATACAAGTTCAAGAATAGAACATTGTTTAGGAGAAGATTCTTCCACAAGCCGCATCGATCCTTCTAGCATTTCATTCATACACTGCTGATGGGTTCATTGTCTTGTCTTTTTTGAATTTGAGCTAGGGAGATAGGAAATAACACTGGTGTATAAACTATATCTACGTAAGTAGCATTTTTACATTTTCATAATACATGAGCATGGGATTTTCCCCGCTCTGAGTCTTGGTTCTCTCTATTTCGCCATACCGCTGACAGAAGTCCTTATGCGTAAGTACCTTGACCGCCTTGTCGTTACCAGCCCGCGAGCCACGGCAGATGGACAAATACATGTCGCGCAACAGCTCCCAATTAGTTGGGAAGAAAATATCAAACCATCCTGGTTGAACCATGTATGTTGAGCATGGAACCATAGAACCCTTGTAGCGAGTTTGGACCACCGGAGCATCTACACCTTCAATAGCATTCGGTAGAGATGAGAAATCAGACAAGACCAGTCGGTGCTTGGGAAAGCGCTTGTTCAAGGTTTCCAAGAGCAGCAGAAGCTTGGTTGGTATGAACTCAGGTGCAGAAAGATTTGGTGAGAAGGGAAACATGTTGATGATTCGTTGGAGCAGGTGATGGTTCAATACAGGAGTGCGGTACATCGTGGATTTACGCAGGGCCAAGTACCGTGCAATCAACGGATCGCTTCCAACTGGTTCATAGATCTCGGAGTAATTTCCTTCGTCATCTACGCTGACCAATGCTTGAAAGGGTTGCATGGTCTCTGTATCGTACCGTATGAGATCATGTGCAAAATTATCCTGTAAACCGATTCTTCGTTCAGTACGAGGGGTAATGAAACCAAGCCAGAGAAAACGAAATGAATCCAATTTGATTCATAGGTGATAAACAATTTCACTTACAATAACTTCCATGCCAACAAAGAAACAATCGTCCTCTACATCAACATCCCAATCGAAGATACTCTTGTTGATGATTTCAACGCAGTGATGTCGGTGTTGAGCGTCTCTAACATCATGACGCTGGTATTGTCGTTCAGCCAGCTTTTGCGAGATTTCAATAATATTGTACCGGGTCCTCTTGTAGACCGAAGGTTCATACTTTTGAATATAATCTAATATGTTCAACATCAAAGTTCCGTTACCGGCACCCATTTCGAAAATGATCAAATCCTTGTTGGGATACAAGTTCAACTTGTATTCGGTAACAAGGTACTTTGCTATAGCATAACCATACCAGGGCTGAAATGGCACAAGTTAATTGACGCCTCCAACACGTACCCCAGGCACATGAAAGCGAGACTGACCTTAAATAACTCTGTAGGTGTATGCCAGACCTGTCTCGCAACTTCATCTACCTCATCGACATCGCCTTCTATTTCCTTGTACTTTTTGGCAATTAGATTCATGAAGTGGAGGTGGTCCCTCATTTGTGAAAACTCAAAGTCCTTCTCTGGGGAAAAAATGACAGCTTGCTTGGAAAAGTAGCCATAGTTTGGATTGTATAGCGAATTGTCTATGAAGTCTCTAACAAGCATCTTCGTGCGCGTGGGAAGTTCTGACAATGGTGCAATATCCTTGGCAGTGGCACGTCGGTAGTTTTCGTAATCGTGATCTTCATCCTCTGGAGGTGAAAGGAAGGGAATGAACACAGGCTTGACCACCTTCTCAGCCGAAAGAAGTAGCCTGGATTGATGAAGTTGGCGTCGATGTTCTAGCCAAACGTTGGAGTTGCGTAGTTGGTGACACCGTGAGCTCCACCTTGTAGAAACGCTGGGGATTCGGCGTACGACCGATCCTGCAAATCGTTTCATTATTATGAACTTTTTCCCTCGACTGCACTGACGGGCCTGGAAGTACAAAACTGTCGAGGTTTGAAAATTTCACTAAGGTCACGTGCGTCCGTAATGGGTCGTCTTCAAATTTGAAGCGTTGTTTGCCATTCCTTCGCAGTAAGCTTTGGTCATCAACATGGCAAGCTTCAAGTACTGTTCGGAATGGTATGATCGTGGATATGGTATACTTGAGAACCATTATACCCTAATTCGTTATTGATCTCTGTCGTTTATCTTAGCAACAACATGTTGTACCCGAGAGAAGACAAGACTAATCGCAAACTACTATTTGCTTGCCGCAACTGTCATTTCGAAGAGGATGCTGATAACAACTGCGTTTACCGACACGAAATCGTGCATGCTCCTTCGTATGTAATCACACTCGCTGTTTTTTGCTTTGATCTTGCTGTTCCATCCGTTCCAACCAGCTTTCTGATCTGACCGCCCATTTTCCTAACTATAGTGAACAAACCATGGTGTTGACTGATCTTAGTGCTGATCCCACTTTGGTATGTTCATGGTCTTTTTGTCTAAGCTGACGCTGAAATGAAACTCATTCATATTTCTTCTATTGTCATAGCCACGAACCACTACTGCCTGCCCTCGTTGCGGTTACCAGGAAGCGGTGTTCTTCCAGTCGGCAGCGCGACGAGCAGATACTAAAATGACCCTTTTTTATGTTTGCTGTAACAGGGCCTGCGGCCATCGTTGGGTCGATTAATTTGTACAGTTCTGTTTCTATCACTTCACATACCTTTTTCCCTTTTATAAAATCTTCAATATACATTCTCTCTCATTGAACTATTTGAGCCTATATGTCGCACTTGGTTCTAACATTTTGGTTAGTAGACAACTCATGTTCAACAAGCCTCGCCATACAACGTTGAGAATTTAAAGCATTTTATTGCATATAGAAAGGAAACGTATACATCAGATGGTTTAGTCCTGAAATGTGGGTGAATGAAAATGATTATTAGTCTCACTGTAGAGGTACTGCTGCATCCTACAACACCATATTTCTCTTTGCTCACCTGACGAGACTTGAGCGAACGTGTTATGACCTTGTCTGGCGTTCTGAAATCATAGACGCATTAGTACATAATTCAATTTACCAAAATAATACAGTATTCGTTGAAACATACATAATGTGAACAACAGCACCCCATCCAGATAAAGCATCTCTGTCTTGAGCATTCAAAAGTGCTTGGGAGATTGTCTCGAACAGATCTTCGGGTTCTAGATCAGGTTCCCAAAGTGATTCACACATGCCGTATAAGTTCTGACTCGCCGTTCCGCTCACAACAAAATCTTTTGCAAAGTTTATGCATCCAATAAGGTCCATGGCGCAGATGAAAGGTGTATTATCCTTGCTCAATCCAGCAACGACAGGCTCTACAAAGTAAGGTCCAAATCTGTCGGATTAAATGCACAGTAAGTAACTTAGCAAGCTTGTATTCCACTGATGTTAAGAAAAAGAGCGTATCGTACCGTCGTTGGTACAATGTTGAAGAAATCATGTGTGCCACTGTTTTGGGTTCAATATCTCTTTCCTCCTCCATTTTGTACATGTTGATATTGAATCGGAATCGCTCGGACCTAAGAATGATTAGTCTTAACAGGTGTTGTCATGAGAATTATATGTCAATATCGACAAGTAGCTTACAGTGTAAGGACGTCGGTTGCAAGGCCGGGCAATCCAATGTAGGTCTTTTCACTGGCAGGGAAGATCTTTTGGAAATTGGTTGAAACAGTCATAAATTGTTGACCCAATCGTTTGTCTGAAGCAATGGCTACGCAACCCTTTCCAACCATGGCTACCACCGAGCCTCCATTATATTCCATTATCGACTGAGTAAGAAAATGTCAGTAAAGGGCAAATCCAGAAGGCATCGAGCTATGCAGTGCTTCATGGATGCATTCAGCTTGCACCTCGATCCCTTTTTGCAACAAGTGTGAGGAAATGACTATTACCATTTTGTGTAAAAGTGATTTTGTACAAGGACTAGAGGGAATTCAAGCAGACGTACCTTGAATAGCCGAGACTATCTGAGACGCGCAACGCGTATGATGACGTAGACAGGATTCAAAATTCAAATTTCATCAGCCAAAGCGGGGCTCAACCAACCATTTAGTTCGCCACGACTGGAATCAAAAATGTCATCCAACCAGCCTTGTATTTGCCTCTCAATTAGCATTGTCACAGGTATCGAATTGAAAAATACTTGTTAGTGTATAGAGGGCTGCTTCATATACCATAATCATTTCCGCTTTCATAAAAAGGGGAACAAGTTTGAGTATTGTAAGACAACCGGACAATTAACGAATTGAAAGGTAAAGACCATGCATACTGCGATTCTAGTAAGAAGAATAAATCAAAACTCACCACTTGAGACATGCTAATTCCTCGATTTAGTCTCGATGTTCAGCAGTAAATGATAGAAACATCACAGCTTTTTCGTTTATTATGAATGGTAGAAATACCTGTTGGTCTATATGAAAAATCCCACCGCGTACACATTTCACAGATTTGAGAATTTTATTTCTTCAGTTTACATTTTTCCAACAAACACCTTTTATCCTGGTCATTAACAAGCTGGTGCTGTGAATTAGTTATACTACTGTTAAAAACATTTGTAATATAACATGATTTGAATTGGCTGATATATACCGCACTACAATTCCAATCGCAAATGCAAAATTATGTCATGCTAGGTGCTAGCAATATAAAAACTGAGGTTATGACAATATTTAACAAAATAGATATTTTAGATGTTGATGTACTATGACAATAATTTTCGTTTCAGATTCAATGCGAGTAAATCCCAAAAGTTATAACCAGCAAATATGAATAAAATGATCGTTATGTGGTCCTCAATGCTGTATTAAACTTCGTCTTGCTTTTATGCGTCTTCTTTACACCTATTCGGCTTGAACGTAAAAACTACGGTGAAAGGAAAACTCATCGGTACGACAGCTGAATTTGGGCATGTGCTTTCCGTATACCAGTGTTTGTCTCTACGGCTGTGACTCAGCTTATGAAGGGATGCCGATCATGGTTAAGGAGCTCGTACATTGAATGATCTATGAAAAGAAAATTTCAGGACAGCGACTCCACTGCATTAGACTCCTATTATTTGGTAACTGTACATCCCTAGACCCTGAAAGATAGTAAGATCAGATTCCAGTTCATCAGTAATGCTAGCTACAGCCGGCAGTCAGACAGAGTTTACAGAAAGCACCAACCAGTAACAGCGCCACCATGAAAGGCATCCAGCTCAAGAAGAGGCTGGTTATAGCACAGGTTTAATAATATATTATCCTGAGATTTGATGTTGTGGTAGTACTTTGGAAATACTTAGACATTCATGAAGGCGTACATAGCGTTACTTTGTCAAAATAGCAGCATTTGTGTGTATGGACATAGGTGGCACAAATAGCTTTTAAACAGGTTTTTCAACTCTAATTCCAAGCAATTAATGAGAAGCGCTAGTTATATTGTAGGACACGTTTTGGATACCGCAATCCACATCGCGGTTTCTCCACGCGTGTCTGATTTCATGTGCAACTTCATGTGCGACAGTGTATAACAGGGAATGGGTTGGCAATCAGAGCGAGTTTCTACATTATTCATTAAGGACAAAATACAGCTGAAATACTCGGTCGTGACATAGTATCATGACAAAAATCGACGATGGTTAGACTGGAAGGGAGGTGTAAGTCGGTTTAAGCTTACGACATGTAATTTCAAGTTTGATACTATTATTAACCGCATTTATTTTTTTCGTGGCACAAGCTCAAGCTCAACTCTGTATTCCTGAGCACCGAACGATCAAAATCCAGGAAAATTCAAGCACATAATGGTCAATGTAAGAATTATATAGCCTTCTTACAGTGCCATCAGAAAAAGCATGGCTCATTAAGAAACAAAGTGGTGGTTCAAAATAAGGGATGGATCTTCAGGAGGTAAGCTAATGATAGTGATTATTAGAAACTGACGTTGCTGCTGAACACTGTCCCTTTTCTGTCAAAAGGCACGTTCTTAACAGGAATCCTAGAAAGCGGAAACTTTGGAATCCCACATTCCTTACGGATCTTTCTTCGCTATCATTGACATGGGAATGTCTAAAATCGAATTCCCAATGGCGTGCTCTTACCCTTTTGTTGACCATGGTACACCTCTTTGGATAGACGTAGTCGCCAACACTTCTGATAAGGCTGAAGTCGGACGGCGGAGGACAAAATGCCACGCGATTGTAGATAATTTAAATGACGGCCGAGGGGCCACTGTAGAGCATGAAAGCATGTCGATAGAGACACCAATCTGCTGCACAAAAGACTTGAAGGTATGTCAGAATAAGTGGGAAACCTGCTCGGCGAAAATCTGATATTCACATCGTTTTCAAGACGCAAAATCCCTACCTCAGTAGCATAATTGAATTTAGCAAAATGCTCCCAAACACAAGCGCCGAGCTGGGCACGACCGACGGCCATTTGGATAGAAGTCTGGTCATCATGAACGCAATCCTCACGCCCAAATCTCCTCTCGTCTTCAATAAGCCAATTTTTTCAAACGGCAGCGAGGATGGTCGATGCGATCCAGTTACCACACAGGCTATCAAGTGCAAACCAACCTACGAACAAGAGAATGAGCAAGTGTATCTGAGCATCGGCCATTCATTACGCAACACAATGGAAGTAAATGATCAAGTGCCTAGAATGCAAACACCAGATCAAACTGAGACACTTAGCACATTCCATGCTATGGAAGAATTGTTGATGGGCATATTAGATCACTTGGAGTTTGCTGCGTCTCTACATTTGCCTTCCATCACATGGGATAACGATGGATCAATCTCAGCAATTTGTGCATCACGTCTGTCTCGGATGATACAGCAACTAGGAATCATGCCAAGCGCGGCACCACTTACTTCTTCCCTACCTGACAACGATCAGCAGCATAGCGACATGGCGGCTTTCCAGCAATTGATGATCTCAATAGATTTAATCAATCAGTGGCTCTGCAGTGAGATCCCAAAAATTCAGGAAGGCTTAAAGGACATGTCTTTGTTCCATAGGACGCAACTTATGGCTACGATTTGTGATAAATTGACTCAAACCGTGAACAACGCCAAAATCAACTACTCATCATTTCAGTCCAGTGTAATTGAACTACGACAGCAATTTGACAGTTCTCGGCGACACCTTCATTTGGTTCGGTGTCCCAATACTTGCTATACCGATCGTACTGTGACATGCGAGGATCTCAGAAGGAAAGACTATACATCACAGCCGCAGGTAAAATTTGAGCTTTCTGTCAAGGCAGAAGTAACAGTACATATATCTCACAAATGTGTTTAAACACCTTTAGAATAACACATGCAATAGTAACAATACTAATGGTGACAAATACGAAATACTCGTTTTGGCTTTGGAAGAAGGTATAAATGGTTGGGTGCAGGAATGCGACATGTTCGAACATGTACTACAGAATTCATGGTCCAATCTCGCAACTGCCAACTTGGACTCTGCTACCTTGGATAGACTAGCGCATTTGGAAACCCATTTACATGGCATCAAATCCTCTGTTGAATCCGCAAGACTAATATGTGTGCAGGACGAACACTGTGGGTCAAAAGCACAGTTGCTATCTCGACTGAGGGAGTCACAAATTCAGATTATGGACGTTGAGCCCCGATTTGAACGAATTTGTCAGCGTGTCCAAGTACTAGCACAATGCAAACGATGGGAAGGCCTTTACAATGATACTATGGCAAAAATGGCGTGTACAAACGGTCTCATCGACGAGCTTTTTGAGATGCGCAGTACTTGGGCCAGTCACTTAAATGACACTGATAATGACCAACACTCTGCGAAGATGCTAGTACAGAAGGGAAGAATAGAATCAGCACTACAGGATATGAAATTAAGCGAAGTCGCAGACGCCATCTTACAGTTCGAAGAAACATTGATAACGGCCATGTTCAAACTTCCTAATCGCATGCACGAAAGCCAACAAATCCTAGTGTCACTATTTACAAATTTACAGAGTAGACTACAATTTACTAGCTATATTTTGCAACAATATCAGCAAGTTTCCAAACTTCAGACAGACGTGACCGAAATACAGAGCACCCTTCGCACCTTCAAGACGACGAGTACTGAGCATCACTCAATCGCCCAGTTAGATGAACTCTGCAAAATGGTCGTCACTGTTGGTATCAGTGGTCATACATCCATCCACTATCCTGAAAGCACCATTAGCAGCGAAGTTCGTAGAAACAAACATGCCAACCAACATGTACGTTCTGGTATAGGAACAATGCAGATGACCCTGATGAGCATACTGGAGGATTTGAGAAACCTTATGGATGATCACCGGCATAATAGAGAACTGCAGCATGCGATGGAGCAAATGAAAGTAACCGCTGGACGGCAAATACGACTGCTCCAATCTCGCATAGCTTCGCTTGAGGACTCCCCAATCAATCCTAAGGCAAGAATGTCCATTCAAGAATTAAACGACATCATCAGTGATCTACAGTATCAACGTAGTTTGGCCAAGCAAACAGTTGTAATCTGTTCACCTCCTCAGCTCAACCTGTTACAATCATGTGAAGAAGGCAAAGCATCATACAATGCACAAAAAAACCTCGTCATGGCATTAATGGATAGGCTTGGGAAAATACAAAGCAAGCGCCGAGAGCTGGTCAATATGATGATGACTAGGGCTGCTTGGGAAGCTCGATATGAAGAATGTGCTGTGGTGTTAGAAAAGATGATGGAAGAGCTACCCAACATCATCCAAATGGCGTGGCAAACTGAGAACAAAACAATGGATATGGCTGATATAAACCTTGCTTACGTACTTGGATCGATGGAGGACAAATTACTGGAAGAGAAACTTGCATTCGACGCTTTCATTACAGTGTACAGTGGCCAAAGTACGTCCTGTAGGACAGATGAAGAACTCGCAATCATACTCAGTGATGCTGGCGATCGACACGCAAATCTGGTAAATATGGTAGAGCTCCTCTCCTTGACCTCCAGCATTCAGATCGATAGACTGAACCAGCGATATCGTGTACAAGCACTGGAAAGTACCTACAATCTTTTCATGGCACAGCTTGATGAACTGTATACAAAGCTACAGTGCGCCATGTCAAACGACAATGATCGGTATGAGGAAATGGCGTGTTTTGACATAGATGTTGAGGAGATGAAGAGCAAAATACAATATTTCGATCAGCAATGTATTGATGATGCCTTGTACCCTGACTGTCAGCAGCACTCAATACTACCACACGCATATATACTAGATCTGATGGATTCCAACCGACAAGTACGTCAGTATATCAACCAACTTCAAGACACTCTGTGCAAAAAGTTGAAGACTATCATAGACAACGGTAGCCACTTCACAGAGCTAGGTTCTTTATTGCAAGATCAGGTTTGCTTGCAACAGCGCTACCAAGACTGTCACACGAAAATTTTAGCCAGGAGCTCAGATTACGCTTTGGCAGATGAACCTGTGCCACAAGATGTCAATTCAACGCTGGCTTTGGTGCAATGTCTCTCTGTGCAATCAGAGGTACAAACACTATCCGACTTGGCACAGGGTTTAAGTAAAAACCTACTCGATCTAGCAACAAAATTGCTCCAGCATGATGGAACGAACGGCAGCTACGATGCACTCAATTTGCGATCATCCAGAGTTTCTTCCATGGCAAAAAGATTAGGACTAGCTTATCATAAATTAGTGAGCACAACGCTGGCAATGCATTTAAGACAAATTTGGGAGGCACGGTGGAACGCAAGCAAGGAAAAATTGGAACAATGCATCCTCCAGTTGGACGGTAGCGCACAATCCGAAAAATTATTAGACGGCCGATGTGCATCGACTGACTCCGCCGAACAAATCTTTCGCGAACTAATTCAAACCAATATAGCATCGACGAATTTTGCATTCCGAAACCTTAGCAAAGCGTATGAGGGACTAGGTGAAGCAACCCTCACCAAGCTACAGCAAAAGCATTGTGAACTGCGGCGACTGATAAGCAAATTTGAGGCGCAATTAGCCAAAATGCGTGGGTGTGGAGAACACATGAATTCACGTGCAAGAAAACTGTCGCACCCCAACCAATTGGAAATGCGGGCAAGAAAGATATCCTTACCGAGTCGAAAGACGTCTAATCTCGGAACATTCAATGACCATCTGGTAGCATCCAGGTCCGCTGTGGTCTCAAGCAGAAGCAGTAGCACTCGTAGCAGACCGAGTGTTTCAAGTCGATCTGGTCCCAAATCAGCAAGGCAGATATATATACCTGATCCAGCCAACGTTCTTGACGTTGAGCTGGGTCGAATCATCAACGAGTCACCCTATCGAATCTGTGTCAAAGCCGTTCCTGGTGAAGTTGGAAGGTATTGGTTTGGAGAGTCACAGCCCAAGCTCGCGTACTGCCGTATCCTCAAGAGCAGTATGGTCATGGTGAGGGTTGGCGGAGGCTGGGCGGAATTAACTCAGTTTCTGCGCGATCATGCACTTTTGGAAGAGAATTTCATACCGCGCGAAAGGAGTTTTACGGAAGATGAAGGACTTCGAGAAGGGTTCATTCGAACCCATCGTAATAATGCACCGCTTGGAAGGGTCATCAAAACACACACTCCTGAACGAGGAATCAAGAACGGTGATAGATTTATTGTTGGAAACGGTATTGAGGTCAAGATGAAGCGAGCTCAAGATGAACGCACGGTGCCACGATCAAGTCGGGTCAACCTTCTACAAAATTAGGATATGTTTTGTTTAAGCATTGTGTGCGACGTGTGTCAAAATGTTGGCTCAACGCACACACACTCTCATTGCCATCTAATGAACCCTGTAGCACACATGCTTCGATCGACGAAATTTTGTGAACCAATATCTTTCAAGTCTTGGTTTTAAAACGCAGGTTTCATTGTAATAAATTGCTTCATATATAAATAGAGCAAATTGTTCAACCACTAATTGCCATTGAAATTTATTGTGGATAAGGAGGGCCAGCGCGAAAAAAAAAAAAAAAGTAAAAACCGACAAAACTTATTTTCAGTGCCATCCGTAGAAAAACGTGCAGCGATTGGCTAAACAATCTTATTGAAATATTGAGACGGAGAACAGAAAAAAAATTTGGGTATAAACAGTAATTGCTAGATTGGCGTCGTCAAAGTACTATGGCATCACCTTTTTTTTTTAGAATACTCGGTTGATCTATGCGCCTGTATTAAATTCAAATACAATGTTTCTACTGCTTCCATCAATTCAATCATGTTGGTTTGCTGTGACAAATAATTTTACAGGTGGGGCAATTCATCATGGATGAACACCGGGAATTGAAGCGCCGCCTGCCCCGTTGCGTCGCTCATTTGGTAAGGAGCCAAACGAACTCTATTGGGGGGCTGAACAGGAAAAAATAACAACAACTTAAAGCTCTGCTCTTTCTCTTCATCATCTGAACAGCATTGATTCAGACCTTCTCGGAACTTCGCGTGTCTTGTTAGTTTCAGCGATATCGACTTGACTGGAGTAGCTTGTGTGTTCGTGTTCCTGCCCCTGAACCACTTTTTTTTTTTTGTAAAACCACTCGGTCCCCAAATCTACCCCTCATCATCTCGGTTCATCCTCGATGAGCGTCCAGGACAAAGAATGGTCGGTTGAGAATAACAGTTCGCCCGCTCAACAGGACGAACGTCAATACCATCAATCCATGCGACCTCACCCAAATGGTTATATGCCGTCCTACGTTCAAGACCACCCTCACGCGATGTACGTCACAAGTTTTTTTGCTTTACTTCCCCTGAACGTTCATTTATGCTTCGCTTCACAAGGCGTTTAAATTGAAACACAAACTTGAGATTAACTTTATATCTTCTGTAGATCTTCACATAACTTTAATCACCCTCCACCGGAGCATAGTCCTTACCTACCTCCCGGACCACCTGAGCAGTCTGATGCCATAAGACAACACCCAGGGTAAGACAAACTTTACATTAAGAAAGGGGTACAACCGAAGGACATAACGGAGTATTGATTCTTTTCTTTCACAGCTCTCAACCCTCAACGCCTCGGCCGGGTTCACCATTGTCTCAATCTCCAAATCATGATCAACGTAAGGATAGTATGCAATATCCACCCCAATATCCTCCTAATTCGCCTTATGCGGCTGGCCCCATCCGAAAAAGACGCAATGACTCAATTTATCAGCCTGAGGCAGGTCCTTACTTTAGCCCTACTAAAACATTTGGCAATCTGTATGCCACTGATAGAACCACCGTGTAAGTCTGCAAGTTCAAAAAAAACCCCCAACGTGTAAAAAGTCTCATTCTAATACGTTCGTTCGTTCCTTCATTTTAGTCTCACTCCAAGACTTTCCTCGAAAATCGATCGTGGATTTTTCTTAGCTGACAACGATTGGACATGTTATCGTCGCAACTACTTTCAAGTTAGTAGTGTATTTGCTATCGATGGTCTCAGTCACATTTACAACGATCATGAGTTGCCTTGCTTGGTCCAGATCAATGATAACTTCTACCCTATCAAACATTTTAATATCGGGATCAGCGCAAAGGTGTCCAACAGTGACAAAGTTATCGATCTTATCCAGCATACCCCAAAACGTGATAAAGGTCCGCAGATTACTCCGCCTTGTAGACCTATCAAGCCAGGTGGCGATCTGAGATTGAGTTCGGTGGGCTCAGGTCTTAATATCATCACTTATGAGCGAGTTCAGTTCAAGACCGCAACAGCAAACAATGGAAAACGCCGTGCAGCTCAGCAATATTATGTCATTGTTATCGATCTTTTTGCCTGTCTCACCAATAACGAACAGATTAAGGTTGCTTCCAGTCAATCAGCCCATCTTGTTGTTCGGGGACGTAGCCCTGGTCATTATGCAGACAGCACCGATCGGTATAACCCTATGGTCGTCTCACCTTCAGGAATGGATGATGAGGCCGGGCGAAATGCCCATTATAGTCGAGAGCATGCCATGCCATCACCGGCCGTTATGCAACCACCTACTGGCGATTATGCTTCAGCACCTTATTCTTATCCTAATTATCACCCATATCCACCGCAACCATATAGTCCGATGATGATCAACAGCCCTAATGGCCCCAATTCACATTATCCTCCTCATCCACATTATGGCCCTCCCCAAAATCCTTATATTGTACCTAGCATTTCCGATCCTTCATCGTCAGAGTCGTCATCGCCAGATTTATATTCCGGTGAATTTGCAGAGGGTGGTGGCGAGAATGGTCAGCACAAGCTTGCACATCCATCGTACCATCATCACCCATCTCATCTTCCACCGCCCCATGGAGTCAGTATGCATGGCGCCCCTCAGCATGAGCATGAAGCATGGCAGAGATCAAGAGGTTTGAATGGATATCCGCAACCCAGTTCACCGCATGAACATGTTCATCATCCTACCGCTCATCATCCAGAGCCTTATTATGGCGGTCCTCCCCACTTACCTTCACCATCTACGTCAGGGCCATCAGCGTTTACACCTACTCGATCTGATGTGAAGATTGATTTAGGTCCGGCACCTAACCTACCCTCCATTCATCCTTCCCATCCTATGACACCCACTTATCCTGGACATAATTACAATGACTTTCAATGGCAAGGCCATCCAGGTCAGCAAGGTCCACATGGCTACCATCCTGAAAATGATCAATATCGACATCATGACGATCGTAGACCAGAGTATGGCCACACGGGTGAACAGCAGGCTGAGCCACGTAAACCTGATACATACAATGGTGATGGGCAAGAACCCAATGATAAGAAATCAGACTTGCCTGACCAACATCGTGCAAATGAACTCGGGAAGAATGTTATGCACATGAGGATGGGTAGAATGGAGGAAGCTGACAATCTTTGATGGATCCCAGCACGGCCTGTAACAAAATAACGAAGCCCTCATCTTGCCAAAAGCTTTTTTTCTTTCTTCTATTAATCTTTGAATTTTATCTTCTTATATGTGTCTGCTTCTTGAAAATGTTCCATCCACTCCTTCTATAACTCTCTCTGTTTGTTGTTTATACTGTCGCGCTATTTGGTTTTCCCATTCCCCACATCCTCCTTTTACCTACTTTACGCTACCAACGTTCTACCTTCTGCCTCTTTCCTTTTTTTTTCTTATATTCCTTTTGCCCCAACCTTATCCATCCTCAGTCATTTGCATGCAAGGATTGTTTTATTTACCTGTTGCGATACGCTCGTATGCCTTTGCTCTTACTTTTTTTTTTTCCTATACTTATTAAAACCATTGCCACAAACTTGACTGTCGCATGAAATGGCTATTTTAGGAAAGCATTGGTATCACTAACGAACGGGTACACCTTTTCCCATAACCTTGGATAAAGATCTGCATGCAAATCCCGCAACATCTTTGGTAATCAACAGGTTCGCTCGCCTACTGCTTGCAATAAAAGTTTCAAAAATAAATTCTTTTAATAGCCTACAGGTTTTGATGCGACCGTGGCATGTGCCGGTCTTTTTACCTCCATCCCACTACGTACATTTCCCATTGTTCTTATGGGAAGTATGTGATCATAGCGTTTTTGAAACCATGCTAAGACTTTTCTTGCCTCGTCAATCGTCTACTTACCAACTTTATGCGGCAGTTCAACGTCTATACTGCCATGCCTGGTACGCTACAAAATGGAGAGGGTGATACCAATTTAGCGGGACTTGAACCTTTCGTAATTGGTGGAACGCTATTCTTTGACGAACCTCAATCCCAGCGGTACTGCTTTCAGTACCTCCGTATAGCCCTACTTTACTGCTCCCCCATTTTTGTCTTCAATTTGGCTAAACCTATCTGCGTAATGGGCATCTAGCTACTTTTGCTCTTTTGGTTGAGTTATTGAAAATGCCTAAAAGATTCAGCCGAATGAATTATTGGTGCATTTACGAAAGTGAATATATTTGAGATTGACGGTCGAGACTCATGCATGAGCATCTGCTACTACAACCAGTTGTAGATATCATGAAAAAAAGAAGAATCAGAAGGTTTAACTGCCGTTGTCCAAGTCACTCCGCTTGAATGATATAATTTTTTTTTTTTTGGTTTTTTTATGCTCAACACCTCGTATTTCTAAGAGATGCCAGAACCAGGTAATTTAAAGATTGAAACTAGAAGGTTTTGGTAAATGTTTCTGGCATTTTCGATGATAATTGATAAATTACATTCACTATACTGACTAGCCATGATACAAGATGTATATAATTTCTTAATAATGGGCCCAACGAAAGAGAACATGCGAATATATGAATTGTACCACACGGGGATTACTATTACGCTACACCGTGTCCATTCATCAGCGCAGACAGATCTTGTCTCCGGTATATAACACAAGTTGGCACAAAGATGAATAAAACGTTTTGTTTGCTCTCGATATAGTTTGCGTCTCATCGCCTTAACCCATACCACTCCTTTCGAACCATGCGTCTATCGTACGTTGCTGCGCTTGCTATAGCAACCTTCATAAGCGCCGCCACCGCTTCACCATTTTCTCCAGTCCTTGAAAAACGTGCAGCGTCTTGCAAGAACGACAATGGTAAGTTATTGCCACTGTCTCGTTTATACTAGGAAAAATATAATAGTCCGGATTATTGCTGACACTTTTTTTTTAGATTGTCCTGGTAAGGATGGATGCTGCTGCTTGATTCACCTCCTGTAGCAATACTGATGTCTTATTCGCAGGCGTTACATGTTGTAATTTGAGCACTTTGAAATGTGTTAGCGACCCACATGGAACCATTTGGTATGTCAATCGAACGATGATTCACTATAGGCAACAGATCAACTAAACGTACTCATTTCAACAGTGACATTCCTCCCAAGAAGACTACCACTACCAAGAAAACTTCCACCACCAAGAAGACATCCACCACCACTAAGAAGTCATCTACCACCACTAAGAAGTCTTCCACCACCAAGAAGTCTTCTACCACCACCAAGAAGTCGTCCACCACCAAGAAGTCTTCTACTACCACTAAGAAGTCATCCACCACCAAGAAGTCTTCTACCACCACCAAAAAGTCTACTACCACCAAAAAGTCCACGACCACCACACGCAAAAGCACCACAACCACTGCGTAAGTGGTAATTTCACCAAGTACCCGATATTGCCCTCCATCGATTCTAACATTTATTTTCGTCCAGCACTCCTTCATACGGTCCTATGAATCCTGCTCCCATGAATCCTAAGCCCACTTGCCGTTCATACACTGAAGATTTCACCAACACCGTTGTCCAAGAAGCTGATGATTGGGCACCTACGTCCACCAACGTCGACATGGTCAATCTCTCCGGTTCTAAGAGTGCATACCAGATTGAGAACGGTATGTTGAAGCTCAGAATGATGCAACCAGAGTTCAACGCAAATGGAAAGCCCAAGACTGAAGGTGTAGCTGCTACCCTTGACATGGCTTTCGAGATGCAATACGGTGCCATTGAGGTCAGAATGAAGACCAGCCCTGTCAACGGTGTTTGCACATCAATCAACACCATGTCTGAAAATGGCGACGAAATTGATATTGAGATGTAAGTAGTATTTAAATCACCAACGCCATCTGACTGATTTATTAGTAGCCATCATTCAGTAGACTAATACAAACATTTTAGGGCCCCTCATTATTTCAACACCCAACCACCTAGCATTCAAGAATACAACTATTTCTACCGTAGACAAGGCTCTGGTCCTCCTGGTGTCACTCATGGTGGTTATGTTGATCTTAAATATAACACCTCTGCCGACTTCCATGTCTATCGTGCTGAATGGAATACTGACTCCATCATCTGGAGAACCGATGGTAAAATCGTTCATGTTCAAAACAAGAATGAAACCTTCGACGGTACCAATTACATCTTCCCCACTGAGCCTTCCCGCATTGAACTTGGTATCTGGGACGCTGGATTTGCAAACTCGTAAGTGAATAAGACATGTATACTTCGTATCACGGCGGTCTGCTAAACCGTAACTTTTACTTTTCAATTAGCGGCTGGAGTGGTGGCCCTATCCCATGGCACCAATACAAGGAAGTCAATGCTTGGTTCGATTACGTCAAAATAGAATGCAATCCCATCTACAACCACGTCATTCCCGCTAGAGCTTCCCAAACATCAAAGGCTGTCAGCTTGAACGTCAACTTGGACGCAGAAGCTCCTCGCAATTTGAACAAGACTCTTCCTGGCGGTATCAAGATTGGCCGACATGCATCTCCTGGTATCCCTCCAAAGGACACCAAGGTCATCGTTGGTAAGGTTGCCGATGCCGGCTATAACCATGCCTCTCCTGGTTCTGCCTCCAGCAAGTCCATTGAGCAGATTTAGTAATTTTTTTTTTGCCATCCTATTTTTAAATTCTTTAATATACGGTATGCAACGATCAAATTTGATCTGGATCGATTGTTCCACATTCATTCAAAGCATTACATTAAAAGAGGATTCCCATGGGCAACCGATTTCATTAAAAGCAATTTCGTTGTGCAGTGCAGCAGCTCCTTTTTATTTATCTCACGCAGGGCTGGCTGCCGATAAAGCGGAACGTGGTAGCTTGGTGGAGGCGATTTGAAGAGGCGATCGGTTTATCGCTTCTTTTTTATTATTTTTATTTTCGTAAAAAGCTTAGCGGCAGGCTCGAGCGAGCACTGTAGTACAACGAAAATCCGTGGTATCAGTCGCAGCAAGAATAATGAATTTTCTGGCGATGATTGTCTGTTTTAAACAGTCAATTTGCATGCTCGATTGTCAGGAACCTGGTAGTAAAGTTACAGACACAACATAATATTTGTAACAACAAAAGAAAATCTCATAAAGGTAAAAATAACCTGTGCGCCATACGCCTGGTACAGGAAACCCCAAAGAGTTCCATGGGGGGAGTTTGCAGTTGCGGAGAAAGATGCGAAGATTTAATTTTTTTCATTTTCCTCTCCAGTGTGCACTTCGTTATGCATCTGTACCTTTTGAGCACTGGTGAATGATTGCCAATTAGGCAGGGAGGCTCTTTTCTTGACTCACCTCGGGAAAGAAGGAGGCGTTTGTCGCATGCATATGCTCTTCACGAGTATGTCTCTTGAATAGCAACGTGGTACAAATAAACGGCAGGTTCGTTGTGGCTTTCGGCCTACACTTCACTCGATTCCACCAGTGAAAGAAGTGGTGGTATAAAAGACCACCACATGTTTTTTTTTGCCTCCTTTCCCCACCGCGCTCAAGCTTTCATTCTCTTTAACCCCCTCGGTTTTGTCCCTCAAACATAAACCTCTCCCCTTCCATTCCCTCAAAGAACAATGCGTTTGTCTTCCATTGCCACCTTTACCCTTGCAGCATTAGTAGCTTCATCTTCTGCCGGTACATTGGTTGCACGTTCTTCGTGCAAAACAGATAATGGTATTGAAATAGCGAAAGATTATGTCAAAAAAAAATCATGCACTAACTAGTCGTTGTTTATAGATTGCCCTGGTAAAATCAACTACATCGGATATATCTATGAAGTCGAACTGATTTACTAAATAATTTCTGCAGGTGTCACTTGCTGTAATTTGAGCACACTTCAGTGTGTCAATGACCCTAACGGAACCATTTGGTACGGCAAATACATTTATACTTAAAAATTCCACATACTTTACTTATCGACTTTCAACAGTGATATTGCTCCCAAAACCACAAAGAAGACCACCACTACCAAGAAGGCTACCACCACTACCAAGAAGACTACCACCACTACCAAGAAGACCACCACTACCAAGAAGACCACCACCACTACTAAGAAGACTACTACCACTACCAAGAAGACTACTACCACTACCAAGAAACCAACCACCACTACCACCACTGCGTAAGAAATCGGCATTACTACATCTTTTTATACTTTGTCCCATTCGATAATAACGTATTCAAAATCTAGCACTACCACTGCTTCATACGGGCCACTCCATCCTTCGCCAATGAATCCCAAGCCTACATGCAGATCTTACACTGAGAACTTCAACAACCCCGTCATTGTCGAAGCTGATGACTGGGCCCCACAGTCTACTTCCGTCGACATGGTCAATATTTCAGGTAGCCCAAGCGCCTACAGTGTCAAAAATGGCATTCTTACCTTGAAAATGCTTCCACCTACCTTCAACAAAAGCGGCCAGCAAAACAGCGAAGGTGTTGCTGCCACCATCGATATGGCCTTTGAAATGCAATACGGTAACATTGAAATTCGCGTCAAAGCCAACCCTGTGGCTGGTGCCGTATCCACTTTCAACACTATGAGTGCCTCTGGTGACGAAATTGATATTGAAATGTACGTGACGGAAAATGCAAAAAAAAAAAAAAGATATCTATTTAAACTTCGAACTCTAACGTGGCTAACCTAACTGATCTGAACTCTCTTTGTATGTTAGTTCTCCTAAATTCTTCAATTCTCACGGTCCCACGTACTTTGAGAGCAACTATTTCTCAAAGGGAAGAATGGATGGACCTTCAAAAATTGGAGATCATGAATACTATCCCAACGTTGGATTCAACACCTCTGCCGATTTCCATGTGTACCGTGTTGAATGGTATCCTGATCATATGACTTGGATTGTCGATGGCCAAACTGTTCGTACCCTCAACAAGGCCGACACTTACTCTTCCAGCGGTAATGAATACATGTATCCCATGGAGGTATGTTTACTATTCAATAAGATGTTTCCATTAGAGCTGTCTTACTCTGTAACATGCTAGATAACTGATCGCAACCAATTCTTTAGGTATCTCGCTTGGAGATTGGCATTTGGGATGCTGGTTACCAAAACAGCGGCTGGGGAGGTGGTCCTATCAACTGGCATCAGTACACCGAACTCGATGCTCAATTCGATTACATCAAGGTAAATATTTATACTTTTTGCTATTAACAATTCGCCTTGCAGGATTTTGCTTGCATAATTCATCTATGCTAACTGCGCTTTACCTCCAGGTCGAGTGCAATCCCGAATACAACCATGTCATTGGACCCAGAACCACCACTAATGCCCTCGCTTCGGTCAAAAATGCTGATTCTGACAATAAGTCCCAAGTCGGTGACAAGCTCTCCAATGGCATTGTTATTGGCCATCACGCTTCCCCTGGTGCACCCAAACACCATTAAGGTCTTCAGACGAGTTTTGTCTTCAAAAACTCAAATTCTCTCATAATCATAAAGATTATAGCTTAACTCGCACGAAAATGATGTTGTTGAATAATAAGATAAATAATAAAAGCGACTATCACTTCACCTGCAAGGATCGACCATTGCTAGTAAAAACGCATGAATGTATTTTATTCCTTTTCTTATCATACGGGGTAAACATTAAAAGAAACCAAGAATAGCTTCAATGCTACTGAGAAGGGTCCGACCGGTCATTCAAATTTGCTTTTTATGCCTAGAGTCCGTTCGTGTTGTTACAATCCAAAACGAGTTGGCGCTGGATATTATAATTGCACGATTAAGCATAGATGCTTGATCAAAATGCTACATACCCACTTTTTACAGGGCTTCACTGGTTTATAGCCTTTTGCCAAAGTCGCTTTTAAAAAAAAGCTACTTCCCACTGGTTATGAATGATCTCAAAAGGTTACACTTCGTTGCGCATCATTAGTCTACATAAGGCCCAGAAACCCCACAGAGCAAAATATTCATTTGGATTATCTTATTTGTCGATGATCGGCAGAATGGATCCGCAGTCGAATTGCGGTTATGATGGCTCGGAGCCGAACGGGATGGGGGATTGATGACGCATTTTTCATAGAGCGAGCTTTAACAATTTTCTACTGTGGCGTGGCGCGTGGTATAAAGAAACTTCGCGTTCCGCACTACATTACAACTTGAACCATGCCTATTAGGCACTTTGACAGTAAGCAGCCTACACCAAGCCAACTCTGCATTTCAACAACACTATGGCCATTTTGTTAATTTTGCTCTCAAATCAGTTTTCCTCGCTGAAAGGCGTTTGATACAGACCTCGGCTGTGACTCTCCTGAAAGATCAAAAGATCGGCATCGATGCAAACTACTGGCTTAGAAAAGTTTTACCCAAGGAGCCCACTGCCGTCGCCATAGGCGGTTTTCCCTCCGGTATTCGCGCAGCCATCGAGAAAGAACTAGAGAATTTCAAGTAAGTGGACATGGGGTTTAGATGCCGGGCCTCCCCCTGAATTCCGCGGTTACCCTACTGACGCTTTTTACTTTCCTTGCCCAGGAAACACCGCATTCAACCCGTCTTTGTGTTCCAAGGTCTTAACATGGTGCGCAAAGACAAACCGTTTTCTAATCAAGATAGTAGACCTGGACGACGTGAGAATGGGTGGGAAACATATGATAATGGAAAGCTCGATGCAGCCTTGTCGATATGGGCTAGCAGTGGAGGTGTTCAACAGTCCGACATGATCACTTATGTCATGGAAATCCTCACCGAAAACAAGGTTGAATTCATTCGTGCTCCATACTCACAGTGGGCTCAGGTAAAATATGTTCCCCATCTCTGGCACCCATCTCTTTTTATGTGAACTGACATACACTTTGGCTTCTTTGCATTTAGTTGTCGTATATGCATTCTCATCCACGACATATTGTAAACCGAGTACTTGGAGGATCAGAAATGCTGATTTGGGATGTGGATAATGTCATTGTTGGGATTGATCTGCAGGTATGTGCATCGGTTCGTGTCATTCAGCATCAGAAGGTGTTTATCTAATGGTGCGAGATCATTTTAGAAAGGAAACTATTCTTGGTTGAGCAAGAAAACCGTCCTATCTGATCTTGGACTTTCTGAGGATCAGTTCTTGGATGTTTGTATTCTTGCCGGATTCGACTATTGCCCCACATTCCCGCCATTGAGCAACAACATGATTGGGTTTACATTCAAAGGTTTGTGTTGGATGAATAAAACGAATGTATGTTTGTCGCAGCCATGGCGGTGGTCTAATACACAGACAATTCAGGAACACATGATTTGGTTAAACAACACAAGACTGGATTCAATGTTGTGCAGGCATATGCAGATGATCCAAGCGTCAGCAAAACACACTACATAGATACATTCTGCCGTACTCGCTGTGCTGTCAAATATCATCTGGTTTATACCGATGATGGTGAAGTTCGCCCATTGCATCATGAACGTGCACCAAGTGATCTTCATGAGATCATTGGCTACAGGTTGCCTGATGAAGTGTACTTTTACCTATTAACTGGCATGATTGGACCACAGGTAAGGGCTACACGCACAAGAGAGTAACATGCGCAAGGTTTGTGGCCATAAACTAACAGTTGTTATTTGTGTCATCGTTCGGAACAAACCTGTAGGTAATCAATTGCTTAGAATCAGGTGTTTTGATAGAAAACGCCCCTCTTTGCAATGGCGAAACCCAGGAATACCACATTTTCCTTCAGCAGCTTCTAAACATCAGAACACAGACTCTCAGTCTTCTGTCTCACCCCCTGCACAAATTCTACGAATCGCGTAAAGTGATCACGGTATTCTGGTTTGATCCAAGCGAAGAGCATATAATGCATCACCATCCAGATCACTGCCATAGTGCAGCCAATGTCTTACACGGGCCAAACAATAATGCAAGCGCTCTTAATACGGTGTGGGAAACAACCAAGACGTGGAGCATAACTCCGGCGTTCATAGAGGAAGAGAAGGCAAGACAAAAGGTAGGATGTGGGTGATTGTTTTGAATACACCTGGATTTGTAAATCTGAAACATTGGGGTGGTGTTTTTCACAGACTTCTCGCGTCGATGTGCGATTCTGTTTGAAGGCAACACAGGATTCAGCTCTGGCGGCCAAAACTCTAAATACTCCACTTAAGGTCAGGCAAAATTTCATGCAAAATTGCGTTCACGCGTCGTCATGCAGGCATTATTCACTGAACCGTTTCAATTAGGCATTGGAAAGTACGGATGAAGTGGTTGGCGTGGTTTTCTGTAAAATGCTGGAAATTCGAGAGTGAGTTTGGTTTCGTTTACTGGGTGCATGTCAATTTCCATACTAAAATAACCCCTACATCAGCTTCTTAACCTCAAAGCATATTCATACTCACTGGGGAACCGCCTTCACGGCTGCTGCCACTGACGATAATCAGGAAGCCCTTCTTACCGCATTTGAACTCATACGATTTGATATCTTGACATCCAACGAATATAGCAAGACATATGACAAAGGGCCTAAAGGTAGGAGAGTGATCTCATCATGGCGACATTTTTTTTTGGTTTGAAAAATTGGCGCTCTAGGTTTGTCTATTTACTAATCAGGAAAATACACTATGGCAGACGACCACACTAAGCATATTCGATTGATATCAAGAGCACTATCTTTGCTGCCAATGACGTTGAAGGTAAGTCACTACAAGTCTAATCATTACAACATTTCGAGGGGGTCTTAACTCATGAGTGTTGTCGGCTAATAGGATGGACCTTTTGTCGGCCAAATGAATAGAGATATTCTTGTATTCAACAGCTTCGTCAAAGCTTTAAACCGTAGCTACCGCAACCTATGCGAGATGCTCCTACTGTCGCTGTTCCTGAATGATTGTGTGAAACGGGATAGGCACGATTATGCCGAGCTGAGTATCAGGTAACGTAAAAAGTTTGTTTAACTCCGCGGTCCGATCGTCTCCGCGCACGCGAAGGGCTCACCCGTTTGTTTTTTTGTCTAGAATGCCATATGTGGCTGACATCAATGCAGCACTTGGTATGGTGAGCAAATATTATTTGGAACACACGGTGACGGACGGATCGAAAGCGATGGAAGCCACCGAAAAGACGTTCACCTCAGCGGTCGACCTGAAAAGGGATCTCCAAAAAGGCTTCGAATTTTGGGACAATGTCATGAAGGGCATCAAGGTACTAAAAGAGGCAAAATCGTTCGAGGCAACTTGCAACATGTTCCTTGAAGCGGATGAGTGGTTGAAATCCCGAAGACCTCAGAATTAGGCAAGCAAAATCCCAATAAACCAGTTTGCAGGTGGTGGCTGAGTCATAGCCTGCCCGTATCATTAGCGAGTGGAGTGGCGTCAGGGTTGAGTCAAATGCCTCCGGACGGAGACCGCGAGGGGGTGTGGAGTGTTTACGTTGGGGGGGGGGTTTCCAGAATTGCTATCATGCGCATGATAAGGTTCCAAAGCGTTTCTACTACGCGAGGTAGTACGGCTGAGGGATTTTTGTCGAGCACAGTCAAAGCAATGGTTACAAGAAACGATGGAAACGCTGCGGTTGCTATGGAAAGGTGGATTTGTGAGCAACCAGCCAAAAAATTTCATTGGGCGCGCGCAGTCCATAAGGGGATGCCGCAGTGCCAGTTTCCCCGTTTGGAAATGACCACTTTCTGACCGAAGCGTAACGCCACGCGTAACCTTTTCGCTTGTATATAAATCCTGCCAACCTCTTGTCAGATTTTTTGTTTCTTCACTACTCTCCAAAGCAACAATGAATCGATCACTCACCCGCAGCAAGACCATCAGACGTCAATCAAAGTTGACCATTGATGTCCCCAACGCTTCTAGCAGATCCATTAGCTCTGCTTCTTCCACCACCAGCGATGTCTCCTCTGAAGACTCCTCACTGCAATCTTTCAAAGACGAATCATACGATACATTTGCTTATTCCAATTTCTACTTGAAACTTCCTAATGGATCATGGATGCTTCGCTATCGAACTGGTGACCGAAAGATATTAGGCACCGAAGAGATCTCTGGTTGCTACATTTAATTGGTTGTGTTGGAACACAATTGGGCTCCATCAACGCTCGTACCAAGTTGGCTTCAACATCACACAACTATCTTGTCATTCGCACTTGTCTATTGCATCCTATTACATCACATCTCAACTTCCATTATCTGTCACCTCGACTACTCTGTAAATACATTCAAGCCTGTGCACACATATTACCAGTAGTGCTTATTACTCCTATATATATATATATGCTCACCTCTCAATTCCATTGATCTGGAATCCTTATGTATAAACAATAAATATGATACTTTTTGATGATATTTGAAAACTGCGATTTTTGGGCGGATGCGGAATTACGTGGTTGAGTCAGAAGCGGTTTGTTTGTAGCCGATGTTCCGAATCTGTTTTTTTTTTTGGCCTGGCCCTTCCTACACGTACCTTCCATTCCAGTGCTATGGCATCATTTTTGTGCACTTTCCTTATGATGCCTGGTGATGACCCACTTGCTATCGATTCCATGGATACGTAACCATGACTATTGATAGGCACGAATCTATAACGAGCCTTAGGCACATAATGCGCGGTTTAGAACATTTCCCCTTACGGCCACCAGTAATCATTATGGCTCAAACAGGTCGAATGGGTTTGACTTTGGCCTCCTGAAACGCTTAATAATGAAAACAAAACTGAGTCCGGACTTGTTTGACTCAACGTTCGCTCGCTGCCTTTATCGTCGTTATCTGGTGTAACGGCTTTCGCGTATCCTCGTCAGGATTACCAATACAGATATCAGCCATTGACTGCACCACCGAGGCTGAACCTGGCTTGTGAAACGACGTTCCATTCCTTCTTGCAAATGACTGAATGCTTGCTTGGAAGTGCGTGCGCGAACAAAATGAATTAGGTTGATTGGATAAATAATATTCCCTAGCTCAAGGCTTAGCTCATTGGACTGACTTGTAAAGTACACACAAAACTTTGTAGCTCGATAACATGAGCAAACTGCCAAATTGTAAAAATGGCTATCGCGCATCCATCCTTGTTCGAAAGGCATTATCAGCCATTTTTACTATTGGGTTTTCCAATAGCTTGGTATACGAGCAATGTATTAAGGGTCATTTGTGCTGTGGTTAAAACAAGTTCAATGTGGAGGAGCCAATAAGAAGCAAGGTATCGGACGGTGGCAAGATGTGAGACCACCATGCCTCGCTTCAGTGTCCCTATCTTGCAATATTGGCGGATCACCGCTTAATATGAAGAAGAGGAACTGGCCTACAGCGCACTGACGCACACATTATGAAAGGACTGAGATCAACTCACTATCCCAGAATCCGGTCTTGCGAGATGGAGCAAGCGCTGACAGCTTTCCTCCATCTAAGAACTTAAAAATATCTTGACCAATCGCTTCAGTGCTTACATTTTTCGGCTGTCACAGAATCTCACGCTGACTGAAAGCGTATGACAAAATCCACATGGGCTGAAGACTTCAAGTTGTCTCAAGAGCTCACTTCCCTACACTTTATTCACCAAAATCATTCTCCTATACCAGGAATACAGCCGCTAAAATCATTGGGTAAGTCGGGAGTAAAATAAAATCTGACTCACCTTCTTTCGCTTGCATCGGCTTTCTAGGCGGAAGTATAACTCCAGCCAATCATATTTTGTGAGCATGTGCATTTAAAATCTTTCCGCCCCCCGGCTGTTGAAGATTTTTCTCGCCTCTTTTGGTAAGCAAACTGAAAAAAAATATAGCTTGGCTCGCCTCTTGAACATTTCAACTCATTCTTCTCACTTTGAAAGCGTAATTGTCCAACATGGAACGAGTCTTGAATACAGCTCAAAAAGCTTGCCCTTTTTTGCATAACGCTTCGGCTGCAACCCTTCGTAATCTGTCCACCAAGTCCTCATCTGGTACTTCCAGCAGCAGACTCATCAACAAGGCTCAACAATGCCCTGTCATGGGCAAAGCCATGGCTGTTCAGACCTCCCGTTTCCACACCACTACCAAGGTTGCTACCCCTACTCCTACGGTTCCTAGAGCTATCGCCTCTAATGAATCCAAGAAAGCAGGTAAATTGTCCGCGCCTCTTCCCCCACCCCAAAAAAAAATATATCTAATGTCAAAAAATTTCATCTATCTCTCTCTTTATTGAACAGCTGTGACTCCTGTCTCGCACAACACCACTGGCAACAAGTTTGATTATGAATCTTTTTACAATCATCAGTTGGAGAAGAAGCACAAAGATAAGAGCTATCGCTACTTCAACAACATCAACCGTTTGGCCCAAAAGTTCCCTCGTGCACACACTGCTCGCCCTGAGGATGAAGTCACCGTTTGGTGTGCCAATGATTATCTTGGAATGGGTAGAAGCCCAGTTCTTATTGAAAGCATGAAGTAAGTTCTCTAACCTCCTTGTCGGCCATCTCCCTTCCACAAGCACGTGACTCACCTGTAATTTTTTTCTCCTTCTTTTCCCAGGCGTACTATGGATCGCTACGGAGCTGGTGCTGGTGGAACTCGCAATATTGCCGGTAACGCCGATCTTCATCTTCGCCTCGAAAGCGAACTAGCTGACCTTCATCACACTGAGGGAGCGCTTGTTTTCTCTTCCTGCTATGTTGCCAACGACGCCACTTTATCTACCTTGGCTGGCAAACTCCCTGGCTGCGTCATCTTCTCCGATAACCAGAATCACGCATCCATGATTCAAGGTATCCGCCACTCTGGCGCACAGAAGAAGATTTTCCGTCATAACGACCTTGCTCACTTGGAAGAGTTGTTGCAAAGTGTCGATGTATCCGTTCCCAAAATCATTGCTTTCGAATCCGTTTACTCCATGTGTGGTTCCATTGGCCCTATTAAGGAAATCTGCGAATTGGCCAAAAAATACGGCGCCATCACCTTCCTGGATGAAGTGCACGCTGTCGGTATGTATGGCCCACGCGGTGCTGGTGTTGCTGAGCATTTGGATTTCGAATTGAATGCTACCCAACCTCACGGCGGTAATGGATCGGTCATGGACATGGTTGATATCTACACTGGTACTCTTGGCAAAGCCTTTGGCGTTGTTGGTGGTTACATCGCTGGAAGTGCTTCTTTGGTTGACATGGTCCGTTCGTATGCTCCTGGTTTCATTTTCACTACCTCTCTTCCACCCGCCGTGGTTTCCGGTGCTATGGAGTCTGTCAAGTACTTGAAGCGCTCTGGTGCTGAGCGTACCAAACAGCAATTGAACACGCGTGTGGTGAAGGATCGCCTGGCCCAATTGGACATTCCTGTTGTTCCTAACCCCTCCCACATTGTTCCCGTTCTTCTTGGTGATGCCGAACAGGCTAAACTCGCTTCCGATACCTTGTTGTCTGAATTCGGCATTTACGTGCAAAGTATCAACTACCCTACGGTCGCTGTTGGCGAAGAGCGTCTTCGTATCACTCCTACTCCTGGTCATAACGAAGAGATGATTGATCACCTTGTTGAAAGCTTGGAGAAGATCTGGTCTCGTCATAGCTTTAAGCGTGTCAAGCAGTGGGAAGCTGAAGGGGGTCGTGCTGGTGTTGGCATCAAGGACGCTAGCAAGGTCGAACCCATTTGGACTGACAAGCAATTGCGTATTGGCAAGGTCTCTGAGACTAGCACTCAGACTCTGGCTAGTGCAGCTGCTTCTGTCTAAGCACCCTTTCCGCAGAGTCTGTAGTCCATGACCCTCTTATCCTGCCTGTGTAATTTTCGGCTTCATATACAAAACAAAAATGCATTTATTTTTTTTTTGGATTCCCTCGTTTATCTTTTTACCTAGTCATTATTTTACTTAATGCTCTCTCGGCGCCTTGCCATTTGGGAGACCTTGAGTTGACCCAGGCTCTGCGATGAATAAACCCGACCATAGGTTTTTTTTGTTCGTACCGTTATTTAACAGGACTTTGTCTTTGGTTGGGAGTTGGCTTTATTTGGCTTATCATAAGAGTGGCTGGGGTAATATGGTGGCAACCTTGCAGCTTTTAGCAGACTCATTCTTGCAGACTTCTTACAGGAACCAGTGCATACACGTCCTCTTTGCAATTTGCTTGTAGCAGCCGATACTAATACTTCATTGCGTTGCATACAGACCGCCAGACTCTGCTGTTGTAACGATAAAAAAATGAATAAATAGTAGTCGTGAAGTTCCAAGCACTCTCACCGCACATGGCAGTAAGTACTTGATAGACACCACCTATCAGCCATGCCTATACCCTCAAAGAATTGCAAAGTCATGATTGGGTATCAATTCTATGGTTCAAATTCGATCTCCTACGTTCAAGGTTGATGAATGGGTCTAGATCGGTCGAAGAGTGCTATTGTAGATAACATTGTACTAATTCCAGTACGACTTGTATCACACTCATCGACAAGGAGACACGAGGATGAAGGTAGAGCTCACTGCTAAGGTGAAGTTATATTACATAGAAAAGAGATGAATGATACAAGAGATATATTAAGGAAGGAAGGTAATATTTCTACGAGTTGTATATATTATTGGCAAAGAGTGAAAAATTAGTGCGTCTTAGGGAAGAAAAACTCTAAGAAAGGGATATTTTGAGTGAAATTGAGCATGAAACTGATCGATCTGGCAAGTATCACAAATGGCCAGGTAAAACCACGATGAACAGAGGTGGCCATATCTAAGCTGGCTTGCACTGCCTTTCGACCACGTACGATGGCCTCCTCTTCATAAATAGCAATGGCTTCTGCCGTTGTCTGCTCGCCTTGGTGTGCCTTGACAAGCTGTTCTCCGAGCCGAGTAACATCCAGAATAGCGTGGTTCAAGCCTTCACCTCGATACGGTGTCATTGCATGCATAGCATCGCCCACCAAGGTTATTTGTCCTTCCCCGTTCCAAGACGGATCAGGCATGTATTGACTGATCATTCCCACCCAGTATTTTTCACTTGGATCGGTGTCTTGTACAAGCGACTTGAATGGATCAGCAAACTCCTCGGTCATTTCGTTAGCTAACTTACGGAGTCCGTCTTGAGTATCTGGAATATCCTTGTAGATGGCAGTTTTGTCCCAAGAGAGAACCCATCGAACATTGACTGTCTTCTTGTCGGGTGATATATCATTGACGCCATAGAATAGATTCACCACACCTTCTTGGCCGTCTTTCTTCTCGCCATACATCATGGCGTGCGTTGGGCTGTACTTGATGAACTCTGCGTGTTCTTCAGCTGAGATATTTCTTGAAGTACTGAGGTTGACAATATTGGTCTCTTCCACTTTATCGCCAATGACACTTGTTCGTACAGCACTGTGAAGACCATCCGCTCCCACAATCACATCCGCTAACATATCGCCTTTGTTTGTCTTGAGCACAGGGCCATCGTCGGTGAAGACAACGCCGGTGGCATCAACATCCATCTCGACATCAATACCATCCAGGAGGAATTTTCTCAGTCTACTTCGGTTGGCACGGATGCCATATCCAATCAGGGTAGGTGATCCATTGGATTTCATGACTGGGTTGCCAAGGTGATCGACCGTAGCGAAAGCTGTTTCGTCACGGTAATTGACTGAAGTCTTTTCAACGATGGACTTCATTTTTTCTTCGCCCATTGCTTTAGTAAGGTGTTCGAAAGCAAAGTGGAGAGACACTGAGTAGCCTTGGAGGCGGTCACCGTTCGACTTTTCAACAATGCGGTAGGGAATCCCATGTGTCTTGAGGTATTGAGCCAAAGAAAGACCAGCGGGTCCAGCGCCGACAATCAGAACAGATGATAAGGGCATAGAGTTTCAAAAAGTGTAATGCTTATTGCAAATGACAAATACCGGGTTTGTGGGACGTGCTTTTTTATGCAAAGTGGGGCCTGTTCACATTTGCGCAGCAGCCGCCACTAGACTTGGCGAACGAGGCTTGCATGGCATTTTGGAAGACAAGACTTGCTTGGCAGACCACTTGAAGAATTAATCAACACATGAGATGAAGTAGATGCTCAACACTGTATTTTTGCATGCAGGCTCGCTTCAGCTGGTCTGAGTTCATCAGCAAATGGTGATGGACAAACTTTATTATTTATCAAAATTCTCATTATGCTTATGCGTCGACACCCATCAAGTCAGAAGGTTTTACACTTACTAACGAAAATCAACAGAGAAGATAGTTTCAAACGAAAAGAAGGAACACAGGCTGAGTGGATAGTGGTGATAATAAGGCATAGAGTATAACATATAAAAACCCAGGAATGGCAGTCGGGGATAAAGGCAAGCTTCACTCCAGCAGATCAGCGGCACTGGAAAATACCATTTAGTCGGTTTAGGCTCGGAAAGAGTGTACACAGTTCCCATAATAATGGTATTTGAAATGCTATCACTTGGTAAAATGAATCTTTCATTATAAATCAAGCGCTTGGTCTACGGACTCACTGACCTATTTCATGACCGATGTCGACTGCGTTTTAAGGACGTCCTTGAACGGTTCCTTCGCTTTCTACGTTGACGACAGGGCAGACCCGGTTGTTTTCACATTCATTGTGGCTAGTTTGACGGAGGACGCAGATGAAACGCTACAAATCCACTATACGAGTTGTGAATCCTAGGATTGTTCACATCTTCTGAGTTTGTTTCGAGGGTAAAATATACAGTTAAATCTCTGATGATCGATGAGCTATATCGTCTCTGGAGCACTAGTGAGCAAGGAAAAAGAGTGGGTGTGGATCATCCCAGAATCCAGGAACTCGCTGCGGCATCCGACAAATTAGCCGCTAGTATGATTCTTTGACGTATCGGGATTTGAAAATTAGCTGGAGCATTTGTCGAGAGAAATAGCATCACGCTGTATGAAAACCCGCCTGCTCTGCATGTTATGACTGTATACTTTCGGGATCCTTGAGCTATAGGGATTTGCCGGCATTTCGATGGCTAGGTCAATTGGTTTGAGATAGGTCATGTGACTCTTCAACAGCTATAGTGGTTTCTAGCCCGCCGACATGGGTACTAGACAGGCGCTTACGTATGTCGGTTTCAATAGTTTAGCCAGGGGCTTACGTATATTCTGATTCATGGAGTTAACGCCCAACCTTTCAAATACATTGAGACATATAAAGTCAACCGTGTCGATTGCTTTATTCACATTATTCAACTTTAGCAATCGTTTATCTTCACTATGGCCGACATATTTGCACCTGCACCTGAGCCAGCCACTGAACTTGGCCGCTTTCGAATCCTTTCCTCCACCGCGGGCATTCGCGTTTCTCCTCTTCAGTTAGGAGCCATGTCAATTGGAGATGCCTGGTCTGGCGTTTTGGGGTCCATGGACAAGGAGTCTGCCTTCAAACTCCTGGATGCATACTATGACGCTGGCGGCAATTTCATTGACACTGCAAATAACTACCAAAACGAGCAATCGGAAAGCTGGCTCGGTGAATGGATGGCTCTCCGAAAAAATCGGGATCAAGTGGTTATCGCCACCAAATTCACTTCGGATTACAAATCTCACAAATTGGGAAAGGGAAAGGCTCCCAACCATTGTGGAAATCACAAGCGAAGTCTTCATATGAGCGTCCGGGACTCCCTTGAAAAGCTTCAAACCGACTGGATTGATATTCTCTACTTGCACTGGTGGGATTGGACTACTTCGATCGAAGAAATAATGGACAGTCTACATATCCTTGTACAACAAGGAAAGGTGCTATACCTTGGTATTTCGGATTCTCCAGCATGGGTGGTGAGTGCCGCCAACTATTATGCCCGTGCTCATGGAAAGACCCCGTTCAGCGTATATCAAGGAAGATGGAACGTCATGTCCAGAGACTTCGAACGCGAAATCATCCCCATGGCTCGTCACTTTGGAATGGCCTTGGCTCCATGGGATGTCCTGGGTGGTGGCAAGCTTCAGACTAAAGCAGCCGTCGAAGAACGCAAGAAAAAGGGTGAAACTTTACGAAGCTTTCATGGAGCCGAGCAGACAGAGGCGGAATTGAAAATGAGTGAAGCATTGGAAAAAGTAGCTGGAGAACATAACATCAAGTCTATTACTGCCATTGCTCTTGCCTATGTCATGGCCAAGGCTCCAAATGTCTTCCCATTAGTTGGTGGTAGAAAAGTCGAGCACCTTCAAGACAACATACAGGCGTTGAAGATCAAGCTTACAAAGGATCAGATCGCTTACTTGGAAAGTATCTTGCCATATGAACCTGGTTTCCCTAACAACTTTGTTGGTGAGGATCCCAAGACGACAGGTAAGTTTACCGGACTCACAGCTGCCAGTGCCCAATTGGTCATTGAACAGTCAGCCAAGCCTATTGGGTATGAATAGATAAATCATCAGGGTGGACAAAATCAAATAAAATACCACTGTGTGGTCTTGTAATTAATGGACTACATTGCAAAATAAGTTAAAGAGAAAGAAACAAAGATGGTTGGATATGGAAGAGCTGTATACTCTTGTGATAGTGGATTTCTACTGCCATGTTTCATTCAAATTGCTTCGCAGAGTTGTGTCATGGAGCCTTTGATTTCATTCGAAAACAAAGTAGAGATGAAAGAGCTGTCAAACCTTGATATAAACCGTTGTTGCAATACTCAGAACCACGGCAGCACACTTTTTTCCTCTACCACTCCTTTCGCGCCGCTCGCATGAAGGAAGCAAATTTTTTTTTTTTTTTTATATATCGACGGGTTTATGTAGGAAGGGTTTGTTTCAATGTACAAAAAGAAAGAAAATTTCAAGGAAAGAGTTCGAATATACAAGGGCAAAAGTTGAACGCTGTAGAGCCAAGAAGGAAAAAAGTTTTTTTTTTTTAGAACGAAGAAGTTTCACATTTTAGACAACAATGCGAACTGATTTTTTAGCCTTGTATGCTTTGTCAACAGCGACATCGGTACAGTTCGTATCGGATGTGCACTGTCCTGTGATGGCTTGGTTATTAACTTGCTCATCAAAACAACAAACACAGATATTGTCTTCTGGAAGCGCCTGGTTGGCAACGTCGGTGTAGTCTATGGTATGTAAATCTTCGTCGGTATTGGAAGAATAGTCGTCAGGAATGAGACTACCGTGATCTGCACTACCAGCATCATCCGAACCATAGTCGCTAAAAATAGAGGTTTTGTCTTCCTCGTCGTCGTCATGTTCTGGATATAGTTCATGGTCTTCTTCGTCGTCCTCACTATCATCATTGTCTTCATCGCTGACATCTTCATCCACATCGATTTCGTCCTGTTCCATCCAGGTGATGAACTTTTGAGCCGTTTCACGGATGGCTTGGGATAATTTGGCATCACTGGCTGCCCCTCGCCACCAAGCCAAGAGAGCATCGCCATCGACGATGTCGTATTTGTACAAGATCAAGAGAAGCCGCTGATATTGGTCAGCAAGATGTTGGAGGTTGGGAACTTTGCCTTGCAGCATATGTTCTTCCGCCACAAAAAGGAATTCAAGTTGATCGTGTTCGGTGCGGATATGTTGTTGTAAGACGACTTTCCAGAAATCGAGAAAAACTTTTTGGATGACATCGACCATGACTTTTCGAGCTTCTTCTGATTCCGTTACTTGCAATCGTTGCCCCATCCAAGTGACAAAAGTGGTGGTGACTGTACGCAAAATGGTTCGTGGTGAGGGATCATACTTGATGGTCATATCGTCTAATTCAAGGTTGACTCGAGCGCTTGTCAAGCCCGAAAGCAACGCTTGTTGTAAAAATGAAGAAGCGACTGATTCAAATTGCTCTTCATCATCTAAATCATCTTCACGGGTGTTGAGTGATTCGTCTTCACTCCAATCCACTCGCTCCATAGCATCAGGAAAAGCGGATTCTCCTGCTGGATAGTGGCACATCATATCTTCGTCACCTTCGATAGTGTGGCAGCCCCAGATATTGCGTTTGTCAGCAGCGCCAACATAGGAGAGGCTAGTGTCATTGCGAGAGGAGCTTTTCAATTCTTGAATTTCTTGCTTGAGATCTTCTATTTGCTGCAGATACTGGATCGTTTCCATCTCAAGGTGGTCCTTCTCTTGCGTAACTTGGGCAACATATCGTTGGTGACACTCATCAGCAATTCGACGAGACTGACGCTCCGCACGGAGGTCATCCTGTAAGATGGCAATACCACCATGCAATATCTCGTTTTCTGCTCGTACCCGGCGCATTTCTCGTAGCAGCGACGCTTGGTTATGTTTTTTGGCTCGCCGACTGGGAGAAGTGGAACGTGACGATGACGTAGATGAGCCGGCCATGGAAGGTGTGCGATCGATTTCCATATATAGTTGATGAGGTCTGTCAACAATGGGATGCGAAGGCAGCGAAGCTGGTTCGACTTGCTCAAGTAAACGGCGAGCTATTATGGAAGGAAAAAAAATTGAGTATGATGAGCGATCGATTATTTTTTTAATATATGGATTGCCGAAATTTTATGATTGGTCAAATCGGGATTGCCACACTTACGGTAAAAAGCAACAAAGGCAGCATGTTGAGTCTCCTTGCCAGAAATTGCTCGAACTGCCAAGGAGCCAAGCCCACGTGCAGTAATAGGAATAGACATAGCAGAGAGTAGCCCAGACGGAGCAAAATTAAGATTCATTGGTTCCGCTACAGTTTTGTCAGACGATATTGTGATGAGAACAGGAGCTTGGCCCGCTGTGGGTGAGGAATATGGTCGTCTCATTAGTTGAGGTCGGTGAATAGTGTTGGGGTCAACACGAGGTTGTAAAATGTGAGAAAGCATTATAATTGTTTCTGCCAGTTGGGTGGTGCGACAAAATTGTAATTGTCAAAAACGTTGTTGTAGAGAGATTTATGTTGGAGTTGGGAAAAGTTGCTGGTAAAGCCGAAAATGCGACCCATCTTGTGAGGATTGTGGTGGGTGGAAATGTGTGGTTGGATTGTGTGATGTGGAAACGGGTTTAAAAGTAGCAATTTAAACGTAAATGCAAGCCATTCTTGCTAAAATGTGTATGATGAATGGATGGCAAACGAGAAAAATGGGGCAGAAAAGAAAAAAAGTTGGCGAACTATCCGTTGCCCAAAGTCCGAAGTTTTATTGATGACTCAACTTTTCCCCTCAGCGAAGCTCAGCTTGGCAGTTTCAAAACTTGTTTCCAAACTGTTCCAATACCGTTCCATTGGGATGATTTCGTGACTGCCAATACAATACAAGAGTTCATTGTGCTGTTTGCAAAAAAAAAAATCAAAACCACTCAATCGACATTCCTTGCCACCTACCCCAGTTCCCGATAAATAGCTGAATTGGACCAAGATGAAAGCGCGATCTTGGGCCATTTTCGCCTTTAGATCTTGCACGAGCACAAATGTACCTTCCATTCCACCGTCCCTGGCCATGATGAACCGATGCCGACAGTCAATACCACGATTAGAGCAAGTGCTTGCTATACAGCCTGCATTCAGTAAACTAGCCTACTCAACCGCATCAGTATCTAAGCCAATGGACACGGATTTGCTGAAGAAGCATGATAGCGATCTATCATCCCTCTCCAAGAGTACGTTGGTCCTGTTCCTGTCGAAACGAGGGTCTGTACAAGAAGCTCACGATCAGATATTGCGTATTTTCGAGGATGGTTCTATGCCTACCAATGCCGTTATAAGCCAATACTTTAGCGCCTGCTTTAGTGCCAACGATATTGACCGTGCCCTGGAAATTTACAAGATATTTTTCCGTCGTCTGCGCACACTTCGTAGACCCATATCAAACCGATTTGAGCGAACTATTATCAGCGTCTGCTCCATGATGATCAATCTAATCGACAAAAATACCGAGCCTATGGATATCAATCAAATATGGTCTATCTATGAAGACATGAAGAGCTTGAACATTTCCCTCAATACCGCTTTGTATAATACCCTTCTTCGAATTCTGCTTGAACGTCAAGAACATTCCCAGGTACACGCGGTCTACGGCGAAATGTTGGAGAAGGGACATACACCGACTCTACACACGTATAGTATGTTAATGCTCTCCATGGCGAAGCAAGGTGATATGGATGGGTTTACCAAATTGCTGGATGTCATGCAGAGTCGAGATATGTATCCGGATTTCATAGGCTGGTGTGTCATTATGAACGCGGTTGGACGACATGGCAATAGCAGTGGAGTGGATCAGATTTACGAATATCTGCGATCTACCGAGATTCCCATTACGTCGTGGATGATCAACGAAAAAATGCATTCGCTTTTATGTCGCAAGATCAACGCTAATATGAACCATCGCAAACGTTTGCAAAGGCTAGAGAATCTATGGGAAGAGGAATTTGGAGCACCGCTGTTGGCCACTGATCCTGGTACTTTTACTACAATTCATCCAGATGCCGTCTCGTATACCATCATGATGAAAGCTATGTTATATGATGCGCCAGCTAGGGCTTTGCAGGATATCCCCAAAATACTAGATATCATGGACGCTCGTGGTCTACCCCCCGGTTATCAAGCCTTGATTCACTACGTTGGCGTTTGTATAAATGAAAGGAACACCGCTCATGCAAAAGATGCCATTGTTCGATTCCAAGAAAAATATAACATAACACCGGACGAAAAGATGTGGAGACGGATCATTGGTGCTATGGCTTCCGAAAACAATATTTCTGGCCTGGTCTGGGCGCTGGACGCTCTCACTGGATCAAACTATGTCACACGCAAGGCGACCATTGATTTTGCCATTCCACGAAAACGTCCAGCACGATACAGATATCACCTAAAAGAGGATGAGCTCAAGCAAATATTACCGCCCACCACGTTTCTTAACAATGTATTTGGTCCCAAAACGCTCGCATTGGTATTTAATGCCTTACTTCAATCCGATACCCCGGCTCATACACTGAACCAACCAACCGCCGAACTTGTGATCAATGCTTGGAATACTCTTCATAACGTAGGCGTCTACATACCCAAAAAAATTGAACAAACCATTGTTACACCTGGTTTGATTGCAAAGGGATTATTGATACATGATATTGGCGAAAAGCTTACTCGTCATCAGTAATCTTTTTCATAGCAGTGTTATATACAACTTTAAAAACTTTTTTTTTTTTTTCATTTTAATAATAAATTCACCTGTAACATTTTGACAAACAACATCTTTTTGGCTTTGTAGAGTGACCTGAGGCAGTCAGGAGGTTTTGAATAGGAAACTCCCTCGGACAAAATTCGCATAAAGCAATGATTTTTATTAACAAATGGCATGAATTACGGGATAGGTAAATGTAGGTTGCAATATCCCAGTTCCATTTATTCGTCTGGCGCTGGGAACATGGAACGGAAGGTAAATGCATGAGGCGTCGGTCCATTCTTGGCAAGATATTCCAATCTCGCTTTGGCTTCTTCTGGCGTGGGTCTGACTCCTTTCTCGACCCACCAAAGGACCATGTGAGGACCATCCCACTGAGCAAACCATTGCTTGCGTTGTTTCACGAAGTCCTTGTGGGCAGACCTGTAGACGAATTGAAAAAGTGCATCCTTGCTTTCCCAAACAGATGCGTTTACTATCATCAGTTCGTTGTCAAAGAGCTTGATATCCGTGGCATTGCCTTCATCGCTTTGGAGCCGCCAGACAAAGCCAGGGGACGCTTCTGCTAAAGCATTGATCCTGTCCAGGTTATCATAGAAACCAGCCATTGTGGGGTCGTCTGATTTAGCCAGTGTGAGACCAACGTTAAGTTGAGCTAATTCGTATTCTTTCTTGGTCATTTCTTGATATCTTGATTTTGGCTGAGAAATTGATGTGCGAGCAATACACCTTTTAAGTTGACCTCAAGCTTTCAGCAAATTTCATTTCCCGCCTTGGTTGGAGCTGTGGATATCGCACCGTGGCGCTTAATGGGGACCTGATGACACCGCAGCGAGTTCAATTAATAATCAAGAACAGTTTTGATGGTGACTCATTGGTAACAGTCAGATCAGACCAAAGCCACATGTCCGACCAATGTCGTCAATGCCACGTTGGATGCCTTTTAATACGATCTGTTAATACATTGATGATCTTATGCCATTAAGTGTAGTTTAACTGTATATTATCAGCATAGCCGTCTTGTACAAATGAACAGGTGCCAAGCTTCATCTTTACCTGATCGCGGGAAGTACGTCATTGAACAAATCCAAATTAGGACCATGTTTCTATTGGTACACGGTTGATCACAGTGAGTAAATACTGGCGTACTTACCCAATGGCAATCTTTCATGATAGGATGTAAACCAACACCTTTACTACGATATATTACACATTGGATGTATATATGCTATGTTGGTTGATGGATTCACACTTTATTCATCGGTCTCAGGTTTTCAATCACAGCCTTCACTAAGGAAAGTATATTTGAATCACCTATTGGAGCAATTTTTCCGGTACATTGAGAAATCTCCACAGTTCAGACTGTATCGTACGACATTGCTACAGTAAGATATAGTTTTATTCGTTAATGTTAATGAACAAAAAATTATACTCTATGGTGACAGCTAACTTTCACTAAAGCACGGCTAGCACTTTACAACCAAGCAGTATTGCCGTTCTGCGACAACAGTTTTCCGCTATCCTTTGGGCCTACAGAGGAAATCACCTTAAGCTGTTTGGTAACAGAGTCTTGAACTGTCAATGGCTTCCGATCCCAATCAGGTTGAGACTTGGCCCACTGTTCAAAAATAGCTTGCATTTTCTTTATATCCTCCTCTGAAGGCTGAGTTTGTTCCCCTTCCTTAGTGCTACTAGTATCCACAAGTCCTGGTGACAACGCCAAAACAACAAAGTCCTCGGCAGCCAATTCAGCAGCATACTTTTGAGCGATGTAGTTCAATGCAGCTTTGCTAACACCATAGGCTGGGATGCCTACAAATCCGGTGATTCGGGTGAACTCAAGGTCTCCTATTGCTGAAGAGATAAGGATGATTTTCTTTGCCTTGCCTTTACGCAGCAAGGGCAAAAATGCGTTGGTGGTGATGACTGCTGACACGGCATTCAGCTCAAAGTTTCCTTTAAGCTCTTCGACGAGGGTCGAAGGATCCCTGTTTGGATTAGCAAGAGAAGTGTCTGTTCCTATGTCTCCACCAGCGTTTTCAATGATATAGTCCAATGTGCCACCAGTGATAGCGGTAACACTTTCGGCTGCCTTTTTCATAGTCTCGATTGAAGTGACATCGCCTTCCACCACATGGACGTTAGGAAGATGAGTGATTTCTTGCAGATAGACGGACTTGGCAGCATTTCGGACAAGGGCAATGACAGTGTTCTTGGAGTCTTCGCTGAGCTGACGAATGAACTCGAGACCAATGCCTCTGGAAGCGCCTGTTACTAGGTATGAAGTCATGGTTGTGTTGTTTAAATTTGATTTTGATTTGGATATGGATATGGTTTTTTGGAGGGTTGAGCATGCTCGCTTTTTATATGGCAACGAGTTGGATTTTGTGCAAGTCAACGAAATAACATTAACACCAGCATTAATAATTTGTGTGATCGAGCTACAGTCAAAACGTAAGGCGCTGTGACTGGTTTTACGTAAATTGTACCTTTGACGTGCATGATACCTGATTCAATTTACGTTGTCAACATCAATCTCATGTAATCAGAACATTCTTGAACGTTGAATGATTAGAAAGCTTAAGTCTGCAAAATTACTTTCGTCTCAAAACAGCCTTTAAGGCAGGAGGCGGAAGCTAAAAGCAGAGTAGTTGCATTAACTCCAAGTGAACTAGAATTACAAAACTACCTATGATAAATGGCTAATATATTTCAAAAAACCTAACTTTGAAGCGATTTCATCAAAGACGTAGACTATATTTTCTGATCCATGTTATGAAATGAGCAGTTGAGCAAGTTCGCGGTTATTTTTCTGGCCATCATTTACCTCTGGGCTTCAAGAGGCATGTGACTTGGCAGAGAAAAGTTTAGGAGACTCGGAGTTGGAAATGGAATTCACACCTCGTCGCCAAAACACACTGCAATCTCGTTAATCGCACCGATAGTAAACGATGAATCGACAGCGGCAACAGCAGCGTGACTCAGGACAACAACAGCCTAGAGACGCCAAAATTATATCTCTATTGTTGCAATCACACGGTGTACACGACTTTGATCCCAAAGTTGTTCATCAGTTATTAGAATTTGCTCACAGTGCGTACCATGGCATCTTTTCGACATAAAATCCGAGCATGTGTGCCTAACTTTTCATTTTCACTTCAAGGATATACGTCAGATGTTTTTCAAGATGCTCTAGTGTATGCTGAGCATGCAGGGCGGCAGGATATTGATCTTGCTGACGTACAACTGGCCGTACAGGGACGTGTCAGTCACTCCTTCACCGCTCCACCACCTCGAGAAGTAAGTTCACTCGGTCAGCAAAGTGGATAGCATTCAAAAAAGGGAAATCTGATGAATTTTTTTTGTTCTAGTTTCTATTGGAACTTGCTCAAGAAAAAAACAAGGTGCCTTTGCCTCTCATTCCTGAGAAGTACGGTATTCGATTACCACATGAAAAACATTGTCTTACAGCGATAAATTTCCAAGTAACCCCCAATGTAAGTGAAATTGAAATATTACAGATACAGCGAAGGATGGAGGAGGTGACTGATCGCGTTTTGCGTCGCTATAGGCACCGCCGCCGCCTAAAAATCTCGTCTCGAAGCCCTCTGCAGACGACAGCCAGACTATACCACAACGAACGATGTCTGAAGATGCTGATATGCCCGACTACCAAGCGGAGGAAGCATCATTATCTTACCCAGGACCCGATCAAGACAATAGCATTCTGTCGAATTCAAAGCGAGGGCGGGAAACTATGGAGGATGATGATTATGATGATTAGAAAACCGAGATTAACCTACAGTAGTTTACTTGTGAACAATTTATGCTTCGAGTGAGGGCTACAGTAGGGCGAAGAGTGAGGCTCAGAATGCTCTTGAAGTGCAATTTTGTAAATATAGGCTTGTTTCGATTTTTTTTTAAAATTTCTAGCTTGATGATGCGCGAGGGATATCTTGCTATGATGGGTGTATGCCGGTTGTACTGGTATTGAAAATTTTGGGCAATCCGACGCTCGGTTCGTTAGAATAGTCCAGTCCAGTATGAAACTGCTTGGCGAGATACCGGTTTGTTTAATCATGACGATCACTTTCGGGTGTAAACGTGTTCCAGCTCCTTAAAATTTAGTCTAGGAAGTCGATATGGTCTTTGTGAATCAGCTTATCACGACGCTCGGTGCATCTAATACTGTCAAAGTCGTCAACACAAAATCATGATAGGCATTCGTGAATGCCTTTTTTTTTCAAATGGAAAAATCAGTAAGGGTTCAGCACGGCAAAAACAAGTTCAGATATCGTACAATTTAACTGTATTCCTGTATGGTATGGGCTCAACTTGTCCATCCATGAGCGAATGATTGCCTTCCAGCGCCAGGACTGTTCTGATGCTAACCAACCCGACTGACTGGTACAAGATGTTTTAGGAAAACGGTGTAGCCACCACATCTAGTCCATATTGTAAATGAATGGCATAAAGGCAACAGTTGATTGGTGAGTGTGAAGATACAAAGCTTATCAACACACAAAGAAGCAGGGTGAACTCTCCAGCTATATAGTAGGAACCAATTTACAAAAGCAAGTTACCGTTGGAATAAGTTTTATAGAAGTTCGACGGCAGCAGCATGCAGTTGGCTAAGCCTGGTGGCGCTAAACGGCATGAAGATGGTTGAAATTGAGCGCACGTTTTCCGTCAAGCTATTCACCAACAGACCCCTTGGCTATGTTTCAATATCAAGCAGTCGGATTTGGGCACATGTGGTTAATTGTGGTTAATTGCTTTGACTCATCATTCCGGGTCCAAAGTGCCAAAATGTGCAGGAGACCGCCTCTACTTTTACTTCACAACTTCACATGTAATTTATACCCATTCCGACCCTTCCTACCCACTGTGCATTACCAAATTTGCCTGCAAATAATCTGCTGGAACACTAACAAACAACAAATACGGAGAGCAAGTGAGAAGGTGTGCTTAGCTATTCTTATCAGTGCATGTCCAGCTTTTTTTGGTAAATCACCATCCGCATTATAAGTCGTTCGTCAGCACCCCCGCCTATCTATGACCACCTTTTTTTTTTTTTTTTCTTTGGGCAAAAACATAAGGTTAGTTCCACAAGATGTTGGCTGGAAACCCTTTTGTTCCCAACCGCTTGTTCTCCACGTCGAATTTTCCTTTTCTCACACTCATGTTGGAGTCTTCATGCTGTGCAAACAAATATCCCATATTAAGAAAGGAATTCAGTCCTCATTGATACGCGATCGCCAAAGGATGAACCAAACCTGGTGACTTTTTGTCATACTTTTTCCGATTTGATTTGCTGGCCAAAGAGTATTATAAACTTTCATTATATTTATGCTGTGGGCTCGAGCCACCACCCAAGTAGTTCCCCACACTTGGTTTAGACGGTTTGAAGGGCGTTTCTCTTGTTGCAAAAAGGCTCTCTAATCCACCAGCATGAAAAACGGAAGGTTAGCAGTTTCGGGATGGAGTGTGGCAAAAGGGGGGTGACTTTAGCCTTTCAGTCCTATCTTGTCCCTTTCTTTTGTCTTTCTCCTTTTGCTTGCATCTTAAAAAATTCTTTTACATTTGGGAAAAAAATACCGTATCTTGTTTTCTTCTTCTCTCTTTCTTATCTTTCCTCGCTGCTTGTTCTACATACATGAAAGCCTATATATGCGTCGATTATCTATCACATGATTGGGATTTAGATGATCTTATATTTGCCCATTCTCAAACTCGACAACAACTTTCTCAAACCGCCGTTCTGTTGTCGGCACCCGAATCATTTGAGAATCCTCGAGAACAACAACGTCTTGTTGGTGAGCGAAGTCGGTTAAGACGATTTGAAAATACCCTGTGGCGCCAGATAAGTTTGCGCTGCACATCTGGACTCGGTTCATCCAACTCAAAGATCAACCCTGTGTCTATCAACTGGTAAGAACAGAACAGACCGGATGTGGCGATTGTGAAATAGATTAATCTGCTGACAAAATTTTTTGCATGTTCTTCCAGGCAACGTGATAATGATATTACATGTAAGAAGAATATTCTCTTTAATTTTTTCTTTTTTACTTCAAGTGCTTGAGCTTGGTGTGCCGCCACTTGCATAGAATGAATCGGGTACTGGGCATGTGGTACTACGTTCGAGCTCATTGTCGCCGTGAATGCCAATTTAAGCTTAAAAAAAATATTTTTTTTTATATATATACACCAATCTGGAATAGTTCTAACCTCCATGTCATCGTGTTTTCATAGGGCTTTATGGGCCATTATACCGAAAAGATGATGACGATGATAACTTTGAAATGCGCCATGCTGCCGCCGATGGTTTGTTGACACCATCAACACAATCTTCCGCCACTGGATATTCGTCCCCCTCCGTTTCATGTCTTTCTCCCGCCACTTCAACAAGCTCATCGTTTGATACCCTGGATGAAGTAGCATCCAAATTGAAACCAGTGCTGAAACGAACCACGACTCCCGGGCTCTTGATAGACTGGTCTTTGCGCCATCCAAATGGCAACACCGCCACAAAAGATCTTCAGGAACCTGTTCGGCATCAGTCATGGCCTAGGGAGGTGGTGCATTTCAACCCAGATGTGATTGAAGTTCAATTTCTACCGGAATCACCTATCATTCAAGCGTTTCCTGATGACGTACTTTGGGACAGTGACGATGAAGATGCCGAAATACACAAACAATTGATTTCTCCAAGTCAGTCTGTTGTGATGTCTTACTGGGTTGAATTTTGGCGATCAGATAAAGAAGATGCAGCTTTCGATTTGGCGCCTAACCGGGGTGGACCTGTCGATCAGCCCCCCGAATCATTAACGGAGCTGGCTCTCCTACTTGTACAAATGGTACAAAGCCTTATCGCTCTTTGTGCTTCCTGGTTGCTGTATCAAAGCATTTCCGCTGGAATCGCTCCCATTGCATGGGTCACCAAAATGAAAATGCAACGCCATTCAGGAGCTAAAATGCAAAGCCGTCCACGGTCTCTTACCAACCTTTGATGTCACCCATTTCCTCGACAATATACATAGTTCTCTATAATCCTTTTTTCGGCGTTGGTCGCTGATAGCCGAAAAAAAAATCCTTGCACATAGTCATACAAAAAACCTTTATACATATACATTGGTTGGTTACCAGGTTGTTTTTCATTGTTTCCGTTTCTGTTTGTTTCTTTTTTGGTGGGGAAACAAGTATTTCTCATTTAAAAGAAGGCTACAATAATAAAAGGTGAGAGGTAGTGTGGATAAAATTTGTACAATTGATCCCATTTAGATAGAGTAAATTGGGGTTTTATAACCGTTGGAAACGATAGTGACATATGGATAATATTGAATGGGCGAGGTTAGGTTAGGAAAGTGGAACAAAGAAAAATACTACATGGATGAAGATCTGGTTGTGATATCGAAGGGTAAATACATGGAAACTAAATGGCATTTGGATACAAAGGGTTATGAAGGACAGTGTGGGAAGAAGTGGAGAACACATATACATGAAAAAAGGGGAGATATGTCCAGAATATATCAAAAAAATCGGATCACTCAAACCCTGTCAATGTCATCCTCATGGCTCAAGCTTATTTTCTGGATATTCGACGAAAAGGTGTTTTGGCGGCATTTTTCATCTTGTTAAAAAGGTTGCTAAGCTTTGTACTGCTCCCTTTGGACGACACATCAGATTTCGACCACGATTGAATGGAAGGTTCAGGAGTAGCGTAGAGTTCATTTACTGGAGTTCGTCGACGAATGACAGGAGCAACATGAATCATAGCTTCGCTCGGAATGGGACGCGGAATAGCCGGGCTAGGTGATCGCCATAAAGTTTCGACTCGCACAGACTCAACAAGAGCTCTAATGTTACGATGTTGCTCCAGTAGTTTATTGGGAGGAGTCTTGTTGTTCATGCGTAATTGAGGAACTATATGGTCGAATACAGTTGCAAAAAACTCTTCTCTAGCCCAATCCACCGGTGTCGGCTGTCGTTTGGACGGAGATGCCTGCATTTTTGGTGTGGGCGATGCAGACGGAAAAAAGAGGGGAGAAGGTGTCGGCACCAACATGTTTTCGGGATATCGTGTGGCCATGATATTTGAAAAAAATAGAGCAGAAGGAAGAAGTGGTTTGCTACTGAAAATGATCAGCTTGTTTTCAAGTAATCCAAGTTTATATTCAAAGAAAGGAAATAGCGACTGTGGTGTAACGAAGTACCGACACCTGACCATATAAAGCTGTCCCGAACAATAACATGACTGAGTGCTTTCAGCTCGGCAAGGACGCTGGTTGCACCCGCCAACAACCTCGTGAAATGAAGAGGATGGGCAAGATTGAGTACTATTGTTCTGATCAAAGTGTAAGAGAAAACAAATATAATTTTTATTACATTAATGTAACGACAAAGAGTGAGAAATGAATATAAGCAGCATTTATAGTGGCTTTTATTAACACAATTCTATATGTCAAAGGCTTCGCTCAGACATCCACTGCACTGTGGGACATGATGGAATTCAGAAAATCGAGGCTTTTGAAGTGGTGGTATCCTTCCTAAATTCGGGCTGCGGTGCTTTCCAACCGCTTCAGGCTCTTGGTGATGGCTAAGTTCTTCTTCATCACCATCAGATTGGTCAGTATCGGTTTGCCCATCATCCGATACCCAAAATCCTCTCTCGCTGACGGGACTTAACCCATTCTGAGCTAATTTATCTTCAGCAAGTTTCCTTTTCTCAAAAGCTTCGGTTAAATCTAGATGAAGTTCATCAATTTGAGCTTGCATTTGTTGTTCTATTTCGTCTTCCCGATCCAGTTGACGTTCCCGTACCGCCGTAAGCTCTCCTCTAATGGTATTGAACGCACCGAGTTGTCGTTCTAGACGGCTCTCACTGTCTTGGACTTGCTGGCGAAGTTGTTTGACTTCAGCTTCATATTTCTCTTCAGTTGCCTTCATGTGGTTTCTAAGACTTTGCAGCTCGTCCTCAGGTACTTGGCTGGCCAACAATACCTCTTCTTGTTTTCGCGCTTCAGAAACCTGTGCTTTCAGGTCAGAAATTTGCGAAAGTGCTTCTTTCAATGAAGATTCTGCGTGTTCAAGTTCAGCACGTAGGCTATTTTCCGTGGCTTCCCTATCCTGTGTGATCGACAAAAGCTTCGCATCAGAAGTTGCCAATTCTTGCTGTGATCGGGCAAAATTTGCTTCCAATGTAGTAAGTTTCTCTGCCATGTTTTCGATGTCACGCTTACAGGCAGCTAGCTCGTCTTGTGACGTAGTGGCAGTTTCTTCCATAGCTTGTCGTTCACGTTGAGTATCTGATAGTTGAGCACGAGTTTCAGAGATTTGAACGTTGGTGTCATCCAGCTGCTTTTGTAGTATCTCCAAGGCACTCTGGTGTTCAGCTTTTGCGTCTTCGAGCGTTACGTTGGCTGCCTGAAGTCTCTTTTCGCTCTGCGCATAATCTTTTTTGATTGTTGCTACCTCAGCTTCCAGATCCGACGCTCTGTGTGCCATCTCTTTGTACGACGATTGGACATCGGCCAAGTTATTTTCATGAGAGAGCTTGGATGCTTCATGTTCTTGCTTGAGTTTCTCAAGTGCACTTTCTCGTTCCTTCAAAGCGGCTGTAAGTTGACTATATGCTGCTGAGTGGTTCTCACCAGTTGCTTCAAGTTCTGATCTTAGTCCACTCAACTCCAACTGCAAAGCATGGATCTCGGCGGTTTTTTCGTCACTGTTGGCGGTCAGATCTGTGTGACCCACACTGTAAGTCACGGAACATGATCAACTCATTTCTGTGCAATTAAATAAACGCTTACCTTCGATCTTGCGATTCCCTTGAGCCAACTGCTCTTCGACATTGCTCAGTTGGTCTTTCAAATTAGAGACAGTGCTTTTTTCGGCTGATAAATCTTGAGACAAAGCGTCAACTTGACTATTTGACTCTCTCAACTGTTCCAAAACAGAGTCGTTCTCCTTTTGAAGCTTTTTGTTCTTGTGCGACTGGTCATCGATCGTTGACTGCAGTGATGTCCGTATGTCCTCTAATTCTGTCATCTTAGATTCAAGCTTTAATTGCAGCTGCTTCGCGTGTTCGTCATTTTTGGCAATGATGGTTCTTCGTTCCGCTTCGGCCGATGATTGAGTTTCAACAAGTTGCGCTTTTGCTTCCGCCAGTTTGTTCTCATTCTTGGCAAGATCAGCATGCAGCTTGGTGATTTCCTCAACTTGTGACGAGATTTGATGTTCAAGCTGAGAGATTTGTTGGTCGCGGGCTACCTGAGTTTCATGTTGCTGCTGCAATTGAGATTGGTGCTGGGAGATAGTATCCTCCAATTCTGATCGAAGTTTGTCGCTGGTCATGGTGTGCTCGATCAACATGGAATCGATTTTGGCTCTTGCCGACGTCAAATCACTTTCTACTATAGCTTTGTCCTTTTCGAGATTTGAGATCTTTGATTGAGAATCCAGCATTTCTTTTCTGTATTCTTCTTTGACATCATCCAGCTCGGACTGAAGGTCGCCCTTTGCCTTTTGCAAATCAGATACCTCGTTTGCTAACAATTGTTTCTGATCCTCGAATTCCTTCTGTTGCGTTTTATGTTGTAAAATTTTGGCTGCAAGGCGCTTGGATGTAGCCTTACTGTTTTGGTTCAGTTTTTCATGTTCAAGTCGAAGGTTTGTAAGTTGTTCTTCCAATAAGCTGTGGTTGGACTGGAGGTCATCCAATAATGATTGTCGATGATCTAGATCTTGTTGAAGCAAAGAGGTTTGGCTTTCTGCTTGTTCAAGAGCATTCTTCAGCTCTGTAATGCTCTTGTCATGCGTTTGACGAAGGTCATCCATCTCCTCCACCAAGGACTGCTGCTTTCCATTTGCTTCCAGCATATTTTTTTCATGCTCAGCTTGAGCACTCGCCAATTTGTTTTGTTCAAGAACCACTAAAGCTTCCGCTGCTTCAAGTTTTTCGCGTACAGTCGAGTGTTCACCAGTCAATCGTTCAATTTCCTTAGCAGCATCCTTTTGGTTCGACTCAGCCGTTTGTTGATGAAGAGACAATTCAGTTCGCAACTCGTCCTCTAAATGTTGCTTGGCCAACTGTGCATCTTCCAGTTGTTTGCTGAGTCTACCGTTGTCCACTTGATATTCACCTAGCTTCGATTCGAGCTGCTGGATTTCATTTTTCAATTCGACTTCATTTGTCTTCAATTGTTTCAGCTCAGCATGTAACGTCTTTGCCTGCTGATCAGCTGTCTTCTTAGATTCCTCTAGTGAGGACAATAATGCCAACCTTTCTGCATCCAAAGACTTGGCTTCTTCCTGTGACTTCTCCAGACTCAATTTGATCTTGGCTATTTCTTCGTTGTGAGCAGTTTTCAAACTGGAGATTTCTTCACTTAAAGCGTCCTTTTCAGTTGTTGAGTTTGTTAGGTCTTGCTCCAACTTTGCAATTTGAGAGGTCGAATTGGTAATTTGCTCTTGCAAGCTTGTCTTGGTAGCTATGTACATTGTGATATCAGCCTCCATTGCTTGCTTCTCAGTTGTTAACTGTTCAATTTCAGCACGATAACCTTCGCACTCTGTGTTGATCCTCTGAAGCTTTTCGCTGACTTCTTCAAGTTGTTGAAGGTTGTTGGTGGCAATCTTCTCCTGTTTGTTAACTTGTGCTTGCAGTTCATGAATACGCTGCTCCTTGGTCTCTGCTTCCTTTGCTGCGGTATCATTACTTTGTTGCAATTCAGCCTTGACCGCTTGCAGTGATTGAGAAAGTTCATCATTTTGAGCCGTTTTCGTAGAATTAACATGTTCAAGGTCATTAATCGTCTGCACGTTTTGCGAGTTTTGAGACTCCAGATCTGAAGCAATGGACTAAAGCGTTGTATATTAGCTTTACAAATATCTGAATTTACTTAACCCTCTGCTGGATGTTCATGGCTTACCTTGAGCGTTTCAAGCTCCATCTCCAATTCAGACTTTTGCTGCTCTATCTCCTTTTTGGCTGCGTCGATTCTTTGGATATCATTCTTCATCTCGTCTAAACTGGCCTGGAGTTCTTCCTCTCGCTTCAAAGCATCTTGGGCAGCTCTATCTATGGCAGCTTTATGGCTAGATTCTGTTTCATCCTTTTCCTTTGCTGTGTTAGCGCGGAAGGTTTCGAAATCCTGCAAAGCCTGTTCAAGCTGAGATGCTGTATCTGCCTTAGAATCACTCAGCTCATTGATATTGGCAACATGCTGCTCCATTTCACTCTGCAACGTTTGCAAACTTGCTTGAAGTTCTTGTTCTCGATGTAAGGCTTGTTGGGTTGCTCTATCCATGGCTTCTTTATGCTTTGAGGCTGATGCTTCTTGTCCCTTCAGCATGTCGGCGCGATATGCTTCAAATTCTTGCATAGCCTTTTCTAATTGTGACGATGTGTCAGCCTTGGAATCACGAAGCTCGGTGATACTGGAGACGTGTTGCTCAATTTCATTTTCCAACTCCTGCAACTTTGCTTTCATTTCTTTCTCTTGGCTCAAAGAGTCTTGTGTTGCTTTCTCCATGACTTCTTGATGCTTTAGGAATGTAGCTTCTTGCTCCTTCGAGACTTCGGTACGGTAGGCTTCAAATTCCTGCAACACCTTCTCAAGCTTGGATGAAGAGTCGCTGTGAGATTCACGTAGCTGGTCAATAGTTGAAACATGTTGTTCGATCTCATTCTCTAACTTCTGCAGACTATTTTGAAGTTTTTGTTCACGGCTTTCGGCTTCTTGAGCTGCCTGATCCAGATCTTCTCTATGCTTCAAAGACATAGCCTCTTGTTCCTTCAATGTATCAATGCGATGAGTTTCAAGGTCTTGTAATACTTTCTCAAGTTGGGATGATGTGTCGGCGTGTGATTCACGTAACTGAGCAATGTTGGATACATGCTGTCCTTTCTCAGTTCCCAACTTCTCCAAGCTTTCTTGAAGTTCTTTTTCGCGATCCATGGCGGCTTGAGCTGCATTTTCCATAGCATTTTTGTGTTTAGCTGAAGTCGCCTCCTGTCCCTTCTCTGTCTCAGTGCGATATGCTTCAAATTCTTGTGAAAGCTTGTTCAGTTGCAATGATACATTTTCTTCAGATTTCCGTAGCTGCGTGATGTTGGCTAAGTGCTGTTCAATCTCTGCTTGGGTTTTCTCCTTTTGTTTCATTACACTGTCGTACTTGCCCTTCAAAGCGATGAGCTCTTTTTGCAAGCTATCCTTCTCGTTTTCGATCTGTTCGGTAATAGATTTGGCGTTGTCTACATTCTCTTTGAGTGCCGACAACTGTTCTTCTTTCTCCTTGATAGCTTGCTCTTGCTGTGCTACTGTTTCACGTAACGTTACTGTGAGTTTCTCGACCTCTGATACTTCGCTTTTTAGCTTATCTGTCGCTTCATCCCATTCAGTCTTCTCTTTGTTATGGGACATGATCAAATTCTGCAATTTAGCATCATTGTCGCTTGTGCTTGAATTCAAAGTTTCATTCAGGCTGTCAAGTGTTGCTTGCAGACGTTCTGTTGCTGCCTGCTCCGCAGTTAAGTTATTCGATGCCTCTTCTTCTTTCTTTAGAAGTTCGCTAATTTGTGCTTCCAATTTAGGTATTAAACCAGACTTCTGTTGATGCTCTGCTAGTGCCGTGTTGACATCCTCAAACTTTTGCCGCAAAGATTGGTGATCTTCTCGAGCCTTTTCAATTTCCTGGTCTTTGAGGGAGATCGTTTGTTGAGCCGTATCATGTGCTTCCTGTATCTGGTTGACCTTCGCAACATGCTCATCCAGCGATTGCTGGCTGCTCAATTTTTGCTGGTCGAGTTCATTCTTAATTGCCTGTAATTCCTCCTCAGAAGCCCGAAGTTTCGCTTGCTGGTCTTCCAGTAATTTCTTTGCACCGGTCTCATTGTCATCCTTCATCTGTTTGAGATTGGCTTCAGCTTCCGTGAGTTTTGTCTTGAGTTCCTCCTCTCTGGACTTTAACTCAGAAATGGCCTCATCATGAGACTTGGTCATATGCTCGTGTTGGCTCTTGTTGTTCATCAACTCCGTTTCTAAAGTTTGAATTTTGCTCAACAGGTCCGCTTTCTCTCTTTCAGCCTTTTCCGAAACTTCTTGAACTGCGTTTTGGTCCGTGGATGATTTCTCATTTAGCTGACGCTGTTCATCCAGCTGTTTCTTTATAGCTTCAAGTTCATTCTTCATAAGTTGCTCTGATGTCTTATGTTCCTTATGAGCTCTCTGAAGTTGAGCTTGTGCCTGAATAAGTTTGCGTTCAAAGTCGGATCTAGATGAGTTGGCCTTTGCAATGAGTTGCGATTGAGATGCTTTGGCAGAGCTTTCATTCGTTTCATGCTCCTTAATGGTGGTCTTCAATTCCTCTACTTGTCTTGCCAAGTCTTCTTTTTCTTTCTTCACAGCGTCATGTTTTCCCTTGAAGTCTCTATACTCTTCGGAAGCCTTGTCTCCTTCCGCTTTTTGATCTGCTAAATTCTGGGAAGCTGTCTTCAATTCTTTCTCAAAATTTTCCGTCTTCTTTGCCAGTTCAGCTCTAGCGGTATCCAATTCTGCAAGTGCAGAGTTAAGAGATTGTTCAAGCTTTTGTTGCATCGATTTGGCTTCGTTGGTAGTGGATGCAGACGAATTCATCAATTCATCCCTCTCAGCTTGCTGACGATTCAGTTCATCAGTTTGATGGTCTATTTGTTGCTGCATGTTGTCAACTTGCCGAGTCAGCTCGCCTATCTTGGCTCTGTAGCCTTCAACATCCTCTTGAACATCGTCTTTTGCCGTTAAGTAGTGGTCATCAGGCAGTACTTTGCCCTGCAAAACAAATGATACATGTCAATTGCGCCGTCCGCTGACCCAAAATTCTCGACAATATGTCTACCTCTTTTCCATTAAGATCTAGCTTGTCGTTTTGGGTTTCTGAATGCTCAATCTCATGCCTGTTTCCATCTTCTGCCTTGTGCAGATCCGCTTCCTGGTCCCTGTCAAAGTGTAAAGCGACGTGTCAGAGCAACCGGCAGTTAAGGCACTTGCCATTCTATAGAGGCCTTACAAAACACCATGAGAAGCTGTATTGCCTGCTGCTTCAGACACAATGCTTGAGTTGGTGCTGTCTCGTCTAGTATTAGTTTTAGCTACATTGATCTGTGGCGATCCTCCTTCCGCTCGTTTAGATTGAAACTTCTTGAGCTGATGTTGCGCGACACTGGTTAACTTGAGGTGATGGTCCTACTGTACTAGTCTAATGCTTTACCTTCTTCTTTGCAGCCAAGAGTTTTGCTTTACGAGCAGCCTCATCGTCTTCCATATCTGCCATTGGCTTCTGGATTCAAGAACCTGTATTAGAGCCTGTGACTGCACTGGGGGGGGGGAATTTCTGCTGCAAACAACCACCGCCACGTTGAAGGTCAACTGTAAAACTGATGATACCTAACATAAAATTTCGAAAAAATAAATAATAAGGATATGAAGGCTCCAAAGTCTATAACGTATCAATGATACTCGAGGCACCACATTGTTAACACGTTATGTTTACAGATCTACTCAAGTTCGGCGGCCAATTCAATCCGAGGAAGCTTTAGACTTAAAGTTCAGTCCATATATCCAACGTGGTAGATATGGTCGTCTTTATAAAAAGAGAATCATCATACACTTTGATGAAACCAAAGAAACTCTTCTGTCCTCGCAGTGCCGTCAGCTCTCTTTCAGTTTTTTAGAGGGAACATCTTAGGCGGAGAACGAAGAAATTCGTAGTCGCGTGCAAATTTTCTGTCCAACTTATTCGAAGCTACATGGATTACTGATGGATGCAGCTCATTCGCCAATCTCCCGGCGAAGGAGTCCGCCTCATGTCGTCTTTTTGGTTGACACACAATTGACTGAAAATAGCAACCTTTCATACGAACAGCAAGCAATCGACATCCGGTTCGGCATTCTCCGCGTTCTATTGTACTTTTATACTTGCATTGACCGTAGAATGACTTGGGGATACCAGTTTTTCGATTCCGAAAACAGTAGCAGTACATTGAGGTTACAGAATCACTTTCAAGAGTTGAGTATATCTGCACTGGATGCATTCTTCAATGCCTTTACTTCCGAGCTTGAAATATCAGTTTCCAAACAACGGGACAAGCTTTCCAGCACACCTGATGACGAGTCACCCTTTGCGAGACTAAAGCAAGCCTTAGCTCAAGCACTTTCCGATTTTCAATGGAAAGATATTGATATTGCATACCTTGCATCTCCTGGCCGACTGAGAAGAACACCACGATCGATGCGGCAAATGAGGAACGGTCCATTAGAGACAAGAAATCACATTTATGTCATATCTTCCATACCACAAACGTATTCTGATCTTATGTGGTATTTCCATGGGCGTAGTGAGACAGCTGTTCAAACCCATTTGACAAGAGAGGGTGACAAAATGAAGATCGTCAAACTAATGGATAACGCTGCTATGGAAATGAGGAAGACGCTATGGGATGGGTTTATCGATCATAGGATTGCGCTCAATTGGATGGACTTGCGGTCGAATCAGATAGAAGATCTCTCAGGTGAAGGCGAGGTTAGTGAAATAGATATACATTTTACAAGTGTGTACAAGGTACTGAGCTGTCTTTTCTAGGACATTCAACTTTTCATTGGTACCTCATTCCAAGCAATTGCCAAAATTTTTGGAGGCTATTTGATACCGTTCTCATTGCTTCAGCAAGATAGAGCTGAAAGATATGGGTACTCCATTCAAAGCATACTGTGCCATTATACTTCAAAAACTATAGACACGTCCAGCCAATTCGCACGCAATAGAAAAGGAACAGGAAACATAACGAAACCTAGTCTGTACGATATAACGCAGGGTATACAAGCGGTACGAAATGTAGCATGGACAGGAGATCTCATTCTTAACGAGGAACTATTGACGCAAGGTGTATCGAAAATTAATTTGCTTGTACATAATTTACTACGGTAAGTGGACCCTGCATAACGTGTATGCGCAAGTGTTTCGCCACTTATCTTGAAATTCATTAGACCACAGCTGTCGAATGCGTTAATCGAGATGGCTGGTTCAGAAAAAGACAGTGTAGTGTCAATGGAAAAGCGTCTACAAAATATTACGTCTATGAAAGGGTTTTTATTGCTGCCGGCAGCATATATACCAGTCAAATGGCAACTGAGCGATAGCGACAAAACAGCAATACCTACCGGGATCAACGAGCATTTTCTTTGTACATTTAATCACAACGGAGACAGGCGTGCGCTCAGTGAATTTGAAACACTGATTTCGACAATGAATCAAAGCAACCAAGTTCTCATAGTTCGCCTAGAGTTTCAAGATATCAAGATGGAAGGCTTTGAATATGCAGTGATTCAACCCTTGGCTCACCTATGTGCAACAATTGGATTTCTCAAGTGCCAAACGGAAGAACTACTGGCATTAACCAGATTTGATCAAGCTATAGAAACAGAAACTGGCGATGATGGGCATGGAACAACGATGTTTGATCCTTGGGTATCGACTGGGCTCGAATTCTTTGGGGACGAAGTGGATGAGTCCTTGGTCCTCTTTTCCATAGACACTCACATGCCAGCAGAGTTGAAAAGCGCTATTGCAATTGAGGCAGCCTCCCAAAGGTATTTTATCGTGATACACCACACTGTTGGCAAGCTTGATTGCTAAATCGTAGTATACTTGCGTTTTAGCGCTATGGACGCGACACTGACTATTGATTCATTATCACTTGCCACTAATGAAAACGAGATGGATGGAATGGACCTTCCCGAAATTCTGGATAGGGTGATTGAAATCAATGATAAACCAGCCAGTTTAGAGGAATTTCAGTCGTATTGGATTGAGATGTATTTGCCATTTCTATATCAAACGTCTGTAAGTATGCTCGTAGCGGTATTGAATACATTCCGAATTTTTATTAATACAATGATAGATCGAGCCAGATATCATCGCCGGACGACTTCAGACCTGGGTCAACTATTTGGAGCATTCAGTAAAAATTACGGTAAGCCACTATGTCTATACAAAAGCGCCTACAAATTATACGGTATATCTTAATAACGATATCGTAGCCTACGGATATTTTAAATGCCCTCAAACTTCTTCCAATGAGCTTTCATAGCTTTGATGCCAAACATAAGGAAATTTCGAATGCTAGCGGAATCATCACGGATGAGCTTGCCCCACATTTGGTGGATGACGAAGTGGATTTCTTGCAAAATTGGAAGCAAACCCGGCAACTTGATTCCAAAAGCCTTAGAATTTTGAAAATCAAAGAGTAAGTTGCTCAAGGCGTTGATATAGCCATAACGTTAATGTACCTAACGGCTCTGTAGTGCTCAGCTGCAAATTGTGGTCATGCTCAAAATCATGGAGCTAGAGAAGAGATTTATGACTTTAAACAAGATCGAGTTGCCCAAGCCTCAGAAAAGAAAAACCAAGAAGAAGAAGGCGCAAGGGAAGGAAGACCTCGACCAGCAGCTTGAATTGTACTTTGAAAGGTTATGTATTTGGGACTCTATGATGGACACCAGCCAATCAGCCAACGATGCAACAACACCAAAGCTACTACAAAAAGGTACCGATGATATCATTCTCCATTTGCGCTCTCTATGCAAATGTCTCAGCGATATGTAAGTAAGACACAAAGTGCTGTGTAGATGGAGATAGTTATTAACTTTCATGTGATACAGCTATCGACCAATACTTCCCGACACTATCGATAAGCTTTGGTCAAGATGTGGAGGAGAGGAGGAACTTCTGACATTCGAAACAGGGCGTATGGCTTCGTCTGGCTCAGCGACGAAAGCGGCACTATCTGCGGAAAAGATTACTAAATCAAACAAGAAGCTGCCAATGGATGTTGATGCTCGTGTTAAGCTTCTTGAATCCAGAATTCGAGGTCCAAGCACTGAAACTGCGGTTACGGACGCTGCGTGGGCTACAAAGAGTGATAGCAAAAGTGTACCAAAACAAATGCCAACATCATCCAATATTAATCTCTTGTCGGGCAGCCGGAAAGCACCATCATCAACCATCAATTTGCCCTTCATGAAAAGAGAGATTGAAATGACGAAGAGTCTAAGTTCCTCTTCAAAGACCAAGTCCAAGCCAAGTAACATGTCCTCTACTCAATCCAAGGCAAGCGGTTCGCGACGAAAGATAACTACCCCAAAGAGTAAGTATAGGACTGGATGTGTAAGCGATTGACATGTGTTGTGGCTAATCCTTAGCGCTGCTAGAGATACCAATGGCGATAATGGATGGCAGGAATACAGAAACTGTGGTTTTGCGCAAACGCACAGCATTATCACCCACAACGCCAAGAACAAGAGCAGAGCGAGATTTTGGTTTACGATTAGCTAGGACGCCAACTAAGAGCCCGTCCTTTGTGGTAAGACAGAATATGGACGCTTTTTTATGCGTAGTATCTAATGTCTAACTATCTTCCATAAAGCCGATGACTGCTAAACGATCTACAGATGGCATAGATGGGCCTGTAATATCATCTCCACGGAAGCTCATGCGTACACTTACTGGAAGTAGATCACCAACTGCTCAGCGACACCGAACATCTCTACCGATATCTCGCATTCGCCTGAGTCCTAGTTCACCATCGCACAATAGGATCAAGCAAACAAAGCCGGCTGATCTTACTGAAATTGCACCGAAGAGAGACCTGTTCACATCCTTTTTGCAAGCCTCCGCGCATTCAAATGACAAAGATGAAGCTTAGTAGAACATTGAATACACCGCAAGTACATCAGGTTTCCACTTTCACAGATTGCTGCACTCTTGCATTGATGTACATATTCACAACATACACTTGATTTTGCATGTAAAGTAATTGTTTAAATATATTTTTGTATGCCATTGCTACCCGATTGATAATAAAGGTATACGAAATGCCATACAACTGATGTGACCTACAACTTGGATTTCAACTTGAGTTTTGCGCCGAAACGTTGGATATCGTCAACCAACAGCCCAGATTGCTCCATCGCAGCAAAATGCCCTCCCTAGTCGATGGAGTAAAAAGTCAGCATATAAAAAAACATTTTCATAAAAGTCACTGCCCAATGAACATTACCACTGAGTAGCTTGTGTACTGCTGGAGGTCGTAACCGGGTTTAAGCCAGTCCTCCGGGGCTTTGATAATTTCGTTTTGAAAAACTGCTGCTGCTGTGGGGATTCCAACCTTCTGAATATTAATCTTGCCTTCACCCAGGTTGAAATATTCATAATAGATGCGAGTAGAAGAGGAAATAGTGTTTGTTGTCCAGTATACCATAACATTAGTGAGGAACTCATCATAGGAGATAGTGGAGGGTAAGTCGGCGTCGTCCGAAGAACCCTCATGGTACGTCCAGACATGAAACTTTTCTAGTATCCAAGCTATCAAGATATGGTTCAGTATCTATTATCATGTCCTCTTAACATTTCTATTTATCAGTTTCTTACCCATCAAGCCAACAGGACTGTCAGTAAGACCGAAACTCAAGGTATAAGGGCGTGTCGCTTGTATGGCGCGATAGCCTGCGTCCGAGTCCCAAGTGGCGTTCGCAAAGCCCGTTCCCATCAAAACCTTTGGCTTTTCCGGGTAAAAGTAGTTAAAACCCGTGAGCGCAGAAGCTATCATTCGAAGTACTGAAAGAGGTCGAATAATTACATTGGTCGGTGTTGGCAAAGGCGGCATTGGAATTGGCATATTCGTATGGTAGCCTTTGCAGTTCTTGGTATGGTAGATAGCTAGAAATCGGCCAATCAGACTGCCCCAATCTCCACCTTGAGCAACTATCCTAAAATGTCAGTGACCAAAAGTTCCTACCATCGCAAAGTGATATTTCACCTACTGTATTCATTGTATCCGAGGTTGACCATGATTTGATTGATGGTCTTTGCCGTCTCAGCTAGGCCGTAGCCTTTCTGCGTAGGAGGGTCAGAGAACCCGAATCCTGGCAACGAGACAACTACCACATGGAATGCCTAGTGGTGAAGTATTATTTCTTTGTCAGATGTATAGCTATTATAGAGTTTTTGATGTACCTGCTTTCCATCAGCACCATCGCGGAGCGGGGCAATAACCTTCCTGAACTCGCAAAAAGATCCTGGCCATCCGTGTATAAGTACTAAGGGTTTTGCTTGAGGCTGGATAGATGGTTCGTGTATAAGATGCATTTTCAAGCCATTGACATTCATTTTGTAGTGATGGAAAGAGTTCAGCTGAGCACGTTCTCGTTCCCAGTCAAACTTGTTAAGCCAGTGGTCTACTACTCGTTTCACTGCCCAAGAAGGTGCTCCATAAGACCATCCTACGTTTTGTGACTTGTCCAATTCTTGGGGCCAAGTGACAGACTGCAGGCGTTCATTTAATGAATGCTTCTGATCATCAGTCAGGGGAGGTACTTCGAATGGTTCTAGTAGAGAACTCATATTGCAACGAAATGAAGAAAGAAAAGGAGAATAATGAAGCTGCGTGTCAGCAGTAACTCTACAAAAGGAGAAACTCCGCTCCCCACACTTCAACGTGTTGACTCTCTTAGGTGCTACGCAATTTGAACATTTCAAAGGCGCAAAACTCTTGGAAACTTGGTATAGCAACTTTGGTGAAAGGGTATTTGGCCGCTTTTGCACAGTTTCATATATGAAAGATAGATTGCTACAAGATTGCCGCTTCAGACTAATTGGTTAGCTATCTCATCTTCTTAAAGAGCCATTAAGGATTTCTAATGAAAAATCAGAACATAATGAGAAATACTTCATAGTGGAAAAGTAAGGTCAAAAGCGATAGCCATTGTCTTGTTCTCGAGGAGACGGTTTTTGACTGGTCAGAGCAAGTCAGAGTTGCCTGAAAGTTGAATTTGTAAAAGGCAGTCACAAAATCGCTACTTCGCTTTTTTGAAATCTCCCGCATTCCATCGACATTTCAACACAAATGGTGAACAGTACCCAAAGCTCACATAGAACCGATAATGCGGTGGAGCTAGATATGCTTCTAGGATATATGAAAGAACTTATTATTCCTTGTAAGTTAACATCTTTGTAAAATTAGCAAGCCTTACGGGTGAACTATAATTTTGACTACCGTCACCCCCTAGACGTTGATAGTGCGAGCAATAAGGAAGCATCTGTGGTGGAGTATTATCCACCTGAAAAGCTCGAGAAATTAGTTGACTTCTCATTACCCGAGAATGGTGGCGGTGTGGAAGGTAATGAGCGAGAAAGGGTCATGCGAAGATGTTGACGAAACACATGCCTTACTAATACATACCTTGCAGGTGCTTTCAAATCCATCAAGGAAACGCTGAAATACAGCGTCAATGGTTGGAATCCAAGATTTATGGACAAACTTTATGCTGGTACCAACCCAATAGGAGTCATTAGCGAACTCTTGATTGCTACTTTAAATTCAAACGTTCATGTTTACCACGTTTCCCCTGTCATGACTATGATGGAAGTTCATGTGACACGGGCTGTCGGACAGCTTCTTGGAATGGGTGCCAACGCAGGTGGTTTATTGTGTCCAGGAGGATCTGCTTCAAATCAGTTAGCCATGGTTACAGCCCGCAACACCCTCTACCCTTCTATTAAAGACACCGGCTATATGCCTAGACCTTTTAATCCATCTGCTGAATATGGCAAACTCAAGATATTCACTTCGAAACACTCTCACTACAGCATTGATAAATCTGCTCAGATTATGGGCCTGGGTGTTGATAACATTGTCAAAGTTCCTGTTGATGAAGATGGAAAAATGCAAGTATCCGCATTAGGTAATTAATCGGGATGTCGCTCACTTGGCCCAATATGCAATCTATGAACCTAAACAACGTCTTTTGAAACGCTAGAGAAGTGTATACTGGAATCTATCGACCTTGGTGAAACGCCGTTTTTCATTAATGCTACGGCTGGAACTACTGTCATGGTAACACAATTTAAGCGGTATATGTTGCAGGCTTGTACAACTTGTTCTGACATGGAATCTTAAACATTATTAGGGAGCATTTGACCCGATTCAAGCGATTTCGGCCATTGCTAAAAAATACAATTGCTGGTTACATGTTGACGGCTCTTGGGGAGGATCCGTCGTATTTTCAGAAAAGGTCATGAATGAAAAGTCTTGGTTGGTTGGTTCACACTTGGTAAGATATTTTTTTAGTTATGTGAATAATACCATAGTACAGTTTCTAATTACTAAATGATGTCTATCATTCAAGGCCGATACATTCACTTTAAACCCACACAAACTTTTGGGCGTGCCATTGCAATGTTCCATGCTATTGACTCCCCATAATGGAAATTTGTTATTCGCAAAGCACAACACTCTCAAAGCCGATTATCTCTTTCACGGTAACCCATACGATCTTGGAGAAGGTACATTGGGATGTGGACGCAGGCCAGACGCAGCCAAGATGTTCTTAAGTTGGAAATATTACGGTCGATGTGGGCTGGGCGATCGAATTGATCAAGCATTGGCCACGGCAGAGAAATTTGCCAATAGAGTGAAAGAGAGAGCATCGAGAGGATTCAAGCTAGTCAAGGACCCATGTCCTTTTCTTCAAGTATGCTTTTGGTATGTGCCTCCAGCTTTGGCAAACAAGCCGGTCGATCAAATCGACCTGTCAAAAATTACTCGTATACTGCATAAGAAAATCAATCACAGTGGAGAATTCATGATTGACTACGCTCCTTTGGAAGGAGTACCCGATTTTTTTAGAATAGTCATCAATGCCCCAACTGTAGATTGTGATAGAGATCTCGTTAGACTTTTAGATGCCGTTGAACGAGTTGCCAAAGAGGTTGATTGGGAGAATTAAAAGACAGTCACGATTGAAACAATCAATCCGACGCAATTTCGACATATGCGAATTTTCCTGACACATCTTTGGTACTGGAATGCGTCACATCTAATGGCAGAAAATCCGATCGTTATATGTCGAGTGCGCGCCTTATATCCCTTCCAATCGACCGATCAGTCATCTCTATGTTTCAAGAAAGGAGACTTTATAGAAGTGCTGGCTCAACTTGAGACTGGCTGGTGGGACGGTTGGTGCGATGGCAATCGTGGATGGTTTCCATCTAATTATGTAGAGGTTATAGACGACGACGAGCTGGTATGAAGAACTGTTTGTATTGACGAATAAGTTGCAAAGAATCCATGTATTTATGATAATTCAATTGTAACAGTTGCCGCCTTCACCTTCTATTACGCTCAACGCTCGTCAGAGTCTGGATCATGGCACAGCCGATTTATCATTTGACCAAGATCTTCCACCTAACTGGGAAGTAGAATCAGAGGAAGGCGGACAAGGTTATTATTTTTACAACAAAGTTACGGGTGAAATGAGGCCATCCCATCCGGCAGAAGCAAGCAATAATGAGTATACCATGGAGAACGGGTCCATCTCCAGCGCAGCCGAATCGGTGGATCGGGATCCGCAATCCATTGGACCCGACAGCCCTCTTACAGCGCACTCATTCCCGGATAAATCTATGGACGCAAGTCATCGCAGCGACGAAAATAGCTGGGATAAGGTAATGTGCTGCAACCCCTTACTAGAAGGTATTCAAAGTCGCTCTTGCCTAATGTTCTTTTGCGTTTCTTGTCATATAGACATGGACGGAACGTTTGACAAACCATGGCAGGAAATATTATCATAATAGTCAGACAAATGAAACCACATGGATACACCCTTTTGAAACGGAGAAAACGGTAATGTGTTACACATGCCAATCAAACCTTGCAGATGTATGATCTTTCAACGCGCGGCATTACTAAAAAATTTTCCTTTCCAAACCCAACAGGTCAATACCGAAGGTCACAATGGCAGTGTCGTCGATTCATCATCCGAATTGGACACCGCTTCACGTCATCTAAGCTCTCTATCGATAGAAGATACTGAATGGCAGACAAGTTGGCCCCAGATTTCATCCAAAATAGCTATCTCCATTCATAACCTCAATACCGCTGCCAATCTGGGCCAAAAAACGAAATTCGAATATCTGACAATGGCTGTGGTGAAGGTTATACGTACAACTTTGTACTGTTCAAATACCATGGACAAAGAAGCAGCACCCCTCAAGAACGATGCAAACTTGAGATCAGCACATCGACAGCTCGTGGCAAGTTTAGCTAAACTAGTTATATCAGCTAGCGTGGGGAGCAGCGACACTGTGCCTGAAAGTATACCAAAGATGCAATCGGATTCCCATGAGCTTTTAGCGGCAGTTCGAAACTTTACCGAGGTTTGCCAGGAACAAAACGTAACTATCACAAAAATCCATCCCACCCTCAAATCCGATCATCATAATGTGCTTCAAAAAGCCGGAAAGCGACCTGGATCTCGACACCTTTTGCAGAATAGAATCATGATTGTGTTGCGCGCGCTACAAAAGTCAGCGATCAGATCCTCAGATTCGTTACAAGCTATTGCTGCTGGTATGCGCGAAAATGCACCCAATACCACCGGTCCTACCCTATTATCAGAATTCGGGAATTATGCAAGCGTTATTAGCCACTTCTTATATGCCATTGAGGACATTCAAGCTAGTCATCGATATCCGGAGGACTTACAACTAATTGAGCTGAAGCAGGGCTTGTACGACGATCTAGGCTCTGTTTTCGTTTCCATTCAGGCCATGACGGATTCTAACCTAAGCTCTATCCAGGCAGAAGACAACATCTTATTATGGTTACAGCGTATTGATAGGCATATGAATCTCGGTGTGCAAATCATAGAAAATATGGTTGAACAATATGGAGAAAACCATCCTGAAATGGATATCGTCGTACCTATCTCTCCCAACAATCGAAGTTCAGCTTATGCTCATCGTCGACTCTCTCTCAGCATGCTGAATGACTCTAATTTTGCTTCAGATGCATCTGATTTCAACAAGGATACCACCGATGTCGACAGTGGGGATGAATCGGTTGATTCCTTTACAAGCGCTGTCCAGACGGTTGGTAATGGCCCTGGCGGCTTGGATATGGACAATCGCCCAGTGAAACCGTTTACTATGAACGATTTCGAACACGATCTTAACATCTCTCTTCTCGACGACGATGGCATGTCTCACGATTCGCTTGATTCTCTCCACGGTCGGTCGATCGACTCTGGTGAATTTCGTTCACGCCACCGCCCTGTTTCGGACTCGTTCCCAAAAAATAGAACTCAAATAGATGCAGGCAGTGGGGGATTGCAAAGATCAGCCACAGCTTTAGATTTGGAGACCGTCCAATCTTCAGCTAAGCAAGACAAGTTGAAAAAGTTCTTTGGTGAAGATGCAGCCGTCGCGGCAGAAGCTGCTGCCTCCGGCAAACCTACTGGCCATGATACCCCGTCCTTCCTAGGTTATGACTATGAACCAGCCGATATTGTCGAGAATATGGAAGGCGAAGTGAAAGGTGGTACACTGTTTGCACTCACCGAACGCTTGACCTCACATAAGTTCTTGGGTAAGTTGCGTTGCGCTTGCCGAATAGGCAGTGTACCTTCTTCTGCATCAAATCGCTAACATGATCTATTTTTCATATGGATAGATACCAACTTCAACGGAACCTTTTTGTTGACGTATCGATCGTTTTGCACGACCGAAGATCTTATGAGCATGCTTGAGGCACGTTACACTCTCATGCCACCGGCTAATTTAAATGCAGAAGAGTTGGAAATTTGGACGGAAAAGAAGCAAAAACTCATTCGATTACGGTAAGTGGTTACATTTACTCTGTTGTAAAGTTCTGGTCACGATCGTCTCATCCGCTTCAACTTCTTTGTAGAGTGTTTAATGTCCTGAAGAATTGGCTCGAGACGTATTTTATTGAGGAAGACAGTATGTCCTTGGAACGACTCCATAAATTCACAAACTCTACCATACGGGATACACTGTCATTTTCGGCCGATCAATTGGATAAGTTAATCAAAATCCGACAAGAAACCGATGAGCAAGGTGGCCTGCGTAAAATGGTATTAAATCTCGGTGTCACTGCACCTGCCCCCATTGTTCCCAAGAACCTGAAACGACTCAAGTTAACGGACATTGATCCATTGGAGCTTGCTCGTCAATTGACCATTCTGGACTTCAAACTGTATAGTTCTATTCGACCAATCGAGTGTTTGGATAAGGCATGGTCTCGGGACGATGCCAGAGGCGATGTTGCTGTCAATGTCAAGTCTTCCATTGAATTTTGTAACCAAGTAACGGCTTGGGTGACCGATACCATTCTTAGCCAAAACGAAATCCGAAAACGGTGTAATGTCATCAAATACTGGGTCCAAGTTGCTGAGCGCTGCCGGCAGTTGAACAACTTTAACACCTGCATGGCTGTCCTGTCTGCATTCGACAACAGTGCGATTGGGCGATTGAAACGGACATGGGAAGTGGTTGGTGCTCGAACGCAACACACACTAGCTTACATACGAAAACTCATGGGTGCAAACAAAAACTTTACAGAGTACCGTGAGATCATCCACTCTATTAATCCTCCATGCATTCCGTTCTTGGGTATCTACCTTCAGGATTTGACCTTTATCGAAGATGGAAACAGCAATTTCTTGAAAAAATCCAAAAACTTAATCAACTTCTCCAAGCGAATGAAGACCGCCGAGGTCATTCGTGAGATACAACAGTACCAGAGCGCACCATACGCACTTGAAACCGTTAAAGAGATACAATATGTTATACACCTTAATCTGAAAAACAGTCGAGACGAAGACACTCTATATGCCTTGAGTTGTGCATTGGAGCCTCGGTAGGTTTTTTTTTTTTTGGGATACTTGGACCAATAGATACTAATATTTTGTCTTCTTTCTATACAGTGAGCGTGAAGATGAAAAGATTGCAAGGTTGCTGCAGGAATCAGGATTTTTGTAGTTTCTTTGACCAATGATACCAAAGCATACTATACATTTCTCTCTCTCTCTATCTCTTATTTAATTGAAACACACCATCTCCCTCCATTTCAGAATTTTCATTCAAATTAAACATGAATCACGTACGATATTTCCCAAGGAATATCATCTTAGAGCCTTAGCAGAGAAAAAATATAGAAATTTAGTGAGAAAAAGATGATAATCGCCTATCTACAAACACCCATATCATGCTCAAGTAATAATATAAATATGCTAGTATATTCGTGAAAAGGTAACTATGTTTACTGAAGTTGCACATAGTTCGCCGGGAACTGAGTAAAATAGAGCAAGATGGTTAATTCAGGCAAAAAACACATTCAATTCGGGCAAACCACCACTTACAATGCCTTGTCTTCCTCCAATCTTTCCCGTCCACCAATCGTTTTGACTATCGCTCTTCTCTACAATGGTGATTACGTCTCCTTGTCTAAAGCTCAAGTCATCTCCTTGCTCTCCATTGAAGTCATACAAAGCCATGGCTGTCGTGACCTTGGGACCACGAGCAGGTGGTGGCGGAGGAGGAGCGCGATGCGCACCCTGAGAATTACCGTACGCTGGGGGAGGAGGATTGTTGTATCCGGAATTGCCGTAGCCACCACCACCTCCTCCTCCATATTTAGATCCCGATTGAGGGCTATTCGGCGTGTAAGGCTTGTTGAGCTGACCTGGTGCCGCTATAGAAGGATTGCCGCTGCGGTATTCACTGCTACCACCACTTCCAGTACTAGCATCGCTGTACGTACGAGACGCATAAGATGCACCAGTGGAACCAAGTGAATTGAAGCGAGCGTTCAAAGCACGGTAAAGAACATCAGCCTCGGGGGGTGGAGGAATTGTGCCATTGAGCAATTCCTTGGTTGTCACCTTGCCACCATAGAACTTGGAGTTAGCATCTTGTCTAGTGATAATGACAGATCCTGAAATAGTGGATTAGTATGAATGGGAGCGTACATCGGCGGCAACGACAGGGTGATCACAGTTTTCCTCTAATCTTCCACAATACGTACCTTCAAGTGAAACACCGGCGAAGAGACCCTTAGTCTTGGAGTACGAATAAATGGGCGCAATGTGTTTGAACGAAGCAGAGCCGCCAGCTTCAGCGTTTCGACCAATAGGACCAGCGGCGACTGAAATCAAATAGAGTATAAGAATCTTTATGCTGCGTAATTTTGCGGTGTCAATGTCCGTATCCTTACCTGACATGTTTCCTCCAAGTGTGAGATTTCCGGCATGACTAAACGTTTTGACAGCTTCCTTGCTGTTCAAAACAATCACGAAATCAGTCAGCTCGGCACCTGTTGTTGAGATAAACCGTTAGTCTATGCGGGACTCGGCTTTGTCATGTATGTCCGACGTACCAATTTGACCACCAGCACCAGCACCTGCGGTGGCAATGCAAGAAGGAGCAGACCAGCCTAATAAGCGTACACATTAGTATTGTTGTATTCACGGCAGTCCAGGGATTAAACGAGTACATACTTCCATCAGGTAATCTATAATAGAGTGAGAACAACGTAGAATAAAAAATCAGCGACTGTTCTAAACGTTAACCGAAATATGATGTCGTCATATTCAATACCAGCAAGTAGGGTCACACACACATACACAATGACCCATTGCTTTTATCCCAGCGATAAAGCGCAACCATCAACGTTACCTTGCTACAACCAAACCACCTCCAGCTCTTCCCGAAAACAAGAATCCGGCTTTTAAAACGGTATAAATTGCGAGACCTTGTGCTTTATCAAGAATACTGGGTGGAATCACTTTGTCAAGCCCTTGTCCTGGGTCTATGGAATGCAATTGAACGAAGACATTAGTTACTCTATTTCAAACATATATCCCATAGGAACACGCTTATATTCGTCTCCATAGCTTCTAAAAAGGGCTGAGGTTTACCTATGAACTTTTGCAAGATCTTTGCCGCCTTTTTGCATTCTCCTACAATACTGAAGTTAGCGACGGTTGCTCGGAATAGCTTTCGCAAAGAGACTTACCGGCAAGGTTTGTAGGAATGGGAGAATTAATGCCAAGCTTGTCCATTGAAAGAGTTAGTTGGGGTGTGGAAGGAAGCTGACTTTGCTAGCCAAGCAATTTTGAACGAGGTAAAAATGACTGCCAAAACGCATGATTTCCCTGACAAAAACATTTCGGCAGTGGTAATGTTGCTGTTTTCTGTTATTTCTGCTCCATTTCAAACACTTACTGCGACATTCAAGGCATATCCCCGGTTTTTATTCTATCAATTGCTACAATACTTCCTACCCATTACTATCTATTCACGTTTAAACACTTGACACGGCATCATGGCTTCCTCATTCTAATTCTGTAACTCCCAACATTCCTCGTCAAATCACCTCCAAACTTTTCTTTCCAAAACTCATGCAATATCACTTTCTAACAACAAACAACCTCTTCACGTTATTGTGTTCTCCGTATAAACCGCGTAATTTGTACCAACAACTATATCACTTTTCGACTATCCACGCTTACCTCTTCAACACCACTTTTCGACGTAAACGACGCAGAGAAGACCATTTCATCCTCAAAATCCATTAATTGTTATCAAACATGAATATCAACGCTCCAACCTTTGTGCCTATCTCAGATGCCAAGTCACCATCGAGTGATCATACCCAAGATATCAAGCATCCAGGCAAACCTCCTGTTGAGCGTCAGCAGGCTAGAAAACATCAGAATAAACCCCGCTCTAACCGTGGCAAAGGAAGCAATCGCCCCCAGCACCACCATCATAATTCGTCTCAGAAGACGAACAAAGCGCAAAAAGGTGGTCCACTACACGAAACGGATGCCCATCAAGATGGCCAAATAGTATCCAATGTGAGTTGCATTGGAGTTTAGAAGTTTACATCATAGTTCTCTCACATTGACAATCATACTATTGTTGCAGCTTACAAACACTTCTACCAACAAGCGTGGTCAAGTCTCGCTGAACCATCTTTTGAATTTTTCCTTTCCCGAACGACAGGCGCCGCAACCTGTTTATACACAGCGCAAAATCAAGACCTCCTCCTATCAACCATACAATAAGGAACGCTTTCTAAATGCAAAGTATGAATTGAGAAAAAATGCATGCATAGTGGTATTAGAGCATTGAATTGATTCGTTTTCTTTTTCAGCTTTCGCTTTCTGGTGAATCCCACCGGTGATTATACTGTCAATATGGCTGACCCAGATCTACCAATCAATTGGGCTGATATCGAACAGGTGGTACGTTAAAACGCTGGCAGTGCTATTGTTGCTCTCTATTTACTGCCTTTATTAATTGTTTTCTCTATCCAGCTCATTTCGAAATCTATCCCACCCACTTGTCCAATATGTCTATCACAACCTACGGCCGCGCGAGTGACGAAATGCGGACATACCTTCTGTTTGCCCTGCATTTTACATTACTTGCATTTGAACGATAACCCTAAGAAGGCTTGGAGAAAATGTCCCATTTGTTATGATGCTATATATGCTCGAGATCTCAAAAGCGTCAAGTTCATATGTGTCTCCGCAGTTCTTGAGCATGCCGTACCCAATTCATTCGATCAAGCGCGAGTCACCAACACACCCAGTCATCCAGTAGTTGGTGACTTGGTTGATATGAGTTTAATCCAACGGTCCGGTTCTTCCACCCTAGCCTTCCCCATATCATCTTCTTGGCCCATTCCTGATAATATCTACTCGGCTTATACCAGACCAGGGACAGTGTTTCCTCCATGGCACTTCACACCTGATGCTATGGCTTTTGCAAAATTTATGCTTGCCAGTCCAGAATATCTGAAGTCAGAATATACTCGGGATTACAAAGAACTAAACGACGGTTTGACCGAAGCCAAGGAGTGGAATGCCACCGAAGAAGTCGAGTTTTTCAACTCGGCTATAGACATCGTTACCAACGAGTTAGCAAATGTGCCTACTCGAGATACCTCAGATGTGTCGTCAAGCATTTCGACAGCACAAGCGATTTTGCAAGCAGTGCAGAAGAATGAAGGAAAGCGTGCAGAAATGGAGGCTAAAAAGGCTCAACAGAATCAAGCAGACCAACATAATCCGGTTGACGCCAATGTTCCAGAAGCATATCAACAGCACCAATTGAGTCGAACCGGTAGTTCCAGTGTCCTTTCTCAGTCGACTGATAGCTCTTCATCCATACAACCTAGCACTTCAGCACTGCCTAAGCCTTCAGATTCTGCATACACATCTCCGTCATACTACTTTTACCAAACAGCAGATGGTCAACATGTATACCTTCACCCACTTGACATCAAAATTCTCAAGCAGGAATTCACCACTTATGACAAGTTTCCAAAGAGTATCGTCGTTCGAGTCAATGATGTAGAAGAGAGTACATTGACAGAGGTGAGAATGATTTTGGCACAAATGATTATACTAATGCGATATGCTAACGAAAGGGTTTTACCACCATGCTAGGAACTGCGAAAGCGATTCAAGTATCTCTCTCATTTACCCCTTACTTGTGATGTTACTTTCTTGGAAGTAGATCTTAAAGGCGTTGTATCGGATGCCACCTTGGACCATTTCAGCAGTAAGTAGCAACTCCTCCTGTTCTACGGTGCGCAAAAATACCCATGATGTACCGAATTTAACCGAAACGTTTACCATCAGATGAACTTCGTATTAGGCAGAGGAAACGAAATGAACGTAGTCGACGTGAAGAAAAGTCGAATCGGTTAGCCGACTCCAGAGAGAAGCAAACGAAACCTACGTCATGGGCCGGCGATCACCCAGATCCTGGCATTCTTCGGGACGATCCGTTCTTCGCCCCATCCACTGGTGAGAATACGGAAGCTGCCGAAGAGGCGATGTTGTCGGAAGCGTTGTTGGCATCCACTGTAGAGGAACGTGGACCTAGAGATGCCGGGCCCCGAACCGTTTGGGGAACTCGCGCAGTTGAAAGCAGAGAACCTGCTGACGACGTTGAAGACGAGTATGACCATTGGGGAGAGGAACAGATCATCGTCAATAAGAAAGGCAAGAAAAAGCTGGTTTTAATGAGCACAAGTGCCCGTAGAAGGCTTTGAACCAGTTTTTTATTCTTTTTTACGATACACGCTTTGTAATAAATAAGATGATTGCACATCAATGATATATGCAACTATGGTATCAAGTCACTGTCTGAAAGCTTACTTGAACATAGATGTTTGAATGATGTTACGGTATAATTTTTGTTTTTCGATATTTCGCTCAAAGTAACAAACGAATGAACTTACGGCAAGGTAAATCTTTTCATGGCTGGCAAATTTCTGCAAGTTGCTTTATTTATCAAGAAGGAATGAAAACCAGCGTGGTTGGTGAAACGTATGTTGATTCTGCTATTGCGACGCTAGCATATCAATACCCTTCAAACAGTTTTTACACCTCTTCCATCAAGGTTTTCATGTCTGATATGCTGTTCCCTGTGAAGGTAGAAGAAGAGCCAGGTTTGCCCAAGATTATATTTCCTTCTATAGATAAATGCTATTGTTCTCTGATATTTCATTCTGAATATACAATTTTGCGTTCGAAATGAAAACGCAAAAATACAACTACGATGTCAATGCGAAATACAAGCTCAAATCTGCTTATATTTCTGTGGAGAACCTCGTAAATATTTCAAGAAGGGTAGTTTACAATATAGGATGTGCTAAGGCTCTATCGAGTCGGATGCTCTTGCTCGATTCATTGGTCCGTCGTATTGCTTACCAAGGAGCAACTTGCCTTTCTGTATTACATCGCTTGGTACAATATTGGACCTTTGCGACCCTCGTCGACGTAGATTAGCTGAGAATGGGTTTGGGAACTTTGGCCTCTTGTTAGCTATTCGCTGAGTCCATCTTTGTTTTTTCGAGCTGTCACTGATCATGGAAGCGGGTCTAGATCTTTAAAATGCAAAATGTGTATGGGTGAGAAACTAGCTGCCAAATTTTCATTGAAGTACGCCAAAGTCAAGGAACTTACGCTATGGAAGATTGCTGGATACTTCCCACTGACAAATCTCTGGTAGAATCAACATCTTCTTCGGCTCTGGAGAAACTTGAAATCATGGACCTTGCATCATCTTCGCTGTCCTCAATAGTGCTGTCCTCTGATGACGAGCTTAATGTCAACGAACGTGCTGATTGTGAGAAAGCCCATCGGCCCGGTCGCTGACTGTGCCAACTTAATGGCCGCCTTGCTCCGCGAGGAAGGATCTTTTCCTTGATCAAGGATCCACTATGCAGTACTGCCGCAAGCAAGATCTCTAATGTTGTGTGCGAATTTTTGAGCCTTTGCTCGTTTCCATCCATCACATCTCTTCATTCGTTCACCCTTACCTTTCTTCACCATATCCAATAGTTCGTACCATGAGCATGTTCTGTTTCTCAGCTCAATGGTCGGCTGCTTGAAGACAAAGTTATTCATATCTGCAAAATTTCTGTTTTTTGGTCCCTGCAAAGTAGACGTTAGTGTATCACATCAAGGAAAAAAAAAGCTTGTCAAAACCAGCTTTCGTCTTCCTTTACCTTGTATGTCAAACAGTGCTTCGCTCCTGGTATCTTGACGTATATAAAACATCGGGTATTTGAAGCTCGCTTGCGCATCACTGAGATCTCATTCCACCACAAATTGACTGCTGACCACCTTCGCGGCCGATTCAATGAAGCATCCACAGAACCGCTATCAATTGTACTATCATCGGCGGCTGTTGCGTTCCAATCTGTGCGTCGAACTCGACCATAAAAATCTGAGAGTTTGCCGAGGGACAATGCTCGGCGTTTCTTTGGTGATTCGGCAGTTGGAATGGACCTAGACGCTTCTGCTGCATTTATGTCAGCTTGATATGGCACATCTTGGTCGCCAGACACAGGTTCAAACTCATTTGCTTCGTTGACCTCCTGGTACCTTTTCTCAGGAGGGAATAAATACGATGCCAGCGCTTTGGCGATATCATAGGTCATGTTGATCTTGAGAGGCGCCAGCTTGATCTCCATATGCTCTACAACTGGTATTCCACCTACTGAAGCAGTCTCAACAAGGTAACCTTGCAGCATTTTATGTTTGGAGAAATTGATGTATCTCCGGTCATTGATGAAGTGTGGTCCAACCAATTCTACAGGCTCGTCATCTCGCTCATGCAGAATAACGATTTTGTCCAATTCTAATTTGTACTTGACAGAGCGGTCTTCCTTTCCCAACCACATGAAGTTGACATGTGTTAAATCCCATTCAAACATGTGGCTGGTTGCTGCCAACACCATCTTCCAGCAAACCTTGTTAGCAATGACCTCGAACTTGAGTGATGTCTTTGCTTCCAGCCTCATGAAGCTCTGTCTATCACTTTGAGCAATCTTGACCGATTCCATGAGCAAATAAAGCTCGTCGTATAGCTCGAAATGTGATTTGCTAAGGGCGATGTATTGCTCGAACTGTTCTTCTGTCAGTACAGAAAGATATTGGTGGTATTGTTGAAGAGCCTCTCGATGCTGTCGAATGTTGTCTTTGAGTAAAACAGCAGCATCAAGCACATAGGGCAAGGTATCGAGATCCGATATGAACATCATTTCTTGCAAGCTTGCTTGACGGTCCACTTTGGCTGGTTCAGAGTAGAGTAGCAAATCTTTGAAGACATCATACAATACATTGTACTGAGCTGAAGTGGCTTTCAATGTAATGGCAGGGAAGTGAAGCCGTACACCGTTTGCGTTCTCTTCAAACGGATGCTGGGATGGTTCCATTGAAAGTTTGTTATAGTCATCGTATTGCAAGGTTGCACTGACTCCTACAGCGACACGTTCATAGTCCTGAGACACAAAGTTCTTGTCCACAAGAGCCTCCAATGGTATCCACGGCAAGGTGTTTAGACTGCCACTATTGTACAGCGTACTTACGATATCATGCGTCTTGACATTTTTGACAATGGAAAACTGTGAGTTATCAATCCTGCACAGCGATCTTTCTTCGATATAATCTGTATCTGGATCTCCACTGTTTTTGTTGAAGATTGTCAATCCTTTGAGATGAGCTCTCTCAGCCGAGACCAAAATGCCTGATGTAGACTTTGTGCTCTTGAATAGAAATTGAGGGTTCAAAAGATCCAGGGTATAGTTGTTTTTAATTTGATGGTCTGCCGACAATGAGCTTTGCTGCCAGATGGGATCGTTCATGTCGCTCACGGTATCGGGAGAGCTCTCTATACTCGGAAGCCAGTCATCGCATTCGCTGAGTGCTACACTCTGCTGCCCATCTGCAGACGCTAAGCTCTGGAGAATATCATGGACTGTGTTTTTGTTGTTAGAGGTATTGTCAATTATTGGTGTGGGATTATCATTGACACAAGGTGCTGGAAAGTTAGACGCATTCATCAGTGACCGAAGCGTTTTCGTCGACAGCAATAAATTCCTCGTTTTTGATCTATCTTGCAAATCCATGAATCTGTACACTACGTTTCGAATCTCGTTGTTCCAGATAATGCAAGGATTGTGTAATACAAGTTGTACTTGAAAGACTCCCATTAGTTGCTCCCACTCAGCCAAAGAACCTCCACCGAAATTCTTGACGGAGCGCATAGATGGAGAGTTACGGTCACCTTCAAGCATTTCTTGCAGATAAAGATTAAGCTGACGCTTCTTTTCATACAGCTGTGCCGTAGATTCCAGTAGGCTAAGAGACTTGTAGCGGCAATCGTGGTTAATTTATCAGGGTCACTTTAAGACGAGAAGCGCTCGTGGTAATGTTTCTATACTTACTTCAGCTAACAACTCGGTGTCGTTAGGGTTTTGAGCAATTTTAGCCTCCAAATCGACGATCTCTACTTCAATCTTTCGAACATGGTCATTGATGACATTGAACCGTTCTTTATGAAGCCTTATTTGAATGTCACTTGTTGCTAATATAGGCAGGGATTAAGCAAGGGATTGATATGTTGACAATGCTCAAGAGTAACATTCATACAGTAAAATGAATACTTACATGGACTGTTGCCTATATAGCACTGATGCACGCCATGCAAGTGTGCACTCTTTTCCTTTTCAGCCTCTTTGGCTGTCTTCCGCATGCTCAAGTAAGGTGCCGTTACAAAGGGTAGCAGTTTGGTAGCAGGTGGAAGCATGATAGCAGGAACACCAAGCTCGCAGTAGTCTAGTTGATCTATCCATTCTCTGTCCGTTGCTTCTTCACTAGATTCGTATTCAGATCTACTGGTAGGGTGCGACTGTAGATAAGTTGCCAGTATGACTCGGACATCCATGGTATCGAATATCACTTCTCCTTCATACATTGGCCATTTGGAGGTTGATCTGGATCCAAGTAGATGATGGTCCTTTTGCATATGCTCACGTCTTTGGTGTATGTCCAGTATAAATGATTTGGTATTCGCTTTAAATCCCAAAAAATCACCTTCAAATCCAGACTCTTCGTCCTTGTAAATGTGACTCACGAAGAGACAGTTCAGTACGATCTGGTATCTAAGAGTGCCTAGATGCTTTCCGAATTTTTGCGTCGGCCTATGATCCTCGCGAGGAAACATTTTTCCAGTACGGATAGGCAAGCCATTTTCACCACCAAACAATGAGAACCAATCGGCAAAGTGTGAGAGAAACTTGGGCGTTAGACGCAATGCATTTGGTGATAGCTGGTTGCTATTTGCATAATCATTGTTTGATACTGTGAAAGATAGATGGATCCACCGGGAACGGAAGCCATCGAATGAATCGTACTCCTGCAGAATGTCGATGAGCATATTACCTCACAACCCTAAATATATACATGGATTTAAACTTACTTTAGCAACGTAATGCTTCTGAACAATCTCGGGAGTTCGGTAGACAACAAGGTAATGCGGTTCAAACGTCAAGAGTTTACAGCTTCCCTTCGAATTAGTCGTATTGCACTTGGCGCATCCACGTCGACAGAATCGCTCAAAGTGGCATGCAAGTCCCCACCTTACTCCGTTGGTTAGAGAGAGGACTGTCTTCTGATACTTTTGGTCGTTTATGTACTCCTGTGGCTCCTCAATAAAGAACATCCCCTTAGACTGACTTTCAGAGCTGGAATTGCTCCCATCATCAAAGTCAACGTTGGGTACGGCAAGGATGTACTCGTCGCTGAAGATTTGTAGTAACTCGTTCTCAGTGTTGGTGTACCCAAGTCGACATTCCACATTTCGCTGCCAGACCTTGATGATACCAGCACCTCCTGCTGATAAGCTATAAGGATCTTTCTTGCCCTTCATCCACAAAGCCAGATCGCCTTGGCCAAGGAAGCGGATACGTGTTCGAGAATGGATCATAAGCCTGACCTTGTCCCAAAAACCTAGTTTAGGCGATGGATCGATAGGTGATGGTGTGAAAGAGTCGATAATGCGTATAATGTCTTCTATCGCTGGTTGCACAGACATTGACCAGGCAATATACGTTACTTCTGGAGTGTGTACCTCGATATCCACAATTGAAAAGAACTTGAGTGGAGATGCAACTCTTAAAAGGTTAAGTGTGTAGTTACGTTCAGGGATAAGAGTCATCGGCTTCAGCCATGCTCCCGCTACATCTCCAAGCTCATCAGCAATAACAAAGTCACCCGTTAGCGTCCAAGCTGTTCGAAATTCTCGTCTTGCTGATCTGTCTTCTGGCACTCTAAGTAGAGGCAGTGGATAGTCACGAAGAGATATGACCGTCTTTGCGCCAGAGCAATACATTCTGAACGGAAGCAGAACTGAGTATGCTGTGTCCAAAGGAACTCCTTCTCCAACATCTTGAATGAAACTTGTCGTTTGATCCAAGGGAAAAGAAGGGGATGTAATGTCAATCGTCAGATTATCCACAGACAATCCGAGCAAAGGCGAATATGGATTAATGGGGTCCGCAGTGATGTCAATGGCACGTTGGCAATAGGATGAATGAGGAAGACGATATTCGAAAGTAGACGAAGGGGAAGCTTCTTCAAAAGTCTGCTTGAAAGGCGGTTGATACCAAGCGGACCTTTGTCCTTTGATAGCAGTTTCCTCTTGCTTGATCGCCGAACGAACCTCGTTAATCCAGCATTTGGAGTTGTATTCCTGTAATCGCTGCCATGTCGCTTCGATGTCATTGCTAGATCTATCCTTTCTAACATCATGAGATCCAAATGGTAGTCCAGGTCGCATTTCAGTACTATTGCGCTTGGATTTAAGGTCGGCTATCATAGCCGTCAGTCGTAAGCTGTCAGGAAGTTTCTGCCCGTTGTTGGAAGACCCAGATTCTTGTCGTTCCTCAAACATGGCATTGACCTTATCATGAAACGCCTCCTCTGTTTTGAAGCGTCTAGGTTGCTCGCTCAAACTCGTCTTCCACAACAGTCGCAAACGAGATTCAAATGGATCGTCTTCAAATTCAACAGAGAATTGATGTACCCTCAGTTGAATGCTAGGAATAGCAACTGGGCCAGATCTATCGGAAGGTCCTTGCCATTCTGTAATATTTCCTCTCACCAATCGATTAAACAGCGTTTTGGTGAGTTTCCAGGCATGAATAGCAGCCTCCACTATTGTTGCGCATACGTAGTTATAAGGAAGTCGGAAACAAAGTGTTTGCATGATGATTTTGGACTCGTTTCCACCGACTTGATTCAATTTGAGTTGGCTCGCAAACAGCAGTCTTTTCCACACCATACCATGTTTTTCTGTGCCGTAAAATCTCAGCTCTCCGACAGAAAGCATAGTGTGATTTGGAAGAATATGGACCGAAGCGTCTGATACTTCCATTTGTATCTTCATAGAAGGAGATAAACTGAAGCGTCCTACTATTTGCCTTGTTGAAGCACTCATACGTAAAGATTTAAACATAGATTGATTGCCGGATTGGGTATTACTGTTGCCCCAATTCATCTGCTTGAAAATCGATTGAGTATCCTTCATGCACTGAACTAGGCACAGAGCAGAGTATAATGCCTGAGGCGCCCAGCAGAATTGTATCAGAGATATCTCCATGCTGACTACTTGACCAAACCTAACATCTTCCGGGAAACCCCGTTCTTCATGGAATCTCATAGCTAGATCAGGGATCCACACCATTGGTTCCTCACCAAGACTAAAAACGCAGTTTTCTCCTTCTTCATCCATTAGAGAGCAGAGTGATATCTCCTTGGCCGATATTGAGATGTCGTTGAGATCGTTTGAAGATGCACGTATCGAGTTTATATCTTCAAGGCTCGAGATGGCAATAATGACATCAGCAGCTGAAAATAAGACACCACATCCTATGTCTTCACTTGGTGCGTTACAAAAGTGCTGTGGCGGTATATCAACTTCTGGGTCCAAAGGTCTATCTATGGCGAGGAAGGATGCATCAACAGAGTATATGATGATGCGTACTAGGGGGGAGGAATTTGACGAAGTTGACGCCTGCACCAACTGCGGCGAGTCATTTTTGATCAGATTGGACACCATAATGACCCACGGTATTGCTCTCTCCACAAAGTAGGGTGCATCCCTAACATCCATGTGAATGGATCCAAAGGTAAGGCAGCAACTCGGTCTAGGAAGTTCGTCCAGTATTGAATTTGAAACCAATGCACTAGGCCTTGAAAAGGATGAACTTGTATACGTGAAGCAAAATTGGTCGACAGCGAAATAATTGCAAGCCGATGGGGTAAATTCTCTTTCGCTCAAGTACCGGAGACACTGCTTCCATGTTGTTAGTTCCTCCACTTCCAAACTGAGATCTGTCTTGTATCGCTGAAGAATATGCGTAGATGACTGGTTGCTACTCGTATAGCTATCCACCAAAGTGTCGGATGAATTGGATTGATCAGGGGTATAAGATTGCTGGATCTCAAAATCTTCAACACTGGTGGTATCCATCGTGACTCGAAATAGTGAGGCATCAATTTGAGTAATGACATTTTCATTTGCATCTTTTATTCGCAATGCTGGATGAGAGGCTGAAAACGTTGTGTGAAGTCTACCGGATGGAAGGTTTACGTCTATATCTGTTGTCAATTTGTTTACTTGTTTTGGATCCCATGCTTGACAAATATCCAAGATTTCAGCCTTTAGAGGATATAGGACGTCGTACGATATTGTTACTGCTGGTTGGTCCAAACTGACACCGACATTTGTGCAAATGGGAAGGTAGCGTGTTGTATCTGACGAAGGATCATTTGGCGCTGTGCTTACGGACCGCGATATGTTGAGTTGCAGACTCTTGCTGTACAGCAGCTTGAAGCTATCCCTATTCGGTTCACACCATATCATTGATACCTCCGAAGTAGATAACGCAAGCTTTGGTCCACCTTCTTCCTCATTCATTGAACTTGTGCTAGAGGCTGATAGATAGATAGACTCTAGTACACTCTGTATTCTTGGGGTCCAAGATACGTTCCCATGATCCAACTTCATATGGATGCCGTCCACATAGTCCGCCCAATCAGTAGACTCGGAGATGGTACCTTCCGAAGAGGTACTTCTACTCTTTATGCCCATAACAACACCTGAGAGCTCATCCAGTTTGGCTTGCAGAGTATTTGACTCGACAGCGAATGAAACCCGATGCTTTTCATCATAATGTCTTGGCAGCGTTGTACTGATTGTGAGTTGAAGTGGTGTAACTGAAAATAGCACATTTGCGTCTGCACGATGGACTTTCTCACCAGAGACAAGTTGAAGTCGGTCGATAATCAGTCTGGCAGCATGACCTCTGCGTAAATTGAATACTGTAAACGATTTCGATAATTTTAAGCTCTCCTTGTGATCGTCGTGATACACGTCATTTTCCATTGTGTTTCCCGTTGTACGAAGGTAGACTTTACTCTGGCTGAGAGACATTTTGTGAGCCACTAAAGTGCCTCTGCCGTCCAAGTCTAGTATTAAGTCCGTTATTTCTATAGCGACTCGTCGTAAAATAAAGGATATAAGGCGGTTACAAGTTGGAGACCCGCCAACATATTTGAACAGTGCCTGAAGGCCGGCGGGCGATTTATTCTTAGGCTGAAGATCATCCGGCTTTTGGTCATCAGGGCGGCCTTTTGGTGGTTGGAAAGGAACTAGTCGTATGCGCGGACTTTCCATCTCGACCAAAAGTTTCAGCACGTCGCCAGAACTGTTAGGGTACTGGGAGGTGGCCAATCCAGGGGGGAAGTGGCAGAGTCGAAAGGTGATTACTTTTATATAGATAATGACATGATAAGATTGGTTCAATACTGCGAACTTGTACTGAAGGTCATGAAGGTGCGGCCATTCGATGTTTTCGATGTAAGGCTGAAGGCTCACATAGGCGGAGCCTGATAAGACCCACACCACCAACACTGTGGCTGCTAAAATCGCTAGCAGACCATCTATGGTCACCATACAATGACTTTGGATAGCGGCTGAAGAAGAGAAAAAGAGAAGAAGGAGAGCAATAACACGGGAAACTTTTTGTCATCCTAAAAGGTGGATCAAAAAACAAATATGAACTTGTGATCGGTTTTCTTCGGGCGAAGAGTCGGTTGGACAAGCAACTACGGGAGTGCTTCTCCGTACTGAATGATAATGAAACGATCGATCATCCTGTTTGACAGAGTAACGTTATTCAAACCCGCTTAATTTAAAGACTTTTCAAAGTCTAACTTCCCAACGGCTTTTTCTCGCCTGTTGCCCCAGACCGTTTTTTGTTTTTGGATGCAGTGGACCACACGCTGTACACAAACTTACAAAAAAGTAAATTTTGACGAGGTGTCAATCAACAGGACCCCCAAGCCTGAAAAAAATAATATGGTGGAGAAAGCCCACAACTATTTATTATCAAATATTTGCTATGTTAAAGTAGATGACAAAGTAATCGAAACATGAGTTTAACGAGACCATAGTTCGACGATAGCACACTTATCGCCAGAGTAAGTTCCAGCTGCGGGACATTGTCGTGCGGCTTGTAGATAGTCCGCAAAACGACCATTATCGCCATGATGATTGCTGACTAGCTGCACTGAACGACTGGCTAGAAACAAGTCTCGATCTTCGTTCTTTGGTGCAGGCTCCTCTCTACCTTTTTGGATCGCATAATCAGTTGCTCTCTCGATAGCCCTATGAGCTGCTTCATAGCATTCACAGTTAACTGCGGCTCCGAGTTCAGCTAAAAATATCATAGCATGCAGATTGAAAATCAGGTAGTGGAAAGGCTTGGTTCTGGAGCTTTCCAAGGGTTGATCTCCGTTGTCCACTACTTGTCTAGGGGCCATTTGGGAGAAAAATCCCTCCACGGTGCGTCGCACATCGTCTTGACGACCAAGATAGTATTGGATGGTGGCCACTTGTACCAAAGCCCAAGTATGGTGATTGTTTGGCATGTTTAACTCTTGACGGCCAATATCACTTGTGGTAAGCCAGTTCAGATAATCATTAAACCAGTTATGCAAATGGCCGTTCAAGTCGCGGAACGAAGGATGGTTTGCAAGAAGTGGAAGAACATTGGCAATACGAGCCAGCATGCGTGTTGACATGATACCTTCTCCACGTCCCATTCCGGAAGGATTGCCTTCGCCGCGAACCACTTGTCCATAATTGACATGTGGATTCATCTTTGTTCTATCGTCCACAAAGAAGGTTCCAGTCAGGTTAGCTGCATGCTGAGCATACTTGTCGTCGTTGAAAAAATAGTATGCGAGAGCCAGATATGTAACACTGTCACCATAGTTCTCAAGTTGCTTTTGATCTTTGACATCCTTGATATCCGGGTTTCTCTTTCCGTCTCTTTTCACAAATACAGTTCTTCCATTTTGATTTTCCTAAATTTCATAAACGTTTATGTTAAATAGGATGGGGTTTCAGAGTACTTGACATAAATTTCTTACCGGCCACCAATAGCTAAATGTCGTAAATTGACATAAAGGTTACTTGAAAAAGGATTAGGCATGATACTTGACCTAAAAAAAGACTTACGGTGCATAGCTAAGGAAGTCTCTGGGGTCTCCGCTCGCTGCAATATGCTGAGGCTGCTTTTCAAAAGTGACAGAGAACGGACCTTTCTTCAAAGCACTGTTAGCCAGTTTCTTCAAAGATTCCAAAGCGTTTTGATCTGGGCCTCGATCTTTTTTCTGACCCATGTAATTCAAGTTAATGAACTCAATTTCGGGACTTTTGTTGCTCATTGTAAATTAGAAGGACGTGCGAAAGCAAGGTGTATGTAGCTCTACTGCAAAACCGATGTAATATACGAGTCAAGGCGATATGAAACATGGAATTATTCACAAATTATTTTGACGTCTCGGTGGTATCTTATCCAAGCAATTTATTATACGTAACATCTGTACATCAACTTCATGTTTTGCTCAGGTAACAAGAAGCCGTTGAAAAAAAAAAAAATGCATTCTATAGAGACTTTACTCCAAGGTCTGGAGTAGGTTGTCTTTTTATCCGTGAAAACATACTACCACCAAACCCTTGTACTGAGCGACTGAGGTCATTCCAGCCGAAATTCGAAGTATTGGTATCGAAAGCTGGTCGTTCAGTTTGGCTGGTAGGTAGTGTTCCACCGAGAGCCTTTTCTCGAATCTTGCTTTCACCTCTGTCAACATCTTGCTTTGCACTTTGATACATCCATAGACCAATGAACGTCAACAATATACCAATAGTTTGGACGAAGCTGACTTGTTGGCCAAACCAAATGATACTGGCGACGATGACGAAAATACGCTTGACAAGGGAGGCGATGGAGTAAGTGACAGGAGATGTCAAACTTAAAGTCGTGAAAGCACACCAATTTTGACCAAAGTGCATAGTGCCATTGAGCACAAAGGCAATAACAACCGATGTGGTAAGCGAGCCGTGAGTGAGGGCTTGGCCGGAGGCGAGACTTCCAAAAATGACATATCCGTCCGACGTGAACCATAGCGGTGTCATCAATATAAACGCCAGCAATGAGGAGTAGAACAACAAGTTCAACTTGTCTAGCTTATCGGTACGCCTTGGATGAGAGCCACTTTCCTTGAATAAAAGCTTCTTGCTAAAGACATTTTGCAGAACAAACACCAAGCAGGATCCGAGCGCACATAGAAGGCCAAGCACATTGGTGGTAAAAGTAAATGAACAAGCCAAAATGACACCTAGAGTCAATGGCAGCAAGGAAATGTAGACTTCAGAAGCGTATTGAACTTGAAAGAGGAAGCGGTACAGTAACACGGTGAACAATGGTGACAGAGCCTATTTTTACATCCACCAAATGTTTCGTTATCAATAAATAGACTCCGCCGATCAAAACATGACCCAAAATAGAGAAGGCACCACCACAACTTACCTTGATAGTGTGAACTAAACTGACAGGAACGCGAGAGATGGCCACACTAGAGAAGACATGTCCAACGATTTGAAATCCTGCTAAAGGGAGTACAGTTTTGATAATTGCCATATCCGGCTTTCTTATCTGCGTAATACCCGTAATTCGGGTAAGAACAAAGCAGGATAGCGCTACCAACCCGAACTGAACATAGGTTAACGTAACGGGATAGCGAAACTGCATAAGAATCTGCTTTCCGATGTTGTTGGTAAAAGCTGAGGTGCTGTACCACATCAAGCATAGTATTATAAATTTGAAGTTGTCGGAAAGTGATATGTTGAAATGCCCTGAGAGGCTAGGTAGAGACCAAGTCCTAGTGTCTGCTTCGGTATGCCGAGTTGAAAGAGTGGGTGTTTCTGGTCGTGATATGAATCGTGAGATCGTTGAATCTATGAAGGAGCTTCGGTTGTATGGATTTGGTTTATGTATGTCTTTCTCGTCAGTAACGTCATAATATGGAGGGGCCGCTCCTGTCTCATTAAGAGTCGGCAATTTTTCATTGCTTTGTAGCTCATGCCCATTGGTGTGTATATCATAGCTCATGCTTCTCTTGTGAGCAGTTCCGTTTCCCTCAGTAGCAGTTGCCGTCACTGTTGCAGAAAGTGGTCCTTGCTCCTGAGATGGTTCAAGGGAGGTATATATTTGCTGAGCAGCCCGCCGCTTAGATTTGTTGAAAGTTCGGGCATTTGCACTTCCGTTGAGGTCATTTCCGTTGTATCTTCCCATATATACGCTAGTAGGAGGCCCTTCTGGCAAAGATGACGAGCTTGTGGCCATCAAAGTTGCTGGCATGGTCGAGATGGAGATGCCTCTGCCCATACAGGTCAGCGCAAAAAATAGATTTTCATAGCAGTCACGTGAGCGAAGGATTGTCCTTATACTTCGCGTCTAACGAAATGCTAATAACAACTCAACAATGGTTATTAAACCTCCAGATAGTTTTTGATAGTAAAAGTAATTCACAACAATAGCACGCTTTTGTAACCTAAGTGTAAATATCTCCATTCCTTCACAACCTGTCGGCGTTCGAATGATATAATTGCATTTTTATCGAGTGTTCGTCTGAATCACTACCTGACAGCGACATAAAGTATTGGCGACAAATGCATCAAGCTAAAACGAAGACCAGAAGATTGCCTCAGTATTGGAAGTGGTTTTCAGCAGCCTTTTGAAAATAAGCAAAAAGTTCTTTGTTTAAAGGCAGTCACAATGGCTCGAAAAACGTATATATGGCCTTATATGAAGCGTTCCTTCTTGCTCTTCTCTATAAAACCCCAATCGCTGAACGACTCGCTTATCAAGATACAACATGATGCGAAAGATTTTGTCTAAATCAGATGAAGCCGAGTCTGAGAAACATATATACCTTCAGGCATTCGTGTCCTTTGAAATTTGCAAACAAGACGAAGAAACAGGATTCAAGTTCCAACCTGGCGACACATACTTTTCGTCAAAAAAGCTGCTGGATATTCTCGAACAAGGAGACGCATATCAATGTTTTGGAAATAATGTTTTGGTACCTACTTTCCTGATCCTCCGTTCCATAGTAACTTGTCTAAGCAAAGTGACTCCGACGACGCCAACAAGAAGGCGCTCATCAAAGACCAAGCTTTTACGAGGGGCATCCAATTCTTATATGCACTTCAACGGGTTCTTTCGCAAAATAATTACTTATGCTATACCAGAGTATCGTCCTTCAGATGTTTCCAAGCTTATTGCGGCTTTGTGGAGGGCATCATCTCAGGAAACCAAAACTATCTTTCAAAGAAAGGCTGAGCAGCAGAAATTAATCTGGAAGGACCTCGAGAGCAAATACCCTAATATTTCACTCTCCAAGAGATACAAGAGAAGAAATGGTCGTTTTGTAGATCAATCTCTCGACAATGATTTAAGAAATGAACGCACGAAGAACGGGAATGGACTGGCTCTTTTCTGTGGTGTGTCTTCTGATGACAATGTGGAGGATTACATTGCCATGAGCCTTGCGACAGTTTCTTGCGACACCAAAACCAACGATGAAGAAGAAATCGGCTGCGAAAATGTGCTAATGGCTAACAATAATCAAGATAGTAACGCGAGTAACGCATGTCAGATAATGTCTTGGGTGGACAGTTGGAACGCTTGGGAATGGCAGAGCAATGAAGTCGATTTAGTATCCTGGAGTCGTGCTTCAACTGATCTATCGATTTACCTTGGAAACATTTATCAGAACTCTTATCAGCCTTTGGATTCCATTTACTTTAATGATACAAATTACGAGCCTCGTGGGTAGTAGACAATGGCATCAAAATTTCAAGTTACTGCAGATTTCTTTCCAATTTATTCTTGCTTGGTGCTTGTGATGAACCATTTGGGACTTAACGCAATATTACTACTGTTATTATATACCTTCCTTCAAAAATATTAAGAACATATCGAAATTCAAATAAACTCATCTTTGACTGAACTGCGTTGTGTGCATAAAGTAGTACATTTGTGCAATTCGCTTGGAAAAAGAAAAGCAGCCAATGGCAGTAATAGGAAGCGGCCTTTAAATATTACAAAGCTCAACGGAATGCCTAGCGAGACCAATTGAAAACGTTGTTAACTAATGAGCACTACAATTTGGCTGCTACTTTGTGTTTTACTGCTTGCAGGTATGCGTGGACGTTATTTCTCAAACGCGCCTTATAAAATACATACTAATCAAAACCAAGTCGGAATTATATTCCGAAAGCGTTTACAAGCTGCCTTCTCCAAACTTGCTGATAATACCAATAGACTAATTGGCTACCATCTACTGCCAACATCGGCCGGGTCATTTGAGGATGACATAGAAGATGGGCTTACTTCCTCCAATTTCGACATTGAAGAACATAACATTGAGGAAGGAGATAGTAGAGCAGGGTTGAAAAACAAGGAGGAAATCTTAAAGATAATGAAGCGCCAGGGCTGCTCTTTTGATGAAGCTAGGCTTATTCGGCAACAGCGATTGCTGAAAAAGAATGTAAGTCAGCAAACTTACTTCAATTGCTGCTGCATGCAACGAATAATAACCCTCTACCATATTGCCTCTCTTCCATAGAATATTGACCCTGCCACGGGATTGCCGTTGGACCCGAAATTCGTCAGTTTTGGCAGCCCATAAAGAGAGAGAGAGGGAGGCACAGCTAGGAGATAACAGTTTCGGACAAAATTCATTCTGATGTTCAATGCCTATTGACAGCAGTAATTTCGACCTATCCCTCAGAGCTTTGGCGCACCCGCCAATTGATTCAACGTTTTGGAATTAATTTATATACATTCATTAGCATCAAAGTGATCTGTAAATCTATCATCAACAATGTATTCTTATCATCAGTCAAAGAATTGTCTTGTGAGCGTTCAAAGCTTGAAGTGAATTTTTGGCCCTGGGTTGAAATACCGCACGAAAACAGTCAATGAGCGCGAGTGACTGGTGTAGAACTTGCTTTTTGCAACCGACCATGACCAACAGTAATGCCGTTTCCAAGCATGCTGTTTGGAAAACTACTGTTGCCATCAGTGATTGGCATTACGCCAAGTTCATAGTGTAAGTGTACTTGCATTGGAATCAAGGCAGGAATCCATAGCTAATGTTGGAATCAGAGCGTCAAATGACAAGTTGACAGTCGCAATCGAAGAACTGTCTGTTAGAATGCAGTTGGCAAAGGCGTTAGAGGCTGGATTTGGCATCGTTGGGGCTTCTGCTCATATAGACATCCTTCAATGGGATGAAGAAGCACACACTGGCATATTACGCATCAGTCATGAGTAAGAAAGCTTTCCCGAAAATTTGCTTGTCGGATCTTCTCAGACAGAGCGCTAACGCTATAATGTTGTTAACTTTCTTATAATTGTAGTCAGTTCACAACGCTCGTGAACGCAGTCAGCATGGCGACATTTAAGGTGGATGGTAAATTATGTACCTTCCGTATCATCGACAACTCAGCACATCTATTATCTTTGGCGAGTAACAGTCGTGATTACATGTTCTAAATCCAATGCTCTAAGAGAACTTCCTGCATACTGCACTCTTCTGGGCGGCCGTTATATGCAACAGCAGTGACAGGTACACTTACCTACCAATTCACCCCCTTGTTCAACTTCTTGGGCATATCCTGTACAGTAGACTGGATGTTTGTGAAGCTACTTTATTCTATGTCTAACAACTATATTACATCAATGAAAGAAATGGCTATTTTGAGGCCATACGATATTTAAACTTTTTGGTCCTTTTGTTTGGCATCGAAGAAGCCAGCTGGAGGCTCCTCCATGTCCTTCCACACTTGTCGAATTTTTTCTCGCTTGGCTGCTGCCTTTTGCTTATTTTCAGCTCTAACAATTTGGAACTATGGGGTGGACAAGTTAGTATTTGCTAGCGTTTCGCTGGTGACATTTCGAATTCTAGTTAATTTACCTCTTCTCCTAAACATTCATTTAACTTCAGCTTGATATCATTGCACTTTCCAGAGTACTTGTTTAACAGTCCTGACCGATGACAATCGTCAAGAGCTTGTATAATGTGCTCGCAACCTTGATGTTTATGGGAAGCCAACGGGGGATGCATTTTGTAAACTTGTGGGTGGTGAATGTCAACTCTAGAAATTTGAACCACAAGGGCTAAAACGATAATGAGGGAGGATTTAGCAGTCACAGCATGTGCCTCAAATCAATTACAGTATTTGCGCTCCGTAGCAAAAAATGTGAAGCGCTCGCAAAGTAAAGGAAAACGGATTTTTATTTCCCAACGCCATCACATGGCGTGGAGACTCTATATTCTATATTAAACTGATGTATCTCATATAATTAGCATGTTTCAAATGTTAGCGGATCTAGCAAACTTGCTGCAGCGGCAGCTGTAACTTGCATTTCCCCCATCTCCAAAAACTGCTCATAATAAACTTTATTGTTGTGGTGAGATACGTGGATAACTGAATAAGAGAGAAAGTACCTGTGTTCTTATTCATTCTATTAGTTTACCAGCATAGCAAAATTCATTCCAAAAAAAGTCGAATTCACAGTACCAACATTTTGTGGTGCTGACTCCCCTTTCAACGTATGAACGCCTAAGTCACAGTGCAATACAGTGAAGAGCAGGAAATTATAATGCCGGTCTTGAAAGCAAAACAATGGGCTCACAGCAGCATCTTCTTTGATACTGGGATGCCTACGAAATAGCCAATATTTTCCCGAAGATTCAAGGTTTTATCCAATTCGGAAATTGCCGCTTTTTAATGCGTGCGGCTTCCGGTCCTGTGCCAAGATAGAACATGTCGACTTCAAGCAATGCATCCTCTAATCTACTGAACCGTCTCAGGAAGAACCAAGATTCTCGAGATGAGGCACCACTGTACCGAGAAGAATTGCCTTCATCAACAACCTCCATCCCCTTGCTAGATTCAACTACGAAAACCAGCCCTTTTCAGTATTTTAGAACACCAGAGTTTCGTCACCGAGCTCGAACATACTCACTTGGCCTACTTGTGCGACTTCTGACATTGATAGTAATTATAGGAGTTTTAGCAGCAATCGGCATAGGTTTGACATACACGGATGGGCTCCCAGATCCAGACGACTACTCTAACCTGCAATTTAACTGGACAACGAATCCATCTAGTTATCTTCGGCCCTTCAACACCACTTTCCAATACAATGTTCTGCTGGACGGGCATTCACACTCAACATATAGCGACGGAAGAATGAGCGTTAGACAGCTTCTAGATTGGCATATTGGTATGTGAATGTAATACCTATGAGAGTATCGCATGTTTAACGTCCTAAGCGCTTTGCACTACTAGCCAACGGCTATAATGCCGTGATAGTATCGTGAGTATCAGTATTTATTGGTAGCTTCGAAATCTGTTGATTTCTTATTTTCTTTCTCATTAATAGGGATCACAATACTATCGAGGGCGGGCTTGCAGCAGAGAAATTGGCTTTGGCCGAATACAACTCTTCCATAGTGGTTATTCCCGCTATAGAATACTCGTAAGTCAGAAGCCTTGCCATGTGGTAGCCTTCTCTCACTGAATTGTTATCAACGTTCCTACATAAATCTACCAGATGCTGTCGGCTTCATATGAATTTGATTGGAATTAATCAAACTGTAACCATTGGACCACCAGTTCCAACAGATCAAGACTTACAAGCTGTCATTAAGCAAGTCCATGATTTAGGCGGGATTGTCATTGTCAACCATATACCCTGGAGTAACACCACCGGTAAGAATATGCCTTGCTTTAACATCTTTGCGTTATAACACGGTCTGACGAATTGATAACAGAGGATGGGTATGAGGTTCCAAGGCTTCCCAACCATCCATCTTTATCGGATTTAAAGGCGTGGGGAGTAGATGGATTTGAAATCATCAACCAAGGTACCTTTGATTATCCAACCATGCAGTTTTGCCAGGAAAACAACTTGATTCAAATGACTGGAACCGATGTCCACTATCCCAATGTACCAGCAAACGCTTGGACGTTGATTCAGACTGCAAACTATACGAAAGAGTCTATTCTCAATGAAATTAAGGCACGGAGAACAAGCTTTTTGTTTGATCCCACCGGAACGAATACTCGATCGTACCCGAGTGAGAACTCTGCCTATTGGAAGTTAGCTCCGCTCACTACGCTTGGTGACTACTTCAACAGTTTCTATAGTGATAGCAAAGGCATGTATAGCTTCCAAGGGACTTTTTGTCAACCCGAAGTTTTAGAAGTTCATAACAGCATGATTGGATGGTTTATATTTTGGCTATTCATCTCTGTTGTTGTTTTTGAACTTGTCAGAGCCGGTGTCATGGCTTTGTGGTCTTTAGTGCGCCGTAAAACCTCCATTTCATCCCAATAATATATAATGTATATTTTTCGTCTATCATATCCAAATATTAAACGTTCACACCAGTGCTCTTCCGTGTCTTAAGTGGTGTATCATCTGGCATTAATCTGACACGGAAACGATGTTGGCAAGACCAAGTCACAAACTCTGACAAAAGATCCCAGTCATCTCCGCTTGAAGGCAAGATAATCAATTCGATTTATTCGCTGTGAACGAAATCTCCCTTCTTCCTATTATTGATCATGTCTGCCTTGTTCAAGTCTGGAGCCATCCGTGCTCTTCCCGCACTCCAAAAAGCTGGAGCTGTCCGTGCCTTCTCTGTTTCCGCAGCTGCGCAAAGTTCTCGCATCAAGGTCGCGAATCCCGTCGTTGACCTCGATGGTGATGAAATGACACGCATTATTTGGTCTGACATCAAGGAAAAGCTCATTCTTCCCTACGTTGATGTTGACATCAAGTACTATGATCTCGGTATGGAGTACCGTGATAAGGTAAGCTTTTATGGCGGATGAAGTAATGGGTACGTATTGTTTGTTTAATCAGGTTTGGCATATTAGACCAACGATCAAGTCACCATTGATGCTGCTGAGGCCATCAAGAAATACAATGTTGGTATTAAGTGTGCCACCATCACTCCCGATGAGGCTCGTGTTGAAGGTACGTACATATGAATGGCCCTATTTTGCATGGGATAGGTCTGCTCATATTAAAATATTGGGAACGATAGAATTTGGCTTGAAGCAGATGTGGAGATCTCCTAACGGTACCATCCGTAACATTTTGAACGGTACTGTTTTCCGTGAGCCCATCATCCTCAAGAACATCCCCCGTATCATTCCCGGTTGGAAGGAACCTATCGTCATCGGTCGCCATGCCTATGGTGATCAATACCGATCCACTGACTTCATTGCCGATGGTCCTGGACGTTTTGAAATGCAATTTGTTCCCGCAGACGGAAGCGAGCCCAAGAAGTTCCACGTCTTTGATTTCCCCGAGCAAGGTGGTGTTGGTTTGGCTATGTACAACACTGACAGCTCCATTGCTGGTTTCGCTCACAGCTGTTTCAAGATGGCTTTGACCAAGAACATGCCTCTTTACATGTCTACCAAGAACACCATCTTGAAGAAGTATGATGGTCGCTTCAAGGATATCTTCCAGGAGATTTTCGAGAAGGATTACCAGAAGGAGTTTGATTCTCGAGGTATCTGGTACGAGCACCGCTTGATCGATGACATGGTTGCTCAAGCTTTGAAGAGCAAGGGTGGTTTCGTCTGGGCTTGCAAGAACTACGATGGTGATGTTCAGTCTGATATTGTTGCCCAAGGCTACGGTTCTTTGGGTCTTATGACCTCCGTTTTGATCACTCCCGATGGCAAGACCATGGAGACTGAAGCTGCCCACGGCACAGTCACTAGACATTATCGCGAGCACCAAAAGGTGAGTTCATCACTATTTTTTTCCAAGTACTGTGTTGGTGTGATATGCAAATAACTTATCTTGTATTACAATTTAGGGCAACCCTACCTCCACCAACCCCATTGCCTCCATCTTCGCATGGACCCGCGGTCTTGGACACAGAGCCAACCTCGATAACAACCAGGACCTTCTCAAGTTCTCTCACGACCTCGAAAAGGCTTGCATTGACACCGTTGAAATTGACGAGAAGATGACTAAGGATTTGGCCCTTGCTATTCATGGCAAGAAGTAAGTGTGACGATTGGCTTGAATAATTGTAGTAGGACTGGTCACTAATAACGTACCATTTCATAGCTTGAAGCCTGAGCACTACTCCACCACTGCCGAGTTCATGCAACAGATCACTGACCGTCTTCAAAAGATGAGATCTTAGATATATGTAAAAAGGATATGACATTGAACTGTTCCCTCTCAAGATATTCCTCTTAAATTATGAATAAGTTGGGGCGAACCCACAATTGTACAGTACGCATAGACAAGCGCCACAAAAATCATTGAAGTAAAAGGTTGAAAATGTAAAACTGTTAAAATTTGGTTTATTTCCTGGATATACGCTCTTGATAGATTGGATAATTTCATAGTATTGAGATACAACTTCTGGATTTGGGATTGCGTGTGTTTGTACAATAAGCCTTACAGTCTGAAGGGCTGCTGCATAGACGGCAATTTGTAATATTGCCTAGTGGCTACGGCTAAAGGCGCTAGTTAGTTAGTTACACCAAAATGCTTGAGAATCCAAGTCACAGTGGCATCTTTAGCTTCATGCGAGGCGGTAACTCCTTCGGGATCTGGTCTGGTAGTAAAACCATGCTGGGTACCTTTAATACATCAAAAGGAACAAGGTCAGTATAAACAGAAAGGCTTTTACTCTCCATTACACAACTCGATTTTAAACAATTACCTGGATACAATTTGAAAAAGCTTCCTGTTTCAGGCTTCTTTGCCAAAACTTCCTTAGCTTCTTCACGCTTCTCTTCACCAAATTGTTGATCTGTTTCGGCACAGACAAAGAAGACGGGCTTCTTGATGGGCTCAATGTCTCCAGGGACAGCCACCAAGCTAGGATGAGAAGCAATGGCAGTATCGATCAAGTCATCATGTTGAGCGAGACGAATGGAATAATAGCCACCCCAGCAGTAACCGGAGGCAGCAACCTTTGAATACTTTGAACGAAGCTCCTTGACAGCTTCAATGTAAGCATTTTCGTGCTCAGGTCTCAAGGAGATAATCTTGCCTGCCCAAGCGGCCATGTCAAACTTTAGGTCAGGGTGAGTGAAAGCGCCAGGAGGAACAGCGTCCTTATCCAGAACATTTAAAATATAGACATCAAGGTCACCGTCGGCAGCATATGTGTCAGCCAAAAGACGAGCATTAGACACGTCCCAGCCAAAAGCGTCCGTGATATAAAGCAAGGCGCCTACAGGCTTACCATTGGCAGCAGCGGCGAAATAGGCCTGGCGTCCAGCTAGAGTGACCTCTTTGCCCGTGGGGGTTCCAGTGCGGAGATTGCCTCGGCGGCAGCATTGAAGGCTTTCATTGGTAATGTTAAGTGAGCTTGACATATTTCTTGAGTTTTTGCCGGGATAGTAGACAATGTTAGTGTTAAAAAAGTGAACAACACGACCATCTTTTATATTGGTCATTGTTACTCCGCCAACTTCTTACACGGCAGAAATTTTGCCGTGGCAAACATCTACTGCCAAATATCCGGCATTATGAAATAAGCACGCAATAAGAAATACAATCAAACCAACATAGGTAAAAAAAAAACCTGGACTGTCTACATTTCTTATTTCCAATTACTATATAATTTTCAATTTTACATAATGCTATTCTACTGTGCTATTCCATGTACGAGTTGTTCCAACTCTAGAAACGTGGCCATCGTTCAATTCCAACTTGGCGTCCCAGTCCTCCATGGCGTGAGTGCGCAGTTCTCCATATCTGTGCTTTCCAAGCACACTGACAGCATAAGATTGAATGACAAAGCCGAAATATATTTGCAAACCTGTCCAGATGACGAAGGAAACTCCAAGTAAGGCCATTGAGGTCTGTACCCAGTGGCCACATTGGTCTGCGTCCGCGCCGGGGTTTTCTGCCTGACAAACCAGAATTGTATTGCCATGGTGAACACCTGCCAGGATCAGCATTATCATTTGTACAAGGCCAAGGACAGCCACCATGGCCCAATACACATTACTCATCATATGCATATGTTTTGCGTCTTTCTGGAGCAAAAAGTTAGTAATTGACCATTGTCGGGATCAAAAGCCAAACTCTATAGGCCGACGATATTCGGGCAATCCGCCGATGTCCAGCTACCAAGCCCAAAAATCCTCTTTTTACCTTGACGATCATAAAGATTGCTGTGGCACCATACAGCAGAACAAGAATATGGACCAATATTTCGAAAACTAACATGCCTACAGAGCCGAATGTCTCTGAAAAATCTAAGGAGGCGCGCCAGTCAGTACCAGAACGTTCGTACCTTGGGTTTCAGAAACAGTTGACCTCTATACCTGCATGTTTTGCAATAGATACTATGATAAAGCAAAATGAATACAGAATGAGAACCGTAAATACAGCCTTAGCCGCCATGGGCATGGGCACCTTGAAACAACATGTCCGCATTTCAGAATAAAATGCTTGCCAAGGCGTGGTTGGTGGTTAAATTGCCTTTTTAAGGGCTATGAGGTGCACTCTGATGTTGAGACTGTCACTGGGTTTTTTTCCCGTGCTCAACTCGCGGACCGAATTCTCTTCTTGTTGCAAATCGCTTACCGCATACCCTTACAAAATGCCGCTGGCCACAATTGGTCTACTGGCTGCATGCATTCCTGTTACGTTAGCTGACACTTCATTCCACACTGAAGCATTCTCCACTGTCTGGTCTTGGATATTTTTACTGGCGATAATATTCTTCTGTTCTATCGGTATAGCCCTGTTATGCTGTACTCGTCAGGCCATATCTTTACCACTCGATGATGAATTTGGTGCAGAGTTTGATGAATGGCCACTTGAACGAGAAGAAGACCTTGCTACGCTATCTGAAGACGCTCTATTGAGCTATGCACGAGCCAAAGGTAAGGAAATAGCCATCATCGGATGTTGAATTGCTCAACCGACTGACTTGCGTCCCCTAGCTTGGCAACAGCAAAATCCACCTGATTGTGTTCCAACCGATATAACTTTATCACAATACATGTCTATCCAAGAGAAAGGCATCCAAGCGTATGAATTTGAATTCCAACTAGAGTCTAACTCATTCGTAGCGGGACGAACGGAGATTCAATTTTATCATGGTGAAAGCTGCGTCCAAACCAATTTGCCATTACCAAAGAATCAAGAGGTCTATTACTGGGAAGCTAAGATGTATGAAAAACCCGGAACGACCTTGGTTTCTGTTGGTGTTGCTACCAAGCCATATCCCAACTGGAGATTGCCAGGTTTGTTTGGATCATTCATTTTTATTATTATGTTTTTAATGCAAACCAAGGGGGGTAGGAAGGATCAGCAAAGGGATAAGTAAATTGCAAGCGAGGAGACAGGGCTATATGCTCGGTCAACGGATGGTTCTAGCCACCCAATCTTATTACCGATCTTATTTACTTATAACTGTTTTTAATCAACTCAGGTTGGAATCGATACTCTGTTGGCTATTTTTCGGACTCTGGAAGAAAGTATTCCAACAGCGTATTTAATTCGAAGCCATGTGGGCTTCCATTCAACGAGGGCGATGTGATCGGTGTTGGGTATAGACATCGTACTGGCACTATCTTTTTCACTCGAAATGGCCGGAAACTGGAAGACGCCTACTCTAATCTCCACTGGAATTTGTTTCCCACCATAGGCGCCAACGGACCTTGTCAGATACATGTTAATTTAGGTCAAATGGGTAGGTTATTTGCTTTTACTGAATGTGTTTCCTGTAAGACATCCCGCTCATAAGCTGTAATAGGATTTGTGTTTGTGGAGGCAAATGTTAAGAAGTGGGGCTTGGCGCCTATACAGGGTACGATGGCACCTCCACCGGCATACGGCCTAGAAGGTGGATCTATATTACTGGCCAGCAGCACCAGCCGAAATAGAGACGACGAGGACTCGCCCCACACTTCAGCACATCTTCCTGAAAACACTCAATTTAGAGCATCAGGTAGCACGAGTGGAACGGTCCATCCACCACCATACTCTACATTTACCATTGAAGTAGACGAAGACTCAACTGCTTAATCTTTTTCAACCTGGGTCATCGGATCCTAGTCGTGCTCCTTTTCATATGAGCCTGGCGCGTGAGATTGGCTCGCTTGTTCGTATGGAATTTAAGCAGATGATGTTTTTACTTTTTGTCACATTTTGTATATATCGCTCAATTTTTTTTATTTGTTCTTGCATGCAAGTCGCACAATAAAGATATCCAGTTCAAGCTGACACGTATAATGGGTCTGGTCTGAGGTTGAATTTTGAGCACTTTTGAAAGTGCCTGCCTGCCTTGCGAACACGATAGTCCTTCTGTTATAGCAAGCAATTTAATTTGTACCATGTCAAACACAACAAGTATGTATACCACCACATTCAATGTTGCAAATATCATCAGGTTTACTCATGCGCGTATGACATGTAGCAGTGCAAGAGGAAATCAAAATCAACAAATACGATTCCACTCAGCTTAAACACACTGTGGATGATCATTTGCGAAAGGTATGCGAATCCATCACCACTTTGACCAACCCACATGCTGTCGCCTCTATTTCCGTCCTAACACCCCGCGCTTGTGCTTCCATTTTTTATTTTCTACTAGTACTTGACCAGCGACGCAAATTATGTTGAGAACCACCAACACATGGATGTCAAACTTTCTCTCGGGTACCTTTCATGCCTTTTCGCCGCCGCTGCAACGTACTACGAATGGAAGAACGGATTCCAAAAGGCAAAACCCGTCACTCTGATTTGCGTAGCATCCTACTTTGTGATCAACTTTATCGCATGGGTCTACGCCTACTTCATCGAAAAGCAAGATGTGTTTGTTGGAACCAAAGATGTAAGCCAATAGCATGGTGTGGGGGTGTTCTATAATGAAAACCAACCCCATGTTTCGTTTTGCAGGGAGCAACGCTTAAAATCTCAGCCCGTTTAGCGCGGCTCTCGGAAACCTATACGCTGGACTTCCATTTTACCGATGGCAAGAAGAAGGGAAACTACACACTGGAATCCAGCTTTGGAAAGTGGTTCAATGAGGATGGTGTTTTAGTGACTTCTGTATTGGAAGCTGATGTCAAGTCGGCCATCGAACGATCGACGATAAGCAAAGAGCAGTAGTGTATAAAAAAGATAAAATACTGCGTTTCATGTGTGTGTCTCAGCAAACGCGCGCGGAATCAAAATAACCGTTATATAAATTTTGAATTTGTCATTTTGCGACTTTCTTACAAATATTATTATAAAAAGCCTCTCTAAATCTCGAGGCCTTGCAGATAGATTTCCATACTGGCGTCCATTACTACTCGTCGAGCTTTCCACATTTACTCTTCCCTCCGAAAAAACATGTCTGAACAAGTCTATGATTACCTTGTCATTGGCGGTGGATCAGGCGGTCTTGCTTCCGCTAGACGTGCTGGAGCCATGCATAACTCCAGCGTCGCTTTGATTGAAGGCTCACCTCGTCTTGGTGGTACTTGTGTCAATGTTGGCTGTGTCCCCAAGAAGGTCATGTGGAATACTGGTAAGTGCAATGGCTATGGAACGGCAGAATTATAGCTGGCATTTAACCTCGCGGCTTCTGTAGCCTCTATTGCTGAATCCCTGCACCAGGCCAAGGAATACGGTTTTGACGTCGACGCCTCTAAGCATAGCTTCAACTGGAACATGCTCAAGCACAAGCGTGATGCGTATATCAAGCGTTTGAACGGTATCTACGAGAGAAATCTCAACAATGACAAGGTCCAATACTACAGCGGTTATGCCAGCTTTGTCAATAAGAACACTGTCAAGATTCAAGACGGTGACAAGGTCAGCGAAGTTCAAGCTAAGAAGATTCTTATCGCTGTTGGTGAGTCATTGCTTGAAGGGAGGAAACCCCCCGTGAGACACTGTTTTAGATACTAACATTGACTTTCAATGTACGTGAAAGGTGGTCATCCCATTATCCCAGATGTTCCCGGCGCTGAACTCGGTATTTCTTCCGATGGATTCTTTGATCTCGAACATCAGCCAAAGCGTGTTGCTGTTATTGGAACTGGTTATATTGGTGTTGAATTGGCTGGTATTTTCCACACCTTGGGTAGTGAAGTCACCATCTTCTCTCGCACCAAACAAATTTTGAGATCGTTCGATCCCATCATCAAGGATACCTTGCTCAAGGAGATGGAAAGCACTGGCGTCAACTTTGCTTTCGATGCTGATGTTCGTGGTTTGTCTCGAGATGGCCCAGAGGGTTCTCCTATCAAGGTTCATTACACTACTGCAGGCACTCAAGCCGAAGGTGATTTCGATTGCGTTTTGTGGGCTGTTGGAAGAATTCCCAACACCAAGATCCTTAACCTTGAAGCTGCTGGTGTAACTACCGACAAGAGAGGTCACATTGTTGTTGACGATTATCAAAACACTGCCGTCGATGGTATCTATGCACTTGGAGATGTTTGTGGCCATGCTGAGCTCACTCCTGGTAAGATGAAAGTGGACAAACAGTGTTGCTTATGATTGATTTTCATGCATTGAAACTGTTTTTTTTTTTTTTTGATGTAGTTGCTATTGCTGCTGGACGTAAGCTCTCTGACAGACTCTTTGGCCCTGAGAGCCTTCGTGATTCAAAGTTGGATTACAACAATATCCCCACTGTTGTTTTCTCTCACCCCACAGCCGGTACCATTGGATACACGGAAGAAGCTGCACGAAAGAAGTTCGGTGATGAAAATATCAAGATCTATACTTCACGCTTCACCAACATGTGGAATGCTATGCTTGAACACAAGGATCCCACCGCTTACAAGCTCGTCTGCACTGGCCCTGAAGAGAAAGTAGTTGGTATGCACATCATTGGTAGAGGCAGTGATGAAATTTTGCAAGGTTTTGCTGTCGCCATCAAGATGGGTGCTACCAAAGCCGACTTTGACTCAGCTGTCGCCATTCACCCTACCGCTTCCGAAGAGCTCGTAAGTGGCTTTTTTTTCAACTTCATTGCTCATCTTTAATGCAGTGGTGATTAATGCTGTCATATCATTTATAGGTTACCATGCGTTAAGTCCATGATCACTTCAAGACCTATCATGTAAAGAAAGAGCAAGCGTGTAAAGACCTGTATTACTTGGACGAAGGTTTTTTAGACAATGTAGTTATATGATAAATGATATTGGGAATAAACAATATTCTAGCTCTGTCTTTTTTTTAAAAAAAAAAAAAAAAAAATCTATCGTTGTCCTTGTCTACTATGAACATCGCTGGGCCTGGTGTAAATGGCTTGGTAGGTCTCTCAAATGAGATACGGGTACTAGTCTGGTGACAAAAAAAAACCTTTCGTTAGCTTCTGTAGACGGCATAAACGAGGATCATGGTATGACATCGATACCTTAGTAGCTTGTGAACCTAGCCAGGATTACAATTTCAGTCTTGGTACTGCAACAGGAGCTTATTAAAGGTACAAAAGCAAATTGTTTGCCTTTTATACTTTTTGTTTTCCTCTCTCTTTATACTATAGACCATCCGCTTTGCGACACAACCCTCTCGACATGAAATATCATCTCGAATTTGCGGTGCTGATCGCGTCCATGAGCGGCTTCATGTAATTAAATTGGCTCCAACTAGTTGTGAACTTGAATACATGACGCTAACATACCATGTTGATGCTGAGCAGGCTGGGATACGATGCTGGTGAGATAACTGACTGACACGAAACTCACCAAAATAAACGCCTAATTGCTGACCTACTATTCTAACAGGCGTGGTATCTGAGCTATTCACTTCCCCAAGATTTATGCAGACGTTTAACATTACAGAAGACAACTGGGAGATGATCAAAGGCAATATGGTTGCTATATTACAGGCTGGCTGTGCTGTTGGAGCTCTCATTTCAAATATTCCAGCAGGCAAGCATACATTTTTATTATGATGTACGACTGATTCGATAGACTAATCAGCTTCAATAGATTTATTGGGTCGAAAAAAGACGATCATGATCAGTGCTTGGATATTCATGATTGGCGGTATAATCCAGGCAGCTTGTAATACCTATGCACCATTGCTAGTGGGACGCTTTATCACAGGATGTAGGTTTATCTATGATGAAGATGACGGAAATTCGATGGGATGAATAGCCACCTGGCCATTATTTCTAATTTATTTATTTTCTTCTTACTTACCAGTTGGCATTGGTCAAGGTGCCATGGTAGCCCCATTGTAAGTGGCAAATACTTTTTTGATTTTGATTTTGATTTTAATTTTTTTTTTATTTTGCATCCACTTTTTGTTACATCTATTTTTCCTATCATTTTCATTGCAAAGTCCTCGCTATCATTTTATTACCTGATTTCATCCTCATCGCATGTGCTCAAGCAGCTGACCAACCAAAATTGCCTTCTAATATGTATATCCCCAGGTATATAGCCGAAATATCCCCAGCAGACTCTCGAGGAAGAATGGTTACTATGTTTCAGATCTTGTTAATCCATGGTTTATGTTTAAGCTTTTGGTAAGTTGCCAACAAATTGAGTGGATATAAACATATAGCGTGAACGCATGTATAGACTTACTGTGACATAACTAGGATTTGCTATGGATTCATTCGTGCGTTTCCTTCTTCTGATTGGCAATGGAGGTGGCCGTTGATCATCCAGTTGATGCCTGCATTTATCATGATTACATGTGGCTTAAACGTGATGCCAGAGTCGATACGATGGCTCATCATGAATAGTCGCTACAAACGAAGCCTGCAAATCCTATCGAAACTCCGTGATTTACCATTGAACCACCCCGATATCATTGAGGAGTTTGACCAAATCCAATATTCTGTACAACTGGAAAGAATGCAAAGATTCACTAAAGCGCAGCAAATCTTGTTCGATCCCAAAGTTCGTCGCCAGCTGATCATTGGATGCCTTCTACAATTTTTTCAGCAACTGGCATGCACAAATACAGTGGTAAGTGAAGCCAATCTCATGTAGGACGATTTTTTTTTGGTTAATTCAGTGCATTAAAACCCCATTTATTCCAAATAGAACTACTATGCACCTTCCATATTCAAAACCATTGGTATCTCTGGAGGATCTTTGGAGGCGATGGCAACAGGACTGTACGGCAACGTCAAGTTACTATTTGTCTATGTTGCCTTCTTCATTGTAGATTCTCGCATGGGAAGACGACAAGCTCTCCTTATCAGCTCCCTTATCACGGCTGTTGCTTTCAATACCCTTGGTATCCTTCTCAGCCAGTCTGATGATATTACCAACGATGCCATAGGCATTAGGCAAATTATGGCTATCTTAATGCTATACTTATTTGCTATCGGGTTTGAAATCGGTTGGGGACCGGCTGTATGGATCATTTGCAGTGAAATATACCCAGACAATATCAGAGCTGTCTGCATGTCGCTCACCACGACCATCAACTTTGTCACCCTTGCCATCATGTCCAAGGTTGGTAGCACGCAAAAGCCCCGTTTATATGTAAACTGTCATCGATCAATGATACTGCTTTATTGACGCATTTATACTTTATTTAGATGACTCCCTTAATGCTAGAACAAATAGGATGGAAAACAGAAATGGTTTTTGGAGGTATTTCCATCGGTATCGGCATATTTGTGTTTTGCTTTCTGCCTGAGACCCAAGGCCTGAGTTTGGAACATATGACAGAGGTAACTTGATCACGTTTTTTTTTTACTGGGCAGTGTTGGAAAGTGAACGGCGCTAACATCCGCCCATGTTTTATTCATTTTTCTCACTTTATGCAAAAGGCGTTCCAAGGTAACATACTAGTTTTCCGTAAAAGCGAAAGCGGAGCATCTAAGAACACCATGTCGTTAGCCTCTGCTATTGAAGCACAGTTTCCTAGAGAAAAAGCTCCGTCTGTAAGAGGATAGTGTAAAATCGTAACACATAACCCAAAATCCACCGAGTGCATCATCATTTGTCTCATTTCGTGTTTCCTTTTTTTTTTTTTTGGGCCGCCCCAACTTCTTGACTACTCTTTACCTGCTACTCTAATACTAGTCTCAACACAGTCTTTGGACAAAAAGAATATTTTATTATGATGAATCTCGACATCGTATTTCGAATCTGCAATATCATTGTAGGGTGTTTCATGATTATCGGTGGTCTTTTCACCATTTTTGCTGGAGGTAGCGATCGATGATTGATTTTGACAGTGGATATGAATCTCAGCTAAGCATCCCGCCATTTCACAGGGTTTCCAAACTTTATCAGAGGCATCTTCTGTATGCTCTTTGGTATTATGGTGTTCGGTTTTGAGTTCAGACTCCCAGCCGTCGCCGCCCAGCACGTTTCGTTCATGTTCAGCTTCTTCGGCCGTGGTATCTGTAAGTTTAAATGCTCGAAGGTTTATCAGGGTGTGGGGTAGCTGAAGCATAAACTAACCTTCCTGTGAATAGTTTACATTTTGTAAGAAACTCCTCTCCAGGGTCTTGTCATCCATCCATATGGTTTTTTGCCAAGACTATTATTGAATATGGCTTCGTGTGCGATATAACTAACCAACCTTTTTTTGTTAATAGCATAGGATGCATTATGCTCAACTATTATGCGGTTGCCATAGCGTCTGGTGTGATCGTAAGTATTTGGGAAAGTAAGAGGCGGGTAACGGACTTCGAACTAGAAAGTTTTTATTTATCATCGCTCGCTCTCCAGGTTGCCTTAGTTGGAATCGCGTTTGTGATTCTCCAGTTTGTACCGCGTGTGGAACCACCGCCTAATATGAGAAGAAAGGCATTTGACGATACTATGCAAGGCTATTACAATGATGCTCCTTCAGACTATCCCACCGGCCAACCAGGTCAGTATAACAACGCAGGCTCGGCTGGTTACTACCAACAAAATCCAACCAACCCACCCCAGCAAACTTATAACGTTGGCGGGGTTGTCTAAGTTGTAAATGAGGGGTACTCGGTATTACTTTCTCCGACCACACTGTCAAGACCTTGTGATCTCACACCAACTTCTTTGCGTGTGACATTAACCATTTTTTGACTGTTTATAAATTTGAAATTGTGTTTCCCTTTATCTTTTCTGTTATTACTATGTACATCATGAAGTGGCAGAATACTTAATCGATTAATTTTATGGTGATTTATTATACTAAAAGATTACATATTATATGATGAGAATGTTGATGGGAAATGGGTCGATATAGTTTCTTGATGGCGTCCAGGGAAGATGGGAATCGTAATGGCACCCAATTCAGTAAATGTGCCGCTTTTAGGACTTTTGCCTTTTTGACACTGTTCCTGCAAAAAACGTTTGTGGGCGCTAGCTTGGTAAAGAGTGTGGGGAACCCAGCAAACATATAAAGTTGCTATTGTTGCATCATTTCTTTCGTTTCTCTCAGTTGTTTCTTTCTCGCCATCAAGGATGAAGTATTTAGCTTTGATAGCCACTACAATTGCTTGCTTTGGAGGCTTCCTCTTCGGCTATGACACTGGTAAGGACCCTTTCTGACAGGGTTGTTGGCACCTCCATTGGCCTAACGCATTTATGTTCTATCCATCATAGGTGTTATATCTTCCGTCCTGGTTATGCCCACCTTCTTCACAGATCTTGGTATTGATCCTAAGGCTCAAGCTGCTTACGTAGCCGACGTGAAGGGTAACGTTGTTGCTCTTCTTCAAGCCGGTTGCTGTGCTGGAGCTCTTCTGATCAATGTCTTCGCCGGTACGTATACCGCCCACCCGCCTCTAATGTTGACGCAATGTCTAACCATGCCATCTTCCACATTGCAGATCGATGGGGTCGTAAATTCGCCATCGTCCTCTCTTCTATCATTTTCATCGTCGGGGGTATTCTCCAAGTGGTCGCTACTAATATGGATACAATGCTTGCTGGTCGATTCGTCGCTGGATGTGAGTACAGGTTTTGAAGGCTCGGCTATCTTTGTCTAGTCAATGTAACACATGTTCATCCCCTCTATAGTTGGTGTCGGCGCAAACTCTATGCTGGTTCCCATGTATGTTGCAGAGATTGCGCCACGCAAGCTTCGTGGAAGGTAAGCAAAGCAGCGATCGTAGCACTTACGAAGCATCCCCCGCATTGAAACTCAACTATTTTTTCCAGACTCGGTACTCTCTGGCAGTTCCTTATCGTCACTGGTATCATGGTCAGCTACTGGTGAGTTGTGCGACCGTATACCGCTATGCACTGAAGCAGGCTGTGCTAACGTAAACAATACTGTGCTTGATTTCTAGGGTTGGATATGGCTGCCTTCATAACCTTGCACCTAGCAGCACCCAATGGAAGATTCCCTTGGGTCTCCAAATTGTTCCCGGCGGTATCTTGGTTATTGGTATTCCCTTCATGCCTGAATCTCTTCGTTGGTTGGCCATCCGTGACAAAACTGAACAATGCCGCAAGACCATTGCTCGTCTTCGCGACCTTCCCGAAGATGATCCTTTGGTGACTCAGGAAATGGAAGAAATTGCCGTGGCTATTGAACTTGAAAGAGAAAGCAAGTCTGGCAGATTTACTGAGATTTTCCAGTCTGGAAACCTTCGACGTCTGTTCATTGGATGTATGCTTCAACTTTTCCAGCAATGGACGGGTACCAATGCCATCGTAAGTTACAGATTCATCCTAGACTCAATACCTTTGCCCACATGACACGTACTGATTGGCCTAATGTATAGAACTACTATGCTCCTCAAATCTTCAACTCTATTGGTTTGAGCAGTGCTGAAACTGATGTCCTTGCTACTGGTGTCTATGGTATCGTCAAGGTTGTCTTTGTTTTCGTCTCTTTCTTCATGGTTGATACCAAGCTTGGTCGTAGAAGAACGCTTATGATTGGATCTGTCATTATGTGTGCTGCTTTCTATATCCTCGGTGGCATGATTTACATGATTCTTAAGGAACCAAAGGGTAGCCCTGTTGGAGCTAAGGGCTATGTTGCCATTGTTATGGTTTATTGCTTCGCTATTGGGTAAGTTGGAGTTATGGGAAATTATGTATGCCATTTGCATATGCGCTAACCATTCTACTCTCAGATATGAATTCTCCTGGGGTCCTATTGTTTGGATTGTATGCTCTGAGATATACCCTACTCGTATTCGTGCCATGTGCTTGTCTTTGACTACCGCTATCAACTGGGCCATGAAGTATGTGCTACTTAATATTACGTAGATGACTATGCAAGTAGTAACTCATCATTTTCTTTCTTTCCATTAGCGCTACCATTGCCAAGGCAACTCCAGTCATGCTTGCAAACATCACTTATGGTACTTACTTCCTGTTCGGAAGTTTCGCTGTCGTCATGGGTGTGTTTGTCTACTTCTTCCTTCCTGAAACCCGTGGAAGAAGTCTTGAACAGATGGACGAGATCTTTGATCGTGGTATCTTGGCTTATCGTTTCGATAACAGCGTTCCCACTGAAAAACTCCGTGAGGCTGAAGAGAAGGGAGAGTTCGTTGAGTAAAATGTACCAAGAAAACCCCCTTTTTATTATTCCCCTCATCACCTCACAGAATATTCTTTTCTTTTATTTGTTAATACATAGTTATAATAGTGCACTGGAAGGCACCTTGAAATACATTTTCATGAAATGCAAAGGAACGGTTCCCAATAATTTGCTATAATGCGACTTGACTTGTTGAAAGGGCTTGAGCGCCTGTTACCAGAGCAGAGCAGAGCAGCCACTTTATAAACCAGCCACGTTTGCTCAGCTTAGTACTTGCGAAGGTTTTACCAGGTAGCTTGTGGCACTGAACATGGGTCTGTGCGCGCTCGACAATATGGTAGCTCACGAGCATCAAAATGTAAGATGGATCAAGTAGCAGTCGACCCTACATATCACCATAGATAGTCTCCAAGCCCGTGAAAAAAATGAATTGAGGCACTCTCGATTTGCATACTAATATGGATGCCCTGGTTTATATCGAACATCACCTATTCAGTCACCTTACGAAGCCTAGGCAGCTTGGCTTGCGCGGTATACCATAAGCGGCGACATTGGAAGGTTTGAAAGCGGTCAAGTGGTTAGATTGAGACAGATATGCGCAACTAAAGACGTTTACATCTAAGTTTTATAAGAATGCTTTGCTCAATGGTTACCGACAGGCTTATCAGCTTTGAGGCAGAAACGGTAAGATAAGATCGAGGAGTCTTTGAGCGACATACCTTGCTACAAATCAGCAAACAGGCTATGCGTATACTCGTTATTGCTATCAAAGCCTTTTTTATTGAAATTGATAAAGCTTTTTGTCATCACCAGTGTATTATGGCATCAGCACAGAAAAGAATTGTGGAGTTCCCTGATGTATCCTTCCTGGCGGGACAGGAAATGGCTGACCTCGACAAGCAGAGTCCAAAAAAGCTAAGATGATGTCGGGCGTAGTATTGATAAATGAATGTGCTTCATTTGGAAGAATTTGGCAAATACCCTCTTCAATGGAGATTAGTTTTACACCATCTTGAGTGTTATAGCGTATTGAGTAGGGGGCAGGCGCAGTGGCAGAGAACCGAGGACCGCAAGATAAGATGACTGCTCCAATAACTAAGATGACCGTGAATGGTTGCATATGAGACAATGAGTTTAGTCTATATTTTGAAAAGTGATTCCAATGGAAAGAAACGTAAAACGACATATTTTTATATTTTTAAGTTGCTAATCTGAAAGCAGTGATCGGCAACAGGGAGATGGGGTAAGGAGGATGAGAAGGGCGAAGGGTGAGTAGGATTTAGTTTTCCTGCTTATACAATGCAAAGGGGAGGCGCTATAATTTGAAGGTTTGAAGGCAGTCGATTGGTGATAGTGAACCAGATATGCGCAACCAAGGACGTTTGCATTTCAGGTTTTAAGAAAATTTATTTGCTTTAGGTTACCGACAGGCTCATGAATTTTGAGGTAGATATGGTAAAATAAGATAAGGTAAGGTGGAAAATTATTTAAGTAACATGCGATGCTGCAAAACAGAAAACAGGCTATGTGTATACTCGTTATTGTTATCAATGCCCTTTTTATTGAGTCTTATAAATCTTTTTGTCATAATCAGCTTACCGTAGCATTACAGACAAAAGTTGTGGTGTTCCCTTATGTGTTTTGGTGTATGAGGGCCTCAGCTGGATAACCTTGACAATCAGGGTCTGAATAAAAGATGAGTGTTCTCGGTATAGTATTGATAAGGATATCTGCTTCTTTTGGGAGATTTTGGCATTTCTCCGGTTCAAACGGGGAATGACTTGACGTCTTCAACACCTGGAGTGATATATTTTATTGTGTAAGAAACAGGAGCAGTGGCAGAGAGCCAGGGATTACAAGATAAGTTGACTGCTCCTATGGCTAAGATGAGGGTGAATGGCTGCATATCAGACGATTCACGTTGCTGTCAGCACATGTATTTGAGAAGTCAAAGGCATCCTTTTCATTATGATTTATTCGAAAGTTAACAACCTTTGAACCTACAAAAAGTGCTTCAAGAACAACACCATACAAACAACTTGCGCGTCAGAGACCGATTTCTGTCGATAGATATGACCTTCATTGTCAGCCATAAACGCCCAAACACTATCAGCACCATTGTTCTTCTGCAGAATATCCTTCATCTGCTCGAACTCGCTGAAAGGTACACGTGTATCGTTCCGTCCGTGGCTCATGAAGCAAGGGATGGTGATTTTATCGACGTTGTTGATAGGTGAGATCTTGTGGAGGAATTCTCGCATGACAGGGTCGCTTTCGTCTCCATATTCGTGACGACGATGCGCTCTTCGATGGTCGGCCGTGGTCTCTAAGAACGTCACCCAGTTTGAAATGCCACAAGTCTCGACAGCACACTTGAGACGATCGGAAAAATGAGTCATACACGCCAAGGTCATGTAACCGCCGTAGGATCTACCCATGGCGGCAATTCTCGAAGAGTCCAGGAACGGCATATCGCTGGAAATATAATCAAGTAGCGAACCGATATCTTTCACCGAGTCCTCTCGCTTGACTCCGTCGTCCGCCTCCATATAGGTTTTGCCATAACCGGACGATCCGCGGACATTGGGTGCAATGACACAGCAGTTCAGAGTATGGACGAAGTACTGAAGGTAAAGGCGAGGGTTATATGATGGCGTGTGCTGCGATGCAGGTCCTCCATGCATGTAAATGACGACGGGTAATTTATCGTCGGCATTGATGCTTTCTATGTTGACCCCATTGTACTTGGCAGGGAGGTAGACAAATGCTGGAATTTCCAGTCCATCAAAAGACTTGTAACGAACGAGTTTAGGGAATCCTACTGGGTGCTGTGTTTTGGAAGCAGAGGTTGCTTTGTAAGGCTTGAGCTGTAAGTTATCAAGGTTGACCTGATAGATGACACCAGGGGAAGCGACTGAGTCGAGGGTGAAAATCGCCAAATTGGGATCAAGCTCAGAGGTGTTCACACTGCTGATTTGCCCTTTCATGGATTCTGGAATATCCACCTTCTTTACAGTTTCGGTTGCAATATCAAAGGCATAAAGCTCATCGTAACCGTCCACTTTGGCGTCAATGAGAATCTTGGTAGCAGACACGAAGCCATGGCATGGCCATGCAATTGGTAAGATAGACTCTTTAAGAGTTGGCGTTGTGATGGGACGAGGCAGTTTGGTGTCAATACTGTATATCACGATAGATGTGTACTCTGACTTCCAATTCGTAGTCAAGTAAATAATATTGGGGTCTGTCTTGGAGAACCGTCCTAGGATCTTAATGCTAGTATTATCGTCGTCGTCAGTAGGAAGTACCACTTGCTCCATTTCGCCTGTGTTTATCTCATACAACCAAAGATCTATCTTGGATGAGGATACCGTGTTATAGATCATAAGTTTGCTATCATCATTGTTGATCTGGCCGAGAACCCATTGGCCATTTCTTTCCAAAATCATTGTTCCGTGTTCAGGCTCGTCAGCAGGACGGTTCCTTAGATGTCGCATATACAAGTCCATATCCTTGCCATTGCGAGCATTGCACATGTAGAAGAGCTTGGATTCGTCATGAGTCACTCTGATACTTCGAGACAAGGTTCCAGGAGCAGTCCAGGGCTCAAGTTGATGTGACTGATCATCAGCGGCAGGCAATAATCGGAACACCTGGAAAAACTCTTCGCCATTGGCATCAATGGTGCAAATGGCTCCGCCATCCCGGCGTTGACCATGGATATCTTCATCGTATTCGATAGGAGTAAACGTATCGATGACATTCCCTTTGCCTTTTCCAGTCAAGTAGGTAACTCGAATCGCTTCTGCATCATCGGCGGACGCGACATGGTAGATTTCTTCTGACTCACTTCCTTCGGGTCGCGTGCGATAATAGATGGCCTCGGGGTTGTTGCAACTTTTGTGAGCAAACGTGGCCATATGGCATGGTTTAGCACCTTCAAAGACACTGAAGTCTTGTATGTCTTGAGGGGAAACGTCAGGGACGTTGATGGTTTCCACACACTCGGGAATGAAACTAGAAACCATGATGGAAAAGAAAAGTGTAGAGGAAAAAGGTAGACCCATTCAAAGAACCAAAATGGTAGTTTTTTATAATTTTGCTTTTTCGGAGCTAATACATTTGCAATTCAGAACTCCATGCCTTCGGGCCATAGGACGCTCAGGTACAGCACACGACATGCATGTAACCTGATCTTGCATGACAGTTGAATCATTCAGATGAATTGCGCAATGACAACCTTTCAGGCTTGTTCAATATTTTTGTAACTCTTCTTTTTTTTTACCTTGTAGGCTGACAAGGCAATATTGTCTCCGTCGAAGACTTTTCAATTCTTCACCTATTTTTCACCCTTGTATCGCGCAAATGGAACATGCTATGATATATTATATTTAATGCAGAAGTTAAAATTTTCTTATAAAAAGTGCTTCAAGAACAGCACCATGCATACAACTTGTGCATCAGCAACGGACTTCTGTCGATAGATATGTCCTTCATTGTCAGCCATAAACGCCCAAACACTATCAGCACCATTGTTCTTCTGCAGAATATCCTTCATCTGCTCGAACTCGCTGAAAGGTACACG